AGGGAAAACTAAAAAGTTAAATATATAAGATTTTAAACAGAGATTATATTTATATCTTATTTAGTTATATAAGTTATCTTATCTATTATATAAAATATAGTAAGAGTAAATACTTAACCTAATTACTATATAGTTTAATAATTTATAATTAATATATTAAGTTTATAATAAGGCTATATAAGGTAGTAGTAAGACCTTAAATTATTAGAAATAAAAAGCTAGAAATAGCTTATATTATCTCTCTTTTCTTTATTTAATAAAAAAGAATATTAAAGCTAATAATTAAAATTAACTTATAAGTAAGTATATTTTATACTTAATAAATAATATACTAAGCTAACTTAATTATAAATAAGATATTAATAACCTACTAACTAAGTCTATAAACTTATATAAAAGGCTTACTATTTTAAGGTTAATAAATTAGTATTATATTAAATAGTACTTTACCTTACTATATAGTACTTTAAGCTTTAATTTCTAGTAATTAAAGCTAAAAAAAAGCTAAGGTACATTTAAGTTAAAAGTATATAATAAATAAATTTAGTTTATAATAAAGTAGCTATACTTAGCTATATAGTTTTATATTTTATTACTTAAAAGAACCTAATTATATATTATATTAAGAAGTATTTCTTAATAAGGTAGTTAAAAATAGAAAATATAAAATATACTATATAAAACTAGAAATAACTATTAAATTAATTAAAGACTATATTTAATAATAAAGCTTTTATAGCTTTTATTTACTATAGTTTAGTAAATTAAGTTATAATATTTAAAATTAAATAAAGAAACTTTATTAAAAAAGTTAAAAAATAGAAATTATATATATATTTATATAAGATATTCTTAGTTATTAACCTATATTAATTAGTAAGGTTATATAACTAATCCCCTTTATTTAAAATTATATCTATAAATAACGAGTAATATAATTAATAATCTTTTAACTAAGAAAGTAAGCTATATAAAAGTTTATTAACTATAAACTATATTATAAAGAAATTAAAATAGCTATTAAGTAACTACTATAATTTTATTAAATAATTACTTAGAAGCTAAGAAAAGAAATTCCTTACTTTTTAGTAAAACTAAGTAAATAACTAAAGCTATACCTTAGTAAGGTAATAAAGCTAGTTTAACTAAAACTACCTATACTAAAGCTATTTGTACTAAAGCCTTATTAATCTTATAATCTTAAATAGCTTTTTATTATTATTTATACTATACTTAAATACCTTTTTAGCTATTTTAATAAAAGTATTAATTATAGTTAATTAAGTTCTATTACTTATATCTTTAGTATTAAGATATATATAAATTATACTTAACTAAGTAATTTAATTTATTTTTAGCTATTAATTAAATTAAAAAAGAAATAGTTAAAAGAGATATAGTAAGCTTATAAAATTATAAAAAAAAGAAAAGAAAAGCCTAAGTAGTATAAAGTAAATACTAAGTAATATATATATTATAATAAGTATATAAAACTTAAAAAGATATTAGTTTAATAATAAGTAAGTAATATAATAAAAACTAATAAAAAATGTTTTTTCTTATTAATTAAGTTATAATAGAATAAATAAGCTACATTAATATTAATAAACGCTTTCTCTTAATAATATTACTAATAATACTATTAGGTTATACTACTATAGGTATAATTAAGAGGTTATATAATCTTATTTAATTAATATACTAATTAAAACCTTTAACTTTAGCTTCCCTTAACTTTAGCTTTTAATATAAAAAATATATACTTCTTTTATAAATATTAACTTTTTTAAACTTTCTTTCTTTACTTAAATACTATATATAAAAATTATAGTTAATTATTCTGTAGTTAATTTAATAAAGATCTTATTATTAAAGACCTTAATTATACTAGTAATTTAATCTTTTAAGCTATTAAGCTAATACTTAGAATAATATTTTATATAAATATTATTAGGTTTTCTTTAAAGTAATTAATACTATATTAACTATTTGCTTTTTTTTAAAACTTTTTAATACCTTTAGCTTTAAATCTATACTTTTCCTTAAAAGCTATATATAATTTAACAATAATAGATTTTTACTATAAAGTAAAAGAAGCTTATAATTAAAGGTTATTAACTTAGCTAAATTTTAATTATTTTATATACTATAAAGTTACTAAAGTATAAGCTTAAAGTATTAATCTAAAAGGGTTTTTTTTTTAAATCTTTTACTTTAGCTTATAGTTACTTAAACTTATTAATATTATTATAATTCTAAAGAGTATTTTTATCTTTTTTATATAGTAAAGTAATCTTTACTTTAAAATAAAAGCTATTAATTAAGGTTCTTTATATAATAGCTAGTATTATAAGTAAGCTATAATAGTTAGTAATATATAGTAAAAGAAACTAAGATTAATTAATTAATTAGTAGCTTAGTATATAAGATAGTAAAGTAGCTTTCTATATTAAGTTAATTAAAGGTTAAAGATAAGAAAAGAAAACAGTTACTTTATATATAGCTTAGTAGCTATTTATATATATTTACTATTATTAAAGTTTAGTAGCTAATATAATATTATTTTATATAGTTATTAATATAAAGATAGCCTATTTAGTAAGTTAACTTATAGCTTAATTTATTAATACTAACTATAGCTACTAAACTTAACTATTACTAATATAGTAACTTATATATATATAAGACTACTATATAAAATATAGTAACCTTTCTTTTTTTTTTCTTTTTATAACTACTTTAATCTTTAAGATACTTTCTTTTTCTTATAACTACCTTAACTACTAAGATCCTTTTTACCTTAACTAATAAGATATTACTCTTAATAAGTTAATCTACCTTTAATTCTATTATACTATATTACTTACTAATTTATTTTATAGTAATATCTTTATTTAATTACTATAGTATTATACTACTTAAGGACTACTACTAAAAGAATAATCTATATTTTAACTCTTTATAAATTAAAGTAGCCCTTTAGTTATTATTAAAAGACTTAAATATTATAATAATAGCTAAGGAATTAAAGCTAGGCTTTCTATTTAATACTTATAAAAGGGTTAAGCTTATTATATTTAGTTATAGAATCTTTTTATTACTTTAAAGAGATGAAAAGTAAAAGATATTTTAAAAAATAAGGCTTAAGATATTAAAAAAAACTAACTTATAAGTTAACTACTAATTTAAATTAAATCCTTAATAAAAAGGGATTTCTTAGTAAGCTTATAAAAAGTAGTAATAATACTAACTTTATAAATAATATTAAAAAATCCCCTTAGTTTAATAAGCTAAGGAAGTAATAGAAGTTAACCTTTAAGTATTTTAATTAAAATAACTAAAGGCTTTAAATAAACTAAGCTAACTATAGCCTAAGATTATAATTTTATAATAATATTAGTATATAGTATTTTAAGTAAAAGATTCTAATAGATAAGGTTTTTAAAAGAAAGATATATTTATATTTTATATATTAAAGTTAGTAAAGTTTAATTACTTAAAGTTAAAAAAGACCTAACTTATAGCTTTAATTAATTTAAATTATATAACTAAAATTATATACTTTCTTAACCTAGCTACTACTGTAATATAACTTAGTAGTATAATACTAGCTAATATAATATATATACTTAACTTATTAAAATTTAACTTTACTAAAAAAGATTATAATTAATTATAATATTAAAGATAGATTTAATATAGGACTTATAGTTTAAAGAGAATAATAAATAATATTTTAACTAGGGTTTTAATTTAATATATTATTATATACTAGTTTCTTAAGAATCTAGCTTAGTTAACTTTAAAGATAACTCCTTAAGTAGGTTAAATTATAAACTTAATTTAATTAATGTTATTAATAATACTAATCTCTTTTAAAATACTATATACTAATTTTATTATATACTTATAGTTTTAAATTATAATACTAGTTATAGCCTATTTATATAATTAATTATTATTCTTACTTAACTTTTTAAAATAATAAACTATATATAGTAAAGAATTTAGTTACTTAAATTAATCTTTTTAAGAAACCTTTTCTTATTATTCTTAGGTTTTTTTTCTATAATTAGCTTTTTTACTAGCTTTTTTAATATAATTAATTTAGTAATTAAAAATAAAATATAATTTATATTTATATTTTATTAAATTAACTAAAGAAGCTTATAGCTAAAGATAGCTAAGATAACTTTATATATAATAAAATTAAAAAAGAAATTAAAAACTAGGTTTATAGTAGCTTATAATATATATAAGGTAGTTACTTTAATTTCTATAATTCCTAGGTATATATTATTATTATAATAATAATTCTTTATTAAGAAAATACTATAGTAATTAGCTAGGATTTTTATAATTATAAAATAGGTTAGTAATATAGATTAATAAGTAAAAGTTTAATAACTTACTATATATAAATTAAAACTAAGGTAAAGAAAAAAAGAAGAAAAGTTAAGTTACTATATTTTATATAGTAGCTTTTTATATATATTACTATATTAATAATAGTTAAAGTTTAATAGCTATTAGTAATACTAATTAAAGTAAGCTTATAATTTAACTTACTTAAGGGGTTATCTTTAAAGCTAATAAAGCTAGATTTTTAACAAATTAAAAATTTTATTCTTAAGTAATTTTAAAAAAGTAAGTAAACTTAATAATAATATTATATTAAAGCTTAAAAAGTTTAAAATAAAGTTATAAGTAATGTAAAATATTATTACTTATAAAGATTTAATAACTTAAAGTTTACTTAAATTATAAAACTAAGTTAATAAAGCTAAGAGTTTTTTATTACGTAGTAATAATATAAATATTTTATTAAAATATAATATAAGCTAGTATTACCTTACTTAAGATAAGAGCTTACTATTAATTAAAGTCTTATGTTACTTATAGAAGATAGAAACTTATTCTTAAGGTCTTTTATAAATCTCAATTGCTTTTTTTACTGTATTGTAAAGCTCAGGTACAGATAAGCTTATAGTACTATCTATTTAACCACCACCCTGCTCACGGTAGTAGTAGTTCTTGTGATTGTTGAGTTTCTTTCCGTAGACCAAGTCCTTCTGCTTTGTATGGACTTGTTCCAATGTTCGTCCTCGCTCCTCTGCTCTACGCGCCCGTCGCTTCTGTTGCTCCGGTGCACCCACCATGCCTGCCATGCCACGAGGCACCATCTCACGGGATTTAGAACCTCTGTGGGCCAGTTGACCATCTGAGCCAGCATTGGACTGTTCACCTTCTGCGCCCTCGAGGGCCAGACGCTCGGCGCGTTCTTCGGCCGAAGGGTGGCTGTGTAGGTTCTGGCGGTAATACTTGTTTAGTGATCGATGACCAATCGACTTGCCCGTAGGAAGATGAAGCTCATAGTCGTCATGAAAGACAGCACGAGTGGGCTTGTGAGCATGCGAGTGCCATCCATCCGCCTGATGTCTTTGCCTTGGGTCTTGGCGTGAATGATGCGGGTGCTTGTCAAGTCGCTCGAATTGGTGGATGTGGCCCTCGGCGGGAACAGCAGTGAGATCCGCTGAATCCAGTGATGAAGCTGAGCTGTCTGTCTCCCAGCCGTCTGCTCCCTCGCCTTCCTCAACCTCTTCTCCATCCTCTCCGGTGACCTTGGCAGGACGACGTGCCCCAAGCTTAGCTCCACCACTTGTCTCGTCTACAACAGACTCCTCATCACTCCACTCTCCGTCATCAGAATAGGTACTTCTAAAGTCGTAAAAGTCTCCAATCTCAAGCTGCTCTTGCTCGGTCTCATAGGGAATCTTGCAGTGGCCCGTATCGCGCATATGTGTTTGAATACCGAATGTGGAAGACTTCAGCTTGTCGCAGTAAAGGCACTGATGGTGTAGGCGAATCTTGTCTTGCAGCTGTTGAAGCAGGCCATCAATGTCCACCAGATAGTTCTTCTCGGGAATGAACATGCCATGGAATCGCTCCATATGGTGTGTGTTTAGAGGGATGGTTGGGGAGGAATAGTTGCAGAACAGGCAAGTCTCTAATGTCATGTTGGGCTCTTGCGATGTGGGGACGGGTGTGGTAGAATCGGAAGCACGTGTCGCCTCTGCATCTTCAGAAGCAACATCTTGACCCGATGGTTGGGGATGCGAAGGTCGCTTGACGGGGGAAGGCCTTTGCTCAGTGATACGGGCCTTCTGAAGGCCTTCAACAACGTGGCTGAATTCCTCCTCGGCATCGGAGTCCACTTCACCCTGGCTGGGTGCGACAGGCTCGCCAAGGGAGAAAGTAGAGCTGACAACGGATGTAGCCTCGTCGTCGGCTCGTGCAGAAGTAGTTTGTCCACTGCTGGCTTCCTTTGCCTTATGCTTCTGGCTCAAGATGTGGTTCTGGAACGCATTCTCACTGTAGTATGTCTTCTCACAGATATCGCATACACGTTCGAAGTAAGCCTTGTCGGCTTCTGCGCTGGAGACAGCCCTGGCCTGCAGGACCTTTTCAGTGAAGACATCGGATGAAATGGGGGGCAAAGAAGCAACTCGGCGCTTGAGGTTATATCGACTGTCGCGTGGTTAGCATACATAGTCGTAATATATAGACGATGATAATATAACTTACTGCCAGTCACTCTTCATATGACCCTTCTGAAGATCGATGTTGCGATACGCAACTTGGCATGTATTGCAGGTATATGGGTGCGAGGCACCAGCTGCCTGCGCGCTCGCCATCTTCAGATCCGAACTGTAACAAGAATTGTGTCTGGTTTTAGGTCCGGCTCTGTGATATCGGTCTGAGTGATAGTTTGGTTGAGAATGTTTCTTGACAGTCTGTGATTTAAGAGACAGTGATTGCAAATGTGAAGGAAATTCGGGGCCGACTTGGTGGGATATGGCGGGGCTGCATAGATAACGTCACACAGAAAAGGTTATCAGCGAGATGGATGACTGACTTTTTTTTTGGCCCCGAACCCCGCCACGCAAGGGTTCCAGGCCCCCTTGGTTGGGCACCTAGCTGAGTCATTCTTCGCTTGAGTCCCCTAGTGGGTAGAGCTGCAGTCGGTCCCGCTAGGGGCGAAAACGGTAAGCGTTCTTGTGCAAAATTGTGCAGAGTACCTTGTCTCAGGTGCATGGGCAGGATGAGTGCTCCTGTGTCCAAGTACCCTCCAAGTACCAGATGTACCTGCTAAGGTAGTGGCGCATCATCACTAGCGAGGCTGACCAACAGCTCCCTGAGTGTCAACTCCTCCCCCCATGAGGATTACGGATACATGACTCTAGACTAGTATCAAGAACAACCAGCATATACCTACAATTAATATTTGTCCAGACCATCTAAATCACCTGTGCTACACCACATCTTAAAGTTTGGTTATTGGTGTTCTCCTTTTCTTAAGCGAATTCCTTTATTGTATTTCATCGTACACAAATAACGAGGTGCCCATCGCGGCGCGACCACGTCCTGCCCATGTCATGACGCCCGATGCCTATCGTCCACGAGACCCATCCATCGACTTCGCCGCAGATATAGATCTTCTTGCTGGCCTTTGGCAGGAAGCGCCATTCGCCCGTTTACCGTCCGATGCACCCTCCGAAGTTAAAGCCGCTGTCCAAAGTCTTGAGAATCCAACGCGCGTTTATGCAATACATCAAGCCAGCCGCCGCCATGGGTTCCAACTTCTCGTTGAGAGGTACATCTTCCAACTGCGATATGGTTGTGAAAACGTCAATTGTGCAACACCCACATGTTTTACCTGCCGTCGCCGTCTAGCTAGCAAGGCGCCCATACGAAGATATAATACAACAAGTGCCCGGACGCTAGCAACATACTTGGCAAGTCAGGATGATCCCGAGGAAGGCCTCTGTCCGTTTCTTCGTAAAAGCACGGAGCCGCCAACAACGATTAACAACCTGATATTTTCAACGCGATCTCCATCGCCGTCGCATCCTGATGACAAGAGAGCAAACGTTGCCACGTCGCCCGGCGCACGCAAGAACCGAGCTTCTAGACCTCGTACATCCTCATCGTCCTCTCAGGATTCAATCCATGGCAACAGACGTGCACCGCATTCCACCGATGGGTATTCAGCCTCTCAGATCCGTGTAATTGAAGGGCCGGTGAACAAAGATCATCGATCCTTCGCCGCGAATCTCTTTGGCACTGTGACCTTCAAAATGCTCGACTGGCTTACCCCCAAAGGTGTAGCAGCCATATCTGAGAAGCTTGGCAGTTTCGAAGCGTCTGAGTCAACCGCACCCGTGCTGGATCAAGATACTCTGCAAGAGTCATCCAGTTTAACCAGCACAAACACTGACTTGGAAGTTCGCAAGGTTCTCCCTCAGGAGCCGAGTCCGCAAAAGCCAACAAAGGTGGCTGACCAGCCCCAAGAAACTGATTGGGACGAGCCTCCCTTTCCCGCAAAGCCTCCTAGGAGCAGACACGACTCAACAAATAAGCCACAAAATAATGCAATAGCCAAACCCCGAAAATGCTCTATCGATACTACCGACTTGACAAAAGGAGACGACGGAAGCAAAGCTGCCAGACTTCCCCAGATGAACGGGCATCTGCGTAACAAGTCATTAAGACATAAGAATAACAAGCATGCACCTATCTCAAGTATGCCAGAACTGCCGTCGAGACCAGGATTCTTCGAAAATGTCACAAAACCCCCGACAGAACCCGTGCTGTCAAATCCGCCGCTGACTTTGCGGGATGATGTGGTGAACGAGACAAAGCTGAGAAGCGATCAAAGTGACGGCCGTGCGAGGAACGACACGAATCAAGAAATACAAGACCATGAAGCAGAGCCCAGGGCCGTCACAACTGACGATCCTAACAGGATGTTGCCCCAAGTTCTTCCAAAGCTTGATGTCAATCTTGTGGACCTCATTTGCGACGTATATGAGGAAGATGGTACTTCTGAGCCCTGCCTTCTCGCCGCTCACAGAACAACCTACCCGTATCCTCAGCCTGTGGGTGAACGGGAGCATTTGCGCCGTGACTCTACGCTTTCTAAAGCCTGGTCCAGAAAGCAATGGTTACGCTTCAATGAACAGACACTCTTTTTTATTCTCACAGATCCACAAGCTGTGGTGCAGTCTTTCACACAAGACCAGAAACTTTACGACTCGCAGACTCTTTGGTATTGCTTCCATCGATTGAGTCGGGTCACTTCCAGTCTAGTCTTTCACAGCCTCTGGTTGGCTGCTGCACGTCTCTTCATACCACCGCCCGAGCTGGAGTCAAATACCTCCCCAAGACGAGCAAGTAGCACAAAGCCTCTTTGTGACTTAGACGCGGGCTATCTCATGTCCATTTGTATGCATGCTTTAGTAGCTGCAACACCGGTGATATCGGATTCAAGAACACTCTATGAGTTGTCGCGCGTTCGCTCTAACGGTTTGACGCTTGCTGGCGGTAGTGCCATATCCCGACAACCCTCTTCGCGATGCTTAGATTACGACGACGCTTTCTCAAACGATATAGCCATCAGGTTGGCTCGCAGGCTCTTTTGCGCGATAACGGCTAGGCGTTGCTTTGTTGACAGAGTATTTCCAGCATCGCAATTGGAGAATTCCGAAATGAAAGACGTCGATATCCTACGGCCCTTGGTCAACCAACTGGATTTCCTCAGCACGGGCTCGGCATCAATACTTGAGTTCCCGCGAGATGAACGCCTTCTGCATGAGACTCGCGTTCCGACTGTTCTTCTGGATTGGGCACGCACTGTTTTGTTAACTGACTGGGACGGCCGAGCTGATTTTGCGATGGACGGGCCTTTTGGAGGAGCATTGTCGTTCATTGAAACCCTACGTAAGTGCAATATGTGGCGTATTGACAAATGTGACCTAACCTTACTGACATATTCAAGATAAATCAAGGAACCTCCTTCTGTTAGGCGACGTTCAGTTCCGAGTTGACTATATCTCAGAACGATTGGATTCGATTGAGATGCCCGTGGAATGGTTGTCGTTCAAGTCGACTCGTTGGCGGCGACATATTCTTGACTACCCTTATGTGTTCAGCCCTGAGACCTTGGTGTCTTTCTTCCGATCCATCAACTTTGCCCGAATGAGTCGCATGTTTGAAGAGTCGAGTTCTCTTAAGACGCGAATGAATGCCATCGTCGATCCTGGTAGTCTCATCACTAATCCACATCACAAGATGGTTCTACAAGACCTGTTAAGGACCGCATCGTCTAAGTACTTAGTCCTGGAGGTTGGCAGAGAAAATGTGGCCAGAGATGCCTTCGATCAATTATGGAGGCGTGAAAGAAGAGAGCTTCTACGCCCTCTCAAGGTGCACTTAGGTGAGAACAGTGGCGAGGAGGGTTTCGACTCTGGAGGTGTCCAGCAAGAGTTCTTCCGTTTGGCGATTGCGGAATGCTTAGACCCTGAATTTGGGGCGTTCACCGTCGACGAGAGGACACGCATGGCTTGGTTTACCCCAGGTTCATTGACCGAAGACTGGAAATTCGAACTTGTCGGGCTTCTAATGTCGCTTGCGCTGTATAACGGCTTGACACTACCAGTCACCTTTCCGAGAGCTCTATACAGGAAATTACTGGGTAAACCGGTTAAAGAACTTCACCACATCGCCGATGGGTGGCCAGACCTAGCGAGCGGGCTAACGACGTTGCTGGAATGGGACGAAAAGAACGGCCTTGTCGAGGACGTCTTCGCCCGGACGTACGAGTTTTCAGTGTCTTCACTTGGTACAATTACTACACGTGAGATGCGTGCGGACAAAACTACGAATTGGCCAAGCGCAGCCTCGGGCTCAACAGAGATCAGACCACCTCACATGGATAACCCCGACGACGCTCCGCTTGTGACCAACAAGAATCGTGATGATTATATCATTGACTATATCCGTTACCTGACAGATGTTTCAATTCGGCGTCAGTATCTTGCTTTCGAGCGTGGATTTGCATCTTGCTTGCACAAAAAGTCCCTCTCACTCTTGTGTCCGTCCACATTGCAGTCCCTCGTCGAAGGAGAGCAGGAAATCGACATAGCCGAGCTCAAGCGTTATACTCGCTATGTGGGATGGGATACCTCCCACCGTACCATCAAGGACTTCTGGTCTATCGTCAAAAGGTACGACCAGGGCATGAAGCAAAGGCTTCTAGAGTTTGTGACATCATCCGACCGTGTTCCAGTTGGTGGTATGAAGAATTTGCAGTTTGTGATACAGAAGAATGGTGAAGAAGACGGCACTGGCGGGCACTTACCCACAGCCTATACTTGCTACGGCACATTACTTTTACCCGAATATAGAGATAAAGAGGTGTTACGGGAGCGTCTTGGGATGGCATTACAAAATGCCCAGGGGTTTGGTTTCGCTTAATGGGTGTTTGGTGGGAACTGAGCGGCTTGAATTTATAACTATCGCTCAACACGAGCCGCGATTTGTTTTCTCTGAGGTAGTTGAGACCTCGTGTATTTTGTACCACAGCATAGCAAATGGAGTAAGCGGTCAGTATCATCAATATTGCATATCGCATTGTAATAAGATGTATTTCAATCCTAGCACAGTTCATGAATTCTTCTAATCTCGCATCTGGCGAACGTTCAAGTTGATTCTCTTAGTTTTCAGCCAGCCTCGCCATTCTGAAAACTTCCCATCTTCACGAGCTGGCCAATCTTGGAGATAACTTGGGCATGTGTCCTTGAGAACTTTCGGGACACCATGCCACGCGTATCTTGACTCTTCAGTCATGTAAATGGCGTCGCCAGATCTAAGTCTGAGTAGTAAATACTGCTTTTCGCCAGATGCCTCATTTTGGGCCCTGTGCTTCAAGTCGTTAGGCGCAATCATGAACAGACCATCGCAGCCGAAACTCAGGCTGATGAGGCCTTTGTCTGTCTCTTCGCTAACATCTCGATGCATCATCATGGTGTCGCCTGGTGAATAGAAGTTGAGAATGGCGGCCTGCGCATCTGTTTCTGGGAACAAGTCCTTCAACAAGGAGGAGATGTCACTTGGAAACTGTGGCGGCAACTCCTCAGGGTAAATGCGGTTAGTCCAATCGTATTGGCCACCCAGAGTCACCCAGTGCAGCCTTCGACCCATAACCTGCTTGATCGACAGCGGCTTGTGAACACTGGGATCTTTAGGGATGAACGAGGCTGGAGTTTCGGGGTCAATAGAGAAGAACGACCTTTCGTCTTCATCCTTTCCTTCTGGATACGGCAGGTCGTAGTGTAGGTGTAAGTTGGTCTGGTGGTTGCGCACACTGAGATCACGATGGATCGTACGATCCAGGAGAGTCGTTTGCACAGAAGGCGGTAATAGCGAAGGGATAATTAGTAGGCCTAGTCACGGATGAGTTTCGAGTGATACCAGGTCTATAGAAAGAGCCTTACCTGGTAATAGCGGGTGGTGAAGAACTTGAACATCCTTCTCAGCCTCAGAGGCCAGAGTAGGGTCCAACCTAGCGAAGCTTTTTGCAACTTGCTCTTTCGAGATAGTTGAGACTTGGCGGAACCCAGACTCTTCCAGAGGAGCCCGCGGATCATCGATGCGAGGATCATTCAGTAGGCTCTTGTGATCCTGGCGCATAAACACTTTCCACTCAGCACGCATCTCATCAGATGGTTGCTCGTGAGCGTCGATCTCGGTGAGATTTGTTGGTGCCATTTTGGTGATATTGACAACACTTGCCGCGTTAGAATTTCGCAGATTGAATCTTTTCCGAGGGTTGGAGAGAGAAACACCTTTTGCAGCTTTTATTCACTCTCGAACTCCTGAGTGGTTAAAATAAATCTATAGTGTTCTTTATTGAGGTATTCCACTGTCACGACTCTTCTCTTACCCTGTGGACCTCTTCTAACCCAACACGTGACCTTTCATCTTCTTCACTCGTCTTATACTATCGCTCATTCGTAAAATACTGTAAAGAATAATCTTTTGATTAATCTAGCTATACTTTTAGTTCATACCTCTGTCCCTCTCACGGCGAAGTAAGTCTGTGACGTTGTGGTGACTTCGTGTTCGTTGATCGCCTCTAAATTTTCCACCATCACAACTTTAGTTCGCTCTGTATTACACCAAGTTAAGACACACAGCAATGATCGTCCCACGACTATTACGGGCGTCTCGGCTCTCTTGCTCTCTAAATTATGGCCCATCAACTCAACAAAAGGCCCTATTCTGTTCATCAGGAAACCTGAGTATACGTCAGCGACCACTACGTCGAAGCGTACGTGCTTCTGGCCCAGAACAGCAAATCAGTGACCCATCAACTTCACTAAACAACAAGGCTTTCCGTTCGGATCTTGAGTCAAAGATACAAAAACCTGTCAAAAATGAAGCACCAGAAGCCAGTGCCGCATCAAGCAGTTCCAGCGAGTCTAAAGCACCAAAGTCAAAACCCTCAAAACTCAAGGGGCCTCTACCAAAAGGCATCAAACCTCACCAGCAAGAGATATTTCAGAGTGAATCCATCTGTTTTAGACAAGGTTCAGAAACACCAGTCGACGTTTCTAAAGAAGATAGGCCCCCTCTAGCGGCAGCCGGCAAGTTCTTTGAAGAGGACTGCCAAATTCTCTATTCTGCAGAAAATTTATATCACCACCCTCAAAACGATCATGTCCCAGAGATCGTAGTTCTGGGAGCCTCCAATGCTGGAAAGTCCTCTTTCCTCAACGCTCTCATCGGTGGCACGGAGATCGCCAAGGTTAGCCATAAGCCAGGCAAAACCACCACGATGAATGCCTATGGCGTTGGACCACGACCGAAAGTTGCCAAGGAGCTTGTTCGCAAGGGTGAGCTGCCTCCAAAACATAGTCTCATCCTTATGGATACACCAGGTTATGGTTTCAAGAGTCAAGAAGATTGGGGGAAAACCATCCTCAAGTATCTCAATGTCAGGAAGATGCTACGAGGCGCCGTCATCTTGATTCCAGCCGATAAGAAGCTGCAAGAAACTGACAGATGGATGTTAAGGACTCTGGCTCGATCAAACACTCGAACATTGGTAGTCATCACCAAAGCTGACAAACCTGGAGAGAAATGGCAAGATGCATGTCACAACCTTCACAATCAGATCCAAGGTATCATCAATGGGCTCTCAACTCACTCAGCTCCAAGCTGGAGAGAGGGTTCCGGCCGGGCCCTTAACGTCTATGCCACGGCCTCCAAGATTGCCTTTGTATCTCGACGTTTAGGCAACGGCGGAGGGATTGGAGGTGTGCGACTTGCGATTTTAGAAATGGCTGGTTTCTCTCTTGGCGATAAGATTGAGAAGCAAGCTGAGACGAAGGCATATTCCGGAAAGATTATTTCTTTCGACGATATTGTTTGGAAATCTTGATCGATGTCGACTGGAAACATTACAACTTCCGCTCACAGTCATGGGTGCGTAACCCGGGGATTTTGTACAACAGTTTCTAAAGAGTGGAATGTTCAGCGCCATCACAGGATGTGGTTAACCCAGGACAACAACATGTCAGGAAATATATTCAAGGACCTGCCTTGACTTTATAATGTATTACTACAATTTTGAAGCATCATCACTATATTACCGCCCCGACTATGGCTTTGCCAACCGCCTTGTATTTAATTAACGTGCCCTTTCCATTATTCCTTGGCTTCACCACTGGATTTCGTCGAGTGTGCCGTACCTGGTCGGCTGATCGATTTACTTATCGATTGCCTCAACTTTCTGCTCCCCTTACTGTCGAATAAACTCTTTACCCTTTTCAATCTTGCCCATCGCTCCTTGTCCTTTGCATCCCTGTCTTTGTCGTTGTCTTCGGCGCCCGGTGTATCCAAGCCGGAGTCGGCAACGGAACCTGGTGTCCTGATCGGTGTGTTGATGGATGCAGCAGTACCAGGTCTCTGGGGCGTGGCGGGTGCACCCACTGAACGTTGAGTGCGCGGTCGAACAGGCGAGCGTCCTTCATAGACGCTTCGAAGATGGGCTTCGTTGGCGAGTGTCTGCACCAATATCCTCCAACCTGGCAAATCCTGTCCAGGTCGACTTTGAGAATGTCCTTGCCTTTGGGTTTCTGGATTAGACCATGGGCAGAAGAAACGATGTTCTCTGGCTGGATCCAAGAAGTCCATGGGGGCAGGCACTATGATCTCTCCATCATCGGCCACTTCCTTGCTTTTGAACATCCAAAGTCCCAGGCGTCTGAGACATGTATGACAAGAGGCTGAGTTTGGTACTGCGCCAATCCGGGGGTTGTGCAGCCCTTGCCATCCCATCAGAGCAAGTGCCAAGGCGACGCGGTGTGGTTGAGCATCGGCCTCTTTCATGGGGGCTGGTTTGGTGAAGAAATCGCTAGGAAGTTGTAAAAGAACATTGTCCAGGCCCAGCTCATCGGGCAATCGAAGATTGAATTCGTATGGTAAGAATGCCTTTCTTGTTAACAGCTCATCGTACCGTTCGCGTAAAGCGGCCAGAGCCGTCTGAGCATTGGTCAAAGACAGACGCAGAATAGAATCTTTGGAACATGGTCAGCAAATCACAATAGCTCGGTTCACAAGAACATAAACTTACTGTCGCAGCCTCGTTTGCGCCAGAGACATTCATCCTGATGTGAAGTTACAATAAGGTCCGCATACTTATCGACCAGTGCCTCCTCTGTGAAGTCGTCAGTAAACAACCGACATCATACTCATGAAGAGCTTACCGATTTCGGACGACGCATATACCGAGGTCTCTTTACCATCCGCGTCCTTGCGATTAAGCTTGACTACCAGCTCACGGTGACAAAGTAGACAACGGACGGTTTCCTTGCCATGGCATACCCATCCGCGCTTCGCCCATTCCACCTCGTTCAATCTGTCCGGCTTTGGAGTCCAGCTCGTTATTTCTTGGAAAGTACCAAGCCGTTTGAGAAGGTCCCCTCGATCGGATGGCGCATATCGCACGGGAGGGGCATTGGAGGTTTTGGATGAGTCCTGGCCTTGGGTCCGTCGAGATACGATAGCAGATATGGTAGCGGATAGATTCGCCCTCTTGCCTAGCTTGGGTGCCGTAGAATCTGGGAAACCAAGTCGTCGTCGCTTCTGGAGTAGCTCGAGATCGGCGGCGCGAACTGTTGAGCCGGGAGAAGTAGTCGAGCCAGTTTCATGCGCTATCGTGTCATCGCCGGTTTTCGAAGTCGACGACCCAAGTCCCTGCAGTAAAGTATTGAATTTTCTCTTGGTTGCGTTGGTCGACATCTTTTGAAGACCCCAGAGCTGCCTGTCTCGAAGTGTTTGTACCGTTGAATGGGTATTTATTGGCGAGCCATAAGACAAGATCGAAATATCATGCGTCGAGTGTAGGAATGAATTATCTGGGTTTAGTCCTCAGTTGGTGTCGTGAGTTGACGTTACTATTGATCAATGAAGATAAGGAAATGAATGGTAATTATTGGCTGAAGTTTGTTTTGGTTGCGACGCTGAAATGGAATGAGCTGATGATGCACGGGTTTGGACGTCGCTATGGTACCAGAGGTGCAGGTACTAGGTATCGACGATTGAACTAGCAGCGCTGACAGGTATAGCTGTTAGTACTTTGTAGCAGAGCTATGGTGAGACTAATCAAGTAGTACTTTAGGCTCAGGGGTCATTTCGAAAGACACTTGCACTATTCGACAGGGCCCCTGCTAGTGCATGGAGACTACTCAGCGATAAGGATCGATAACAGCACGTGCCCCACCTATGATCCACCCGTCCACAGATTTTTTTTGTTAGCCAGTCTCTGACCGGCGCGAAGCCCAGCCCAAGAAATATTTCTGTCAGTCCTCGATAACAAGACACCTTCTTGCCTTTACAATTGCCTGAGTTTTTCACTGTGGCATTGGCATATGTCCGGCTCAAATCAAAGCCCTCCGTCGTGGCTATTCTCTAATAACCCCCTTAACCCTGTTAAACCTACAACTACCCCAAACAACATGGGCAAGAAGAGCACCAAGGCCGCCGCGGCCAAGAACGATGTCGCATCTGCGCCTCCGCCAGGCCAGCTCATGGATTTGGTAGAGACCTTCCTCTCTGACCACTCGTTCAAGAGCGCTGCCGACGCTTTCAAGAAACAGCGAGAGAAGAAGGGCTGGCAGGCGGCTGCTGCCACCGAAGACAGCCCTTCCCTTGTTAGTGTCTTCCAGACCTGGGAGGCTACCAATGGCGCCGACAGCAGCAAGCCCAAGAAGTCCTCCAAGAAGGCTTCGAGCGACGCCAAGGAGGAAGACGTCGACATGAAGGATGCTGAGTCGTCTTCTGAGAGCTCTAGCGAGAGCGAGGAGGAAGCTACCAAGTCTACACCTTCCAACAACCTCAAGCGCAAGGCCCCCACCGATAGTTCCTCCGAGTCTTCCTCAGAGTCCGACTCTGACTCTAGCTCTTCCGATTCTGAATCCGATTCCGGCAAGAAGCCTCAGGCCAAGAAGCAGAAGCGCGCCTCTTCCTCAAGCTCCAGCTCTTCTGAGTCCAGCGATTCCAGCGACTCTAGCGATAGCGACTCCAGCAGCGACTCCGACGACGAGAGTGCTGAGTCGGATTCAGACTCTGATTCTGATAGCTCTGACTCTAGCTCCGACTCCAGCTCTGATTCAAGCTCCGACTCCGACTCTGATTCCGACTCCAGCGATTCCGAGGGTAAGGCTGCTGCCAAGGTGCCGCTCCCCGACTCTGATGGTTCATCTTCCGACTCTGACTCCGACTCTTCGGACTCCGACTCCGACTCCGACAAGAAGGTTAAGAAGGAAAAGGTCAAGAAGGAGAAGGAGACCAAGGACTCTTCCGATTCTTCTGTTACATTAGACAAGACCTCACCCGAGTTCCAGTCAAACCTGCCAAACCCACCCCTGCCTCCGGAGCCTGTTGTCAATGGACGCAAGAAGCAGAACGAGCCCTTCTCTCGTATTCCCAAGAACATCAAGGTTGACCCCAAGTTCGCCTCCAACGAATACGTATCCATCAGTTACTCTCAGCGAGCCCATGAAGATCTGATTGTGACCAAGGGCAAAGGTTTCACCAAGGAGAAGAACAAGAAGAAGAGGGGCAGCTACCGTGGTGGTGCCATTGACATCGCCGACAAGAAGGGAATTTACTTCGATGATTAGAGGGCGTCTGTACTTGGGCTATTGCATCAAGGAATTGAAAACCGGAGTAAGATGAAGCATTTTTTGCGTTAATAGATAGCCGGCGTTTGGAACGTGACACGGTCACCTGCCAAAGATATATGGAACCATGATACGGCCTTTGGGGAAGAAAGGTGAATGATATTTAGACTTCGCTGTTCCAAAGATTCTTTTTAAATAAACTCATAAAAGTTCTGGGTATCTATCTGGGCATCATTAACCTGCTGTAAAAGATGGTAGTGTGTGCTTTATGGTACAATGCGTCTGGCCAATATGCAAAATATGCTGAACGATAATCAAGCACCCAAGTCCCGTTGAGTGAGACCCGATCACAAACGCTGTGCGTTTAGATCAGAATGTTGAGCCGTCCCTTTCTCTATCATGGCTCTGTCTCGTGACAGCCTTGGTCTGAACTTCAGTGGCCGGCGCATGCTGAGCCGCCTCATCAAAGTCCTCGTCGGCCGCAAGACTCTCCTTGACAATTACATCCTTCCTAGCCACCGAGTTCCACGATCTGTTTCCTTTCTTGGCATTCGCCAAAGCCTCCTTGAGCCACGTCTTCCACTGGTCTGTGCCGGGTGCTGCACCACTGGCGTTAACCCAGCCTGTTCGTTGAGTTTCGCGAATTGCATACCAAAGCGTTCGTGTAAAGCTAGGATATCCCTCGCGCTGGTCGTTCTCATCGGTGATTTGATGCGCATTCTTGGCATCATCAGGGGTAACATCTTCCCACTGATATCGTGAAAGATCCCAGAAGTAGGTACGTGGGATCATACCCAGACCCCAATAGAGTCCATTAAGGACAATGTAGCTGCCGCCGATGAATATCTGCGAGTTCCACGTGCAGTTACCGAAAAGAACGACGCTTAACATGAGCAGTGTCGTCCCGAGAGCCATAAGCAGTCTGTATGTTCGACCGCCAACATGGTAGTGACACTCTTCCGTGCCTGAGTACAGCTCTCGGGCAACCTCTTCGGTACACTTGATGAGAAGAAACGCCCCTTCTCGGGTTCGTATCATGACGTCGCCTCGGGGAACCTCGTTCGTATGTTTTCGGTTCATGAGAATGGGATGCCAGAACGAGGCATAGCCCACCACAGTTGAGGCAAAGGATATGAGAGATACGGACAAGATAGCGTTGCCGTCTTTCCATACCACAGCACATACTACGATGGCTATGCTCAAGAGACACGAAAAGACTGAGAGAATGTGGATTGGCGAGAAGAGCTTGGCCGGAACCGCAGGGCGCCTCTTGGTGTTGGCAAAAGTAGGGTTTGCAAGCATGTCCTGGACCTTCTGCTTAGCCGTAGGCCTGCGGACTATCATTTTAGGAGCATCTTCGTCTCCTGGGGATTGATCTGGTAGCTTGAAAGTCGTTGTACGTGCCGTAGGGGGCGAGTTTGCTTGTACGGGTAAAGGGAGGCCATCGTCTGTCTTGGGAGCTCGCGGAATACGACTGTCTTTCCCAGCTGTTTGACGGTCCTGGTTGTGGGAACTCGAACGTCTAGACTTTACCCAGTTGATACTTCGTGTAGACCAAGTTTCTTGGGCAGAAGGAGGGTTCATGTCAATTCCGCCAAAATGAGATGGGTCGGTATGTTTGATATCCAGAACGCGAAAGCTGAAAGGGTGAAGAGAGTCGAGAGGAGTGATGATAGTCGCAAAGAACCCTACGGAGTCGAGAGTAGTCCCACTATAGACGCCCGTCATCTTCGCAAGAGTCTCAGGCATTCGGCTTGGACGTGAAGGTTTGAGAAGGGCTTGAGGGGCTGGGATCAGTCGTGGAAGAAGACATAGTAAAGAAGCTGTGATGGTCTGAGTCTGTTCAGCCATAGACGATTCGCCGATGACGGCGAGAAGAGTCACAACATCGAGAGACCAGTTATCTTTGACGTTGGGAAACCATTTCCAACCTGGGCTGTCTGGGTCAGCCATGGATGTTGGTAATGTGCCGAGTGACAGGGGGATGATATGGAGATGCTGGGCGTATGTCTGCTAAATGATATAGCGCTGTAGTAAGAACAAAAGAACAATTCAAGGAAAAGCATGAATCATATACAAGAGTCAGGTCATCATCATAAGGGAACAGAGCAGAGTAGAGCAAGAAAAGGTTGGGCTTCAGGTTAATGGCTATTTAAGAAAGAACCCCTACAGTGGATCGTCCCCGTCTATTAAACGTCTTAGCTGCGCCACGGCGGCTGCACCCGTTCCCTAACCGCCCCGCGTCATCTCAGCTGAGCCTCCACTGTCTTTGAAGCCTATTCTAGTTACAGGCTGCAGATCATTCAGTTGCCTCTTTTCTTTCCCTTTCTCTCTCATACGTTCGTTCACTGATAACAAGTTAAGAAAACATGTTTTCACCAACGGATCATTGAAGCATTCCCTTTGTCGAGCTAACCTTAATCGACGTTCACTCTTCTCAGGCTATCGCATGCATGGTATAAGTCAAAACTGGCAGCAATGAAGACACATGATCAGGCTGGCTCTTTGTTCACGATAATGAGGCTGTGTAGTGACGTCTCATGTCTGTGCAAGAGCCCAGCTGCGATGTCTTTGTCATGTATATTCATGTCGTACAACTTACACAAACAAAAGAGACTGCTGGTAACCAAAGGATTGCAAAATTATTGATGGCTATGCGCGTGAAATACAGGGTATATATCTAATTCTTGACAGATCACAACTAAGCCTCTCCTTTCTTCATTCATTTATCACAGATAGTTGTGAAAGCCAAATTTCTGTTGTTGCAATGATAGCTTCGAAACCATCACCCACCATCACCGTCTTCTTTCCGTTCGCCAAACTCCTGATACGCTTTAAAATAGCAGACTGCATGCCAAAATTCCTCAGAAACGATCACTTTTGCTGTTGGAAGTTAAAGGTGGCTCTCTTCAGATCCATATGCCTCAACCACCCATTCAACGAACTGCTCCCATTTCTGCTCCCAATCACGGACCACTGCAGGTCGCTCAGAGTCTGAAAGGCAAGCGTGTTCGAGACTCCATAGAGCGAGCTGTTTCCAACCAAACAGTCCCATGTCAGCCTTGCCAACCATGACCTGGTAAAAGTCGTGAGATAAAGAGGACCTGTTTGGCTTAGTTAGTAATCTGCAAGGATTCCGATGTTTTCGCCATCTTACCTGAATAGTGTCCCATTGTCTGAGCTCACTGTGCAGTGGACGTTGTTAGCAAGAAGCTGATACATAGCATGTCCACTGACACGTGGTGTAAGCCCAAGGATCTCGTTGGAGATAGGACAGAGTTCAAGGCAAATACCGCGCTCTTTCATGTGTTGCATTATATAAGGATGCTTGGCAAGTGCAAACCCGTGTCCGATTCTCTTTGACTTCAAGAGGAGTGCGTCAACGAGATTCCCGTCAGTATCGGTTCCCATATCTAGTGTCTCACCACAGTGGAATAGAAATGGGATGTCCACACCATCGTTCGCGCAATTGTCCTGGAACTTCAATAGTTCAGGGATAAAGTCCCTGATGGGACGTCCCTTCGACTCTTCCCCAACAAGGTCAAACCCTACGCTGCAGTCAGTAGTAGGTCTTAGAACAAACAAGACAAAAGTCACGTACCAGCAATCCATTCTGGCCATAGCTTCTTGAAGACCAGGCACTCTGTAAGAGCAGCCTCAATCTTTGCTGGCTCAAATGACCGAGGTGTGCAGTAGATTACCTTAAGGCCCCCAAAAAATCTCCCTTGCTTTTTCATGTCGGTTTGGAAGTTTTGCACTTCCTCAATGATCAACTTCATAATCCCCTTATTATCGATAAGCTGTGTCCCATCATCACTCCACAGCTGATTGCTGGTCATGAAGTTGGGTCGGATTTCAGCATAGCTGATGTTGTCCTTCATGAAGTCCTCCAAACATAGACGGGTATATCTTCGATATGCAGTCGCATAGTTGAAGAGACCCTTCATCATACGCGTCCGCCCGTTAAACTTCTCCCAGGCACTTTGCGATGTTAGTATATCCACCCTGCGGGAAAGATGAAGGACTTACCCAGATGCGGTCTGCAAATGGTTGTGGGCTTCCTCTTCATCAAACATAAGCTTTTCTAATAACCACTCGTCAACACCTGTAGAATCTTTTTTGTAGTAGCCTGGGAATTCATCGAGAAAATCTCGAAATCGCATGGTTTGCCGGGGCTTATATCCGTAAGAGAAGAGGTCGCCCGGTGTCTCCTTCTCGGGGCTCAACAGAGAGAATTGGATCTCACATCGATCAAAGTTTATGTGGTTGTTATCCGCGACGAGGGGTACATCGCTGCTGACGAACATGCGGTTCATCTCCTTGGCTAGATTCAGCAAGACCTGCGGGGCAAGGCAGGCGTTGAAATGAATGTGCAAATGGCCGCCCTTGGGCATCCGTTGTGCCACCTTGAATAGACTCGTCTGATCGATAAGGTCTTTGTTAGAGAGGAAGTGGTCCCCCGCGAACCGAGGATGTTGCTGGCCACCGTAGCCTGTTCTCGGGGCAGCTTGGCCGTAGACACTCTCATCGTCCTTGCGCCTCAGCTTCTGAATAATAGCGTCTGCTCGTCTTTCCTCAGACGTACTGCGCATGCGACAATTATGGTCAAAGTCCAAAGCTTTCTCGCGTGCTACAAACTTTTGCCGTAACCTGAAGTAATCCCCGACGGGCCCGGACTCTTCTGTGACTGCGGAGGACTCTGATTTCTCGGTGATAACTTCTCGCCCCGCGATTTCGGCATCGTGGGCCTGGATATGATTCCGCGCAGCCGCGGCAGCGTCTAGTGAAGGCTCCTGTACCCTCATCCGAGCGTTTTTGGTCTGATGTGTTCTGCGATGCGATAGACGAGTCATGAAGTCGTTATGTAAACTTTCTTTCCTATCGTTCTGGTGCTGATATTCTCGATTATGTTGCTGACGAGTATCCTTGGTTTCATCCACCAACAGCTCTGATCTGGAGCAGAGTGCGCCCATTTATGTTGAAGCAGCTAATCGCTGTTATTGACTTTGAAAGTTGAATTAATCTGGGAGGGAACAAAGATTGAGTCAAAGACCATGGAGGCGCAGTCATTCAAAGCTCGTCTAAGAGAGTTGAGGCTGTTTGCGGTGAATGACTCCAACCTAATAAAGCGCGGCTCACAAGCCAGAGCCAGGTGATGGTCATGAGTTAGCCAAGGGTGGGCGGGGAACAATCACAATGACCAGCACAGAGATGATACTGGTGTTGCGCTGCGCTGCACTGCTTCGCCGAGCAGGTGCTGGGTCTGGACAGTTGACAAAGAACTCGAGGCCTTGTCTCGTGAGACCCCGGCAGGGTAATTGGTATAGTTCTCAAAGTAGATTATCCTCAGACAGTCTCAGTCAGCTCAGACTCGAGTGTTTTGTTGGTTCTGACAAAGATGGCAGCGTTTCATTTGATTCGGCTTTATTCAATCAATGTACGATTTGTTGTTGTTAGTTTACAAGAGTAGAAAGTCCGCGCATCGCTAAGTCGAGGCAGTGCGCCTAAGACGTCTTGGTGCAGGTGGTCTCTCACTGCACCGCACCTGCCTGACTAAGGTATAGTAGGTACCTAGTAGGGCATTTAGGACTTAAGCTGTTGATAAGGCTGAAAGGCAACCCCAAAGTACCTGATTTTCTCAAAGAACCAGTACAAGGGAGATCAGGTACAGAGTTGGCTTCTGCAAGCGCTGGTTCGTTACATTTTGAGTGATTGCAGCGACTTGATGGCTGGTCAAGGGTGCGCCAGTCTAACCTATTTAGGCTTCAAGTAGCAGGCCCAGGCGCTTAACAAAAGCCTCTACTTTAGGTAGTAGTAGTACTGTAGGTAGCCCACATTCATCTCACGTCACTTGTCATGGAAGGCAGGCAGTGAAATAGGCAGAAAAGCCTCACAAGGCTTCTCTATTTGTTAAAACTTCATCATTCTTTATCCAGTTCTTTGAGTCCCAGGGCTATGGTTCGATCCAAATCTTAAATGGTATTACAAAAAGGTTGCCAAATAGCCTGATGCCCCTGCCCTGAGCCTATCGTCAATACATTATACACTTGCTAAATCGTTATGTCGTTCGGCCATATTACAAATATGCGCAAGCTCATATAGGAGGCTTCCCCAGTTTATGAGAATCTGCTCGGGGTATACTAAGATTGACTCAAAACGATGGCCAGCTTGACCGATTTGTCGATATCTTTCGGTCTTACGCCCGGCGTCCGACCCAGGCATACTGCCCTACTCGTTATTTCTATCCAACGTTAGTATTGAACTCAGGAAACGTGAATCGACACCATGAAACTCACCGGCTACTAAACGGTTAACATCCACCGTAACTTTGGTCTTCAGCCAACTGGAACCCGACGTCCATTCTCGCGGAAAGAATGTTGTATCTACGAACGACCCCAGTCCTTGGCTGTATTGTCCGCCGTTTGTAGGCTCAAATTGAGATATGAGCCCTGCCATATCAGGACCCAGTGTCGGTGCCATAAGCGGGGCTGGTATTGTAGGTGAAGTAGTGTTGGCAATGCTGGTAGGTATCGTGCTTTGCCACATGTCAGGTATATTTGCTGCAGATTGTTGGTGTGGCATGTAGAGTCCTTGGCCAGAAACAGGTGACTGATGTCCTCCGAAAAAGCTATTACTCGTTCCAAAACCTGAAAGGTCCGTTGGCTCATCAAGTGAGGTCAGGTCGATTTCGGCATCGATAAAGTCCACGTTGGCAGGAATCACGATACCCCTTTGGCGCAAATATTTCTCCACCTCATCAGCATCAAAGAAGTCTCCCTCAAACCCCTTGTACATCATTCGCATGCGCTCATCAATGCGATCTCCTCTCGTGGTTTCCACGTCCACATCGAATGGCCCCATTGAGAAACCGGTCATTTCTGGCGGCTTCATAGTTTGAGCCAAACCTTGGTTACCCAGATGCAGCGTACTTCCGTTAACGTTAGTACCCTCTGAAGGGTAACTCCCAGTGCCTTCGTTATCGGGGAAAAATGTCCCGGCGCCACCAAGGTTTGTGAAAGGATATTTCCACACAAAGAGCGACTCCTGGCTGACCTTGGCCAAGGTGGTGGACATGCGCCGGATTATAGACTCTCTGGGCTCAAAGAGTAGACAGAAGCCAAAAACTTGCGCGTAGCGATGAGGCGGTGGATTAGGCATCGACACTAATCGGAGGCCTGCCTCTAATGATGCTCTTTGAAGACGACGACCGAAACTCCTCTCTTGAGGTGAATAAGAGGGCGGTGAAGGAACAGCAGGAAATGGTGACTGAAGAAAAGGGTTCTGCTCCAAGGTAATCGTTGTCTGTGTATCGTAAACTGGAAAGCTCGCGTTGTCTGTTGTCGGCATCGTGATGATTTCATAAGGTAGATTCAGGGGAGGAGTAGCCTGTTGCCGTATTTGTCCATCCACTCCTTGCGGAGTCGCTTGGTGCTTCTCATGGGAAATTGAATCAGATGCTGGAGGGTTTAGTGTGTAGGAATCATCATTTGGTGAGCTCGAAGTTCCAGAACTTTGTGCTGATGTACGTCTCTCTGGGGGTTGGGTCGCATCTCCATCTTGCACTTGAGCGTGGACTGGAGCACCACCAGAATCATCTCTGTTTGAATCATCGGCAGATTTGCGTGTGAGAGAAAGGAACTTTCGTGTTGTATCATTCAGTCGACGTGCCACCTCCGGCGCTCCTTGAAGCATTCCCTGTGAAAGAACAAAGTCAAAGAAATTCATGAATTCTTTGCTCATATTCTCATTGGCATCCTCAAGGTCTTTGACTTTGTCCTCAAGAGTGGTAATTGCAGTGTCTTTGCGATTACGATACGCTCGTTGAGCCAGTCGAATCTGGGTTCGACGACGCTACACAGTATTAGCAAATCAGATCCAAGCGAATAAGAAAACTGAGGTGCAATTGAACTCACATCTTGGGCTGTCTCATCTCGGGTATCAAGACGTGGTCGGCCTCTCGAACGTTTCTTACCCCTGTCTTCGTCATTCTCTTCGGGTGCCTTGGATCGTTTCCGCGACGGAAGTGATTCTGGAGCGGTCTGGGGTGCTTCGAGCATTGTGATGAGATGCGGTAAGGGCAGAACGGAAATGTGCAAATCAATCAAGTCCCGACTTCTTGAGCCAATGTGAGTTTCCAAGGCCGCCCATCAGGAGCTGACGCGTTGCAACCTGGTTGTCCTTCAGGACAGACTGCTTGATGCTCTTTGGTCTTTCCAAGTCTTGAAATTATCAAAACGCTGTTGCTAGAAAAGGCTGCGTTTTCCCGGTGAGGCCGGATCAAGAGCTCTGGGCCTCCGGTTCTGTTCCGTATGCCGGGTGGGGTGGTACGGAGCTCACGGGGCCTGAAACGGAGATGAGGAACGAGTGAGAGTGATGCCAAAGGGGTCAGCGGCGGATGATTATGTGTAGGATGTTGATTTGGTGGTTGAAGTTGAAGGAGAGATGAGATGTACCGTGTTGACTGGGATCTGAAATGCCGATCGAAGTCGGACTGCCTAGCGGCTAGCGCTTAATTTAGCCATGATCAATCAAGATTAGCAGCTCGACTGAATCAGGAACCAGGGACTCGAATTTGTACTGTACAGTCAAGGTATGGTCCCATCCTGTGAAGAATACCTAGTCCCCATTAGACTCTTGCAGCGTCTCATCACTCCTTTCCATAGTATGATTCGGGAATTCGATGGCTTTTCCCCTACAATCGTGCGTCTCCTGTCAAACTCCCTAGAGAAATTAGTTACATCGCTAACGTTCGGTCGAGGGGAGGCTTAGCAATAGATCATGGATGGCTGAGCTTTAACCAGTTAGCGGGTTCCAGCGGACCGGGGCGAGGATTGACCCACTGAAGAGGCAGTGTCAGATCCATGCGGGGATGGATCGAGTCTGGGCAGGAACCACTCCATGAACAATACGTTCGATCGATATAAGACAAAGTAAAACAGCAAAACTCTGGAATGACAAGCAAAGCATAACAGAATACATTAATAATGAAGACAAAAGAGCCTGGAAAGAGTTATACCACCTCTATTCTCAGTCAAAACCATTGAGTCTGTTCTAGCTGCAGGGTAATAATTATCCTTAGATAGTAGGTACTAGGTAGGTGCTATACCTCCAATCCGGACCCTGGTAGGACCACCTCGAAATGGATGTCACTGCCACTTTTGCGACAGACCATCCCGTCTTGATTTCTCCCCCACCAAGAGAACAACTTTATTCTTATGGATATCGTCTCGCAGCTTCCTCTCCTGTTTCTTTTCTTTTCCCCAGCGTCTTACCGAAGTGTGCCCCCAGCTATCTCAACCGGCTGGTTCTCAAGGAAGAGTTTGTCAATTAGGTACTACAAGTTCGTCATTCTTGGTCGCAACATTCGACTCCGCAGCATTATGTCTCGTGTCTCAGCTTGATCTCGCCACGATTACGAACCGCTGCTACTGCCCATCAACACCACTTGTTTGCCTTCTAGTATCACTCAGGATGAGTGACTGGGCTAGAGGATGGACGAGAGTTGGGCAAACAAGCTCGACCCAGCACTATGGTCGCATGTGGGAGGCCGAGCGCGAACTCCAGGAACTGAGCATAATCGATAGTTGGAACGAGGATGACAGCTGGCCTGGCATGTAAGTTCCTCACAATCATCCATTGCAGGCTGCTCTTGCTCCAGTTGCTGATCGGCCGTTGCACAGAAATAAGCCGCTGTTCGACGGTCCTGATGCGAAACGCTTCGATACGAAACTTGCTAAACTCGAAGACCTCGGATACGGCGCATTCGGTCGCGTCGAAAAGGTTTCATATGGATCTGTCTGTCTTGCGCGCAAGAGGATTTCACGTCGTCGCGGTTTTACAATTGATGATTTGCGCAAGGAGAGCTTGACTATGCAGAAGCTTGAACATCGACATGTTGTTAAACTGGTTGCGACATATGCACCCCGAACTCACGAACTGTGTCTGCTTATCTGGCCTGCAGCCATCTGCAACTTGAGTACGCTTCTCGAAGACCTAGAATGCCTGCGCCTGGGCGAAGGGGACCGTGAGGATATCATTGAGAGGCTTGACGCTCTGGACATCAAGGATTTGAGCGCCATAGAGCCCTCTTCCGAAGATCAGATTCTACATTCCGTGACCAAATGCCCATTAGAGTTCTTACGGAACGCAATTGGCTGTATCGCTCGTGCGATGGCTTACTGCCACCAAAACGATGTGAGGCACCTCGACATTAAACCATCCAACATCCTGCTGAAGGCAGACCGTGTATACCTCGCCGATTTTGGTGTCTCGAGAGACGTTAGCGGACAGGACCAAACAATGACAGAGGGTGTGCCAGGAACCGAGAGATGGCGTGCACCCGAACTCTACGCCGATAATGGATCCAGCATGCAGTTGTCAGATATTTACTCGCTAGGTCTTGTCTTTCTCAACATCGCAACAGTCCTTTACGATATCCGCTTAGCCGAATTTGACGAGGTTTTAAAATATCCGCCGCGAAACACCCAAGAGGAACAACTTTATGAGCGAGAAAAGAAGCTGAATGCCCACCTCGAAAAGCTCACCTCTCATGCTTTGGTCACGCCCCCTTTTATGTTTACCTGCGAAGGCCAAGAGACGGTCCGGCCCAGGCCGCTTGTTAATCTGATTGCTAGAATGATCACACCAAACCCAAAGAACCGCCTACATGCATATAAGATCGATGACAAATTATCCATGCTCGGAGGCATTCATCAAATATACCATGGCGAATGCTGCAAAAGACCGATCTCTTGGGTCGAGGACAAATGGGACAAGAAAATTACGGCACTAACAAGTCTTCGCAAGGAGAATGATCGTTTGAAACAAAAGATCAACGAACTGGAAGGGCGGGATAGGACATATGAACTTCGACTCGAACACGAGCGCAAAGGCCATGAGCAGGCCGTTTCCGCTCTCCAGAAGAAGTTGAAGGATATGGAAGAAAGGTGCCGTACACTGGAAGGAGGGAATTCCCATCGAAAGAGTAGTATTGGTCGGATTCCAGGAAGAATGGCAACACCACGAACTTACCGAACGAGCACAACCTCATTAGATTCCGGTCCTGGGCTTGAATCTTCACCTAAATCAAAGTCCACTCCCACGACTCCAGCACCGAGACCATCTTTTCAGCCTTGGTCACGTTCCTCCCAACGCCTTCCGCTCGAACAGAAAGCGTCACCGCTTCAGCGACAGGCTGTCTCCCCGCGGCCCCCCAATGACACAACCCCCAGAGGGTCGACGGAATTTCCAAGCTCGCGATCGCCAAGTTTCACAAACATCGCAGGCTATACTTTGCGATCTCGTGGGTCCGGGTCTAGACTTCCCCTACCAGTGACACCTTCTCGTAGTGAGACGCCAAACCTCAACCGCGATCAGAGCTTGACAGATAGCAGCATGTCATCATCAGTGTTCTCTCGACATAGCATTGAGACAACTCCAACACCTTTACAGAGTAGTCCAGCCTTGGACCGCAACCCCCTAGTCTTGGATTCTGAAAAGATGCCCAGTTGGGGCCAACTTCCTAAGCAATCTCCCCAACTTGATGGCATAGCGATCGCCCCTGAACCGAGTAGCCCAGCCTTCCCAGTGTCATTGTCCGCCATGTCCTCACCGAGGACACTTCGATCAGAACTTGCTAGCAATGACGGAGATCAGACACGTCGCCCGTCTGTGCCTTCACTCCAATCATTACGAAGCTGGGCTGAAGTAGCGAACGAAGGAAAAAATACGTTGAAGATGATTACTCGACCACGAGCCCATTCAAACAGGTCTAACGGGCCTGTTCAGGGAGGGCCTGTTTGAGTACGCATGCATATCGCGGTCCCTTTTGAGAATCATATAAGCCGACGGCCGTAATAAAATCGGGTCGTCAGCATATGACTTCGAGCATCTTGTTTTACATACCATTATTATGATATATGAAGTCACCAAAAGTTGAACAAGGGTAGTGATGCCCGATCTATCTGTTCTATATATACTATACATGTTTGTCATCAACTCCGTTATATAATGCACTGGGTATTTTTTGATAAGACGAAATCATCTCTCGTGTAGCAGTGCCCTTACCAAATGCCTGAAATGTTACACGGAATAGGGCCAACCTTACCATAGATAATGTCATTTCTCATAGGAAATGCTTCTTTGCTTCCCTTTCACCAAAAAGTTCTTTAAGCATCTTGTTTTGCCTCGCTTGGCCCCGTCCAAGCTCTTGTCTTTCCATTTTCTTCACCGTTGTCATCCATCTCTTAGACATGAAAGGATCTTGGAGTAAGTCTTCTTCTAGGTTCTCTTTCCTCCCTTGTTCCATTTCAGCCTGCTTCTGTCGGTACTCTGTAAGAATCTGGTCAAGTGTTTCTTTAGCGACCTGAGGATCAGTTGACCGTACGCCATTCTGCTTTTCTTCCTTGGCCAGTGCCCTCTCTTCACCCAAAAGCTTAGATAATGCCGCAGAGCGGGCTATCCAATCTTCATTGATCTTTGCGAGTTTCAGCTCCCACCAGGCTTTAGACAAGGTAGTAGAGAAACGGAATGATTCCAAAGGATTTTCCTGTCTTTCACCAACTGTATCGTCTTTTCCATCCAGCATTCGATCCATGATGCCATCCCAAAGATCTTCAGAAGTAGCCTCATGGGCAAGCTTGTTGTCCACGGTTTTGGTGGCAGCAATACATTGTCTGAATAGTGCTGTCTTATCTCCTATCGATCGAGAGAGTGGTGGCGGTTGGGGTTTCTTGATTCGTATGAATGATAGGTGTTCGGCAGTGTCGCCAAACACAGGCACCTTGCGCTCGCCCACGAATGCGGTTTTGGGAAGAGGTCGCACAGTTGGTTTGTATTCCGGAATTTGGTTGGGGCCAGAGACTTTAGTGAGAAGAGGAGGATTACGGCGTTCTTTGGAAAGGGGGGTATCTTGATTGGATGGTATTATGGCGCGAGAGAGGTCGGCTGTTTTGTTACGACTTTTCAAATGGTGGACTATCTCGGAGTGCTCCCATGTGCTTTTGCTTTGACCTTTGGTCAGTATAGCAAGGAACTGGGAAGTTGTTAATCCATGTTCAAGAGCCTTGGTTTTGGAAGGTTCACACCTTGTATCCTGCAGTCATAGAGTCATAGACAAGCCTCAAGCTGGTGAGTGGCTTGTTCTTTTTAAACCTCGCCCTCAAGATATTTTCAGTGGGATGTTTACGTCCCTTGGGATGAAGATGCTCGGGCAGAGGAACACTGGACCCTGCCCGCAAAAGCGCTCGATAGAGCGCCAGCACGGCGACTCTATGTTGCGAGTTGCGCGCGGGAACAAAAGGTTGGCGAAGCATAGTGGGCAGACACTTTCGCTACGATTGTCGCATTTTGGCGTTGGTGTTTTGGTCTGCGATTGGGGATCTTTAGTGGGGGGATTTTGCAGCTTTGAAGTCGGATGACTAAGGATTACCCCGGATTTTGAAGATCCATGGCATTTGAAATGGTGGTTGCAGGCATTTTGATAACGATAAGCCTCGTCCTGTGCTTACCTAGGTGCCTAGGTAGGTATCAGCAGCGTGACTTGAACTCACATTGCCTTGTTTTGGACGAGCATCAAAGCTACAGATAATATTTGCCCCTATGGATAGCTCTACTAACCCATGTTGATCAAGTTGGTTTACGTTGCGCGAGACAACTGACTGCAAGATCCACCTCTTTAGAAGCAAACACATTCTCCGAGACTCCCGTGATGGCGATCCTAGAGGTACAGTATGTGTGGAACTGGGAAGCATTTGATTAGTCTGTATCGATAATCTCACGTCAAAACCGACACATCCGGACTGGAAGACCCAGTTGCTATATAAATCGGACAAGTCAGAATTACCGATGACCGAGACCTGGCTCGGCATTTGTCAGATGAGATGTGCAGCCGCGCGCTTGTTATGTGTTATGTTTTGGAATTACATTACTTCAGCAGTACCAGTACATATGTACTTCCAGACTGTCATGACGCTGATCTGACGGCACACCTGGCCTTCTAGACAACAATGTTTGGCTTATATAATGTTTTAGAGCTCCAAATATTGAAGTCTAATTTCTCACAAGCAGGAACCAGGTGACGTAGATGTAATTATTTGGTGTACAACCAGTCACTTTCCGGAGAATGCGAGCATAGAAATAGTCAAGAAACGGTCAAGCCATAAACTCTTCGAGTGGTGAGGCTGAAAAACAGATATCAATTGCTACAGTACAGTTCAATATGTCCTAACAAAAGACCAATAACATGATGAAGCAGATCATCAAAACCGGCCCTCGTTGCTGTCAACTGGCCACTGGTTCGTTTCGGTACCGGAGAAGCGGTCTGCTTCTGAGTTGGCCATATGGATGCAGGTATGTATGCTTGGTATATGCACGATCTTATCCTTGTCAACTGCATTGCAGTATTACTGCAGGTAAAAAGCTTTTTGTCTGATCTTCGCCGTTATCCGTTATGAATGTGACTTTGATAAGACCATATGTTTTGATACATGGCTGGAACGGCGACGGTTGAAACATAACATAACACTAGAATGTATTGTATGTAAGACAACTCGAAATCGGACTGTTGTGAGACGCGAGACTGATGAAGGTCTTGTTATCGCATCCAGGTTCCCCGCTAACCGTCGCAGCAATTGCCAGCAGCTTGTCCGTCGATCTCACTGCACCTGCAGCCATTAGGAACGGGCTGCAACCCCCGCGGACAAGTCCTGACCGCAAGAGAAAAGCCAAAAGCCGGGTGTTAGCGAGCACTCCCGGTGATGGATGGTAGCTAAGCCGTTAACGTACGGCATTGCACGCGAGAGTTTTAAGTTAGCCTTATACGGATAGGTACGTACTGTACTTGTCACGGGCCTCCATCAGTTGTTTGCATGTCTCGTCTCATTAAACTCGATTGGCTACCAGCCTTTCTCGTGTTCGGGTTTGATCTAATTCGAGCTCAGCTCAGCTTAGACCAATAAACTATGGTACGGGAGGGACCGCAGCTTGTAACATGGATGAGAGTACTGTAACAGTAATAACAGCCTTGGGAATCACCTCATGGTAGAAATTGCGTGCAACCTTTCAAGAGCTTGTTTGAATTCTGTGCAGCACGACACGACAAGGAAAACTGGGCTGAAATAAGCGGGCTATAACAGGCTTTTACAGCAAAGTAACTTCTCGCTTGAGCGAGGCTCCGTCTAATAATGGATATCGAGCGTGTCCACGAACATGGGTAAAGGGCCAGTCCCCACTGCACTAACATCGAAGACGAACTGGAAGACACGGGAGAAGAGAAGAAAAAAAAAATTCATCCCATATGGATCCATGTCATGCCGTGCTTTTAGAGTCTGGGTCACTTACATATTTGGCGAGGCTGGTCTTAACGGCTCTTAATATACTGACATCGTGATGGATACAGAGACAAGACCGTGACCAGGTGACACGACATGATCGAGTTTGACCAGCACGCGACAACGACGTAAGAGAGTAAAAATGTCCAGCGATAAGCAAAACAATGCCGTGGTACAGAACACAGTATAGCACGATCAACAGAACTTGGCACCAGAATAGGAAATAACCTGGGGAACAAGTCCAGCCCAGTTGGTACTGTACAGTACTGAGTTGATTTGAGTTGATGGGAGCCCAAGGTACCGGTACACAAAAAAAGCAAAAAACAGGGCCTAGAGGTAGGTAAGATCAGCCTCAGACAACGAGACATCTCGAGACAATAAAGTAGACAGGATTAACCAGTAACAGTTTATGGTGCTACTGTAACTAATATTCCAGGCTGCCGATCCATCAACTTTCAGGGCGGCCTCATCTCAATCATCTTACCACACTTTGTCTCCTTTCCCTCCTTTCTTCTTTCTTCTTTCCCCTTATGCTACTTCCTTTCCAGCTTCGTTTCTTTTCTTTTCCTCTCCTCTTCCCAACCTCGCGATAATTCGGTTTCAACTCAACAATTTTTTCCTTCGATCCTTCTCATATATGAACTAAGACGTAAGTGTCTTCGCTTCTCCTTATCCCCTGTCCCTCGCGTGTCGCTCCCGGTGCCCGCTCTTGGAAAACCCCTGGTCATCTCTTGATTAGCGGATGGAGTTTTGCTGCATCGTTGAGCTGTGCCTGAGGAGCTTGACCGCCCTATCCTTGGCTTCGCCGTCTCGATTTTCTATGGCCATCTATGAAATGTCATGTCATCAAAGTCATGGAAAAACCGGACGAGCTACGGGAGACTAGCTATTGCTTACCCCAGCTTGCCTTCAACCCCCTGCTTCTATCATCTGCTCATGCTCATGCTCATGGCTTCGAGAACTCATGTATAACCCCGAGCATCCTCCACCGCTCCTGGAAAACCCTTGTTCTCTTGACCTTGACCGTCTAATCCATCTTTACTTGACTTTACCCTAATGCATAAGCCCATAACCCATCGCACATAACGCCTTACAGCTCTGCATCACTCAACATTATTCTCTCGCCCATATTTTACAGTGACCGCTTTATTCAAAGCTGATTAGGAACCCTCTCAGAACACACGCGACCAGTTTTCAATCAATTCAAACAAGTTTGCGCGTCTCGTCTGTCTATCTTGTCCATACCAACTTCTCTCGACATTGCCTTCCCCAGGTACACATGCTATACTCGACTGGACTACAACTCGCCTAGCGATACAAGTAACTTATGATCTCCTCGATATCCTGATCTTGATCCTCATATCTGCCGGTTTGTGTGTTGTCCAAGTGCTGGCTTCCACGGCGGGTCGATCCTGAACTCATCATCCCATCCCATCTCGCCTATCCTAGTCTCATCGGACCACAATTGCCCGGCTCAACATCCCGCCAGATCGGTTACTTTATTGCTTGATCACGTCCTGGACTTCAGCTGCGTATTCGGCTTCGACGACCACATAGATATATATCATATTCAGGACCTGCCTCGTTTCCGTTGGATTGCCATTGGTTGCCTCCGCCATCGATATTCTCCCAGCCCTATCCGACCTCGGGCTTAGCTGCCTATTTGTTCTTCTGTCCTCACAAAGAGCCAGCTGTTGCATGAGCTCGACAGACTAAATTTGGTCACAATGTTCCTGCACGCTGGTGCTAGTCTACACGGCCACGAGTACTCGACAAACCGGCCATCGACACAGGCAGGCCAAGGACCGCTGCCTTTCCTTCGCTCTGCGCTTCGACGTCAGTCCGATGGTGACAGAACTGCAAGGCCAATGTCTGCAGTTATCGCATCATCGCCATTGCCATCACCATCACCACAACCTCGCCCGGTGTCATATCATGAGAAGGTACCTTCAGTGACTACCGTGACACCGATACGCCGAACTTCTCGTCCTAGACCAGTGTCCGAGTACATGCCCCGGCGAGACTTATCTGTTCGCTTCCGCGACCCTGAAACCGACGACGAATTGCCTCCCTCAGAGGTCCAAAGTGAAGATGAAGGCTCAGCTGCCTGCTCAGATATTAGCGACCTAAGTGATTCTTCCACAACACCGCGAAGGAGAAGGAGAAAGCGCACTTTCAGAAAGTCGACCCAATTTCATCTCGCACACCCAGCTCCTAGACCAGGGGCCAGACAACGCAGGCTCGTCCAACGCCCAAGACTGCTTCTTCAACTTCAAGAACTGGGCGAGAAGCGTCCTATCCCTGCCTTCGATGTCGTCCCATCCAGCCTCATCACCGGTTCTCAGATCGTACCTCGAATGGCAAAGCGTTGCCCACATCTGTTCCGTACCAAGCCCACACTTGGCGCCAACGATCTCCTCATTGTCCGCAGCGAGGACTACGATACACCAGCATCCCCCGGATCCCTGGACGCGGAGGATTCCCTGGACCAAAGGGATGTTGTGGCTGTCATTAGTCCTCTTCCTCAAATGGGTGATGAGTCGGCTGAGATTGTGATGGAGGATGGATCAACATGGGAATCGAGCTTGATGCCCAATGGCTCATATGAATTTATCGGAGTTGACGAGCGAGGACGAATCAGTACGGCGCGATGGGTTAAGAAGACCTCGATGCCAACATCTCCCATGCCTAGCAGCTACGGCGAGCCAACGCCACCTTCCAGTCCACTACCGGCAGAAGTCAAGTGGACTTTCAGTATGATACACCCTGATACACGAAGACATCCTATCATGGGCTCCCTCATGTCGAGTACGCTGGACGTCTTCGATACCTATAACACCATGTCGACCTCAAGCGGTCGTTATCCTCCTACACGAAGCACACCGATAGACCCTAAACTTGCTAGCGACTGGATCGTTTCGAACCCACCCGAGATCCAATCGCGATTAACCAAAATGGTACCGAACGACATCAAGCTGTTGATGGTCGCAACTGCATCTTGGGTCAACCTTCGACAAAGCGGGTGGTCAGCGTCTGGAATTTGCAGGCCACCCACATTACAGAAACGCACACTTAGTAACGGCGGCCAGCAGAGAGCTCAAACGTTTCCTGTTCGGCCAAGCCTTCCTCTCTTCAACCCTTCTCATCAATTACCACACGTCAATACCAGTCCAGCTAGCAGTTCATTGGATAGCTCTTCGTCGGATATCCCTTGCCGTCGAAGGTCAGTATCCAACAATGTTGGATTCGTCAAGAGATTTGTGGCACCTCGTGTCAGTGAGGATGGTAGACCACCACTGGAGTCACTGAGTGTCAAGCCCGATAGGCCACCAACGAGACGTGTAAGCATTAGCATGCGACAGTTTGCGGACAAGATATTCCGAAGGAGAAGTAATTCTCACGCACAGGTTGAAGATACCTTCCATCCCAGATAGTGTACTGTTATTATACCCATGATATTTATTGTAATATAAATTTAGCGTGCTCTTTCAAGGGACTGTTTGTTCGACCACATGATATTCGTTCGCTTAGCTTTGTGTGAAAACTCCAATGGATCTTTATTTCCTTTCAAAACCCGACATCGATTCCCGTGAAGCACGGCGAAGTGGGGTCAGTTTAATCTTCCGAAATGGAAGTGCTTTCCGGAAGGCCCCGTAGATCTAGTGGAGACTCGAGGTGAATCGACCGGATCAAGAGATTGGCAGGAATGTTTACTGCGGAAGATCACTTCTGGACAGGAATCTGAAACCATGGATGTTACTAATGTCCATTACCACATTGGTACATGCAAAACTCGTTGTGCTTTGGAGCCCGTAACAAAGTGCTAGGCAGGGCCATGTACGCAGTCAAAGTGTGATAGTGAACATTAGTATTGAGGTTAGGCAGAGAAGGTTGCGTGTCTGGCAAACGGTCATCGGAGCGCGGGGAGATGTTTAAGGACACCGACCACACATGAGACATGGAGAGTGTAAGCATGCTCTATTCCTATACGTCGACGTAGATGACAACGTTGCCCCGCTGCCTTGAGAGGTATCGTATTCTAATGAGTACAGGTGATTAGGTACTCGGGTATGTTCACCTAGTGGTTTGGTTACGACTTCCTAAGCAGTACAGTAGCTGACTCGTTAGGCTGAAGTCTACGTCAGGTAATACTCGAGGTAACGCAGTATCACTTGCCCGCTGGAAGTCACCCTCATTCACTGCGGTAATGACCTTGAGTCTCTATTAAGTTAAAGGTAAACCAGTGAAGTGGAATCATCAAGCCACGAATGTAAGTAGCCGTTGCTAAGGAAAGCAACAATATCTAACTTGCACGTAATTAAATCCGAACGATTCAACGTTTACAGTCGCTCTCTATCAGGCTCTTTCAGAACAGTATAATCCTGGTGCTGTGATTGATATTCCAAGTTGGCAGTGACTCGGCCGCCGCAAACAAGGTCAATCATTTCTCAAATTGTTATAAAGTGATCACATTCGAGGGGGAAACAAGTTGACTGTGGCACCATAAACTTGGCTTCACATTTATCAAACGAATTGACAATTTTAACCTTTGAAACCCTCGATATCTAGGTGCTTACCTGATTAATGTAAGTGAGAGGTAGTAGATCCTACTGTCCTTTACAGTCAATTTTATCGATAAGACGCTAAAGAGGAGCAGCTACGGATAGGTACTGCTTGCTAGCTTGCCCCGGAATAAAACAGTGGACCCTGACCCTTAGCTGTGAGGTAAGGAAGGAGTAGGTGTGCCCGCCAGGCTCCTGCTGCTGGCATCATCCATTATCCATCATCACCCTGCGGTACGGTTGCTCAACCCAGCTCAGCCCAGCCCGCTTCATATCTTCCCAACTTCTCCCCTCTTCGACTTTTTCGCTTTTTTCACATTCGCGAATTACAGTATCTTGTTTATGGCCAGGTCGCCACAATCATCCCCCGCATTCTTGATTGCATACTTCTTTCTAACTCTAGAATAAGCAATAAGCTCAATGCGCACCCGCATCTTGTCGCCCCGCCTTGCGATTGAATAATCAATAAACGCTGAGCTTCCAGCAGCTATTCCCGCCCATCAGATAGCTGAACTGAGCAGCGTTGAACCTTGATTCAACACCACAATTTGGGCAACAGTCCGCGCCGCTATTCTCACAATCTATCATCATCAACAAACGCATCGTTCGAGCACTGGCAGCTGCGCCCGCGCACGCATCATCTGTCCATCATGGACGAAAACATTGGACCTCGTCCTTCGGGCCATGGTTCCATGCCAGCGACAGCTACCTCCAACTTGGTAGCCAACTTCCTACCATACGAGCCCATCTCACGAGCCACGTCTCCTGGCATTCCTTATCCCAAGACCGGTACCGACGACGACGACAAGAAACGCTATCGTCCCCGAACCTTCGCCTACTTTTCGCAGCTCCCATTCGAAGTGGAGGAGGAGGCTCAGCGGGATGTCGCTCTGCAGGGAATCCTCAAGCAGCTGTACATTGCTATCCGCGCCGAAGATTTCTCCCCGGGCGCTCTACATTGGACTAAGGAGCTCCAGGGATGGCTGAATCTCAAGTTTGAGATGACCCGGGAACAGAGAGCAAAGTTGACCAAGTTGTACTACTCCCTCGCACTGGCTCCAGGCTTGGATGCGACAGCTTCTGATCGTTTCTTGCGCATGGTCTTGACTCTCACGAGGTAAGTTCAGAAGTCAACCACTCAGCCGTAAACTCACACTTTACAGGAAAAACCATTATTTGAAACCCGGTGAAGATCTGGTTCTCGAATGGAGGCCCTTGTGGAACGAAATCAAGGCTTGGGTTCTTCCCTCTGAAGGGCCGCCCCATCAGAGCAACCGTAAACGTTCAGTCAAGCAACTCCTGAAGCTTTGCACCCATGCCCATACATATTTCGACCCCTCTGAGCGCCGGGCAATGTTGGAAGAGTTCTTACCATTCTTCAGTGTCAACGAGTTACCGAACGCATTCATTGTCGCGGGTGTCTTGAACACTTTGCTGCCAAGTCATCCTGCGCCCATCAATGAGCCTCAGTCACAGCCAGCTGATATCTTCCCTACACTCTTCCACTTATGGTCTATAATAAATAGATCCAAGGCTTTCGATATATTCTTTATCGACCTGCTCTCTCGTATCGCCAGAGACCACATAGCCTGCTCCTATGTGCCATTTGGCAGTCATGGTATCTTCTCCAAGGACCAGTCCGACCTCATCTTTACAGCTATTCTCAGACTCACACAAATTCCCGTGGGCCAGGCGAACTCACCATACACTCCCCTTGACTATCTTTCAGGGGTGGGCATCTACTTGGAGAAAGATAAGAAGAAATATCCTGTAGCATACATGATTTCTCGCCTGATCGTGAGTTCTCTATCTCCCGCTTGCTTGAAGGATGAAGACTCGATCATTTCCCATTTGGAAGGTTTTATGGAATCCATTGATACCTTCTTCCATCCTTCCAACCAGGGCTCGTGGACCACCATGCTTGGTCAATTGACACTTTACCTGACCGAAGCATTCGTTTCGCGATGGAATCGTGAGCAAAGTGGCGAATTGGATCTTCCAGAGGATCGCAAGATCAACGATGAGTTGAAGAAGCGCTTCGTAACGGCGCTCAAAGAAGTAACATTCATGGGGCTATTTTCCAAGAGCAGTCGCGTCTCCTATTACTACTACAGTGCTCTGCAAGGTCTCGCCTATCTAGAACCTGATCTGGTGCTACCAGGTGCCCTACAACGCTTTTATCCAAGTCTTCAAGGGTTGGTAGAAGTCCACAGAACCACATCAAGTTTGAACGGACTGCAGATGATCGCCAACATCATGTCTAAAAACAAGGGTTACAGATGCCACATCACCGCTCTTCTGGCACTCGCCCTCCCTGGTATTGACGCAAACGATCTCAACAAAACCCAATACACTCTCAACTTCATTCAAAGTGTTGCTTACAGCATTCCTATGGTGCCCTTGGTTAAGGAAGGTAGCCACATGCATAGTACCGCATTAGCTATGGAGTGGGTTCAAGGCCAGATGGATCGCATGGAGCGTGAAGGCCAGAATGTAAAGTTTGACTACAAGAACGAGCTTAGTGATGAAGACGAGGCCAACATCTTGAGATCCTCAACTACCGGGTTTGGCGAGTTCATCTTGACTTTCCTAGGAAAAGTGTTTACTCTCTTGGAGAACTTGCCTGACGCTAACCAAGTTCGAGGAGGAACTCCCGAAGACAACGTTATTAATGCTTTGCCAGCTGCACTATCGCCTATCTTTGCCTCGTTGTCACCGGAGCTCTTCGACATGGCCCTTGATAAGATTGCTACGTTCGTATCGAGCCATGTGGTTCATCAAGCACGAGATGCAATGGCGTGGATCTTGAATGCGCTCTGCAAAGTCAACCCCGAGAAAACCTTGAAGGTCTTCATTCCTATGTTGGTCGTCAACATCCGCAACGAAATTGACTACAATAACGCTGCATCTGACCGAAGTAGCGGAACAGACTACCTACCCAGAGATCGAGCCTTGGTCTGGTACGTCAGCATGCTCGCTATGTCCGTTGTACACGTTGGCAGTGAAGTACTGAAGTATAAAGACGAGCTTCTGGGTATTGCCAAATACATGCAAGAGAAGTGCCGCGGCTTGCCCACCATTCTGGTCTCCAATTATATTCATCATCTCCTCCTGAACTTGACCCATACCTACCCCATTGATCATGCTTTGTACGAGCCTGAGGTCATTGAACGTGGACTCGACGTTGATGATTGGGGAAAGACCACCGCGCCAGCCGACCTCAGCATTCGCTGGCACCAACCCTCGCCGGCTGAAATTGACTTTGCTGTTGAGCTGTTTGCATCCCAAACCGGATCTGCCAAAGATCAGCTTGAATCATTGATGAGCGACAATCCCCCTGTTAGCAGAACGGGCAAAAACAAGGAGTGGTCAGACGAGGTCTCTCGCCTTATGCAGCAAATCCGTCTTGTTACGTCCGGCATGGCGACTATGTTCGACCCTGAGCGCGCCGCGGGCATCATGACTGGCAACACCGACGAGGGTCATGATGTGGCGCGTGAGGATGATGATGAGATGATGATCGATGAGGACCCCCTTGCTGAAGTTGCTGAAGACGAAGAACTGCGCCCACAATTCCGCTACAAGGCAGGATATGCACTCAAGTCCAGTGATCCCGCGTATAGCCGGATTCATGATCTGCGAGAAGAACTAGGTCATCTCCTGACCAAAACTCACTCTTTTCTGAATGAAAACCAAGAAGATGATGTGAACTCGTTCACTGCCCTTTACGCTGCTTACCGTACTTGGATTACGGACGTCGGTATTGAGCGTTCTGCCCATCCTCTGGAAAGGCATGTACGACTATACAAGTCCGACATTGCTGCTTTCAAAATCAAGGGACTCAGGAAGGTTTATCCGCGCCCCCTTCTCATCAAGCGAGCCGAGGCATACCAGCTGTTGCGCCGTAAACACAATGCTTCTTCGAGGCAAAAGAGTGATCTGGACAAACGACTTCTACTTGATCTTGCTGAGTCCAGTCTCTCCCTTTATGCCGACGTACGACGAGTCGCACAGAGTGCTCAGGACTCATCTCTCAAATCGCTCATTGGCAGCAAGCCGCTGGTGATCCCTGTCATTCTCGAACGTCTCAAGAATGCACTTGAGACAAATGACCACGACCGAATCAAGGGCGGCATGTATACACTATTGTTCACGTCTCTATTGAGAACTCTTGTCAAGGATTGGCGATTTGCTCCTGAAGCTATGCGTTTGTACATCGAAACTGCAGGTATCGACAAGCCATCGATTCAAAATTTGGGTTCTTCGGCGCTCTATTCACTAATCGACTTTGGCAAGCCTTTTGAGCGAATGATCATCGTTAATGACGAGCTGGTTGACACCATCAAACCTGCCGCCGATGTGTCAGCGGCTATTGATGGTCGACATCAATTCATTCTGCAACGCCGAACCAGGGTAGAAAAGTCCAAGGCCGATCTAGGCTTGGAATTGACGCAGCGTGCTAAGGGCGCTCACTGGAAGATAGCCACTCGTTGTGCAGTCTTCGCTACTAACTTGTGTCTTCGTTTCCATTCGGTGGCCCCTCCTGAGTTTATCGATCTCGTCGCCCAAGGCGCGAACGACCCTCATCCTAGTCTTCGTGGATACTACTTGAGTGCTTTCACGTCTGTCTTTACGGCAGTGGACATGCGAGCAGTCTATGGCCACGACTACCGCAACTATCTTCTTGAGAAGGAGGTGGGTCAGGGCAACCGCATCAAGATTGACGTCGAGAAAGGCGACACTGAATTCACCAACAACTTCTTGGAAGCGTTCAAGCATCATGAGGGGGCTTCATACATGGTCGATGCTGACCATCCTGGTTGGCTCGTCTGGGGTAAGAAATTCTCGGCTTACCGCGCAAAGCCTCTCCCTTTCAACCCCTATGACGAGACCGAAAACGCTTTGCGCGACCAGATGGGCCAGATCCTCAATCGCGACTGGCTATCTCAGTGCTTCGATTATCTGAAACAAGAACCACGAGATGCGACGTTGGACCGATTCCGCATGAGCAACGTGTATCTTTTGATGCACGTTTTCGACTTGATGCATTATGGGAAAACAGTCATCACACTTGATGATGTCAAGGAACTGGTCAAGGACGTCTTTGGCGATGGCAATGACAAGCATCAGCACAGAGCGACATCAGAAATCATCGGTGCTCTGCTCGCAGGCTCTAGCGATGATCCGCCAGAAATTCGCAACCGAGTCTGGGAGTATGCTGCGCCTTTTATGCTCAAAATCTTTGCAGACGATTTGACACCTGATAACTTGCAGTACTGGTTGACATGTCTTCACCTCATCCTCGACACCAAGGACCCTCGTCGATCGCATGAGATCATCGACACTCTCAGAGCATTCCGACTGGATATGACGTCTAATGCAGCATTTAAAGAGTCGTCAAAGGTGCAACTACTTGAGTTTATTGTCGCAGATGGTGGTTGGCATTTCCGACATGTCCAGCCAATCCTCGACGATTTCCTTGCTCACATTGATCACCCATATAAGGCAGTTCGCGAGGCCATCGGCCGTGTTCTGTCAGTCATCTACAAGACTCGGTACCACGAGTCATTTGAGAATGTGAGCAAGCTCTTGGAGCAGAACAAGGCTGCCTCATCGACCGGTATCAGACCCTACCAACCATCAGAGGAGTTTGCAGCGACGATCAAGGACGTCTTCGATCGCCTCGAGAAGTGGCGCCATGAGAGAACACCAGGCCAGCAAACTCCCAGCTCTTATACCTCGGGCTCCAAGACTGTGCTGATGTGGCTGGACTGTACACTTTCATCCCATGAATGCATTCAACTCGTGCCATTTTTCCCCACCCCTTTCATGGAAGAATTACTTCACATGATGGACGTGAAGGAGGATCCTGAATTGATGAGGCTAGCGTATCATGTCTACCGCCATCTACCAAACATTCCTTTCCGGGATGGCGAAGATGCAGAGTTCATCGATGCGCTAATTCGCATTGGCAAGACATCGGCTAGCTGGCATCAACGGCTGCGTGCTCTGGTCAATATGCAAGTCATCTATTTCAGACGCATCTTCCTTACACGGACCGCTCAAAGGGAAGCACTCTTCACAGCCGTGTCTGATATGCTTGGAGACCCTCAACTTGAGGTGCGTTCATGCGCATCTACCACGCTCGCTGGCATGATCCGCTGTTCGCCTCGCCGCATCCGAGACCCAACGATCGCGCATCTGAAGGCTCGGTTCGAGGACGAGTTGGAGCGCAACCCAATGCCAAAACGCAAGCGTCATCTTGCCGGAACCGATACTCCAGTCGATATTCACAAACAAATCACAAGACGTCATGCCGCAGTACTCGGACTAGGCGCCTTGATTGAGGCTTTCCCTTATGCCACTCCACCTCCCGAATGGATGCCTGAAGTGTTGGCAATGCTGGCTCGCAAGGCTGCTGCTGACCCTGGTGTTGTGGGCAAGGCAACCAAGACAATTCTTAGCGAGTTCAAGAAGACTAGACAGGACAGTTGGACTGTTGACCAAAAGGTTTGTTTATGTCGTCCTTTCCTCGGGGCGCCCGTCGTTGTAGACAGCTTACTAACAATTGAGCAGTACTTTACTCCCGAACAATTAGAAGACCTTGAAGGAGTGTTGTGGAAGAGTTACTTTGCTTAACGGAATTAATCCGGGGAGGGCTACGTTCAACCTCGCCCTCGACCGAGTAATTGTGTTGTTAAATACGACATGCGAATTGTGTGCTGACTGTTGAGAACGCAAGCGTGGTTCTCGACATTTAGGGGATACAGCGATCGATTGTTGCCCGTGGGCTTGCTAGACTTGAATCAAATGAAAGACAAACTGGATAGAGCTTGTATATGAGGATATAGGTGTCGCGGCTGAGGAATGCAGACTGCTGATCCAACGAGAGATGCCATCTACGGCTGGGTCGTGGAGAAAAGTCCAAGGCTTAAGAAGAGGATGCAGCGCATTGAACGAGGCGTAGCAAGTAATGACAGCAGCGAGTCTATTGGCATCCCAATAGTATAGAAATAAATGATATAATTCATAAACTCGTGGAGTCTGAAGATCGAGCTATCACAATGCACGTCTATTGAATAACGTTAAAGTCAACCACAACAGTACATAGTCAATCGTCATCAGATCGACATCTCGAATGCATCTGAGTCTGTCTTCTTCGATCACGGGTGGGGCGGTCGCTGCATGTATGTACTGATTCCCCCTCCAACATTCCTGCAAGGGGATGATCATCTTGTGACTTTATTCACTTCTCCTGCCTTGCAGATTCAACAGGTTTTATACATCAATACAACATGTCAGAGCATAGACTCCAGCAACAAAGCACGCCTAAGGTGAAGCCTCGGCTTATCATTCATGGGGGGGCGGGTAGCATACATCGCAACACTTATCCTCCAGAGAAGTTTCAGGCTTATCGCAGAACCCTCGTGGACATAGTGAGCCTATACATCCTGCCCACGGTAGCTCTCGGGTAGCTAATCCAAATCTCTAGGTCATAAAGGCTGACCAGTATATGAGGAGTCAAGATGAAGCCGCTTCAGAGAAGTCACCTAACAGGCTCCCTTCAGCCCTGGAAACCGCAACCTACGCAGTGCGTCTCTTGGAGGATAACCCTCTATTTAATAGTGGTCGTGGCGCCGTCTTCACTCGTGACGGGTTCAACGAGCTTGAGGCTTCAGTGATGGTATCTCGCGGGTACAAGAAGCGAGGTGTAGGCGTCATGGGTCTTCGTCACGTAAAGAATCCCATTCTGCTAGCTCGCGGGATGCTTGAACACGGCGAAGACGATCTTGAACCCCGGTCCCGAGATGTCAACCCTGATGGACTGGACGTCCCGTCTGCGCAAGGCCACTCGCAACTCTATGGCAAAGCAGCAGAACAACTAGCGGAACAATATGGACTTGAGCTGGTAGACCAGCGTTACTTTTATACTCAACACCGCTGGGATGAGCATATCCGAGGTCTAGAGAAGGAGAAGAAAGGCGAGGGGCAGGCAACGTGGAGTGCGGATGAGTATATCTCCCAGGGTACGTGTGGAGCAGTTGCTCTTGATCAAGATGGTGTTATCTGCGCTGCGACGAGTACGGGAGGGCTTACGAATAAGCTCACTGGACGTGTTGGCGATACGCCTACGATCGGGGCAGGTTTCTGGGCTGAGGAGTGGATTGAAGATGGTGATCCGACAGGCTTGTCCGCGTGGGATCGTCTGAAGGATGCTGTAGGTCAGTCAGGTCCATGTCTGATGATTAGCAATGCCTTTAGAGGGATCTTGGCGGATTTCCTGCCTACTCCAAACGCGTACACACCAGTTGGTACAAGCATATACACGATCAGGGCATTTGGAGGATCTGGCACTGGTAATGGTGACTCGTTCCTCCGAACTAATGCTCTTCGAACAGTCGCAGCTATAGCAAGATGGAAGCCAGAGTCAGGACGCGAAGCTGTCTCTCGAGTTGCAGGTCTGGGAGGAGAGCTACAGAGGAGCGCAGGCGACAGATGGAAGAGGACAGGAGAGGGAGAAGGCGGTATCATCGGTATCGAGAGCGTTGTCGTTCGTGATGCTCGTGGTCACGCAGTCGAGACTCGATCTGAGATTCTGATGGACTTCAACTGCGGCGGTATGTTTCGGGCCTGGATCGACAAAGAGGGAAACCCTCGAGTGAGTATCTTTAGCGATGAGCTGTAGGCCAGCGAACAGAGGCAACGGAAAGTGAGCATATTAGAGTGGAACAGGGAATGTCATTTATATTCGTTCTGTACCCAATCCGCGATAAACAAGAGCATAAAGCTCAGCAGTAGGAAGTTTAGTCTCCCTGTTGTCTTTTTGAACCTGCTGGTCCTTGGTGCACTTCCAAAACTCCCCTCAATCTCATGGATATCGTACACAAGCGCTCTCTTCTCTCTCTTTTTCCCTCGTTCAGACATAGATTAGTCCGTAGTCGCAAGAAGTATGGCAACTCCATCGCTAAGCCAGAACCCGCCTTCCGATAAGCCCCCTCCCGATATCTTACTCTATTATACATAGAACGCCGGCCCGATGCGAATTGAAGCGATTAAAACGTCAGCCAGTTTTTGTGTTGGTGGTGGTGAAAATACAAAAAGCCTGGCTCTTGAAAAGCCTGGCCCGCAGAATTGTTGTGGATGGTCGTGATGGTGGAGTTGAGAGTGGGGGAGTCGAAGATTGTTTCGTTTGATCGATCGTGGTTTATTCATTTCGTCAAAATCTGGTCTCACAGAGTGGCCTCCTGAGGAGGAGGCTGAGGAGCTTCTAGCTTGGTGCTGCCAGCAAGCATCTTTGAGAAACCGATACCGACACCCTCGATGACGGCGAGAAGGACGGCACAACCGATGGCACCGTTTCGGGCAGCCTTGTAACCACCTCGAATAGCGAGAGAACCACCAGTGAAGAAACCGGCGATGATGGCGTTGTAGGGATCCTCCTTCTGGCGCACGCCCTTAACAGCGCAGTCGAATGTCGAGAAAAGACCACCCCAAACACCGAAGTTACCACCTAGAACTGGTGCACGCATCTTGATGGCTGTGATGGCGCCAATGCGTCGCTCGCCGTAAGGAGAGTTGCGGAAACCCTTGATACCGTGCCAGATAGTACCACCGATGGCCTATAGAGGAGGGAAAGTCAGTCATGTCTTTGGTGATCGTCATGGTAGTTTATCGCTGTAATGGATCCTAGCTCGAGTATCAAAGGCCAAACTTACACCCATACAGAAAGCACCGCCAAAGTCATTGAGAATGACCCAGGGGCAGGGGTCGCGTCCGTGATCCATGGCTGATTATGTGTATTAAAGAGGCTACCGCGGGGAGGAAAGGGCGTTGGAAGACTCGTGAAGGCGATAATCGGGTATGAAAATTGTGAGGCCGGCTGCAAAAGGTTACCGGACCTTGAATCGCGCAGCGAGTGATTTTTTCGGGGTCGGCGAGTGGATTATCCGATAGAATTTATCGATAACGGTTTAGGCCGGCCTCGGCCGACTCGAAGCTTCCATTTCAATTGTTTGACTTACAGCCACGAATTGCTTGGTAGTAATTAATATCTACAGTCTACGCACTCGCCATGTTCTCTAGGGTTCCCGGTGTATATCTGGCTATATTGCAGCTGCTTTTAAGCAAAGGTCCTTATGTATAGGTCTCTCGAATTCTTTACCTCAACGTCATACTTCACCCCACTAAACCCCAGATCCAGTCCCGGCCGAGAACGGAGCCTATTAACCTCATGCCTGTTCCAGCTCGCCGAAGGTTGAAGATACCAGGGATGCTACAGATGCGCATATATATGAGTATATATATATACAGTATATAAGAAACAATGGCCCTTCTCTGCATTTCTGTAAAAATCGATGCTTCCAACTCTGTGAAACTTCATGATGCCTCTCCAAGTCCTACCCGCTACAGAAGTCGATGCCTCCAGAGCAGCTGCCATCGAGGCTGTCGCATATGGTCCAAGTCCCATAGGCTCAGTTCTATTTCCCAAGCCAAGAGTCCCAGGACCTAACACAAGAGCCTCGGATCTCGTCGAATTACTGCAGAAGAATCCTGCTTGTCGATGGGCCAAGGTCATCGATACTGACCTCAGTGAACAAGAGGACCAAGATGATATGGTTGCCTTTTCCATGTGGTACATGTGGGATACTCCTCCTTTAGAAGAACAGCACTCGTTTTCTTCTTTTCGAGGGCCAAGTTGTAATGCAGAAGCATGCGAACTCTTATTTGGTGGCATCAACAGTATGCGGGTCAACTATATGAAGGGGAAACCATACGCTTGTATGCGCCAACTCTATATCCTACCACCACAACTAACTAACACTCTTAGTCCTCAAGCTGCTGCACACTGATCCGAAACATCAACGACGTGGAGCAGCATCTCTCTTGATCGAGTGGGGTCTCAAAGAAGCCGACCGTCTCGGCATCCCAGCATGTCTCGAATCTTCAGAAGAGGGACGGAAGCTTTATGAGAGGTTTGGCTTTGAAGAAGTAGCTCGACATACTATCAACTTTTCACGTTGGGGTGGCCCATCTGAGATAACGATTCCTCTGATGGTCCGTCCCGTTGGAGGGCAATCAGAGACTACCAAGTGAGGTTTATCAACTACACAACATAGGTTTACCAATACTACCGCGCTATTAAACACTATCTCTAGATTTTGTCATTCGTCTTTCTATCCAGACATCTTGACAACTCTTTGCGAACGGGTTTAAGAGCCTGGAAGGATTGATAGTTGTTAGATGGACGCCAGCTAACCTATAGCCTCATGGGATAATGACTGGGAGTGCTATTGCCAACAACGCAATTCTTTCTTGATCCTCTTAGCTCTGCATTATTCAAATATAATTCTCAATGTACTTGTAGACTCAGAAGATTTAAGAGACGGCTAATTCTTCCGTCTCCATTCCCACTGAACGTCGAGTTACACGGGTTGATAGAAAGCGCTGTTCAATTATCACAATATTGTACATCATGTCTCCAAGACTAAAGATTAGCCGACAAAGAAGATTTCTATGTTAAATAGGGTCTTGTTCCCTATCTTGACATTCATTTTACATTTTTATTGAAAGCGGCAAGTTTAAAGGTGATACACTCCCTACTGACCCAGTGCTTCACCTATGAACGAGTGCTGGGAACTCAACGATAAACGAGCCTCGAAATACTCAGTAACTCTCAAATGAATATGGTCTAGAAACTAGGCTTTGGCAGTGTTTGATGGATTACTTTTAGGCAGCTTAGCCTGTCGGGTTCTGGGTCTTGGTCTTCCTGATCACTTGAGAATAGGATACTTGGAGATACATTCACCAATCTTGAAACCCGCAGAACCAGGGAAACTGGTTAAAACAACACCTTTGAGCATGGTGTGAGCTCAAGGAACCCACGGGCCTGGTGCGAGGCTATAAAGATGTGAGCATGGATCACGAGGCCCGGCTGTGATCGCAGCCAGGTGAACGACTACGTTTCCTTGATGTCAACCAAGAGCACCAGTCTCCTGAACCGACCACTCTGAGGTTCAATCTAGCTCCCATCCCTTAGCTTCGGACCTCTTGAGTCGCGTGGTGCTGATAAGACAAAACCAGCCAAGCATTAGACGAGAAGAGGGGATAAGGGGAAAGACGATTAAGCATGCAACATCTCGATGCGAAGGAGATCGCGATGGGCCTCGCTTCGCTTACAAGATGAGATGGGATGTTGCAACTGGGATATTGTGATAGGTCAGAAGAACCACGAGACAGCCTCGCCGGTAGCTTGGCGAGCCGGTAGATCGTGGATTGGAAATAGGAGAGTGGTTGGCTAAGAAGTTCTCTCGCTCAGAATCGACAGTAGGGTTCCAGCCGGAGCCGCAATGGTATATCCAATCAATGACGGTCAGGCTGGAGCCGAAAGTCCGGAGGAGAGGATTCCCTGATGCGATTGGATGCCGAGTCAGTGGGAACTATGTAGATGTGACGATTTTGTTAGTTAATGGGGATGAGTGACATAGGTAGTGGATAGATACTAGTTGCTTAGTAGTGTGCAGTACTGTACTGCAACTAAAGACAAGATGCCGGTATTCTTGGAGGATGGAACCATTGGTTAACTTTGTTTCATGAAACGACGGGTTCAAAATGTATCAAGTTTTGAGTTGATGCAATTGTAGAAGGATTCATGGTAATTGCATAAAGGATGGATGGGAAGAAATGTCTAGTCTAATCTCTAGTCTAGTCCAAAGATCATCGTCATAGTCTCGATATCAAGTTGGTCACTCACTCACAAGAAAAAAAGCACAGTCCAAGGCTGATTCTCCACAAGAGCTTCAGCATTGTCTGCCCATCATTTTAAGGCTCAAGTCCAAGTTGATGTAACTTGAATTGAGTTGAGGTCTAGAGAACAGAAGAAAATAGAATTAAACACCACAGAACCTTGTTCTGAAACCAACGGAAGCTACGGAATACGGAAGATCGTCATCGCCCGTAGAAGTTCGTAAGTAACCATACGCTCGGTACATCAAGAGAACACTGCCGTAGAATCCGAACAAACTTCCAAGGATATTGTTGAGCTTGGAGCAAGGGTTGGTTAGTAATGAGTTGAGTGAGTTCTTGGCTGTGCCCGCAGCCTGGAAAGTTCCGTGGATAACCTCAAAAAAACAGGCCTACAAACTATGTCTATACTTGGCTACAGTACTTGGCTGTACTTGGCTTGAATACGCTGGGTGCATCTGTAGTGTAATGTCTTTCATCATCTTGCCGATATCTACAGTTTGATGACGAAGCAATTGACCTCAGCTACAGTACACCACAGTTGATGATGTAGAATACTGTACATCTTAATGCATGAATGATGATAGCTCCCGCGCGCTTCCGCGTCTTGAAACAAGCTACCCGTAACCACTGACGTCTTTTGCATATATTCAAGATCTACGATAAGCGTCAATCCCAGACACGACAGGAATTAGAAAGACGTTGTGTCCTTTCAGCTCGTTGATCATCCAGTCTGGATGTTCAATTACACGTAACCACCAAAACAAAAAAGATTAGGGGACGTGAAACATCAAACAGGGCACATACTGCGCTGTAGATGATTCGCCAGACCGAGATTTGCCACATGCCAATTACAGTGAAGTCATGCATTCATTCCAGGTCCTCTTCCCTTTTTCGCCTCCCCCTGAGGCTGAGGCAAAGTCAAGGTCAAAGTAAACAAGAAAGTTTCGCGCCCAACGGCAACGGTCAAACGGCCAAAGGTTCAAGGCAAATTGCAAAGGGTTAAACCTACCAAATTCAGGCAACCGTGAGTTTTGTGCGTGCTCTGTTTAAGTTGGCCGTGAACCGATGATCGTCATAAACTGAATGACCATGACCAGAGACCCTGCAACTCCGCGGCCGCCCGTTGACTCTTAGACTTTGACTGCCTGCCCGCCAAAATTTACAGTGAATTTTAATACCGGCATGGATTATAGGTTGTTTCAATGAGCGGGCCCTGCCCTTCTGGAAGACTCAGCCTCGATCGCTTAATGTAATCACACTCAACTCATCACTGCCAAGACACTCTCAACACGAAGTGACTCATTTGTAATGCTATGATTTTGTCATCATCATTAAATACGACAAAAAAGAAAAGAATAACATAATCGTTATCACAGACCAGACAATCCAAGACCAGGGATCCAAGGACCGTTGACGCTAGCCCAGCCATAATTCTTTCGCTAAGCAGTCAATGCGCCCCGTTAACTTGCGTTCAACCATCAACGATGATGTGATGGGATGGGATAGACGTGAATGGTCCACGTTTCGGTGAGACCGCTCACTCACACCAAGCGTTGGGTCTTGTTCGCTTATTCAGCTCCATTCTCATCCTCATTCCAAAATTATACAAAAAAAGAAAAGATTATTGTGGAAATGTTGAGGCTGAAACTCCAGTATTGACACTGATGCTTGGACCACCCAAAGATCCATACAATACCAACATGCTGGGTCCAGCTTCAAAGTGGATGTTGTCTAGACCCGAGTATCAAAATTTCACAAAGGACAGCTAAGACATGCACTGTAGTTGAGGCTGCAGAATATGGAGACGGCAAAGTGTTTGGTAGTATTTCAGCCTCATAAAGAAGCTTCTATATAGAGTAGGTAGAGTAAGAAGAAAGCCGCCCATGTGTGAGGGTGAGAGTAAGAGTAATAGTAGAGTAATATGTAGTAGAAGATGTCTGTAATATGTGTGTGTGTGTCTGTATTCCACCACATGCAATGTGTGGAAAGCCGTAAAACCCATGATCGCATACCTCCAGGTGCCCATAATAAAACCAGATAAAAAAGAATAATCGCTTTTGTCGCTTTCCCAAGTAATCCCATAGCCCATGAAAGACAAAACTCCAGGCCCTTTAATATGTATACAGAGATGAAATGAGGAAAAAGGATAAGCCCAATTTATGGGTGTGAGGGAAGGATGTACAACAGCCGTGAGATATCGTTTAGCGAAAGAGAAAGAAGCAGTAGATATGTGCTGTAGAGGTATGGGTATCAAAGAAATCGTCAAAGATATAAGAAAATATGAAAATAGTGATTATGTCCAGTGTGTAAGAGTGAGAGAGTAAGGTAGTTGTTGAGGTAGAGTGAGTAGGTGGTTGTTGAGATGAGGTGAGATGAGATAATGTTTAGAAGCTGTTGCGGTCCTGGCACTCGAGGTCTTCCTTGTGGAAGACAATGCCACGACGCTTCCATCCTCCGCGTCGGATAAAGTTGTCGACGCTGTCGAGGGATCGCATGGGAGGACGCTTAGGTGCCAGACCAGGTCGGGCAGCAAAGGTAGCGTTGATAGAGGCGGGTTTTAGTGCAGAGGAGTGACGGGACAGACGACGCATCTCAAGGACAGACATGTCATCGTTGTCGTCTTCAGAGTCTTCGGACTGGGTGACTTCGGAGTCATCCTCCTCATCGTCGTCAAAGGTCTGAATGCTCTGGATAGTAGATTCTGACCAGCGAGACTTGGGCATCGGTGGTCTTGTTGATAATGTGGTGAAGAAGTAATCCTTGGGCTCATTGCCCTGCTCGTCGGCAGCATCCATAGGGCTCACATGAGGAGGCAGGGCCATCTCAGTAGGCTGCTGAGCAGCAACATCCTGCTCGACAAAATCCTCCTCATCGATAACTGCCTCGTCGGTACCGTAAAAGACAGGCTCGGGTTCATCGATACGCTTGAAAGGTCGCTCGTATAATCTTGGTGGTGCGTGGAAGGCGGGATGTGAGGCGAGAGGGTCGATTTCGGGTCTTGATGTTGTAGGTGTCCTGGCTGCTGGTGTTGAGACGGCTGAGATTGTGGATGATGAAGATGATGATAGAGAGCAGCCGGAGGAGAGAGAGGATCCCGAGAATGAAACCTTTCGGATGTGTAGGTCTCTTGGGCAGCGAGACGACTTGCGTCTTTGGCCGAATCCTTGTAGTACATGCATGTTTGTGGTTGTAAGTAAGTGAGTAAGTGAGTGAAAGAGTAAAGTAAAAAGAGTATTATCGTGAATGATATATAATACTCGATTGTTAGTGTAGGCTACAATGGCCAGAGTTTGGATTGTTGAAGTCAGTGAGAGAAGGACCCGAGATAACCGGAGATGGGATGCTCAAGTCTATAAATAATGAGTGCATTCGTATTTTATCGTACAGCCCAGGCAGAGAGAGTGCAAGTGCAAGAGCTACCACACACCATGAACGTCATCCACCGAACCGTCACAGCCGAAGTGGGCGGATATCCCTGTAGACCACCCCTGTAGATTTAGCTAGTAGCTTTACGCCCAGAAAAGACGGCGGAGTACCTGGAGACCTGATCTCGTACCCTGGTCCTGTGTCTCTCTTGCTTGACCTGGGTGGGCATTTTAACAGATCTCCACTTGGATCTTGGTCTTTGACGCACCTTTTTCACAGAGATTCCCATCTCTTCACTCTCTCAAGACACGACAGGGGGGTGCGTCTGTCCCGCTGATCAACGACCCCTGTCTTTTCGCTGGATGTACCTTTTGGTACCTGAGTCTCCTCAACTCTTGGGGAAGCCCTTGTAGGTAAAGAAACATTTGAGCCCGTCCTCGAAACACCAGACAATAAAATACTACGCTGTAAAGAAAAAAAATAATGATTTTGACTTTCCAAGGCTTCGCCTCACTTAATCTCATCGGAAACTCGGTATCAAGTGGACACATTTTCATTTTTTCTTTTCTCTGATATTTTTTCTTTCTTTTCTTTGTAGAGAATGGGTAAGGTAAGCCTCGCTGGGGTCCAGACCATCGGCGTACCTGATTACAGTGAAAGGTGTTCCTGGGCCTGTGCCCGGTGCCTTTTCGCTAGCCCACGCCTCAAAAGCCTCTTTTTTCCTAGACAGCCCGGTCATCAGGCCCAGCGCCATCATGATAGTTCCCGAGATACTTCAGTAACTTGCCGAAAAATCTAAACGTCTATCGCCATTTTACTTCCTTCTCCCTTAAGCCTCTTTTTTCTCACGCGTGAGTCCGAGTGACCGCCAGTCTTGGCTTACTTACACCCCATCCCTGTCAATGCGGAGGGTTTTTCTTAATCTGTATGGATGTGTCTGTGTCTGTGCCTGATTACAGTACAGCCAGCACATCAACAGTACCTTAGCTGACTGAGCTTACAGTAGGAAAAAGCAAAGAACCCTTGAAAAATCAAGGGCCCGTGCCTGAAGATTCCTATGGATTCCATTCTTATTCGCTCCCAACTCATGTCTGTAAGATGCAGGGCGGAGCTCCGTGAACTGTAGAAACATGAAGAAAAAGAAAAAAGCAAACAGTTGTCTCTGAGCTGGAGCCTAAGCCTGGGCTTTGAGCTTGATCGTGAGTCCGTCATGGAATTGCCGATGGAAGTAATCATCATGGATATGATATACGCGCAAATCGACGATACAGCTGGAGCTACAGTGAAGTACATGGAAACATTCATCTAAACTCTGAATGGTTGGTTGATCAATGTTTATCGGTTGTTTCGTGTGTACGCCAGCGCTGATCTTATCGCACAGCAGCGTTGTCAATTGTCGTGGCTCCAAAGAAGGGTTAACCTAGACGTCACCTTTTGCACATCATCCCACGACTTTAGTAACAGATCATCATCCCAAAACATACGACACGTACTTTGGTCAAGATGCGGCCACTCCGATCACTGAACTGCTGAAAATCAATCAAGAAGTAACTCCGACAACACTCCAAATCCTCAGCTGTCTTTTGTCTACGGCTTGCGCGCCAGCCGAAACTCTATTACTGTATCGGTCCCGATGCCTTTCAGCTGTGGATCGTATCAGTCTAGTTTCTACTTACTACTGCAGGTAATCAATTAACTAACTACCAACAGACACAACCCCATGAATGAGAAATAAAGTGAAATTGATCATGTTAGGATGTCTTCACCGCTGCTACTCCGTACTCGGCTTCAAATTGTGTGATAACTCTCCCTTGCATTCACGAGGCGGCGCCTTGGCGAACCACTCAGTGACAAACTATGTGGGTGTCAAGTGTCAACCATCAGGCACACGTTTTTCTCTTACTCCAGACCAGATGCAGATGCAGGTACAGTTGAGACAAAAATGTGCTTTGTTCGCGATCACGTACTCGAGTCTTTCGAGACATGATCGTTATCTTTCGGCGATGACCTCTGATCGGGTCCAGTATCCCTTGTGAATCCTTGGAGCTGGAGTCAATACCTTGTAAATCATCATTTTACTTCCGTCCCGTTTCTATACGTTTTTTGCTTTTGAAGCTGAGATCTATCGAGATAATGCCCATGTCTTTCCCGGCGGACGGTATGCCCCATGTTCAGTGTCTAGACTACACTACTTTGCGGCGTATGCAGAGCATCCATCCCATCCCGTCCCATCATTCAGACTTGTGATGCGAATCTCACCTGCATCGTGCATGACACTATCATGTGCCCTAAAGCTCCCCCTTTCCTACCCCAGAGCCAGAGCCAAGAACAGTGTCTCTGGCATAACTAACATTTAAACTGGGTATGGAATGTTATCAGTCTAGACCGAGAAGCGATTCACAGTGAGAGAGAGACTCAAACTGACCGCTACAAGCGCAGTTACAGCTTGTGGCGGTGGAGGAAGGAAGGAAGGATCTGTTTCATTATGGATGGCAATCAAGTTAATAATGGAGACTGCTTCAGATCGTGAAGTCAAAAACGCGCAATTGAACCCTTTGGACATACATTAGTGGTCAATTAAACACTGGCGGTGAATCTCTTTGAACCCCTCATTCCACTTTTTATTGTGCATTCACGATACACATGCACATGCACTTTTTAATTACTGTATTTTGTATGGTGCTCTTAGTGCTGTACTGCGCTGTAACTCACCACCTCCTCCTCGGGTGTCAGAAGAATTGACCCTGGCCAGCATAAGAGACGAAATAACTCAGTCATCTTAGACTAGCTTGGGTCGGCCTTTAGACTGCTTTATTTCTGTATCCTAATCCTGAAAGGACAATTCTTCTGACATCCGCCTGCTAGCACTGACGATCCAGGGTCTCCTCGTGGAGATATTACTGGGTTTAATGTCTCGTTAACTGGAGTCTGTAGACCGACAAGTACATTCGCGTAGCTGAACTCAAACTCGCTTGTCTACTATGACGGTATCAGTGGAGAGTAAAAAGAGAGTCGAAAGATGCGACTCGCTTTCCTCCTTGTTGGTGGTTCTTGGCAGTCCAGTCTTGATAAACGAGATTAAAATGAGGCTCGGCGCTGGTGCTGCCCGGCTCCGAACCGAATATTTACGGACACGATAACTGAATGAAGGATGTGATAGTGATAAGATGGCGGAGATTCTGGAGAAGGAAACAAAAAATAGTAATTAATCAGTAATGGCCAAGCTAAGGAAAAGAAGCGAAAGCTCCAGTCCGAATGGAAACATGTCAAAGTCCGAAGCCAAGGTTAATTCCAATTTCCCTCCCTCTGTCACTATCACTTTGACTCCATACTATGCTACTGTTACAGTAGATCTCACCCAACATTTCGGCATTTGGTGTTTTGTTCAATTTTTATTTCTTCTTCTTCTTCTTTCGGTCAAGGTTTTTCCTTGCATCTCGGGACACGATGAAGCCGAACTGGGTTTACAGCTGTTTGGAAGTGGCGCTTTGACCCGACAGCTCCAGCCAGCCTACAGCTTACAGCTTACAGGGCCCCTGTACAATCTTGTAATTCGTGCTATTGGCCTGTCCTTGTTCGTCCCGTCTTCAATTATCGTCGCCAATTCCGGGCGCACCTCAGCGGAGAGTTTAGTTTACTGCAGCTTACTGATACAGTAGAGCTGAAGGTTTACCGTAGCATTGGGTCTCAACTTTTTGCTTTTTATTCGCATCTTTTGTCAACTTTCAGAATCGGGCTTCCCAAATATTCTCCATACATGCAGGTAATGCAACCCACTAACCTGGTTGCTAAAGATTATAACAAGGAAAATAACGATGATGTTGATCTGACTACTAGAATTAGAAATGTGACGAAGAAACAGAAAAAGAAATATGCAGTACAGATGATAATCCTTCACTATCATAATACCCGTTTCTATTGACCCTTTGCCTTGGTTACTGCAGCTTCTTTACTTGTTCTTTGCCGGTCTGTAGGGTTGCATAAGGCAAGGTCCCCGATTTCCAATAATATCCTGCTATAGGGTCATGCATGCAATTAATTGATTGCAAATGTTACCGACACCACGGTCATCCTTGAGAGAGCGCAATCAAGTTCTAGACTTGTCCATGTAAGCGGGCAATCAATATTCTTCTTAGTTCCCGTATTCCAAAGGAACGGGCGTTGTTTGCTATTGAAAGGTTATTGGATCCCCAATTACTGGTACGAACCATGAACCAACGTTGCATTTTTCTCACAACCTCAGAAGGAAAAAATGTCAATTGATTGCCGAGTTGGCAGAAGATGGCTTGGCAAGGACTCTTGGCATTGGTCAAAAACCAGATGACCTTCAGACCAGGGTCCCTGGCAAACTTTCCAAGATTTGGTCTGACCATTCACAAACGAGTTCTCGTCTGAACATCACGGAAGAGAAGAGTCGATTCGGAGAACCCAGCCCGGATGTTACCCTACAATGAACATGATCTCGAGGGCCAAGAGTAGCTGATTGTTTCTTGTCATTCATCATTCAATGTGGCTGCGCCTTGTTCGGAAAATCGGATCATAGAAACTCGTACGTTCTGAATACATGCAGGTACAATCAGTACCTTGCAGTCACTCCTCAACACCACCTTTTCAACTTGAATGATGGTCGTGATCATCATCGCCTCCGACTGCCAATTATTACCTGAAATAATATACACACACATCATGCCTTGATTTACCATTGGCCATAACCCCTCTTCTGCCAGGTCCTTTTCAAGCCAAACGACCTTCTCTATTTGAACTCCGTCTCTTCTCCGTTCATTTGTAAATGTCATCGATCCCAACGCCTGGTGGATGGATCGAGGAGTCGGTCACGTTCTCTTACATCAGCATCATCACCTTGACAGCACAGTTTCATCATAGCTCATGCGCATGAGCATATGCGAGACCGAGACTCTCCTGACGATCATCAACTTAATGTCAAATGTCTCGCTTGACTCCAAGCTTCAGTTGTAAGCCTCTCAGTTCGCCGTCCAATCGATGGCCCTGACAATCACTTCAACGCGGGGGCTGGCGTGGCGCTCTGGCCCCTGCCCAGCTGCGCTACCCTCTATTATCGTGAGCTAAAACCACCGCCATTTTCATCTTTATTTCCTGATTACCAGACTACGCGTCGTCCCGTTCGATAGCTGCCTCTCTGGCGTGTCTCTTAGCATCCTCTAGTATTCGCTAGCTCTGGCCCGTTGATGTGATATCTTGGCTTAGGACCTTCTTAGCCCATGCGACAGCCACTACAGTTACTCGTTGGGATGCTAGACTGTGAGGAGTTTCAATCTCGGTCTTGTAGCGTTCTCCGGATCGACGATGGGGATGCCATATCAAGTCATTTGAGGCGATCATCCATCGCGATTTAGATGCAGCGGCACGATGCGAAATGCCATGATAGTAATCAGAAATGCGTATGTATACCTAGTGTACTGTAGTCCGTGTACTGTACCTGCACGCACTCAACATGACAGTCATACTAAGCCTTGCCAAAGGACAAAGCGTACTAGAGACGGAAATTGCGGAATGCAGGGGCTTTGTGTCAACGTGACTCGATGCAAGGGAGAATCATAGTCTGATCCTGCGGTAATTCAATGTCGGCCGTCAGCCAGGTAAGAATGCATTGTGCCTTGGTACTATCGACGATGGATGAATCAAATATCTGTTCCCAAGTGTGTGGTGCAGTAGGGTAGATGGATTGCACCGACTAGTGCTTGCAGTGCGCGATATTGCTGCACTCCATGACCGACGAAACATCTGCAAGTCTCAGAGATGTGAATTGTTGGAGTTTCGAGTTTCTTGCTCGATGCGGTCAACCATCTCATACATCCCGTCCCCTAAAGTTCATATGTTTCAACCCTGTGAAACATCTCACCCTCCAACAGCTTAAAATCAAGATCGAACTTCCGTAGACTCATCGATATTCGTTCAGTCTTTCGTCAGATGTCCTCACTCGAGTTCCGATCTCCATCCTCACAACTGTCTCTGAGAAGCCTCTGACCGCTGGGTCGGGTCAAACACTGACGTTGCGGCTCGTCCCTACAGCCGCGAACCATCACGATTCCGCCGTCTCCGATTGGAACGATAGGGGAGTTGTGCCTTTTATTCCCTCGATAAACGCCATATCAGAGACACAAACGAACGCGCGCCCATCTCCAAAACACCCAAACGCCTTTGATGCCATCCACATACGGAACACAGCCCTTCTTGGCGACCCTTGCTTCCGTGGTGTTTCCACAGCCGCAACATTGGGATGGATGGCGGTGATGACGTCGATGCAGTCGTTATCATGGGCTTTGCAACCCTAACAAGAGACCGATTTTAATGCCATCGTCGATATGTCAAGATCGGGATGCCTTTTCATACAAGTAAAGCAAGGGAGCCATTATGCCATGATTTACAGCAAGCCATCATTCTCACCAGGAAGTCGCTTCACACGCTTCTGTTCCCAATCGTCAAGGTCCTTGCCAGCAAGTCTCTGTTACCAAGATGTTAGTACCTCAGATCACAAACAGCATTCTTTCTACCATTCCGAACGGTGCAAGACGTACGTAGTATTCCTCTTTCATATCCACCTTCCTTGCAGATCGGCGCACATTGAGCTCTTCGTCCTTGGTCATCTGGCGAACCTTGCGATCATAGCGTTCGTAGCGGACGGCAGTGGCGGGGGTGAGGACGAAAGAGCCGGCAACGATGACGGAGATGAAGGGGAGTCCGAACATGAGGAAGGGATGCTTGTTCATCAGGTTGCGATATCGCATGCCGATACGGTTCATATCGGCGGAAGACCGGAACTTCTTGCTTTGGAACGCCGGCATCGTGGGTCACTCGTCGGGGTCAATTATCGGTCGGTAAAGTAATGGATTCCGAAGGGAGAGTCGGGAGCTCCGTGTGCCACTCGGAGGTTGGTCGAGATCTGGCGAAAGTAGAGGCAAAATTTTTGAACGGTGGTGGATATGGTGTACTGACTGAATGGGATTCAGGTCTGGTGTCTTCGGGTCCGAGCGAGGTGTGGAGAGAAGGGTCCAAATCTCAACGAGAATTGACCAAGAGGAAGAGTTTGATTTGATTGAGGTTCAATTCGACGATATCTACAGGCTAGAAATGACCTGACTCCATCATCATGAGCCCCACTTCATTCCCTCTGAGCGACTCATGGCTTGTGCGCGTTTACTTTTTCCCGGCTAAGAAACATTGGACGAAAGACAAGTCAGACTCTGGAGATTTCCGACTGTTTGGTCAATGCAGCATAAAAAAATCAAGGGTCCATTTCATGCTCCACCATCGGGACAACCGTTTGTCTCGAACTTCACCTCAGTTGATACCAACCTCGGGCCTTTGTATCAACACAGACCTCTCTTCATTTGCCACTAGCTACGGCAGAACCTGTTTTCAGCCTCATATTAGGGTTCAATTATCTTCAAGTACCGTCTTGTACCACGCCAAAGGACTTGTACAAGCGTCCGAGCCCTTTGAAGCAGCCCAATCCATGTTTTGGAAATGGCACGACTCCATCGTGTAAATGGACCCTGAACTGTTGTCCGGCATATCCTTGGGAACCAGTGACACCCGAAAGCCGGGTTGGGCGTTGTAGTTGTCCCGTGAAGTCCCTTCACGATGCCCGATATTAAGCAAAGCAGCCCGTGCTTGACCTAAACGTGCGACGTTTCCGACTGCTTCGAGAAATTCTCAAATTCGCTTCTATTTTGCTTCTAGTCGGTTGTTGACTGGAGACAGTGGAGAGGATAACTTTGCCTCTCTCAAAGCCTGGACCCTGCTTGTTGTGATCGACTAAAGACACCGTTGAACATTAGACCGCCTAGACAACAATTCGGAGATTTGTTTGTTGCTAGTGATGATGTCTAGGCGGAAGATTTCGTGATGGACCGTTCGCCTTGTTTGACAAAGGGGTATTGTATTCTCGTTTACTTAGTGTTTTGTTGCACTGCACAGGCATTCGGCATCTAAAGTGTGGATGTCTCAAATTGGGTTCTATTCTAGCGAGAATACTTGCACGTTTCAAAAAGAAACAAAGCCATCTTAATGTGATACTTGAAGTCGAGTTACTCTACAAGATGTAGGCCACATACCATCTCAAGGCAAGTCGAAAGGCCATATAGCAATGGTCATTATTGCAAAAAAAGAATGCTTCATAGCAGCTACTGGTTTCGATCCAGTGACCTCCGGGTTATGAGCCCGGCTATAGTGAGTTAGTACTCTGGTATTTAATTCAAGGTGGAGTAGAGACATACCGCGCTTCCACTGCGCCAAGCTGCTTTCATTGAGCTGTTGGTGTCCCGCAGTGGAGAGTATCATCAAGAAGGACTACACTCAGGTGTTTCAAGGCGGGTATCATAACGATCTTAACAACTCCCGGCGATATAATGCACTGTTAAGACCCCAAAGAATAAGCTCTATCTGAGGAGCCCATCTCAGGATGTCACGATGTTTGAAGCAGAGAGTAAGTAATTGAAGTAACATTAACTCCAGACCCATTCGAAACTACCTTTTCAATCTATCCTTAAATAAATCATATACCATGTACATATCCCATTTGCATATCCCGTTCAAATATCCCGTTCATATATCCAATTGTCGTTTCCATAAAACATCCTAAGCTCATAATCTTATTAGTGAGACAGTCTACCACATCCTGCGCTGGTAGTAAAGTCCATCCTCGGCCTGCGCCGACTTTTGAAGCTCCTGCTTGATCATCTTTCTCCTCTTGGCCTTACTGACAGGCTTGTGATTTGCGACTGGTGCTTCGACATGCCCCTCAGGCGTTGACATCTTGTCCACCACCTTGGCTTGCAGCTGCTTGATAATCTCAAGATTTCTCACCGAGGCATCATTTTCCTCGACGTCGACATTGGGCTTCGATTCCTTGACCTCTACCAGTAGACGTTGGCGTCGCACCTCAATATCGGCTTCTGTGTCTATGTCGATGACTCGGCCATCCTCAAGCTCCTTCGTTCGCACTTGGAACTTCTCTGGGAGGTAGACTTTTGGTGACGGGCGTGTATCAACGCGCGGTTTGATTGCCGTGCGGAGCTGGTTGAGGGTTCTTTGCTGGATGATGTAACCGCTAATGAAGAGCGCAAATGTGCAAGTCACGACTGTGAAGTTCAATGTCTTATTAGTATGCCATCATCTGGAATGCGGTCAGCGGTGAGAATGTCTCTTACCAACGAAGCAGGATGCGATGACCTGAACCTGGCCTGAACTGAGCAGCAATTTGGCCATGACGAAAAGTAAGAATAATGATGAATTGGTCTAGTGCAGAACAAAAATGAAGATTCTACACTATCAGACGATTTAGAATACAGTTTGAAGGTCAGCTGTCGTCATCCTTGACCGTTGAAAGTTCCATTATTTACTCTGTTGACACAGCAACGCGCCTTATCAGCTTATCGGCACCAAGCTTTCTACACTTTCCCATCCGAGCTTCAAACCAGCCCCCACCATCACCAACTTCTAGAATCGACAATTCCTTAGCGATCACCACCCAAAATGAGCAGAGATAAAGACACAGTTCACGCCGATGCGCGACGCTTCCTCGATGAGCGCGGCTCAAATGTCTCGGTTGCGCCAAACGGCCTCAATCCCGCGACCATCATGGAAAAGGCCGTCAGGGATCGCATCGTCGACTCGATATACTACAAAATGCAATGCTTTGCGTGTAACGAAGCCGATATTGTCGATCGCGTCGTAGAAGACGTGAAATTTATCGGAGGTACATATGGAACGACACAAGTACCCAGCCCGTTTTTGTGTCTTGCCTTTAAGCTTCTCGAGCTCGCGCCCAGCGATGCGGTCCTCCTGGAATACCTAAAATTCGGCGGTGAAGCCTTCAAATACCTGCGCGCGCTTGCATGCTTCTACTTCCGACTCACACGACAAGCGAAGGATGTATATGAGATGCTGGAACCATTTCTTGAGGATAGGCGCAAGTTGAGACGGCGAGGCAGGGAAGGTGTGAAGTTATCATACATGGATGATTTCGTGGACGAACTTTTGACAAAGGAGCGTGTATGCGGTACGAGTTTGTGGAAAATGCCAAAACGAGAGGTTCTTGAGGATCTGGAACTTTTAGAGCCAAGAGTCAGCCCTCTTGGTGACCTTGAGGATCTTTTGGAGGAAGAAGATGAGGCGGAGAAAGAGAACGGAACGAGAGAGGAATCAGGAGAGATCTCAGACGGAGATGTGATGGAGGTTGACCGGGATGAAAGAAGGAGAAGCCAAAGTCGGAGCCGATCACGAAGCCGGTCTCCAACTCGAAACCGCAGCCGAAGTCGTTCACCTTGATCTGGTCGTTCGTCCACAGCAAATCAATACAAGTGTTCGAGCCGCAAGATACCCGATGCATCTTCTTTCGAAACACGAGGAGACTATTGTGTTGACCAGGAGCCCCTATTAAATTGAACATGCCGACCCTATCTGGTGGCCAGTGTCAATGCACAACAACAATAGCCGGACGATGTGTAGTCGGATGAGTAACGATCTACTATGAGACGGCCTGGACCAGAAGAATATCGACACCACTAAGGAGGCAGTCACCGCCAACTCGCCCCAATGGCTCCAGAGGACGAAAGATTGGCAATAGGACTTAAAGGGCTGCAGTCTCAGTTGTAGGCTCACCTGTTCGAAATATCTACAGCGTCATCAACTTGAACTACTAGAAATAATCGAAGATAATGAATCAATTTATCGCATTTACCATCCGTATCCATCAACATTAAAAGGTTCTGGAACCCACTAGATCAGAAGCAACTTATCCGCGTGTGATGTTAGATGAGCTCCTGGGGGACATGGGTATCAGTGATAGATGACGACTTATCAGACCTACGAAGCTCGAGATCCATATGCCATTCGCCTTTTATCTAGTCTAATATACAATAATGTCATAAATCATCGCTTGTGAACTCTACCAATACACTCATGCGGTCAAAGACTTCAGCTTCTCCGCCAACTGAAGCATCCTTTGATCATCCCAGTACTGTCCAATAAGTTGCAGTCCTGCTGGGAACTGACTCCCTTCTACCTGAGCTGGCACACTCACAGCTGGTAAACCTGCCAGACTTGCGGGCACCGTGAACACATCGTTCATGTATGCATCTACAGTACTTTGCTCCTTGATCTCCTCTAATCTCGGAGGGAACGTGGGTGCTGTAGGACATAGTATGAAGTCGACCTGAACAGGGCCAGTTTTGTCCTCCATACCAGTAGCCTCAGCCATGTCGCTCAGATCAAATTGCGCAGGCTCATAGAGAGGGTTATCAAGTCGGAAGACACGATCGAAATCCTTTTGCACCATTCTTCGAACCTTTTGGGCCTGGATGAAGTAGTTGTCAATGGCTTCGGAGCTGAGACTGTATGTACCGAGGAGGATTCGTCGCTTGACTTCTTCACCGAAGCCTTCACCACGGGTATCAGAGTAGAGTGTCTCACCAACTGCATCGCTGCCTTCACCACGTTTTCCGTAGCGGACACCATCGTACTTGGCAAGATTTGAATGAGCTTCCGCCGGTGCAAGGACGTAGTAAGCACAGAGCGCTTCCTTGGTGGATGGTAGTGAGATGGGTACCAATGTTGCACCCTGAGCTTCAAGAGCGGAGGCGGCAGATATCCAAGCGGCGCGAACAGAAGGATCGAGCTCATCGATGTTGTACTCGAGGGGAATGCCAATATTTAGCTTTGAAAGGTCGGGGAGACTAGATGGCGTTGTTTCAGTGCATCGGTTCCGGGATGCCGCAGGCAATGATGTTGGATCCTGGGAGTCATATTCCTCATGTATGCCTGTCTTGAAAACAAGATCATGTATCGGCTTAACATCCTTGGCCAGGAGACCAACCGTATCCAAAGAGTTCGCGTATGGAACGACGCCGAATCGAGAGATCATGCCATAGCTAGGCTTGTAGCCAACAGTCCCAGTATAAGCAGCTGGTAATCGAATTGAACCGCCAGTATCTGTTCCCAATGCGATGTCGGCATCTCCTAAGCGTACCGCAACAGCACTTCCACCAGAGCTTCCACCAGCTGATACATCATCGTCCTTGGCCAAAGGATTCTTTACTGCGCCATGAACTGAGTTTGTTGAGTGAGATCCCATACCAAACTCATCCATGTTCGTCTTTCCAACAACAGTTGCACCTCGTTTACGCAATTGACGGATGACAGTAGCCTCAAATGGTGAAGGATGAGATGAGAGGATGTTCGAGGCGCATTGTGTCGGGAACTCAGAGGTTGCAATATTATCCTTGACTGCGAGTGTAAAAGGTTTCACATCCTTACACATAAAAGGAAGAAAATCGGCGTTTGGATCCGCGGCAGCGAGTTTAGCTACAAGTGTTAGTGAAAGCCGGATAAAGATATGAGTTTATACATACTACGACCAACAAAGTGGTTGTAGCTGCTATGTGAGCGCCATTGCGTAGCCGGTAGCGCACTAACAGCGATTGGTAGGCCTCTTCTACAGTACAAAGACCTTGAGGCCGATTGTCGCACAAGAGCAGAACTCATCATGAATTTATGGTCATGAGAAGTTGCTATAATTTCGAGATGTTGAAGGTGGGGATGAGCTGCAGCTTGGTTCTAGCTTATCGATAAGAAACAGGCATCTAAGGGTCTTCGATCTTACCCATCTATTCTAAGCTTCGCAAGCTCAACAAAACATACACGGCCGGGTAAAAAATGACGACCAAAAGAGAATTCGAGGACGTCGACGAAGGCGATGCTTCCAAGCCTAAACCGAAACGATCCAAGAAGCACGGCGGCAAAGCGCGACAACATCAAAACTCCGGCATCGATCCGACCTGGGGCCAGAAATATGTCTTTGCAGATAATGAGCATGCGACTACGATTCCCGCAGGCGAAGAGTCAGAGTTCGAGGATGATACGGATGCTATGGCGTATCTGAATTCAGTTCGGTAAGGCGACCTTTGTCCCCTGCACCCCTATTGCCATTGCTGAAGACCGCGACCTTGCAGAGCTCGAATGCTGATGTGGTGAGTATAACAGACAACAAGCCGCCGGAATCCCCCATTTACTCGTTGCGCCTAAAGTCCAAATTGGACCCCAGTTACCTGCTGAACTTAGAGGCGACGACCAAGATGACGAGGATGGACCTGTCGACAGGGGCATATATAACGATGGCGTTGGCGATTCTCGAGGCTGGTACGAAGATGGCGCGTATATGGCGATGCCCGACGATGCCGATGGAGAAGGTGACTACGAAGAAGGGGAATACCCAGAAGATGAAGACGACTACGACGAAGTAGCGGCTATACGCGAAGCCTACTTTGCCTCCGTTATGGAACAGTACCTCAACCTACGAAACATCCTCCACGCCGAACCTCCCCAGAACGCCCGCTCTCGCCTCGCAAAAGCACAACTCAAAACCGAAGCTCCTGCAGACAACCAGTCCTCTGTCATAGCTACCTGGTCGCGACTCCTACGCGACACCGATCCACATCCACTTCAGGTCGCCCATATGTCTAAAGACACCACACTGCGAATCCTGCGCATTATGCTTGGCGGCAAGTTTCTTCGCCGTGGCTACACACTTCCAGAACGTACGAGTCGTTGGATATGGGCATTACTTGCGCGACTCCCAAATAAGGGTGAGCTGAACTACGCTGAGATTGGCTGGATTCGTGACCTAGGACGAAGAGCAGTCCTTCTGGGCAGAAGTTTAGCAGAGATGGCTGCGCTGAGAGATGAATTAGCAGAAGGTGGACTGGGCGCGCACGAAGCTGTTGATAGAAGCAGTAGTGACGAAGATGTCATGGCTGATCCAGAAGACCTTGAGATTGAAGGTGCTGTCAGCGCTGATGAGGACGAAGAGGATTCCACACAAGCCGAAACTGAACAGGAAGTCGACCAAGCACCCAAAGCCATGGAACCTACCACAACTTCGCCGCCAAAGCCTGATGCAGAGGAAGGTGAGATAGACGAGGACGAGGATGTGGCTATGGATATTGCATCCGACTCAGACGCCGAAGAAGGTGAGGTCGCAGCCGCAGGGCCCCAGGAGAGTCTTGAAGCAGCAAAAGAGCGACTGCTCGCCCAGCTTAAGAGCGGGCCGGTTCCAGACGACGATGATGATGCGGAGAAGGAAGCTGCCAAACAGCGATTACGGTCGAATCTTCGCGCTACTCTCAACATGATTTTGACAGTAGCTGGTGAGTTTTACGGGCAGAGAGATTTACTCGAGTTCCGCGAGCCATTCATTGGCATGTAAATTAGAGGAAATTCTGTAATAATTGTAGGTCTTTTGCGACCTTGTAATATTCCTTGTAACATACAGCAAGCCCCAGTGTGTCTTTCTAACACATAATAAATTTACAACCGCTCTGGAGCATTAATATAACCTGAACGCCGACCCAATGTTGCAAAACCCATAACATAACGCATAGTGACATGATAATGTGAAAAGACTCGGCTAGAGTCTCTCATCAGAGGTTGTGGCTTAGTTGGCCATATCCATCTCAGGGACAAGGAAATCGGCCTCGTCAAAATCTGTGCCAGAGTTTTGGTTCTCTGGAACGAAGCCCCTCAAGCCGGCGCCCTTTCGGGATACTGGAATAGCCATGACTCGGTTGCTCTGGACATCCATGGCGCGGCTTTCAACCAGTTCATCTTCCTCCTCGTCAAAGATTCGCTTGCGAGATCCATCATATGACTCAGCACTATCGTTGCTCTCTTGTGACATGGTAAGCTCGGGAATAGCATCGATGTCTGGAACCTCATCCTCCCGCTCGAAGTCAGGCTGAGTGTCGAGACCTCCAACCCTGTTGATTCCACAGAAAGGAAGAAGTTCTCGAGAGGTACCCTTGGCAGGGGCACGGGTGGCGGTGTTGATAGACTTTACAGGAGCATTGTCTGTCCACAGCTTGAAAGCGCTAGTGCCGACCGTCTTGTATCCTTCGGGGACGGACTTGCGGACTCGCATGCCAACGCTGAGGAGGTTTGCTTGGACATTGGAAGGAAGGGTAGGCTGCATAGGCTTCTCAGCTGCGGTAACTGGAGATTCAGCGGAAGTTCTTCCACTGGCATTGAAGAAAGAGGTGATTTGTCGCTGGGAGGGATCGGCTGAAGCACCAGCAAATTGGCGCTTGGTACGGGGAGTCGACATGATGGAAGGATTTGAAGAAATTTGGATGTAATTGAACGCAATGGTATGATCCAGATGGAACCAGCAGTCGATGAAATACGCAGAGATGCGATGACGTTGCAGAAGTTATTGAAGAGTAAGCAGTGGCTGTGTGGCACAAGAATCTGTAACACAGAAACAGAGTTCAATCAGTTGTAGAGTGGAGAGTGTCTAAAGACGAAATTTGGAAAGAGAAGTAAGTCTTTGTAGAGGCAAATGACGTCGCAATCCAGGAGAGAGATATCAAGGGTTCAAAAGAAGAACAAAGCAAACAGGAGAGGGGAGACTTGGATGAAACCAGTTGAAGAGAGACGCTTGTTGCCAGGGGTGAGGAAATTGGAACAGGGTCAAGAAGCGAAGGCCCCTGCTGAGGACCCTCAAAAAGTCAAAAACTGAGACGATCCTCAAAGCAGAATGAACCAGCCAATCAACTAACAAGAGTTTCTCATTGTGGAGTCCAGCTTCCCGCGTCTGAGCGTGATCTCGGCGCGCTCCTTTCGCGTAAATTGGTCAATTCAGCGCTCGTTGATTGGTTGGCTGACTCATCTGATAAGCTGGGTATCTGATCAGCGAGTGAAGAGTCTCGGCTGTGCTGGAGAGCAAGGCAGTGGCGAGAAATAACATCTACGGGCAAATTCTGGCATTTTCATGATCGACAAAGGCCAGTTAATTTGTCTATCATGAACTCAGCTCCACCTAAAATTCGCCTTCAACAGTGGAGGCATTAGTTAGGGAAATAGTCACACGAGCTTCTCACACGAGCAGCTACTACTAACATTTACACTCGATAATAGTGGAGGATATATGTACTTCTTCACGTTAAGCAATTTAAACTTTGACATGGCCGAACAGTATTAGATGGAGCTACCAAGAGGTGATGATATTAATTGGTTGAAGAAGTTGAGAATTGCAGAGGTTCAATGATCTGTCCAATCATAATCAACTATAGACAGGGCTACAATCTGTTTGGCTTAAGGCAGAATGCGGATTCCAAGCACATTTCGCGGGGTAATTGGTTCCCCAGGTCCGTTAAAGCAGACCTAACTTTAGATTCGTCTTCGAAGGAGTTGCCTCAGGCCTTTGTAGCGGACGACCATCTCCGGGTCGAGTCATCCGGCAAGTCAGCAGCTAGGCATGTTGATCGATTGAGGGGTCGAGGCCAACTATCGATGACGCCTTCCATCGCCAATCACTGTCAAGTCAATTCAACTCGACAGCAATAGAGATGGAGAGCCATTGTGAATAGTAGTCGTAGCAGATGGAGGGATTATGGCACCATGTTAATACGCAGCACGGGTGCTCTACGACAGTCACAACAATAACACAACGCAATCATCGACTAGAAGCATTCACGTCAACAAGAAAGTGATGTGGAAACCATTGTGAATTTCGCAAAAGCACAGTGACCATCCTCCGCTACCCACTGCACTCGGGTATGAAGCGATCATCAAGAAACGGTTCCACGTCCTCATGTCCAACTGGCCCATCGGGACCAGCATGGACACTCGTGTGAAGGCTTTCTCAGCTTTCCACCCATGCAGTGCTTTTTTTTCCTTCCTGCCTCCAGAAGACTCTTTGGTACAAGGCGCGTAACGGAAAAACAAAAGAGAAATGATGTGCCATGCAAGATATCCGGAGACCCCAAACGCCCCTATTCTGGGTGTTCCATCTTCTATCTGCAAAGATGTTTTTGGTGAATGTTCGCAACGTCGGCTGTTCTATCCGTCCATGTCGATGTTGTGTTTTGCAGATCCGAGATGGCCACCATGAGATGAACCGTAAGAGTCATGAGTGCCCAAGGAAATAATCGCCGCGAGGCGTTTACTTTCTTCGGAAAGAGCAGCCCTCGGTCAGACGAGCCTTACCACCGGTAGGCTGGCAGAGGACAGTGGTGCATCCCTGGCAGATGACAACGGTCTGGGCGTGAGAAAAGACGGTGGTGATGGTGAAGCAACCGGGGCACTTGACGTCCATGAAGAAGGATCGAGGGGCGGGCACGAGGGTCTAATAGTGATGTTAGATCGATTGTCGTGATGATAAAAATTTGTCCGGACTATCGTACCTTGAGCTTGTGCTTCTTAGCCTCGGCGGCCGGGGAAGGGTTCAGAAGATCAACGGCGAGAACCTGAGAGGCGGAGTGTTAGCCAGCTTGTTCCATCATCATGTATATATCCTTTGCGTTTTCCATCCATCATCGATGCTATCGTCGGGGTCGAGTTTCGTCAATTTGTAACTTTTGCCACGAGGCAGCAAGTTTTTCGAGTCGATGATTCCACCTCTTTTTCACACACGGAGTCGTTGTCCATCCATCGCTCGTAATCGATCCATCGTAAAAGGCATCAGAAAAAGGCAGTCGCTTACCATCTTGTCTGATTTTCTCGAAAATTTCTTGTCGGTGACTTGCGAGAGTGGGAAAGCTTGACGAAATCCGGCAACAGATTTGAGGCTCGCAAGGTGGGTGGGAGGAGGTAGGTAAGCGAGGAAAAGTCTGGTGGCTCTGACAACTCGCTCTTGCCTCTGGGGCGAGTTGACCAAAAAGTGGGTCTGTGCGTAGGGTTGTTGTGCCCACACACGTGATCGATCAAAGAATTCGAGCGGTGACGGCGTCTGGAGTCTGGCCAGTGTCGGTGTAACATAGCGCCGATAGAGCTTGTGAACGCTAGATGTGCTTGGTGGGGTTTATGCATTTTATGCAAATGGATTGAGCTCTGCCTGGTCCCCTATTTGGGTAGGGATGTAGAGTTGCGTCAGTTTATAGGCTGCCACTTTCAAACCGTACATATCTACTTGTTGAAAGGAGTTGATTGAAGCAATTACTTCAGCTCTATCAGTCTCCAAAATGTCTAACCCTATGGAACAGCGTATCAATGTTCCAATTGATGACCCAAATGCCGACACAGAATGGTCAGTTCTTGCTACCCCTCCATACTCCTGATAGCTCTAACCCCGCCATAGGAATGATATTCTTCGAAAGCATGGAGTTATTCCTGAGAAGCCACCTAGCCCAACTCCTATGATTGAGGAGGCTATTCTTGAAGGACGAAGATTAGCCCATGAGAACCGACTGGAAGGAAAGGACCTCGACGAGTTGGACGAGCTTGAGGATGAAGAAGAGGAAGCTTTCCTAGAGCAATATCGCCAAAAGCGCATGGCCGAGTTCAACAGTTTGCAAAAGAAGGCCAAGCATGGAACCGTATATCCTCTTTCGAAACCCGAATATCAGCGCGAAGTCACCGACGCATCACAAAATGGACCGGTCTTCGTCAACCTTACATCTGGCATGGGAACAAATATTGAGTCTCGAGTTTTGACCGAGCTATGGAGACAAGCAGCTCAAGAGTACGGCGAAATCAAGTTTTGCGAAATCCGAGCCAGCCAAGCTATCGAGAACTACCCCGACCGAAACTGCCCAACGATTCTGGTCTACAACAAGGGGGATATTGTCAAGCAGATTGTGACACTTGCAACTATTGGAGGTGTTCGAACGGGTATGACACAAGTTGATAACCTCCTGGTTGAGGTTGGTGCTGTTCCCGACTCGGATATGCGTGTTGTCAAGAGGAGACAGGCTGCTGAGGATGCTGCCGAGGACCGCCTGGCAGGCAAGACTATCAAGACAGGAACTGCTGGAAGATCACGAAACGTCGACAGTGATGACGATGACTGGGACTAAGCTCCGATTTAGTTCTACAAATGTCTTTGACCAAGTTGGTCGCTCGTATGGTCGGCGAGGGATGCGACGTTCAGCTATTTGCTATCTTATGCTGAAGCGCCGCTTTGCACCTTCTATGGTTCTAGCCAGGTTTCACAGAGACAGCAAATGCGATAGAACCTATACGGTTGCTCACCGGCCTGGGTCATATGTCTCTGAGGAAGGACATGTCCTTGTAAAGACCAGACATTGATGGAGGAGAGTATGCGACAAAGGTTCAGCGAGATTGTCGCTCACAACCTGACTCGCCATTACCAACGAGTACGATTCTGGCCATTCCCCAAAAGGTGCAGACGAATGTGTATATACCAATAAGAAGTTTCCACAAAGCACATGCCTGACTAGGCCTCTTGAATGGTGTGGTGAAGGGGAATTCAATACAGGCCTTCCGGGCAATGAGAGAAACGTTGGCTGTATGGTTTTGATCAGATCGATATACCAGTATTAATGCCAACATGACACAACTCACATTAATTCAGTACAAGTCAAGAAACACCCAAATCTTTCATCAAATTGCACTCTTTTTGCTGCTATCGTAAGAAGAAAAGATCCGTAGACTTTGCGCGCTCACTACTACGTTTCACCTCAAGCGATACAGATTGTGTGCGCCTACATGCATTTCAGCCAGGGTCATTACCATGGTTCTAACACACCTGTGTCGTCTTACAGCATGAATGTCAAATATTGTGGTTATGCATGTCTCATAAGGTCCGATGACAGACCAGGACTGAGTATCGCAGCCGTGTAAGTGAGTTGTACCACGTTTTATAAGGCCATGTCCATCCACCCTATGTACCATAGTCACTGCACCAGAGAACACAACCACAAAAATGACAGTGAAGTAATCTGGGAAGAAGAAGACAATCCAAGGTATCATTCATACGCTCATCAATCTGCTTGTACTATATATAACGCCATATTCCCTTATGCTTGCTGATTTTCATCGACTGTTACAGGAACAAGATTTCCTTTCGGCAGACCCCAACTACTCTTGTCCAGCTCTTCCGGTCCGCATCGCCATGAGCAACCTCGACGGATGAAAGGTATCATCCTCTCACCTTCTACCATACTCAGCGGTGTCACCCGCAGGGCAGACGAGTCCTCGTGGCTGACCTTCTTACAGGTGCGAACCTCGCGCCACTCGACCCATTCGACAGTAGGGATAACCATCATCTTTCGACAATGTGAGCAAGTCCACCCACCGGCATCCTTTTGTCGCTGTGCACGCTCTAGTAGCCTCCTTAGATGGTTGAGACCCTCTGGGATGTAAAATGGCATTTCTGAAAGTTGAGTACTGGAATAGCATGCTCTTAGGGCAGTCTCGAGAAGACTTGGCACGCGGCTTGCTCCTTGCAAGCGTTGAGACTCTGTCATGGATGAGACGGAGGATGACGGTGAGAACTCGGGTTCTCCTTCGTCAACAGGCAAAATGAGTTCCCTGTGATCTGTTGGGAATCTGAATTCTGAAAAGATACGGCCCGCGGTATCCGACAACTGTGAAGGGGACCGGCCTAACGCTCGACTGACCAGATTTGGTACGGATGAGATTTCACCCTCTGTGTGAGAGAAGAGCACGTTATCTGATTTGTCCTCAGTGTCTTGCAGTGTTCGGTTTGGTTGCCAGAAAGGATTGGGATGCACAACAAGTGTGTCAAGTTTGCTGTCTGATGCGAATAGGTCTAATAACTCAACAGGCAGGTGTCTCAAACGGTTTTGTGACACGTTGAGCTCCTTGAGATGCTGAAGCTTTCCGATACTAGGAGGAATCTCAGTGAGTTTGTTGTGGCGGAGACTGAGGATAGTGAGATATGTCAAGTCGAACATGGCACCAGGAACCCGTGTTAGCCGGTTCTGTGCCATGTAGATCTTGAGCTCCGGGTCCTTTTGCTCGAATGCGACATCCTTAGTGACGATGGGAATGCAGGAAAACTGCGACAAAGGACTGATGGTATCGTTGGAGACGTCTTCCAGCCCCATTGACCAAAAGTCGACTGTCTCTTCCCCCGCGTCAAGACAGGCACGAACCTTATCGCGAGCAACTTGCTCAGCCCTTGAGATGCGGCGCACAACGCGATCAAGCTGAGGCAGTTTGGGCTTTGGATTCTCAGGTACGGGACCTAGCATATCGTCACTCTCATTCCCATCGCTGCCGAGATAGACACCACTGTCTGCTTGTCGCGTCCATTGACGCCTCTGCTTGGGAACGTGAATCTCACTGAAAGTAGAGTCTGATGAAGTAGGATGCTGTTGAAACCAAGAACCAATATATCTCTTCTTTCTCCTGCCCTCTACATAATTGTCCAGTGCGGGATCATCGTCACTGGAGAATATGGCGGGATCACTTGAGTTGTTGAAGCCCGAAGACGGCGCGTGCTTGGAGCCGGCATTGCGGACGCGTTTCCGAGGGTTATTGCTGAAAGTCTGCGATTGCTCGTCCCAAGAAACAGCAGGGAGACGAGGGAGTGAAGGTTCCTCAGACATTGAAGTGATCTGATTGATAAAATAGGTAAAAACGAAATTTGAACTGGGGCTTTACACAAGCATAAAAGATAATTTTAAAATGATGCAGAAATTCAAACCTGACCTTGTCCAACGCGACTCGGCTCAGAAGAGGATGCAGAGTGACGATGGAGGAGAAGTCTAACGTAGGTTAGTCCAGTGCCCGACGGTTACAGGGTTCGAATGACCCCACTGACGCACTAAAGATGCCATGCACCCTCCAATTACTGGGTGTGCACGTGCCATTACCAGCCACCCGTCCCTTAACCTGTCAGTGATTTCAGGGTCTGAACCTGAGATTATCCATGAATTAACACAGCATGATAAGATCAGATAACAGCAATATGAAACTCTTCTGGAAAAAAAGGAAAGAAACCCTCAGGCTTGGCTACTTTAGCTGCGGTTTGCTATACGGATGATGAGTTGAACACTGCATATTGTGCAAGACATAGCCTGCGGTTGCAGAACACGTCTTCATACTGATAGGTAGGTAGTCTAACTTAGGTAGATATTCAACACTGACGACCCAATAGCCAACGCTTTCATTTTTAGAGTTCAATCGAGATCCATCGAATCATGAAAGACGTAGTTTCTACTAAAATAACAGCACTTGTATGTAACACAACCCATTGTACAGGCCCAGTAGTATGGTAAGAACAAGAAGAGCAGCAGACGGTATATAACGAGGTGCCGCCATCACAAGAGTATGTACGCGACAAATTCCAGAGGCTCATGGTCAAGCTTATTCTAGCGACCTCCATAGTGTACCGTGCTATTGTAATTCAGAGCTTCAACAACATAGATTCGAGCTAGAACCCACACTTCGTATGGACTACAAAAAAGAACATGAATTAGCCAGTTTCAACTTGACTTCCCATGTACATGTTGCTTGTTGTCTTCAGCTAGTCAAGGTTTAGGGTAATCAGCTTGCCAAGAGCAGAGGAGGTACAGGCAGTTCATGGACAGCTTCGCAATTTGATATGCCGCTAAACTCCACTTGGCCTTAACACGACCATCATTGGACAAACTTTCACCCAATGTCCAACAATCGAAAGCAAGCGCACGACGTACCTTTATCTACCAGCAACATCATCCGCTACCTTTTGATCTTTGCTCTTCCACTTGTTCTTCTCATCGCCTGGAACCAATTCTTCGGTGCTGCCAAAGTGAAGAAAACAGCAGAAGCAAACATGTCTTCAGCAAGAATCGCCCCGCTCGTTTTCCCTGCGGCATCCCGCCACACAGCTACAGTTATCTTCGTTCACGGCCTCGGTGACACTGGCCATGGCTGGGCAAGTGCTGTCGAGAACTGGCGTCGAAGACAGAGACTGGATGAGGTCAAGTTCATTCTGCCTCATGCTCCTCAAATCCCTATCAGCGTGGTGAGTTTAGAAACATGATACTTCTCTAGACCTAGACTAACACGAATAGAACATGGGAATGAGAATGCCTGGATGGTTTGATATCGTATGCTCCCTTTTTCAACTCTTATGGAGAAAAAACCTAACACAGTGTAGAAACAACTTGGAGGAGATGTCGACTCTCTCATCCGCAACGAGGACGCTGAGGGCATCAAGCGCAGCCAACAGTACTTCCACGAGCTCATTCAAGAAGAGATCAACTCTGGCATCTCTCCTGAGCGCATTGTTCTCGGTGGCTTCTCTCAGGGTGGTGCCATGTCTCTCCTTGCTGGTCTTACTTGCACAAGCAAGCTGGGTGGTATCATTGGACTCTCCTCTTGGTTGCTCCTGTCCAAGACCTTTGCCGACATGGTCAAGCCCACAGATGCCAACCGCCAGACTCCTGTCATGATGTTCCACGGTGAAGAGGACCCTATTGTCCCTTGCGAGCGTGGTAAGCTGAGCGCCGACCTTCTCAAGGGACTTGGCTACGACGTTTCATGGAAGACCTACCCGTAAGTTGACACATATTTGCCTTTGAAGAGTTGTATACTGACATTAATAGTGGTATGGGACACTCTGCTGTTCTTGAGGAGCTTGATGAGGTCGAGGCGTTCCTGAGAAAGCAACTACCCCCTCAAAACTAGAGCACTTAGAAAACAGTTCCTAGATAGTATAGACTTGCAAGAGCCAGTGCTAAATTAAAAGAATAAAAGAAAAGAAAATAGACATGATATTGAGAACTACACTTTCTATGATTTGAGACTGCTCATCACATTGTACTGCCACGAGCTGGGAAAAGACCAATCGTATTTGCCTGTCTCCCTCTTCAAACCTCGTGATGTTAAAAAAGTTGCCCGCCTAAATGAAACTGAAATTCCCCGTATGGACAAGATGCCCGATATTCCATCTGACGCCCGCCAAAATGACGTGCGCTCCACCACTGGCTGGGCACCTTTCAATGGCCGCCGCGTAGAGGTGCATGATACGGCCGGGCCACCGAGTGCCCTATCGCTTACAAGTAGCAGCGCTGGAGGCTTCCATGAGTGGGGGACTCTGCAGCGACAGACCCTTGATCCCGGACAGTCTTCTCCAACGTTCGCCAACCGATCGAAACCTTTGGGTGGAATCAAACAACTTTGTTCGATACCCGACACTTTTTTTCTTAATTGACGCACCTTGTTTATGCCTTCGACAGGCCCGCTGTAATATCTTCGTCTGTGTTGCTAAACATCCCCATTACCATCCGAGCTACACCGATGATCTTCCAAAAAGTAAACAAACATGGCTTCTGAAGCATCGCGTCCAGTGTCACCGACACCTTCACAGCTACCGCCTGTCCCCGGATCGCCCGTCTATTCTCTTGCATCGACCGCGAACCCTCTATCTTCATTCAACCTACCACTCCCGCCACCTCCCCGATCTTCACATGCTGTCCTCACAAAAGCCGACCTTGAAAACTCTCAGCAAGCTTATTCCGATCTCGTCGCCTCAGCAAAGTCATACCGTCTCGCTCTTGCTGCGCTATCAACCGCTGCCTCAACATTCGGTTCAGCGCTCGAAGCATGTGCCAGATTAAAAGAGGCTCGCGCTGAGCCTATTGGCCCTTCTGGATCGACAAACATGACGGCTAGCTTCTCGACCAAGGGCTCCTGCACCGCTGATATGCTCATGTCCGCTTCTGGAGTGCATCACCTAGTAGCAAACCACCAACAGATTCTCTCCGAGACCGTATACCGATCCTTCGAAGTGCCGCTTCTCCATGACCTGGACAAGTGGCAGACCGTTATTGACGATGAGGAGGAGACGTACAAGCACAATATCAAAGCCCAAACCCGAGAGATCAAACGATTGGAAAAAGAGGGCATGAAACTACACAAACAGCGAAGACGAGATGTTGGACGATTTAGAGCCCATTTGGTAGACTTGACTACGAAATTGGACGGGTTGACGACGCTACATGCCGATCATGCACGAACGCTACTGAGAGAAAGTCAAGAAACAAGTGGTAGAATTGTTGATGCAAGCTGTAGTCTGGTACGTGCAGAGGTGGACATTTTCGAAAGTCTCGCAAGGAAAGGCTGGAGCGGAGGCGGTCTGGACGACCTCCTGGAGAAGGGCCAAGATTTATTCGCAACAGAGGAAGACAACACAACCCTGGGTAGTGTCGGTAGTGGCGACACGCCAAAGCTCTTTTCTATCCTCCCACCGAAAAGCATACTTGCCGATTCAGGAGCAGAGGCATCGAGGAGTTACACTAGAGGCGATAGTCTCCTGATGGATACGGAACGTTATCAGTCTCTAGCTGCATTGGCCTCAGATATGCGACCCAGCGGTGGAGGGGGCGGCGATACTGACAGCGTCTTCTCGACAGACTTCAATAAGCCTCGAAACGCAAGACCGTTTTCACCACAGCCTATTCGGCGGATTCCAACAGACGTGACCTACGACTCGCTAAGTGGTCGGGCAAACGAAGACGACGAGTTAGATAGATCGGAATTTCTTCTTCCTGTGGCGGAAGCAGATGTTGGACCTGAGGAGACGCAAAACGGAGACAGACAGTGTGATGATCCAGAACATGATATTGCTGTGGAGCAAGAGGAGGAACCAAGAGGGCGATCCGCGTCGCCTGCTTCAGTGAAGAAAAGGCCAAAGTCACCAGGACTTATCACAGACGCAAGCTCGGCGGCTGCGTGGAGCGGTGACGAAGATAGAAGTCCAAGTTAACTGGATGGATGACGGAATTACAGAATTACGATCGTGCTGGGTTATCATATACAAGGGCGTTTATGTGGGAATTTTGAACAGACATCCTCTTTACAGAGGCAGCAATAGATTTGCAGGACTTTACTCCTGATTGATAGTATACAAGCATTATGCGGATCTTCCAACCCTCCATGTCTATTAATTATGCGACTAAACCAAGTGGTACCATTCCATAACACGCCTGACGCCATGACCGCTGTTACGCCTGGTCAATGATCAAATTCTTCGTCTCTCGTACATCCTGGCTCTGCTGCCCATTGATGCTGTCGCCCTATTGGACTGTGCGTCCTCTATATCTTGGCTCACACTGCCGATTAGATGTCCTCTAGTCGTCCTTGTCGGCGTTGAGCACATCACCCCCAAACAGTCCAATAGTAGCATCCAGCCACCAGATGAGCTTCCAGTATAGGCTTGCCTTGCTCCAGTCAAACTCGCCAGTCTCGGTTCGGGGGACCTCATTACCAATCATGCTACCGCCAAACCACTTAACGAAAGGAATGGCATTGATCACCCGCTGCATCATGGTCTGCTGAGGTAGAAGAGCTTGTTCAGCGGGAAGAATGGTAGCACGGCGGGCAGTAGGAATTCGACGACAGAATACACTGTCTTCATCACGAATCTCCATAGGCTCGATGCTTGACGTGGTGGCTTGAGGGAGAGGGATCGGTTCGATAATTGTAGCGGTAGAAGCGTGCGAGTTGCTGATGGTTCCAGTATCCATGGTAAGGCTAGATGTTTGCGAATGAGGTGGTGAAAGGTCGAGGAGACGGCTGTTGAACGATGTAGGACCACTAAATGGGTTCTTTCGAGCATTTGTGATGGGGACGGCGGCCGGCATGCTCTGTGATCGGTTGTGCTCGGGGACAGCAGCATCAATATCAGGGCAAGCCTCATCCTTGGCAGGAGGAACTCCTCGGTATGGCTCAGCGTAGACAAGATGTCCCAGGATTCTTTGAGGGCTGGCAAAAGTTGCAGCTTCAGCAGCTTCTCTGCTCTCGAATGTGACCTTGACCCAATGATCTCCACCGTCCGCACGGTTCACCATGGCTCGCTCATCGGCTGTGAGGTTACGGCGTCGCGTGAACGCAGGATCGCGTAATTCGGACTTGTATCGACGTTGACTGGCAGGGGGTTCGCGAGGATAGTCCTCCAAGATCGCGCCAGCGAGGGATTCGTAATGGGAGATGGCAGCATACTGCTGGGTGTACGATCGGTAGCCGCGAAGGATAAGCTCGACAGGTGTAGAAGTCACAGGTCGTTGGGTAGCAACCTCCTCCTGCATCATACCGCTGCTCTTACGCTGGACAGTCTGAGCAGGGGCCGCAGCCGCTTGGTTCGATACCCAGTCACCGAAGAGCTTATCCGCAGCAGCTAGTGTAGGGTTTTCGCGACTACGAGCTGGTGTTCCGGTACGCGATCGCGAGCGACGGGTTGATTTACCGAACGAGCCAGACTCGGCGGCGCTGCGACGTGATCGGGCAGCTTGAGGAGCATCTTGTCTAATGCGCGTCACGTTAGTCCTGTTTTGATGCAAAGGAGAAGGGACATACGGATTGAAGTACATGGCATAAGGTCGCTTGATGCCATCGTCGCCAACGTAACACTCGTCATCTGGGACGTTATGAAGAATAAGAGGAGCCATGATGAATATGGAAATAAATAAAGAGACTCAAGCACCACAGGCAGGGACGTGTCTGATGGATGGGCCGTACAAGATGGCGTGGGAGATACGAGCCCGATGTGGCGATGGTTGTCGAATGACAAAAGAGGTTGAAGATGATGGTTGAAGATCTGCTCTTTCTTTCACATGAGATGCTTTGCCCTGCCCTTGTCGAGCAGTTTCTGAAGTTGACTTTTTGGCGGGCTAATCTGGCAGTTGCACCCAGCAACGGACCACTGAAGGTAGCTCTTTCTGTTTAGTTGTGGGGCAGTTTATCCGGTTCCGTTGGAGCTTGAGCTTTCCAAACTTTTAGCAATTATGAATTTCTTTTATGCAGCACTGTTCATTGAGGTATCGTTTGTGTAAAGCTTGACGGCTTCTTTATAGTGAGCCTCAATTAAATATACTTTATTTGCAATTTCCATTTTGTAGCTGAAGAGGCTATATGAGCAGTTGACACTGACAAGTGCACACTATGGATAGGACGACTACTATAAGTCGCCTGCATAATTCTTAACTTACAATACTCTTCATGTCCAATCATTGACTCTTATAACCATTCAGAAGTTAACAATCAACTCAAAGTCTCATTAGCACAGACCTCGCCAATCATTTCGCCAATCTCTCCACTGCCGGTAGTCCAAGACCAAAACATCCCATGATTGTGTTTATCATGATGAGCTGATTCAGCATCAACCTCAGCTGAGGAGATCCACTGGCGGATAACTCGGAAGGGATATTCGGATATACAACTACGTATGTCGATGAACTCGTGTCAATAACTCCTTGAGGCTATCGCCAACTTGTAAAGAGACGCTGTAGAGCCACTCAGTTCATTATGCCTCCACTCATATCCTATCGAGCCTTGATCGGCTTCGTTGCCGTTGCTGTGTCTGCCATTGCTCTGTTTGGTGCATCACCACTTGAAGCATTCTCGTCAACATTGCAAAAAGCAGGAGTTGATTGGTACAAGACACAAAAGAACACGACTGTCTCATCAGCTACTTCAGCTACAAGAACCCCCGTCTACTTTTTCAGTCACGGTGGCGTAAGTTTGTCCTTGTGATGCTGAAAACAGACTCACTAACAAACTTGAAGCCCGATGTTCAATATAACACAAAGCACCCTGTGTATCCAGTCCTTCAGCAGATTGGTAAAGAGATCACCCAGAAAGTCAAACCGAAGGCCGTAGTCGTCTTCTCGGCGCATTGGATGGGAGAAAAGGATACTATCCATATCAACAATGAAGTCGATACTGACCTGATCTATGAGTATGTCGTATCACAAATAACTTGGGCCTCTGTTAACATCCAGTCAGTTTCTATGGCTTCCCCGAACACTTCTACGAGGCCAAGTACCCAAGCAAAGGAAGTCCTGAGCTTGCAAGCAAGATCATGGTGATGCTTTCAGAGGCGGGGATTCAATCCTATGGAATGAAGCGAGGTCTTGACCACGGTGTATTCTCTGGCTTTCACGTTGGTACGTTTGCCGGGCATACAATTGCTAGATGAACTAACAACTCGCAGCTTTCAACCCAGAGACCAATCCTCTCAATGTCCCGCTGGTCCAGGTCTCTCTTTTCAAGAGCGAAGATCCTCATGCCCATTATGCGTTGGGCCGCGCCGTGTCTGCACTTCGAGACGAGGGAATCGTCATCATCGGTGCTGGAATGTCAGTCCACAACTTGCGTGACATGCACCACATGTTTGAGGGTAACACTGAGCCACTCCCATACGTGGTGAGTTTCGACAACGCCCTCAAGGAGGCCGTTGAGGCCGACCCTGCCGTCCGAAAGGAAAAGATGGCAGCAGTTTGCAAAAGAGGAGACGCAAAGCAAGCACACCCTTTCATGGATCATCTCATGCCCGTCTTCATTGCTGTGGGCGCTGCTGGTGAGGATAAGGGGAAGCAAACTTGGACATTGCACGAGGGTAGCTTCGGCTGGTCGCAATATCGTTTCGGTGATGTCCCTTCGTAGGACTCTGTGCCTCAAGCCTTTGTGTAGAGTCAAAGTGTAGCACAAAGTATTGAGGCCAGAATTCAGAGCGACACGGATCGCTTCTTATATGATAACATCTCTGAAGGAAGACCCTACGTTCGATTTAGGTAGCCAACAGAACGCCATTTCAATAACACAACACCACATGTAGTGTTGCAATGTCTTTTCGTCCAGTAAGGTTACCAAAGGATTGAATCCGAGGCCATCCCATCCTTATCAGCCACGTCACAGTTGATGCAAGCCGCCTTGCACCGATACTTTAATTGGTGTCTAGCCTCGTTTAACTAATTACACTTTTTCTCGCATGAACTGCCATGACTCACAAGTGTGCCCTATTGAGAGCCCGAAACGGTCTATTTCATTGATATACCTGCTCCTTTCACCAAATCTCCTTTGTTGTAAAACTCTACGCTCGGTAGCATCTCACTCACAACCCATCTTGCTGTCTGGGAGTGAAGCGAACCGTAGCCGAAGGGCTCATGGGTCTTTTCCTTTCTCATTCTTCCATCACCAATGTCAAGGTTACCCATGGCATCAATTAGCACTCCAGCAGATGGTTCCTCTAAGCCGTCGCCACGGACAAACGAGGAGTACCCTTCGCAGAGTGCCTGGAACACCACGACTTGATCCTGAAGATGAACGTCTACTTGGCCCCCAACCTCTATCTCTTCAAACAGACCTTGGCAGACCTGTTTCGACACCTGTTCCGTGAATCGATCCCTGTTCTTGGTCTTCTTCGGCAGCGAACCGAGCCAGTCATGTCCCCGTCGAATTCCCGATATGGAATGAGCGACAAGGAGTATGTACCACCGTGAATCCAGGTTCGTGTCTTCAGTAAGCTTGAAATGGATTTCGGTCCCTGGGAACAGGGTTTCTAGATCATTTGTTAGTGATGCCTGGAGCTTCTCATGCACGCTACCAGGCACCACAATGCTGACATCGACAGACTTGACCTCGTAGGACTCGGGGTATTTTTGTGGCTCGGGGGCTTTGTATTGTAGGCGTTGACCAATTTTCAATGGGTGAAATTTCAGACTGATTTGCCCTCTTGACTGGGGCCCACTGCTCCATCCACGATGGTCGAGTGTTCTTTCTACTTGGATACCAAACCGCTCTTCTAGTGTTGGCAAAAGGATCTGATCCAAATATTCGAAACTCAGGGAAAAGGAAACATTTGTTCCGCCGGAAATCTGAAGCTCGACTGGTTCCTCGGAGTCATTTCCCGCAAAGACAAGGAATGGAAGAATAGCCTGGAGTATGAGGAGGGTACTCGCAGACCCCGATTCTGCAGATACTTTGATGTTGCGTTGGTATAGTTCCGTGGGTTTTCGTTTTGGTGCGAAAATAACAGTCTTAGAACCTATACTTAGGCCATCGACATCGGCATCTGTTATCTCTGCCAGGTACTGGATGCTGGTAATATGCTGGCTTTTGAGACCTGGAGGATATTAGCTGATGATCAAGCATCGAGCATATAATCATCACTCACCACCGCCACGATCACGATTCCCTCGCACATTGGTGATGGTAACCGCTTGTCCGGTTAAGGCAGCTATGGCGATGGCGACTCTCACAACTTGGCCACCTCCTTCGCCTGTTCTTCCATCTAGTTCCACAGGCTTCATCTTGGTGCCTGCCTTGAGATGGTGGGAGGCTTTGTGGCAAAGAAGACTTGATAGGTTGAAGTGTCGCTGTAGAAGGTGTACTCGGAGAGAAGGTTTAACTCCGACTTTGTACCACAGTGAAAACAGCGTAAATGAGATCGAGAGACTGTCTGCTGACCAGATTTATATGGTGTTGATGGGTTTTCGCAGCACAGGTGCTGTGACTCATTTGCCGAAGGAGCTACCAGCGGCGCATGACTACCTAGGCAACGAAGCTCTTGCTGGAGGTTAAATCGAGAACAAAATATCAAATCTCCGCGATTGACTCAAATTATTTCGTTTTACTGAAAGAAAGCTGCGCCAAGGAGGCGGCTGATAGCATGTGTCCTCAGCAATTCGCTGATTTCTAAGCCGGTATTGCCGACGCCGAGCTGACTGCTTTCGTCTGTTCTCGTATTCAGCTATGACACTCTGAAAAGAACATAAATAAGAAGGCTTGATTCCCCGACCTTCTTGCCCTTTGTTGGTGTCTTGTGTTTGGCTGTAGGAGGGAAGTTCAGCTATCCACTTGAACTCACAAGACCCCCGGACGACCGATGGAGTGGGGCCGTTTTGAGAACTGAAGCCGGGGCTCCTAGACGGCTTGACCCCGGACAAGGAAGGACGGTCGGTCGATCCAAGTGGCTTGTCGTCAAATGCGCCAAAATGAACACTCGTTTGCTATTCCTTGTTCCCCCTATTTCGACTGCTTGACTGCTTGACTTCTCGGACTCTTTCAAGTTTTCTCTCATCTTCAGCTTGGTTTTCCCTTACTTTCTGTTCTATTTGCCTCATCAGTTGTGTTGCTTCGACTGCATAGTCCCAACAATATGCAACATCCCACTTACACGATGCCGGCATCCCCATGTGTTTACTCAGCCTCATATGCTGATCTGTCTAGTTTCAGATACGATTGGGTGTCGATACATATTATCGCCACGCCGAAGACATGCTGTGGCAACTGACCTATCATCGTTCTCAATTGGAACCTGGGAGAATGATCAATTGTCTAGGAATTTTTTCTACACTGCCTCACCTTGACGAATCATTGCGTAAACCCACTGTCAAGGTGCTTGGCCTGGCTTGCGCAAGACGAGGGCTGGGATATAAGAGAAGAAAGGCAACTGATCAAAGGATTAAAAGAGTGTACAGTAGCATTCAAACTCAATAACTGATCTAGCCTATAAACGCACTTCACCCTCCCTCGTTTCAGATATATCTACCGGCAGACAACCCTGACAGACAAAGGAGATCCTTCAAGCTCAGACAATTTAGGAGCAAACCATCGCATCTCAAACACATCTTGGAAAAGAAATCAGAAACATTATCCCTCATTGAACAGGCATAAACTCCATCGTTCATTCATTCTTAAAAGCGTTAGCTCCAATCTTTGTTGTATCCTTCTTTCCTTTTCTCTTCTCTTTCTTTTTTTTGTTTTCCGTCTATCATGCAACCGCCCGATGCAAGAAACCTACCTGCGCCTGCCGTGGCTCCTTCCCAATTGTTCTATCGCTAACCTGTCTGCGCTTGCCAGCAGCGGGGGATGCCTGCCCTTCGGATGACGTTTGCGGAAGGAATGCATCGGGGAAGCTGGCATGGCTTCGATTAGAAGGGACGACCCAAGTGGGAAGGAACCTTCTGCTTACCTTTCACTAGAAAAGAAAGAAGAAAAGAAGAAGAAAAGAAAAGCCTCCAGCACTATCTCAACTCTTCACAATCCATTTGGTTTCATTAACAGAACTTAACGACCAAGACCCGAGTCACTCCTCCATTTCCACATCATCAGAGGGTTCCTCCTCGTCACCATATTGGGCCATGTTCGAATCGGTTCTCGGGGCCATGGCGTTCTCGAACTTCCTAAGTGTGGCTTCAAGGCCATTATGCCTTTCAACCATACCCATGCCGCCCGTTCCCTGTAACCAAGAATGAAACGATTCTCTTTGGGCCTCTTCGTCGTCGTCGTCGTTGTTTTTATCGATGTTGTTGTTATCGATGTTGTTGTTATCGATGTTGTTGTTATCGATGTTGTTGTTATCGATGTTGTTGTTATCGATGTTGTCAACATCCTCGAGGTCGATATCTTCATCTGACTGGCCTTGGCCATCTCCGGTATTATGGGTTCCAAACGGAACGTATTCATGAGCACTGTCATCGATTTGGGGAGATACAAACGAGTCCTGTCTTTCAAGAGTGTCCTGTTTGGCGCCGACGCGAGAAGGAGAGGCCATAGAGCCATCATCGTGGTGGTTGTTTCCCAGCTGGGAGATTTCGTTACTGCGCATGGCACGCTACATCTGTTAGCATGGCCCTTGACAAACATCGCTTTCGAGCCTACCAAGTCGCAAGGGTTCCCGCCTTGATGAGTCAAGGTGCGAGGGAAGTAGTCAACTGCTGAACTGTCCCTGGATTCACGAGTGTCGTGAGCGGTAGCGGTGCTGTCTAGACGAAGGGCGTCGAAGCTGCGTTGCATATCAGGGAATTCTCTGCAGTATGTGCAAACCCATCCGGTTTGCTCCAGGACACATAGCTGGGCGCAGGTGACGCACTTAGGAGTTGAGTCACCTGTATGGGCGTCCTTGTCAGCAACCATCGCGGAAACTGTTCCCGGGAGTAGTTGAAGATGCTTAGTCGATGCAAGATTGCTGCTTCCGCCGGCTCTGATGCTGGCCCCTTTCTTGGCGATAGTGGATAGGATGCTCAACCGGCAGGGAAAGGAATATTATCGGCCTTTGCACACAGTTTCCAACTGGTAACTCGTCTCAGTGTTGTTGAGGGGCACGCGGGACGAACTGTTAAAGAGAGTCTTGGGACCAGACGTTCAATAAAACGACAGACCAGCTGGGATACTGCGAGGAACTGGAGGCGGCGGCGCCACGTCTCTTTCCCAGGGTCAGATACTATCGGGCAGAGGACTTTGCGAGCATACCTGATAACCTTGTGGGGATGGAAAGGAACTATCAGAAGAGACTTGATGGCTCAGCCGATGGTCGAGAAGAATACGTTACTGTCTGTTGAAAATATCAAGGTTGGGTCGAAGGAAAAGCGAAGATGGGAAGCTGGCCGCTCAATACTTTGGCCAGTAAGAGGGAGTGACGAACGACAAGGATACGAGCTGCAACAAAAATGTCAACACATTACAGTGCAGGCGCCTTGGACTTTTTTTTGGACGGTAATCGAGTTACTGGGTCGTTCCTCCCAACTGGAAGAAAAGCCGCCTTAGTCTTTGATTCGCTTTCCGTGGCCAAGTCATCTACCCCGTAAACGCAGACACCTTAAGCCAGTGATAGTTTCGGTGAGCTTTGTCACTGATCGGAAGGCAACCAGGCGACCTAGAATATGGGCCGACAAATAGGAGAGCCACTGCGAGACTCCGCCATCGTTGGGGTTTGCATATGGATAAGGCAGACAGCATCTTGACGTCTCAACGGAGTACACAGGTCCACGTTCGGGGAGGGAAGGCAATGAGAGCATTGTAGCGGGACGCGGAAGCCATATCGTCAAGGAGGGGGGAGCCAAGATTGGCATATCGACTCTTGATTGACCAAGAAGGACAATTTAGGGCAATTCAGGAACAATCATCACAAACGGAAACTCTATCGGCAGCTTCCAATCGAGGATGAAAGAGTCAAGATATTCTAGAGGAGCAAAGACGGGGTATCCAGCTACTTAACGCCCTCCTCTCCCTTAAGCCATTTCTGCGCTTGCAGGCTATAGGCGCCGTACATGCGCATGATCAACCTTCAGTTGACCCAACACCAACAAGAGTCGTGTGAAACGCTCCATATCTGCAGCCGATCTTGGAAGCTCAGGTGAGGAGGTTGGTGGCTTTTTATCACCCAACCCAGCAGAGCAGGCTGTGGCTCTACATTACATGCGCCGTGGAGCCTGCCACCTCAAACATACTGAGGGATGCAATAGAACCCTTCAACTGTCGCTGGACAACTAGGAGTTGGCCTATGGGATCACTCTTTGGGCCATCAATGACCTTGCAGCAGCCAAACCCCCAAAAATATCGAAGCTTGGTTCTCATGACTTTTTGATCAAGAAAATATCTCAATGAGTTTGTGCTGCATACTCCCTTTGCTTGGTGTCTACTAGCAGCCGAGACAGGCTGCGAAGTGGCGTCGCAAAATTGGATTCATGCATATACACTAACCATGGTAATGGTGTATAACATTATCTTCAATGGAACAATCTTGACAACTTGTCTTCAGTTACTGGATGGAGTTGAGGTGCGAATAGGTCAGTTCATGCGGGTGTGTCATGCACGACTTTTGGTGCCGCACTGCTGCTTCCGTTTTGCAGCCAACATCTCTTTCAGGGAGCAAGTGTTGGTCTCGGAATCCTATCGTCTACGCGTAAGTGTGCACATCATTTGCAACGCAGGACGATAGTTTTGGTAAAAGATTCATTCCGCACAAGAAAATACTTTACATTACACACGAAACGCCCTTGATCCAAGCAAAGAAATACAACCTTAGTATACAAGCCAACAGCATTCGTAACGATCACCAACAGAATAACGAGTCGTGCCAGACCACACAAAAAACAGAAACATAACAGTATCGCAAATCATCCGCTCATACAACGTAAAAGAATCTCGCCAAAAACTCAACACAGATGCACAGACGCCATGACGATATGTCAACTTCAAACAATGGCTCACTGCTGTTTCCAGGACGATCTACCGTCACGACTGGGTTGTTCAGTCGTTTGATGATAGTCACGATAGCCCGGGTCTATGCGACGTGGATAAGTCCAAGGTGTGCCACCTTGCTGAGCATTATGAGGTATCACATAGTGGCTGGTAAACTCAGGGAACTGGCTATCAAAACGCTTGATTGTTCCATCCGCGTCACTAGCCCCATACCGCTCAGATTCTTCAGCATGTTGTGCATAACGGGCGCCAGGGTTATATCCAGAGCCGACGAAGCTGGCAGTCCTTCGTGAAGTGTCGTCCCACGAATACCGATCGCCCGGGAAATTCACTCGGTTGTGCGCATTGGAAGAATCGTCATATTGTTGGGAACCAGCGCTGTACTCAAATTAGCAGACGCTCACCATTTCTTGAAACTTATATCACATACCTTCCCTGATAGGCCAACTGGGTTGATGGGGCATAGGAATATCCTTGTGCATATTGGTGCGAAGGTGTGCCTTGATACTCCTGCGTGAAATAGGTTTGTTGCATTCGAGGATGACCCGGTGGGGGTTGGAAGGTTCCTTGCGATGAAGGCACAGGACGTCGTGCTTGGAGTATATTCTGCGAGTCCCCATAGACTACGTCTGTCCTTGGTTGGCGGGATTGGTCTGAATATCTTCTATGAGAATCCATGGTGAACTGACCACTCAGGGGCAGGGTCGGCTGGCTCAGAGTATATTTATATATTTGGTATTGGAATATGCCAATAATTCTGTGAGTCAGGGTGGGATCTGGGATCGAAGTGGTCGATTGAAGAGAGACTGAAGAGATGTATCAACGAACAAAAGGAAAGAGGGAATCGTGTCGCTATATGAATAAGTCTTTGAGGAAAGAGAAAGCAAGGCTGATCGCATGGCAGAACATGAAACTGACGATGAGCCCTACCTTTGACGAATTACATCTCGTGTTAAGGGGTCGAAGCTTGTCGGGTATGAATGTTTGACAAACGCCCATAAGGATAGGGGACTGCTGCCTGGATAATGAGATTCCGAAAAAGCCCAGGGTGGCATTGCAAGGAAATCTTCGACAAAAGTTGTCCGTCCAGCCATACACGAAGCCATCGTAACTGATACAAAACTCAGTCGAGTCATTAGAAGGCACAACTATGCCAGCCTCAATTTGTGGCCGGTTGGTATTGGCAGAGATTGATATCACGAGGTTGCTGCTTGACGGTTTTTTTTCTTGGGCGGGAAAGGCATATTGTGAGAAGCTTCTTATGACGGCATTGTTGATTACTTCTCGAGGTACAGCCACTTACCTTGCCTAGAGTGTGTCAGAAGACAACGAACCTCGGTGGCAAGAGCTTCTTCGTATCCATGAACCCATAAACGAGAGGACATCAAGCTTTCAAGCTTTCCGGGTATACTTGGGCCCTATAACATACCAAAGTCATCCAGTTAAGGCGAGACGATATCATCGAAAGGATGTTATGGGGCTCGCAGTGCCATAGATTTGGCGGATATGCGAGGAAAAGGCTGACTCAGGAAAGAATTTGTTTGTGAGAGCTTCAAGCCTACCACGGCCAAGGCTATGCTGCAATGCCGATCACTTCCATATGGTTATTGCTCGTGACACAACTTTGTTGTATGCGCAAAAACGATGAGGAAGAGAAACACGTTTGTGGTGAAGAGAAAAGAGAGGTCTCCCACAAGAAGAGATGCAAGGCTATAGGGACACTATCTCTTGCGTTGGCGGATATGCATGTCGGCTTATTCTGGGGCATGACGCTTAAGATGGCCAACGAGTACGACGTCAATGATTCTGGCGACATATGCGATGGCTAGAAAGCCAGCAAAGAGCTCAGAAAGAACCCTAGGGATCCTGGTCTCTTACCGAATCTGCAATGTTTACTTTTTCTTGGCATTGCGAATCTAGTTCGCATAGGCGGAGACCAAGGACAGCGATTGCAATCCCTGGCGAGCATTCTTCGGTCACTCCGATGGTACAGCGCATCTGATAGAGAGGAGCTGAGTCTAAGATGTAACTCTGGCGGGGGTTATCAAATCCATTATGCCGCTGAATGCAAGGAGTTCAGTGCTACAGTTGACTCTGCTACGTTCGTCATGTTATTTGGTTATCCCAGACTTTCCATCTTCAGCACTCTTCTTCAGATTCGCAATCAAAAGAAGAGATAAGAGAAGAAATATACCATGTCATTTCTATGGGATCGTACTATAGTTTATCTTGCGGTTCTGAACAGACGCATTGCGATATTCCTCTCAGACGTTTACCCCGCCTGAGTCGGCCGGAAGATGGTGTTGGTTCGACCACTGGAGCTGAATAGACCTAACCCTGTCTCAAACCCGTGCATACCCAGCGGCTGCTGCACGCTGTAATATCTGTTCCAGTCTGTGCCACTCCCAAGCTGTAAAGCAATGGCATCAAGGGCCATGTGCAACACTTGAGATGTTGCATCATCCGTCAAATCGGAGATAGTGCTCTCGATGCAATAATGGCGCCAGTTATAATTGAGCTACAATCTAAATCCCGATTGAGATGAGAACAGAGGGTCGTACTGTCTAAACCCGAGACCAATCGAGGACAACAGAGGGGATACAGCAAGAGTTGCCGTAAGCAGCGAGATGCTTTGGCTCTTGGCTCTTGGTTCTTTCTTCTCGTCTCTTGTCTCTATCAGAAGTCCGATGTTGATTTGAAATATGAATTAACTAGAAAAAGCCTCTGGCTGTGTGTCAGAAGAAACCCGAATGTTGATGAGAGCCAGGTTGCTTACTGGATTGTCGGATACAATGATTCGTCTCGCTGTGGCTATCCATCCCAGTCGCATCACTGGCTTGCAGGTCAACACCCTGTTGACAGCCAACAGAGATTCCCTGCCAGTGTTTCTCTGTGGCACATCCTTTTGGTGGGGTCGTGGCCTTGTGCCTCCTCGAAGTTATACCATTATTCTCCATGTTGTTTTGCACCGTCTCTGGGTTTGGGGAATTGGGTGGCTTAAACCCTTCCCATGGACGATCAACATCCCATAACCAAGTCGATAACTCTGAAACCTCGTCGTCAGATCTAGCATAGTATTCTGTTTTGGTTCTGCCTTCGGGGGTGGTGGTGGTGTATGCACCGGCCTGGCTGCGAGCTAATGTCTCGGTGCTAGCAGCAGGCACGACAACGTCTGGGGCCGCAACAGCTATTGGCTTCCGATGGTTGGGAGACGCCGAGATATTCCCCCGGTTCATACTTTTACTATCTGTCGATTTTGAGGAGTTCATGGTTTACTTCAGCCAAGCAAATGTGAGTGCGTGATGCTGATACTCTCTTCAGCCATGGTCGCCCCCTTGGGGGCTTATACTTTTATGGTGAGTGCGGCTCAAGAAACACCGACTTCTTTTCTAGTGAAGCTTGGGTAGTGACATTCATGCCTGAGACGATACGATGGTGGTAATTGATGCAGCTCACAATCAAGCCTGCTCATGTTTATGACGAGTGTTACCCTCGTCTCTACCTACAGCTCACTCTGAACCACTGGATCACAACAGCCCCAAGGCTGAAACTATTTTTATCCAGCAAGGATCATAGGAGCGAGCCATAACTTACACTGCCATATGATATCCAAGTGCAGCTACGGCGAAAAAAAGTCCAGAGTCTCCTATCAGCAGCTTCTTGTCCAAAGATATTGGAAGGAGGCCATCACGTTCCACGGAGTATTCCAGCCAGTCGTCATCCGCATATCCTAACTGGCGCTTGACGCAGTCTTGAGCCTTACGCTTCTCAGCAATAACGTGGCGAGGAGAAAGACAACTGATGGGAAGAAGCCAGTTCAGAGAGGTGGTAGACAACGTGTCTCGCGACAGGGATCGGCCTCTCTCATTTCGTCACTTGAGCCACGTCCAGTCATCAGCATATCGCTCCTTCACTTTCAGCTTTACTTTCAAACTGTTGAACGAATGGCTATAGCAGTAGCCACGTCTAACAACATTCTGGAGTACAAGCAGATTGCTACAATTACACCATTTTTCACTACTTGCGAGTGAGTACTCAGCATCTCCAGCGAATACTGCAGGTTGTGGCAATGCTATTGTACATCATCTCTACATGTGTCTTCTGGCACCTGATCAGTAGTGAAGAGTATCATCCTACGCCACTTTGGTTGTCAATTCCTGTTACACATACTTCTTTTTCCATACGTACCAAGATGTCCCTTGCCAATTGCAACGGTAGTCAGCAACATCAGCTTTCACTGCGCCCCTTCAGAAGCTTAATTCTATCACATGCTCGCATTTCAATGTCCGAAATCGAGGCGCTATAAGTGGTTGGCGATAAATCTGCGGTCATTTTATGCACAACGTCTTTTAGCCTGGTCTTTATTATGGAAGTGTGTGTCCGCCGGGTACCGATACAAGTTCTCTCTTCAATCAGGCAACCGAATTGATGCGGTCTCATTCGAAGATTATTCGCTGCTTCATTCAATCACCCGGAATCACCCTGGGAGAGTCGACGGACTCCAATACGTGGACAAGCCCTTTCTTGTGCGTGCTCAGACGGATCAACCGGACTGTGATCTATCTGCTCCAGCGTGCTTCTAGTCAATTCATCGTCGACGTCGAAAGTCAAGTATGTACAATTGATGCATGGCGCATTGCAGGAATCGCCTCCCATGCGGCTTCCCGAGGTGCATACAGCGCAACGCCTCATCACGCTGCCTTGGTACTGAAGCTTTCTCTATAGCTGGCTGAACAACAACACCTGAAACGATTTTGGGGTTAACATGGAGGTTTACGTCCGATTTTTTGGAATACAAACCGTAAACTACAAGTCACAGTTGTGTCATTGTGGACGAGGTTGACCTCAGTACAGCCGTGGCTTACAATTCTCCCGCTTCAAGAGATGGTCGGTGGATTATCAGGAAAGGACATCGCCCAGCACTTGTACAATGAAAATCAAACAGAAACAAAGCCTTTGGATTGTGTCGTTAAAATCGAAGAGGCTGGTATGTGGTCATTGGTGGACAGCCATCATTGGCTGGTGTGAGCCTCAGCTCATTGCCCAGAGATCAACGAATCAGTCATGCACTGCCGTCCGTTACTGACAAGGAAGTATGGAGTTAAAGAAACGGACTAACGGTTACAGCACCACGTGTCAAGGTTAGAGTAGTCGCACTACCGCGCTGGTCCGGATCTGTCACCTTCTTGGCAATACGATCGAGTGAGGATATCAGCCAGAAGAATCGACCCGATGGACTGTGCTTGCTAAACGGTCTTGCATCGGCCAAGAATTCACGTATCAAAGTCAACAAACGACTGGTCTGTGGCAAGGTTAAACTGCGACCTAATGTCAAAGCGATGAGCCCAACTCAGTGGGTTGGGCCGCCATAGAGACACTAATTCACCTTCCAGCGATGAGCTTCCAATAAGCCGGCCATTCAAACTGAAACATATGTATTTGTCATGATCTTTCTGAAGTGTAAAAAGGGCTTGAAGATGCCCAAGAGAATGTTGAGTGCGCTGACGGCTGTGATTGTAGCGGTCAACAAGGATTAGCGAGTTGAATCGTGGCTCGCCTCACTTTATCAAGCTTACAGAACCCATGTCGACACTCCAAATCCTCCATCGAATGATGTCCAATCATGCAAAAGGTGATGGCACTGCAGCTTCTGTGCTATCACACATGCATTTCTGGTGAGGTATAGCTGGCGCTGCACAAGCGCGAGTGCGTGTGAACTCATCAGGGACCAGGTCTTATGCAGGAAGATTTGGTGATAGGTCATGTTTTAAGTCGATTGTAACTACTCGAAATAGGTTTAGAAAGCTCGATGGCTCTCGTCTATGCCTACTGGTCCAAACTTTAAGGTTTAGCTGACAGTCTATCTCGGTAAGGTGTCATGGTACAAGCCTTGATGACACCGCATTAACGCCCAACATGAAGATGTTGTTTAATTGCCTAATAAGGAAAGTGATGAAGGTGGGAGATAGTCCGTTTTAAACGGTCACCGTGTAGTTATATGCACTTGTTCAATCTACAATACAACAATGTTAAGTTTCATGTCACTCATGTTACATTCAATCAAGGTATTACAGGCAAATAGTTTTGGTGAATCGTCGTAATAAAATTTATACAAGAGACTGTCTCTAAAAAGCTAGAGAACATATCTATATAACAGAAAGCCATCTGCAAAAAAGATGCAGTTGCATCGCTCTCCGCTGGGGAGAAGCGAAAATGGTACTTTTGCTAGCCAACCCAAGCCATGTGGACGTCACGGACGTTTCACAACATCATTGATTGTCTGTCCAGAACTGTTTTACGAGTTCTTTACAGAGCGTTGCGGGCAGCGCGGCGAGCACGGCGGCGGCGAGAAGAGCAGCCGGTCTTGGGAGGAGTGACGGGGGTGGAAGGAGCCTGGGTAGGGGCAGCGGCCTCCTCGGAAGGCTTGACAACGGTCTCGAAGGTAGGAGTAGGAGCAGCGGCAGCGGAGGTCTCCTGAGCGGCGGGAGAGGTAGGAGCGGGGGCAGAGCCGGAGCCGGAACCGGAACCGGAGGAAGAACCCTCCCAGACGGCGGGGCCGGGGAAGTCGTAAGAGCTGGCTCCACCGTAGACATCGAAGACGATACCCTTGTCGGTGTACTTGTAGCCGGTGTTGAAGTCAAAGTCCTGGTCGGGGACGGCAGTGCCGGATCCAGTGATCTCAACCTGGGCGCAAGAGGGGTAGAACTGAGCACCACGGGCGGAATCCTCAGAGAAGGCAACGTTGGCCTCGTGACCGGCAATGATCTCCTGGCGGATCAGGTACTTGCCAGCCTTGAGGGCAGAGGGGATAGTGACCTTGGCCATACCCTTGTCCTTGATGAGCTTGTCGACAGCCCACTCACCACCGTTGACACCATCCTGGGCAATCTTGGTCCAGATAGCACCAGTGCCAGCATCCTCAGTGTAGGGAGCAATGTAGGTGATGATGGGACCCTTGTGGGATCCGTCGATGATATCGTCACCACGCTCGTTGTGGTACCACTCGAAGGTGAGCTCGTCACCAGCAGCAGCCTTGGCGAACTTGGGAGCGGCCTTGCCACCGTTGACGTTGCAGACAATGTCGGCGGTGGTGAGGTCCTTGACGGGGTTGTTGTTGGCGGGAGATCGGATGTAGGTGTTGCGACCATCACCCTGGTCCTCTCCGTTAACCCAGAGACCGTAGACCTGAGCGTGGGCAGAGACGGTGGTGGCCATGGCCAGAGTAGCGGCGGTAGCAGTGAAACGCATCTTGATAGATTTCTTGTTGTTGTTTGTTTATAAAAACTGGTTGTAAAAGATTGGATAGAGCGAGAAAGTGATTCGCAAAGTTGGTGATGGTTTTAGAAAGAATGAAGGATTGGCACAGCCAAATTGAAAGAAAGTGAAGATAGTGAGAAAAAAGAAGTGATTTTGCTACGACGAGTGTGGAGGGAAAGAAAGAAGAGTTGATGGGAGAAGACTGAAGCCAACTTATATATCAGATCTGTAGAGACCATCCTATCCTATCCTATCCTATCCTATAGTTACACCCGACTACGAGGAAACTTCCGTCCGTTACCAGGATCAAGGGATACGATTTCATCTCATGCCCTGTCATGTCCTGCCTGCCCTGTAATTAGGTTGATGATTAGGTCTACGCGTATCTGTTGTACCTGGACAAGGGATCTCAGGGGAGACACTTCAGGTGGTGACAGGGTCATGAGCGTCTCGCCTTCCTCAACTCCATAGCAATGCAGATACTGATAGACGGAAAAATAGAGATTCAATTTCAACGGTTCCCGGGTCGCTTAGACTGCAGCCCTGGCCTGTCAAAGGGCCATGTCCCGCTAGGTTTGAGGCTCATGTCAAGTCTCTCATGATTGGTTAGAAGGGTCAACAGTGAAACTGTCGAATAGTCGCCTTTAATATTAATATCGGAGCAAGAGTCTATTGTGAGATCTCCGGCCCTTAGCGTCCCCTGATCTGGAACCCCTGCCCTTGTCCCTGTCGTCCACCGTTTATCCACTCTCAACTGTCTTGACCTTCTTTTTCCAACTTGTCTCTCTTCTTTTTCTTCCATCCCCCGCTTTTTCCCACCTGAAACTTGAAATGGCTCGTTCCGACTGGGGGAGAAATTGTCAAGAGGCGGTTGACATATGTAGTTTCAAGGGGTTTCCCACTGTAATACCAGAGTTTATTATGTCGTCTCTCGGGGAGTTGCGTACTCTGTGAAACAGAGTCGTCTAATTCTTTGAGGCAAAAGTCTCGATGGCATCGGACGAGAATTGGAGAGTGCAAACAACTGTGTTTCGACTTGTTTCTTGTCCATCAGATTCTATCCAAACATCGTGTCATTTATCTGATACGCTTCAACTTTCAAGATGTCGAAACAGATATCATTCAACTACATATATGATAGACATAGTCGATGGTGTAGTATTCGGTATATGACGACGGTGGCTCATATGCCGCGCCGATCTATAGTCATAGTCAGTGTAACTAAACTTTCAACAGCATTAATTTTAAGTAATAACCATATACATATGCTTCCTATGTAAATTTCTAGCTAAAATGCAGTGAACGCACCATCGAATGGTGAGCAAGGGTCTGTTTGAGCTTATCTGTCAATGCAACCCAAGAGTCGTAGCCTCTAACAAGCTACGTTTGAGTGTGTAGCGCTTAGGTAGTTACCCTGAAGGACAAGTGCAGATCTGATTTGAACGACGCATGGATAATGACGCTTGCTTGGTGATGTCGGAAACATTAATGTGCTACATATAAACAATTCAAGGGAGCAAATGGATTTGCTATTCAATCAGTATGGGAAAGATAGAAGCAATACAGAGTCAACTGGTTAAGGGAAACAAGATCTAGCACTAGATCCAACGGGTATAGAAATGAATATGCATAAAATATGTATCCATAGTTGTCAAACTTAATGCAAACGATTTTAGGCATTGCGGCCCGAAAAGACCGACCCTGGTAAAGTTCAGTCGGTAAGACGTACCGATTAACCAGCACCCGAGATCGCCCCACATCCATGGCAATGAGCCGGCGATCGGCTCCGTGAGTGCCCCATATTTCCCGAAACGCCTCCCGGGAGGTCAGAAGACATCCGGACTTCAAGTGTACCTACCTGGCAATAGAAAAACGACACTCTAAGAATTAGGTCACTACAGTGAATTGATGTAAGTGCCATCCTAAGATAGCATAAAGTAACCAAAACATTTCATCTCTTATGCCCTCCACAGCTTATTCTTCTGATATCCGGACGCTTACCCTGAAGTCATGATACAGTATCTCAAGCCATCGTATATTGTGCATTGAGGCACTGTAGTTGGCTTCACATCTAGACCGGGATAGAAGAGAATGTTAAGCTTCGAAATTTCGTGTTAATGATATTATAAAAACTTTGACGTTACTAACTTCAGTCTATGAACCCTGACTACCGATGTTGTCAAGGTTTTCAACACAGAATATCCTCACGTCCAATAAAAAGTAACAGTTCTCGAGTTACAGTTTATTACTTTGAGTCACTAGAATTCTAGCAAAGATATATAATTGACAGCAATCCCCTTGCATTAGGATTTCTCATTCCTTCTTTATATCTACATCTGCTTCTACGTCAACTTCTGCATATGTCTCTACACCAGCCTCTACACATACTTTCACTCATATACTCAGGTTACATACTCAATTTACAAAACCTCACAATGGACAAGGAAACACATTTATTGTCACTCCCCTTTGAGCTAAGGGAGATGATATGGACACTTTGCTCCTCAGATCAGAACTCAAACGGATTGCTGAGATGTTGCCATCAGACAAGGGATGAGTTCTCCCCACATTGCAGACTCACCGAGGATGTTGAGAAATTTCGAACACTCCGAATCTGGGTCGATTCGACATATGAAGATGGGATCTGGCTTAAGTTCGACTACACATGGGGCAAGGAAGGGTACACTCATCGCGCCATCAGCCAAGTTCGGGACATGGGTGACCCTATTGTCCAGATGTTCCTCAAGATCCGACAGGTCGACAAGATTGTGGTGAACCTGCACGCCCCGAGGAGGGGATACTTCGTCGGAGCGCTCTTCATGATGCTCGCCAAGGCAATCGATGTCTATTTCTTCATGTCCCATATGCTACGGAACATCGACCCAGAACAGTCAGATATGGGACAGGTCGAGATCAACTTCTCAACAGAAGAAAGACAGCCCGGCCAAACGGAAAATCAAGCAAAGAACTTCTGGGAATGCCGCACGTCCAAGGTTCTCGCAGAGTCTATAAGGAAGCACTGGCTCTGTTCTGGGCCCATGCCCTGCTTCTACGAGTACTTCCTCATCAGTCATCCCTGTGTATTTCCGCACCCACCCACCATCAACTATTTGACGTGGCCTAGAAGACATGTCCACAGGAAGTACTCTGGTGATACTAGGTCGGCGCGGTTTTCTCATATTACATCCGTTCGTGGGCTCGGTAGACCCCGTGAACTATCGCCAAAAGCTGGATATGAGTTCATAATGCGAATCAAGGTACCTGGTCTCCCTGGTCGCTTTGTTCACCAAGAGAGAATTGCCGAGTTCGCCGCTGTCGCCATGACTGTACCCCGCTGCGATTCTTATCCTATAGCGGATCCAAACAGAGTACTTAGAGAACCAAGACTTTATGAGTCAAGGCTTCATTGGCCGCATATATACTACGACAAACAGAATCTTATGTTTAGATTCCAGTTCTGCCTGGACAATCTCCCAGGTCCAATCGGCGGACACATGGACATGCTGCGGCTGCATCGGTTCAAGGCCATGAATAAGTGCACACACAACTTTTTCGCTCGACAGTCCAACGATGCTGCGAACTGGGGAGGGCTTTACGGTGCAGCTACTGAAATGTCCAGGCGACTAGCTACGCTATTCGACCCTTTCGCCAGGAGCCATGTGATTAAGATGCGCCAGAGCTGCCCTCATCTAAGAGCAGTCAAGTGGGCTACTGCTACTTCTCCTCAGTCGCAGGAAGATAACGCCTGGCTACAGCATTATCCTACGGGCATTCGATATCACTGGGGTGGACGCAACCTCATTGAGTGGCGGCTTCATTGGCGAACGCAAGGAATCAGCTGGCAAGATAAGAATCAGTATAAATTACAGAGTTGGGGGCTGAACTCTGTACGTCTGCATCAATGGTGGGAGTGTATAGCTTCTTATCAAGATTCGGGGGTCATCCTCAACCAGCTTGCACTTCCCCGTGAACGAGAGGCTCTACAGCGGCTTCTCCCACACGCTGCAGACAGTGAGCGACCGGTAGTGATTCGACGGGATCGGGACGAATGTATTTATCGGAACGCCAGAAGAGTTTGTGGATATATGGCTTCCGATTTCTGTTTCATGGCTTGGAGTTGTTGGCGCTGGGCTGAATTGGCGGGAAAGGAGACCTTCTATAGCACATACCGAGACGGATTGCCGGGTCATCTACGTGGGACTCCTAATAGGGTGTTTTATGGCCCCAATGGAGAGTTGGATTATCGTGAGTGGTTTCTCAACTTCAAGAGGGTACGAGACTGAGGGCCGTTCAAAACCCTCGTCCGTTCACTGTACAGTGCCTCCAGATACATGATACATAGTATATAAAGTCAATTACCTATCTACCACAAGTTGTGCGTCTCTATGTTGGCACCTATCAGATAGGAGTACCCAGGCAATACCACGGGGAGGTATAGAGTCCGACTTCATTGCCCATAAAGATATTAGGAAGAAAACCCTCCGTACGCAGTAAAAAAAGAGCAAAACACGCAAGAAAGAGCAAAACGAGCAAAACAAAACGCAAATCGCTGACAGCAAGAAACATAACAACATGCTGATACAAGACGCTGAACAGGACAAAAAGCAAAACGAAAACAAAACGAAAGCAAATGAGGAGTGACGTGAAGAGAAGGGGGATTCGAGAAGAAGAAGAAGAGCAACTTATGCCAAGCACGCGCCTTGGCCTCGGGTCAGGCCCGGCGAGTTCACTCATCATCATCCTCCAACAACAACAACCCTGGGCGTTGTATCAGTTGGCCAGGAGTCGAAGTCGTAGCGAGTTGGTCGTCCGGGCAGTAAGGTTCGTTGATCCCACCGTAGCCAGAGTCTGTGGAAGGGGTTGGGTTCCTGTCCTAGTCAGTTGTCGGATACATGTTAAAGCTGACGAGTAAAAGAAGATGAGCGAGTGGATAGGAGGGGAAGCGCCTAGGCTTGCTTGCTGATCAGTTATCAGGTACATGGATATATGAACGGGTGAATGGGAGCAGAGGATGAGGAAGGGCTTAGGTTCATGTCCTGATAGTTATCGGGTATAGGTTAAAACTGAGGTGATGGATGAGAGGACAGGCCAGTTTGCGGTTGGTAAGGATGTAGAGAGGAAAGAAAACAAAACAAAGGGGACGGGGCACTCGCCGTTCTTATAGATGCAATGGATGCTCTGGCAGCTATTACAGCACGATGGCAGCGCTTTCCTAAAGTTAGGGAAAACGACACATGACGCGCCAACCAGGCAGGCGGCGTCTACATCATGTATCCAAGGCAACGTCATGCGTACCTGCCTGCCTTTAAAACGGTGATGATGGAAAAGGTCAATGGACTGAGCTTAGTGTGGGAAGGTGCGTTTAATCTTGAACAACCTGTGCGATCTACCTACCACATTAAACCTGTACCAAACTGACGATGCCGCGGGAATGAAGAAGGAAGTTCCTAGATCCTTTTCGGCATGGGCCTACAGTAACAATGATGGCAGGTGTACTGCTCGGCGCAACAGACCTTAATGAGGACAATTCGCTATAGTAGGCACTATTCGTGTGGATGTCAAGCATTAGCTGTAAGAGCATGATAATCCGAGATAACCATGGACGTATATGTTGATTGCCCAAGACAGGAAGATTTGTAGAACACCAAACCACCATAAGGGATGAAATAATTTAGTTCTCTATGCAAATTTAGGATAGCTCTTAAATTTATTATTTCCGATATACTAAACATTGAGAGGATAGTAATACTGCATTCATGCGATCAAGTCGAATCTCAACCATCCTTGGCCCTTAGCTCTTTATACTCAGGGATCCTCCATGACCCTCTATCCTCTGGCAAGATAGCAAGTATCGCCTTATCAATCTTAAGCTTCGTAATCAGTCCAATGATCCAATATTGCAACTTGATCCCTAGCTCGGTCTTCGGATACGCAACTCCAGGTACGAAAGAAGGCAGTTTCTGAGACTTTTCAACAAACGGTCTCAGCGTCTCCTCATACGCCTTTAGCGCTCTGGGTATATCGTGGCTATGTCTCCCAATCTCACCACCAAGGACGCAGGCTCCTACTATGGCGAGTGTAGTTCCTACACCCGATAGGGGTGATGCTGCGTAGCCTGCGTCTCCCAATAAGACAACTCGTCCCTTAGACCATGTTTTTGTCTTGATTTGTACCACGGACTGTGCGTAAAAGTCGTCCGTCTCGTTCATCGCTTTGAGCAGTCTTGGCGCTTGCCAACCTGCATCCTTGAAGATCTCCTCAAACAGCTTCTTCTGCGCATCAACACCTTGACTCATCGCCTCCTTGAATTCTTCGAGATGAGACATGGTGAAAAGATACGCCTGACCGCTGTCCTCGGAATGCCAACGCGTTGAAATAACACGGCGGCCTGGAGCGCTATACACTGTTGCCAAGTTCTTGTCGCCTGCTTCTCTTGGAAGATTGTAGTAGCATCCATTAAGATTCAGATCGCGCACTTTAACTGCGTCTGGTTCATCTGCGAAGAGTTCCCTCCTGAGTCTTGAGCCCTGTCCGTCTGCAGCAATGACAAGATCGTAGCTTTCATCACCCCCCTCAGAGAACTTGACGTTGACCTTATCGCCAACATTCTCAAAGCTCTCAATAGACGTTCCAAAGCGATACTCGGCTTTATCCTTAGTCGCTTCATAGATAATCTTGCACAAATCCCCTCTCATCACTTCGAATTCGCTCGTGAAAGACTGCCTCCCTTTCCCCGATTCATTTTTCCCAAGCAGGGCTTTTTGTCTTCCTTGTGAGTCGACCCATTGGAGTCCATGCTCATCAACTGCGTTCTTGCGGATATCTTCTAGTATCCCCATACGCTTTGCTGCCTCAATGCCCTGTCCGCGAATGTCGATTTGTTGGCCTCCAGTTCGTAATGAGGGGAATCGTTCTATTATGGTGCAAGAATGGCCTAGACGAGAGAGCCAGAAAGCAGCGGATGGGCCGGCAATTCCACCGCCAGATATGAGGACTCGAAGTTTGGACATTTTGGCCAGGATGTATACCTGTAGGTGAATCAATGTCCACTAATTGTAATCTTATGATCATGAACTCATGAGCATGTGTGATTGAGATGTTAGTTTGTAAAAGAAAAGAGACGCTTAAAATACTAAAGGACCCTGAAATCTACAACAACTGAAGCTAATGGTGTTCCGAAAATCAGGGTCTTTGTTGACACTTGGCAGCTTTCTCATTCAAAGCTGATAACTGAACATGGATTGTGAATGTAGGTGTCATTGATTCCTGCAGTTGAAACTTATCAAAACAAGAAATAAAACGGGGACTTGCGTTGAAGCGACAGGTAAGGATTCTTAGTTCCTATACTAAGTTAAATCAGGACCTGAAGGATCTAGCGTATTTACAGAGGAAGTTCAAAACAACCCATCACAGATCCCTTTATATCGATAAAATCAAGCAGTGAATATATAGAGGCTTATGTTCTACTCTATGTATGCCACTGCGATCCTACCTAGACCAAAAATGTCCATTATAAATCCTCATAATTGAAGGCATTATGAATTGGATCAGTTTGACCCAGATGTAGCCGCCTTCTTTGACAGCACAGCATCGTCCACACTTGGCGGTGCAGGAATGTCAACACCCTCAACCCGGTACTCCAGACCAGGGTAGGCATCGCTAACAACGAGGACATCAAACTTGCGAGCCTGTCCAGCCTCGCCTGGGGGAAGCTTGATGGTTGTCTTGGCCGTAGGTTTGCTGCCAGCTTCAAGCTTGCGATTGCCGCTCGTCCAGCCTACACGCTTCACTGCGGTGACCTCGTCACGCGTCAAGTCCGCCACGATAACAAACCAAGACTCGCTCTGAGGCTTGGGGAACTTGGGGGCATAGATGCGAGCTTCACGTTCCACGATTTGGTTCAGTCGCTTCAAGTTAATCGTAATCGAGAGAGCATTAGCCTCGGCAATGGAAACCTCCACGTTAGGCAAAACCGATACTGCACGAGTGAAACGATTGTGCTGACTGGCAGGAACACCAAGCTTCTTAGCAAGCTGTAATGCCTGAGGCTTAGTCATGGCGCTGATCTTGGAAAGTGGTGTGTCGTTCTTAACGTCAGGTTCGACGTTAGGAAGAATAGAGACCGGCGCATCTGTGGGCCAACGAGCCGACTTCACAGATTGCAAAACTGCCATCATCTGCAAGCAACTCGACAGGTATCCCAACTCCGTGAGAACATCGATAGAAGCTTGAACAATACGAATAGCTTGGTCGAGCACACTGGTTTGATCACCAACATAATCAGTGATGGGAAGCTCAATTTGAGACATGTGCGCCTGGAGCAGCAGGAACGCCTTCACGTGAGGATCCCACATGGGAAGTCCAAAGGCGTGGCCAGGAAATGGCAGATTATCAGACAGTGTATTGTTGATGAGATCTTCGTTGTGGCGCACAGGAAGCTCATCGTACTCAGTAGCACGAGACATCCAAGATAGAGCATCGAGGAACGAGGCTTGGGCCTTGGCGTGCTTCACGAGGTGGCGGATTGTCTTGTGCGACAAGTAGTAGTAACTCATGATCTTGCCCAGAGGCGTGGAATCAACATCGCCGTTGGGGAAGACCTCGACACACTTGGAGTCGGCAAGCTCGTTCAATGACTTGTTGACCATCTCTATCATGTAGTCATTCGCAAGCTGCTGTGCCGCGATGCTATTGTGGTCTTCAGCTGAGATCTCTAGACCATAGTACGATGGGTTCTTGTGCAGACGTCGGAAGAAGAATGTCCATGTCAGATAGTCGAGGGCATCCTGCTTGGTAACGATGGTCTCAGCAGAGATTTCGGCACCCAAATGGTTGTCCAAGACAGTATGCAGAGAAGATTCGACAGGGAAGCCTGTATGAAGGAAGTGCTTATAGAAGTCCTTCTTGGAGTCCTTGGTGAAGATGCGAGCAACTCCTGAGTTGTCGAACTGAGGACGACCAGCTCTTCCCAGCATCTGCAGGACATCGGTCAAATCCATGTCCTTGTACGCCTCAATCTTGGCGTCGAAGAACTGAGTGCCCTTGACGACAACCAAGTGGGCAGGTAAGTTAACACCCCAAGCAAGGGTACTGGTGGCGACTAGGATCTGGATCTTGTTGTTCAAGAAGAGCTCTTCAGCAAGCTGCCTATCTGACTCGACTAGACCGGCATGATGAAGACCAATACCAAAGTTGATAGCTTCCTTCAGTGCATCGTCCTTGACACGAGCGAGGTTGAGTTGTAGGTCATCCTCATCCATGTGAAGGAAACGTCGAGGGTTATCCTCCATACCACAAAAGTTGATAAGATCCTTAGCGGTCAAACGAGTCTGTCGTCGTGAAGGCACGAAAACAATAACAGGCTTATCAGGACTGTGATTCTTGACAGCCAGGAAGGTAGGTCGGTTCATCGATTGCATCAAAGGACAGAAACCCCTGACTTCAGGGAAGCCATCAATATACAACTCAAGCGGAACAGGACGAACCGAGTGCTTGAAGTTGAAAAGGCCCTCCTTAACACCCAACCAGTTTCCAAGATCAGTCGCGTTAGCACAGGCTGTTGACATGCCCAGGAGTCGAACTGCATTCTTGGTGGAAGAAGCGATGTAGTTCATACGGGATACAATGATCTCAAGAATAGGACCACGGTCGCCGGCCAAAAGGTGGATCTCGTCAATGATGACAAGACTGACCTGTCGAACGTATCCTCTTGTCTGCCAAGAACGAGAGATACCGTCCCATTTCTCAGGGGTCGTGATGATGATATCAGCATCCTGGATAGTTCTGGTATCAGGTGTGTTGTCACCAGTCAACTCGACCAGCTTGAGACCTAAAGGTCGTGCCAACCGCACGCCCCAATCCTTAACACGCTCACGGACGAGCGCTTTCATGGGCGCAATGTAGACAACCTTTGACTTGGGTCTCTCCCGGAACGCCCACCACATAGCAAGCTCAGCAGCCACTGTCTTTCCACTACCAGTAGGTGATCCAAGGAGCACGTTGGCAGGAGTGTGGTAAAGAGTATGGAAGATCTGGGTCTGCATTGGGTTAAAGAAATCGAAGCGCTTGGCGTAAAGTTCCTCTAATGCTGGGTTCTTTAGAGCAGAGATAGGCAATGGCTGCAGGTTCAGGAGTTCAGTATAGACACTTTCTGTATCAGGGCGAATGAGATGCTGGAAAGAAACTGGAGTAACAGTTTCTGCGCCTAGCCACCTATCCGAAACGGCTCGGACGTAAATCTGACTAGGGAGAGGATCTGAAAGAGGAATTGTAAAGTTGAGCTCATGATCATCGTGTAACTTTCTCCTGTTAAGGATGAAGAACTCATGATGATATATCTCGGATGTTTCAGAATTCTCAACCCAGATGTAGAACGACTCGGAAGTTCCATGAATCTGGTCGTGCCATCGGAAGTCAGGAATAACAAAAAGCTTAATGCGTAAAACGTCTCGGTTGAGAGGTGCAATCTCAGCCTCGACATGAACGGTAGGGAAGTTGTTAAGGATCTTTGCAATATTTTTGCCGGCACCCTGGTTGTGGATTAGACCTCCGATCTCTGCAGGCTCCATGTCCTTCATTGTTTCAATAGTCAGATTCTCCTTGGTATCGAGCTGGTTAAGAACAGATTTTGCAAGGTCGAATTGATGGAGAGGGTGCTGATAAGGCCAGATGCGCTTCTCGATAGACTTTGCAAGAGTCAGTAGTACGAGGCATTGGTGACCCCATCGGCGGTTTAGGGCCAGCATAAAGAGCGCTCGACAAATACGTCCAGACTGCTGAGCGACGTAGTTCATGTCGTTGGAAAGGGCGAAGTCTTCTGGCTGAGCTTTGGAGATGTAGGATTGAAGTAGAATGTTTGTCTTGGCTTGAGGTGTGTCGATACCACCGTCAACATCGCAAGGAATGATTTCCCGTCGCAGATGGGTCAACTCCTTCTCTTCACTATCTCTAGATTGGATGTTGTCAAACTCTCCACTCATACTGATCATCTTCAGGATGTCTGCTTCAGTAGCCTGAGGCTGCATCATAGCGTTGAACACCTGAATACTTGTATGGAGGATGTAATATTGACTGGCGATTCGTCCAATATCCTTGCTTCGAAGTTCATCTGTCCTCTCGTTGTAAATGATCATCTGGCATTGCTGCAGAGTCTTGGCGGCTTGGATTGCAAGCTGTCGACGTCTTTGAACCAGGTTCGGGTCATCTCGGATTTCTGCCCATTCAATACCATAAGACATGGGGCTTCTCTGCATGCGCACAAAGAGGTAAGAGTATCCAATCCACTGAACGGCATCAGGGATGGAAGTGACAGTACCCAGAGCAATTTCGGCGTTCAGATTATCCACCAGCTTGGTAGAGAACTTGGACTCAATCGGCTGCTGCTCCGTAATAGCGGTAAGGTAATGGGTGAGCTTGTCGTGGGTTGTGCAAATCATACCAATACCGGTATCCTCGAACTGAGGACGGCCAGCACGACCGAAGATCTGAAGCACGTCTAGGATACCCAGGTCAACAAACTTACCATCCTGAGCGCTGTACACTTGGGTTCCTTTGATAACAACTGCAGCAGCGGGCAAGTTGACACCCCAAGCTAGGGTGGCGGTACAGCAAAGAACTTTCAAAACACCTTCTCCAAAGAGTCTTTCCATCAGGTTTCTGTCAGACCTGGCCATACCGGCATGGTGGACACCAATGCCCTTGGACAATAATTCGCGGATCTCCTTCGACTTGGATTGCTTAATGTCGCGGGAGGCCTGCTCAAACCCAGGATGATAAGTGGGATCGAGCAGATCTGCACACATGGCGTCGATAGCTTTCTGATGCAACATGCGTGCCGTGAGCTGCGTATCTCTTCGAGAATGAACAAACACCATGATTTGGTGATCACGCTCAAGCATTTCCTTGACCTTGTCGAATGCAACTTGGTCGAGGTTCTCTTTGGATTGTTTAGTACCTGCCTTTCCCTTGACTCCAATAAAGTGTTGCTCAAGAGGAACAGGACGGAATGATGCATCAAAGTAGAACAAGCCAGCATATTTGTTAACTTTCAAGAAATCGGCGACATCAACGTAGTTGGGCAATGTAGCACTGAGACCGACAATTCGAATGAGAGACTGTGTACTCTCAACCTGTCGCTCCGTTCGAGCCACGAGAGATTCCAGCACGGCACCTCTTTCGTCATGAAGCATATGGACTTCATCAATAATGAGAAGTCGGACCTTCTGAACAAGCTCTGTATCTCCGGTACCCTTTCGAGTAACAACGTCCCATTTCTCAGGGGTCGTCACAATGATTTGAGTCTGGATGATCTCGGACTTCGTAAGTTGCATATCTCCAGTATACTCTCGACATTTGATACCAAGCCAAGCTAGACGCTTGCCCAGCTTTTCTGTGACTTCGGCAGCAAGAGCTTTCATGGGAGCAACATAAACGATCTTGAAATCATCAGCGTTGACTGCAAACTCGGTGGCTGTCGGATTTTCGAAGGGGTTGGGCTCAACATTTTGAGCAATAGTTTGGAGAATGGTAAGCATAGCGGCGTCTGTTTTACCAGCACCAGTGGGGGCACAGATCAGCATATTCTCGGCGGTCTTGTGAGCAACGGGATAAACAAGACTCTGCATTCGGTTGAGCGTTTTGTAGCCCTTGAAAGTATTTCGGCATAGTCCGTTCAACTCGCTAATAGGAACGAGTCGCTGTCCGGGACCCAGGGCACCCTTTTTGCCAGCAGGAATGAAGTACTCCTCATATTTGTCGAACGATAACCGCTCGCTTCCAACTGGGAGACCATACTTCTTTCCGGCATAGCTCAGTGTGTTGCCAGCGCTGTAGGCTTTGTAAACGTGAGGATACTGAGGTTCTTTCGAATGGGCCGGTGCAAGCGTTGAAGACTTGTGAGCTTGGTCTTGTCGACGTAAATTCTCCTCTCTTTGAGCTTTAGTTAGGAGTCGAGGTCCGCTGGAGCTTCCTTGGCCCTGTTCGTTGACAGCGGAAACGATCTCATTCCTGTGTCCAAGGATCTCAATAATGAAATCGAGATCATCAAACCCAACCAAGTCGGTCAGCTGGATCTGCAGCTCATCATCAGAACGGCCAGAGTTGAGAACGCTCATGATCTGGCTCTCGAATACATCAGCCGAGAGATCATTCTTCGCTGCAATGGCCGAGCACTTAATCGCGAACCATTCAGCGCCGTATTCCGCCGGACCTGATCCATCGGGAGCTTCTCCATCAGCGAAGTCACTGCTCAAAGCTTCCTGGTCGTCATCGGAGATAAAGTCCCAGACATCTTGGCCGCTATTTCCACTTGAGTAGCCGCCAAATTCGTCCTCGTCAAGGTTAAGGTCATCTTCAGCCTTTCCGTTCTCTTGGGGGATTTTCAGTTTGGCGATAGCCTCTTGCATGGCCGCAAACTGCTCCCGCCACCGCGCTTCTGCAGCGCTCAGTTGTTCAGATGCCATGATGTAATCGATTTTATCTTGTTGCCTGATGGTAGACTTGTTGAATTACAGCCTGTGTTGTGCTGTGTTCTGGTGTAATAGGGTCGATATTCTGCTGCCTGTACTTGAGGTGGCAGTCAGGTCCTTTTGTCTTCAACCTTGTCCAAAGTTGCTTGTCGAGGATTGGTTCATGATGGTGGATTTGTCGTTCTTTCAAAGAGTCATACCGTGCTTCAGTAAGTGGCCAGAATAGTACCCCACTAAACAAGCCCCCGCCCAGACGCCAGTGAGTACCTACAAGCACTAAACTTCCCTAGGAACTGTCGAGACGTGGGGAACATGTGACGCCCCTAAAGTCAAGTCAAGTCAAGTCTTATGCATTTAGTACTTACGGTGACGAAGGTCTACAGCAATCAACCAACCCCAGACCGAGAGTTTCCTTTCTCCGACATCCTCAGACCTCACTCTTCCGCTACTGAAGTCGCCCTATTGCGCACCGTAACCTACCTGAAATCGCATTCCCCTCTACAGTAACCATGAAGCTGCATTACATCGGCGTACGCTATTCCCGTGCCCCTCACCGACCGATCGAAACGCTCTGTCCAGTTGGGCTAACCAAGCTGCTGCGACCAGGTCCTCCGTAACGAGAGCCAGCCGGCTCACGAGATTGTCGCTGAGAAAGAACTCAGCAGCTACTCGCGATTCACCCGTAACAAGTCAGTTTATCTCATATCGCCCCAGCCACTTCCTGTACCTGGATCGGCTCACAAGTACTGACTCGCAAACTCAAACAGCTATGGCGAGTTCATGACCCTATTCGCAAAGACCGTCGCCGAGCGCACCCGTCCCGGACAACGACAGGATGTCGAGGAGCAAGGTATACACGATCCGAACCCTTCCAGGCGTCACAAATCTCACATGCGCATTCTATAGACTACACTTTCCACGCCTACGGCCGTACTGAGGGTGTCTGCGGCATCATCATCTCCGATCACCAGTACCCTGCCCTCGTGGCTCACCAGCTTCTCAGCAAGGTCGTCGACGAGTTCCTCTCCAAGAACCCCCGCTCCAGCTGGGCAACCGGCACACCCACCCTCACCATGCCCGAGCTGAAGGAGTACCTCACCAAGTACCAAGACCCCCAGCAGGCCGACAGCATCCTCAAGATCCAGAAGGAACTCGACGAGACCAAGATTGTTCTCCACAAGACCATTGAGAGCGTGCTACAGCGTGGAGAGAAGATCGACGATCTGGTGGCCAAGAGTGACGGCCTGAGCGCCCAAAGCAAGATGTTTTACCGTACGCCACTGCTTATCCCGCATCCCCTCTCTTATCGGACCGTAACTAACCCCGTTATCTAGAGCAAGCCAAGAAGCAGAACTCATGCTGTGTTTTGATGTAATGAATCATTTCGTTTTTCCCGGCGTTGGACCTGGCTTCTTTTCTGCATATAAGGAATGTCGATAGTGAAATTGGTTACGTTATTCGTGCGGCGCAGATACTTCCAATCGTTTATTTCTCCCACCATTCATTCGCAGAGCCATGTCTTCACAGCAGCTTAGACTTATCGAGGATAGGGGAAGGAAAGTAGAGGAATCTTATCACGTGCACTACGATCGGCGGTTCAAGTTAAACAAGATGGAAATGTTGTCTTTTGATATATACAGAGTCCAGAAATTGGACGGAAGTGAAACTGCTCACTTTGTCGCCCAGTCCAAACTAAATAAAGAAAAATACAAATCAAGGAGAAAGCGCCTTTATTTTGTCACTAAGAAAAACTCCAGCCAACATGCTTTGAGGGCCAATTTGGTGTCCCGTCTTCCCATCCAATGCTTCTCTGGCGCCTTGCTGTAATACATAATACATGATGTCCAAGCATAGCCGTCTTAACGTTTTTATACAAATGAAATAGTCGATAGTCGAAGGAGGCTGTTGTTGTATCGGCAGTATGTACAGAGCGGTCCAAACCAGTTGAGACCGCTGTGACAATTGCTACCAGCGCAAAGCATTATTCAAATGGGTATTGTGTAATGTCTGTAAAGGAAAGTAAAGAAAAATAAAGGTGTGAGATAATGACGGTAAAGTTTCAATAATGAAACAATATTAAGATTCCTCGAGGATAACCATCTCGCTCTTGCGGTTCATCTGATAAGCATCAGGGGAGTAGGATAGCTCTCGTGGGTTCACCAAGACAGGGGTAGATGATTTGGTCTCAGAGAGGCGCTCGTCTTTCTCGATAGCAATATAGCTTGGCCCAGAGCTACCAGGGCTACCGTTGCGTCTGTGCCTTATGCTAGGGTTGCTCTTCAGGGGATGCAGCATCTTACGCTGCTGCTGAGAAACGCTGATCTGACGAGCAATAGAGACCTCAACAGCATTTCGTAGAGCCTCCTGGGCGTCGGCCTCAGAAGCTTGCTTCTTTGGTGAGGCCAGGGATGAAGTAGGAGAGAACCGTCTCGAAGTCTCGGCTTTGGAGGATGTGACAGAAGCTGGGGGTGAGGCCATGTGCGAAGGAGAGTGGTTCCGTCTCTTGGCAACACCGATGTCCTTTTCATCGTCTGTATGTTCGGGAGACGCTGGCAGGGCTCCAGAACCAGGAGTGTAAGGAGAGTTCTGCTTAGAGAACTTCTCAGGTGACATGGTTGCCCTCGGCGGCGAAGGGTGTATCTTGGGGATGAGACTAATCCTTTCTGGTGCCGCACCACTGGGACGCCTATTGAACTTGGAAACCAGAACAGGCTGGTAGTGGGTTGCTTGCTGGGCAAACTTTTCGTGTGGTGATGCTGATGAGGGTGGGAGCTGAACGATCTGAGCCTTGGCTTCGTGGGTCAAGATCTCCGGTGTTGACACGAAGCTAGGAGAGTCGTAAGGAACGGGATTTGTGTTGGCACGGAAGCGAGGTGAAGGTAGTGGCTTCGAAGTATCTGCGTTGGGCTCGAAACTAGGCGATGGCTGTGGCGATGTTGCTCTCCTGGTACGTTGATATCCACCTCTGTTTTCGGCGATGGCATCCTTGACTGTCTTGAGATTATCAAGGTTCGCTTGTCGTCGAGCAAGGAGGGAGGACGAAGAACCCTGCTGCTGAGGCTGCAATACGCTGTTGAACATAACACTATATCGGTCCATCTTAATGCTAGGGATCTCGACGTCGAGGAGTGCGCGAGGAATCGCAGGCATCGGTGGAGGTGAAGATGGTGGCACAGGTGTCCTTTCCGCTCTCTTCTTCTTCGAGTCTCCCCGAAGGCCTCTCAGTGTCATCTTGCGAGCCATCCCTCCAGATCCGGGCTCCTTTGATGCCTTGATCGGGGTAGTAGCCTTCTCCTTTCCAGCTTTGGACGGTGAAGTGACGGTCTCGCTTGGTGTTTGAACGGACAGCGGTGATTCTCCAGCTAGTTCCAGTGGTTCGGATATAGTTAGTCTTGGCTCAGTGTGAGCTCGAAGGACGATAGGTTTGTGTTTTGGTGCTCTTCGTGAGCTTGGGTCTTCTGATGGGATGGCAGACGAAGCTAATGATACGCTGGAAGCGTTGCTATCTGTCAAAGATCGCTGAGGCTTTTCCGGTCTGGTTGATCGTTTTGACTTTGATCGGAAGATGCCCCATTTACGAGGCTTCTCCTCAACAGGTTCTTGCGTAGACTGAGGCTCGGGTTCTTGTGTGTCAACAGCAGCACTCATAGCTCTGTTCCGTGGGTTCCAGGGCGCCGGTGTGAAATCTCCCATCTGCGTTGGACTTCCTATGGCCATACCGACAGCAATTACTCCAACTTCTCCAGAATCTCCCATAGAATCCGGGGTTGAAGTTCGCACCAGAGTCGTTCTCGGCTGTGATGAGGTACGCGGACTGAGTTCGGGAGATGGAGGTCGGCCATGGATCGGGATATGAAACGCTGTTACGTTTGTGCTCGACTTTGAGCTTTTTAGAATGAGAGCAAGGTCGTCTCTGGAAACACGCTTGTTGTCGAAGGAATGGTTAAAGAGTGACTTGGTATCTGACCGGTCGGCGGTGAAGCTTCCTCTGCGTGGCTGTATGCGTCGATGGGAAGCGGAGGCCGCTGACACAGTAGCGGCCCTCGAGAGATTTGTAGCATTAGCCATAACTGAAGCAATGCGTCCCCGTCTTCGATTATGCGATCTGAAGTGATGTGATGCGAAGGGGGTGTCCCTCTATGGAGGCTAAGAGAAATGGACCGACTGTTGAGAATAGATTGATTCAGAGTTGAAGGAATGAGTGTATCAGATCCAGAGAAGACAGAGGAGCGCGGGGGAGATCTTTGCTTGGCTTAAGAGAAAGAGCATGAGCATGAAGAAGACGTCTTTGTTTTGACAGATGGTCCCCTGTATCGAACAGGGTCTGACACAGAAGATGGTTCACCAAAGAGCAAGTATTATCGCAATTCAGGGACCAGGATCCTCTTTAAAAGAAGCCTGGACTGTGATGCATAGGATGCCCGGGTACTACTCTATGTACTTTACAGTAGGCTAAGCATGCTGGGCATGCTTTGAACAAGAGGCGAACCCTCGTCTCACAGGGACCACCCCGCCTTTCATGAGGAGCCTATAGTATGAAGCCGTTGATGAGAATCGAGACGAATGCGGACAAACGGCCGGTAACAAGCAGGGAAACGGAGCCAAGATGACGATGCAGTTGCAAGGATGGGATGCTGTAAGCGCAAGAGGCAATTTCCATGTTGAAAAGCCGATCCCCGGATTGGCGAGTGAGTTAAGCAAGCAGAGAGCCAGCCAAAGGACTATACTCCAGACTGAAGGAGAGAGCTCATTTCAGGACCTAGACCATGGTCTTGGGAAACAGGCTAAAGATGCACTGGCATTGGTCGCATGTTTGAGGTTGATGGGACAAGGACCAGAGTCTGGCGGCAGCAGTACATTAGAAATCTTTAACAACAAATGGATCCCTGAATCATCCCCATCGATGAGCGAGCAATCAGCAGCCCAAAGCAAGGGCGAAACGACCGCTTACTAGGGGGGTCCCCTGTCTAGAGAATGTCGATTAGTGGAGTATTGTATGCGTCGTGTGTCAGTGATCCAACCTGACCTATCCAATCGACTCTGTACCTGAAAGGTTTATTTAAATTCGATCAATGCTTATAGAAGCCAAACAGTTAATATGAGTGGGAGGCAGTCAATGTTCCACTGCTTGTGGCGCTTCTTTAGAAACGAGCCGCCGCCGCAATCACCCGCAATATTAGTCCGAGTTCCTATCAATAGAACAGAAGCCGTTCATTCTATGTCTCATTCTAAATCGGCCACCGCGGCAATCTATCGCGGTTACCAGGATGTCTCTCGATGGGTAACGGTCAGCGCTGATCCCGAAGATGCCCTACTGTATGTACGGATACACCCACGGACTTGCAACCCAGCTTGGCAGTTGTACTGTGGTCTATCCAGGTTTCTCTTTGTCTCGTCTCTCTCTTTCTGACAATATCAACATGAGCCCCCCGATTCATGTAAATGATCCTTCGTCTTGAATCATGGTCAGCTGTTATAAATCCATGACTGACTGGACCATCCCTGCCTCAGTTCATCGTCTAAATTCACACGATGACACTCTCTACAAGACGTTGTAACCTTGCTTCCAACCGACATGACAACACTGGGTACAGGGTCTCACTCGCTGTCGTGCTGTGTAATTGATCTCATTTACTGCGCCGTATTCCTTTACGAGTACAGTAACACTTGCACTCGGCTGCATTGCATGATGATGTTAAATGCAGTAGGTCCTCCTCCTACAGGGCCTACAGGGCATGTGTTGTGTCTCCAGTGGCTGGTCTCTTTGAAATTAGAGGAACAGCGCGTCAAACGTACCCACCCGGTCTGTCACAGCCTTGTATGAAACACCCGCACTTTAGAAGTTCAGACGTCTGCAGACAAGCAGCAAGCAATCAACCCAACGCATGCACGAGTCCAAATCAGGAACGGAAGACCAAAGCCACAAGTGACAAAAAGATTTCAGTGGCGTCGGGTCGATCTTCTAGAAACTCTCAGCTGACGAGCACGGAACTTGAAGTCGTCTGAGTCCTATCCTTCTTCATCTCACTTCCAAACCAAGCCAAGCACCTAAGCTTCAGCTCGTCTACACCGAACTCAACTCACTGACCATTCAATTTAGGGCTGGACTGTTGCCGAGCTGGACCCGGGATCATTCGCCTAATGGGGGATATCCGGGATATACGGATACTGTTACGGTCTAATCAGATCACTTGCTCTACTATCAAATAACGAATAATCACACCGTACCTACGGATGCTTATACCAGTCGGGGGATCCCACTGCAGGGAGAGCGAATTTCTTTAACTCAACCATAAAAAAAAAACCTCAGGGGCTCTTCATCCATTCAACTCGTCGTTTCACATCATGACAAGGGTATTCGTCAACTTCGTCTCAGATTGCCAATTTCCATTTTACAGCACCAACAGCACGGGCCAAAAAAGCAACTGAGCTCACATACCCTAGACAAAGTTAATATGCAGCCTTGGAAGAAGGCTCCCCTTCTCTCTCCCTCGTTGCATCCGCGTGTGTTCCTCATGTCCACTTCAACATCCCATTTCAGAGTCAGAGTCACATTCACGATATGAAGACTAAAACGGGCACTAGGCTTTACACAGGAGAGTCCCGAATGCCGCCTCACTCTGGGCAACACCCGAGCCCCCCGAAGTTATCGGCAATGCTATAGCCTATTGCTCTTAATAACGATCTTAAGACTTGAAACGTCAGGGATCAATGTGGTATTCATGGCTTGAATATCTCCCGAGGGCTTTTGCTGCGGACCCGTTCAGCCTCCAGTCAACTGGTCAAGCAAAAGCAAAGTGCGGCTGTCAATAATTAACCAATTCTGGGCCTGTACTTGACTAGAGGACGCTGTCTTCTCTTTCGATATTGACATAGCTTCTATCGGATACATTGTGAGAACCTAAAATCCTCTGACTGGAGACGGGTTCTCATGCTAATGCTAGAACACACGACTTGACCATCATGGTGTCCGCGGGAGGGCGTGTATACTTAAGAGGAGTAGGCACGTTCATCTTCCACATTGACGACTATAGTATAGTTGTGTTGACTATATGTTATATATCCGGTGAGTATGCAATGTATATCCGTTAGAGATACAACATTCCACCGTCAGTGACTGTTTACTATGTATGTTCACCTGCTACAAACGCAGCTTAGTTCCGTTGAGTATAGTTACATATTAAGACCCCAATCCCCACTTGTGTTCAAGGCGAGATTTGTTCAGATACTAAGTCGAGCGAGTGCATGCAGGAACTGTTGTGTAAAATTGGGTAAACGTGTGATAAGGGTCTAATTGTGTTTTGGATATGGACATTCCGTTGTTGGACTAAGCGAAGAGTCTACATAGTAGTTTCAGGTGCCCGATTCATCTCAGTTAGTTTATATGCAGTTAAAAATATCACAATCGAGATGATATCGAAATCGAAAGTCGATGATCTGGAGATCAGGGTATGAGCTCCTTGAACTAACACACACTAACAACGCCAGCTCATGACAACGCATGGAGGGTATTGATCACTCAAGCAAGGTACGCCCACTCGTTTGTTCAAACTACAGATGACTATCGTCCAATTTGAATTGTGGAATCAAGTTTGGAGAGACCTGAGTCATGATGGATGTTTGTTTCCCAGGAGACCTCGGTTCTGACTGAAGCGAACAAGACGCTATCACCACTTGAATCTCAACATGCGGTCAACCATTCGTTAAAGATTCTTGGCGGATATTGCCGTTCCTAAAGCGGGCCGCCTGAACATCCCGTAGCTCTAACGCCAGTCGAGTGAGCTGGTCAACCACGTCAGAATCATCCAAGTGACGTTGAAGTAGAAGCTTATTCATTGCTTCTAGGTATAGGTTAAGCAGAAGCTCAGTTGAGCCTCAATCTGCAACCCGATACGTCAGCGAATTATGCATTGCATATCTGCAATAATCGTCACCAAGCAAGTAATACCGAAATGCAGCGACAACAGCACAAGAAGAAAAAATGCGTGACATGGGGAACCGTTGATCATGCCGACCGACATATCCAAGAACCGTTGGGCTTGAAGTATAGTGTACAAGGTTCCACTACTAGCGAACCGTCACCGACTCAAGTATCCAATACTCATTGGACAGCACTGGAGCTTGACAGCAAATTTTGGCGGGGCCTGGGAGGGACTGAAGCGGCGCCTGGAGGGGCAAAGCTCCAAAAGAATCACCAGTTGATAACCTCCCCCGCCAAAACAAACCTCACCTACCTTTAACCTGACCTAACCTAACCTTACCTCACCTCTAAACTTTTGCAACCTTTGTCCTAACAAACTCACTTCTATACCCTCACTCACATCACATCACATTCATCATGTCGTGGCAAGGTCAGTACTAACTCTGTCTCATCCAAATTACTGCTATCATGTCACTCATTTTCCCCTACCCCTCCTCGCCCCTCCATGAACCGTCTCGGTCATGTTCCTCATCACCGCCTCCAAATCACTCTTTTCCTCAAACTCCAAGTTGAAGCTCGATGAACAAGAAAACTGACATGATACCGATATAGCATACATCGATTCAAGGTACATACTTCCAATATCCCGCAACCACGAATAAACACCAGCCGTGGTCCCTCTCCGTCGGCGCGAATACCGAGCGAATGCTGACAATTCTTCTCACAACAGCCTCGTCGGCAGCGGTCACATCGACAAGGGTGCCATTATCAGCGTTGCTGGCGACAGCGCCTGGGCTGCTTCTCCCGATCTCCAGGTACATAAGAATAACCCTCTTCTCACCGACACAAACCTCGCCGAAGCGACGGACAACCCCTGCGTTCAATGACTGAATAGATGGACATCCATGGCTGACTCTTGCGACCCCACTACAGCTCAAGCCCGAGGAGATGAAGGCCATCTCCGATATCGTTAGCGGTAACTCGGCCGCCAAGGACAAGGCTTTCGCTGAAGGTCTCTACATTGCTGGTGAACGATATGTTATGGCCCGAGCTGAGGACCGAAGCATCTACGCCCGATCCGTACGATATCCCATTTTACGATCTTCCCCCCTCGTCACATGCCACTAACGCAACAACAGGGCCGTCTCGGTGTCGCTATCGCAAAGACCACCCAGGCCATCGTCGTCGGCCACCACGGCGAGGCCCAGGTCGCTGGTAACGCCTCCTCCACCGTCGAGGGTCTTGCCGACTACCTCATCAAGTCCGGTTACTAGATATTCGGTGTGTGTAAGGCAAGACAAGGCAAAGGAATTTTGGGCGGAATTATCTGTGAGAAGCGTCATGAAAAACACTGTTTATCCGTAGAACGGATTAGTCAACGCAGCTGTAACGAGCTTATGCTAAGAGGAGCGCCTCTGTTTTTAGAACATTGGACTTGGGCTTTGAGCTTGAGTGTGGGTGTATGTACCTCGAGGAAGACATTTTCTTGACCAGAAATCGGTCAACAGAGTTTGTTTCTACACGATTCTGCATATAGGCAATCCGAGTGCTCTCCAGACCCATCTCCTATGTCACACTTGAGAAAAACACAATCTTGAATGTCATCCGACTCGACTTTTCATTACAGCTGACTATACTCATTATACGCCGTTCTCGTCCCATGAGGTACAATGTTTTTGTCCATCCAAATGTCGTGGTAATCTTCATGTCATTAACGCCTATTCCAAAGCCACTAGGCCTCTAAACTTCGCCCAAGTCTTACCAGAAGTTGTAGCGGTTGACTCTTGTACACGTGATGTAGCCTCTCTCGTTCGAACAGCTCCGACTATCAGGTCTCTTGGAACTCTATGTTCCGACCATCTAGACAGGGAGCTCGGCGTTTCGTCTTCCAAGGCCTATTCTGTCGACGACCATGCCAATGTACGGTCCTACGACAGGCAAGCCTCGCGCGAAGCCGGCGATGGTCCCTAAGAAGTCTCCAAACAGAATAACTATGCCGTATGCTTCCACAAGGAACCCGATGAAGGTCCATTTCATGAAGATAAGGATCAAGCCTAGGAAGAACGCCGCCGTACCCTTTGCTTTCTGTTTGCGCGCGAAGAAGAGAAGCGTCTTTTGAGGTCCGATGATGATCGTCAAGCCGATGAGGAAAAGGATCTATTCGATCGAGTCGTGTTAGCAATCGTCGGTTCGGTGGGATGAAAGGAGCAGAGGTCGTCATACGTTTCCCATAGCAAGCCTGGAAAGCAAGTTAGTATAAAATCGCAAGCATGGGAGACTGTAGAGGCAGATACTAACATGGATCGATCAAAGAAGAGCATGACACCTCCTATCAGGAAGAAGCCTCCTACGAAGCCGTCAGTTTCTCAAGTGCATGATGCGCCATGCCCAAAGAGCAAGCGATGCGCAAGTCCAAACATACCGCCGGAGCAAAAGACAACTCCAATTTCTATCGAGAACAGTCAGCTTCTGTGTATATCGTCCATTATATCCATCGAATTATAGCTTCATCATGGACGTATCGCAGCTCAACTGCAGGGGTAAGCTAAGCATACTTTGGGTATCCGTCAACCACATCGACATCTTGGCGGTTTGGTAGGTGTATAGATAGAATCGTTATTCGAACAGACGTGCTGTATTTCGGATTGTCGATGGTAAGAGCGTAAACTGGCGGAGTTCAATTGGTATAGATAAGGCTTGCAGGGAGAAACAAGAGAGGCCAAAGTACTCGAATGAATGTTGCCTTTTTTCGTCACCAGCTCCCTTGGAGGATACAGGACACGTTCCAGGGGTTTACATGGTGTAAACGGCGATTGACAGGGCTGTACCAAAGAGGGCTTAGGTGATGTTGAGAGCTGTCGCGTGCCTCATTGGCTGCTCTGGACCAAAGTGGGTGGACGTGGGTTGACTTGAAATTTTGCTGCGGTACCGACTTTGAGAGACTTGCATCTTTCTTCATCACACTTTTGAGTTGGTCAACGACTTAGGATCAACGGTTCTGACTCTTAAGCATTCCAATATGAGTGCTGAACTGAGTTAAGACACCGTTTAGCAACGTTCTATCGTCCGATACTTGCCAAGTGGCACAACGCGTTGAGGACATAATATTCATGTTTGGTTCAGTCTATCAAACAGCTTGCTATACACATATCTCGACAGATCGCATCTGTCCCTGCCGCGACGGCCGGCGGCGTTCTTCGCCCTGGCAACTGAGATACGTTTCTCCTCCATACGTTCTCGGTAGTCTGTCGAACTTAGGCAGAGAACAAAGCTTACGCATGATCACGATTAAGCCGGAGCGTCAATTGCCATCCCTTAGCTGAAAGGCTTCGGGTGCATAGTTGGGGCTTGACTTTGTTGGTCGAACACTTCCATTCTTTTGAGTGGTATCTTTTGTATAACTTGCATGTGCCTGGTAACTCCGTAACAAAGTTGAAGGTGAAGCTATCTCGCCTGCTTCCTGAATTTTATAGTTTTCATCATCTCATCAAATGGGTATATCCTGCTTAAAATCCACGCTCATTTGAGGACCGTGTGAGCACCACGAGCCTCGAGAATCTGCTCGGTAGCGCTTTGAGGTAGTGTTCTAATCAAACCAAACACCTCCTTGTTGTGGTAGCGTAGCCGTGTCTTGGGATCCATATACGGTGCAGGTAAACCCGTCACGTCACAGTAGTGCTTGTTATGCGCAAGTGATGGCGCAGACTCGATGTTCGTGTATGTAGCAGTGGGCGCTGAAGGGCCACCCGGCTTGAGACTCTTCTCGAGTACAAGCTTGGACAGACTTCGCGATGCTTGCGCCAGATTTGGGGGCTCCTTGCCGCTCTCTGTGGCAGGCGTGCTGGTACCGCTAGTTGATAGTCCATCGTTGTCGGCAGGGGTGGCGATACCGCTCGCATCCATTGGTGTGCCTAGAGCTGAAGCTTCTCTTCGCGAGGCATCACCGACGATGGCCTTCAAATTCTTGTTTCGGCGCTGGTTTGGCTTCCATGATGGGCTACGGAAGTTCTTGTGGATGGAGTGGATGTCGAGCTTTTCTATAAGCTGTTGATGGGCGATCTGCGCCTCAGTTGGAGCGGCCATCGTTTTTGTTTTGTGTATTATCTGGCGGGTAGAGAGAAATTCGCCGTATTTGGATTTGTGGTTTTGATTGCTTTGCGACTTTTGCTTAGGGATAGAATGGTCAATAGTCCAGAGCACTGCGCCTGGTGTCACAAGCTATGAGCTTATCGCGTTGGAGTGAATTCTGCCGCGATTCACCGCGTTCCTGATACTGTAGCTGGGGAATGCTTCATGGCCCAAGTGGGCATAAAGTAAACACAGGACTCCACTACAGGTTGTCATATTCACCATATTATCACGAAGGAACCTTATCAAGCAGCTGAAATGGTAGGGAGAATATGAGAAACTGTCGAATACTTATAGTACCCGATCTAACTTGCCTGTAGGAGAGCCCTCACGAGCACCAGCAGAACCTCCTGCTCTCACGTATCATTACCAACGTGGTATGTCTAACTGACGTGAAGCATGTCATTAAAGACACTAACAATACGCAGGAGAAGCTTAACGAAGCCGTTGTTGTGATGAACAAAAGTCTTCAAGTATGTCAATCCGTCTTCTTATGCTTGATAGTAAACTCATAAACCGCCCCAGGACATCAACATCCAGAACATGAACGTCGAGCTAGTTGCCCAGATGTTCAAGAACTACCAATCAAATGTCTTATTCCACTTGGAAGGTAAGCTTCGGATTCGATGGTTTTATATAGCGATGCTGATATTTGCCGATAGCTACGGACAACTTGAAGCCTCCCAGCTAAGCACTTGTAAGAATGCTTGTGATTGAAGCTTAGTTACATTTGTACTGCGCGCATGATTTTACATGAATTGATGACTTGGTGGTATCTCATACATAGAGACTTGGACGGCAACCCTGAATGAATTTATTTTGAACCATATCATTGAAGTCCCTTTATGTGCTGTTATGACGGAGCTTTCATATAGAAAGACTGTCTCTGATCCATATCGCAACTAAATTCGAAGGGCTCATCGAAATATCTGGGAATCTCTTGGTGACAGTTGAATGCTTCACATATGGGTTACTCCCTGTACTGTATTATTGCGCCAAAGTGGATCCCTGTTGTTGTATGTGACGGCCTTCGATCAGCCTTGTAGCCTCGTACAGTACATTCTCAACCTTTCAACAGCTAAGCCCAATCACTTGCGCCGACGACAATTGGCCAACAGAGCCAGGCGCCGATCTGAACTGTCTTTTCTTTTTTCTCCTACCATGATTTCTGGCCTTTGCACTTAATCTACATCTTACCATCCTCCAACGCAACCATGGCTCCCTCGGCCGTCGACCAACCCGCCATCAAGGCGCCCGAAGTGAAGACATACCCTCCCGCCAAGATCTTTCCTGTCAAGGAGACGCGCTTCGAGAACTTTATAGAGCCATCAACGGATGGAAGAGAACGCGCACTGAAGCAAACCGAAAGCTCAGCTATCGTTATTGACAATGGTGAGCTCGAGCGCAAGGGGCTTGCGACAACCATGAATTAACAGCTATTCCACAGGATCTTCAACCGTACGCGCCGGCTGGTCGTTCGAGTCGAAGCCGAGATTCAGCATACCCCCCATCATGGCTAAGTACCGCGATCGAAAATTGGGCAAGACTTTCTCTTTTGCTGGATCCGACTGTTACGCCGACACAACCGCGCGCGGCCATATCAGAAGCGCCTTCGAAGCCGGAACAGGAATTGTCAGCAACTGGGATGTGATGGAACATGTGTTGGACTACATCTTTCTAAAGCTGGGCATGAACGATGCGGATGGCGCTATCGAAGTTCCTATTGTCATGACAGAGGCTGTTGCCAATTTGCCATACTCAAGGAAATGTGGGTGAAATGCTATACTTGCGAAAGCCTGGACTAACTTTTTAGCCATGACTGAGATTATCTTCGAATGTTACGGTGCGCCTTCTCTGGCTTACGGAATCGATTCCCTCTTTTCATATAGACACAACAAGGGCAAGACTGGTCTCGTGGTCTCTTCATCTTACACATCAACACACGTTATCCCTGTGTATAACAACAAGGCCCTACTCGGCCAAGCCACGCGACTGAACTGGGGAGGTTATCACAATGCCGAGTATCTTCTCAAGCTACTTCGACTCAAATACCCTGCCTTCACTGGCAAGACTAACGTGTCGCAAGCCGAGCACATGCTCCGCGATCATGGCTACGTATCCCAGAGTTACGACGAAGAACTCGCCAGCTACCTTGAGTGGAAGGACCTGGAGGATCGAGATATCGTTGTGCAATACCCATACACAGAAGTTGTGGTTGAGCAGAAGACTGAGGAAGAGCTGGCTAAAATTGCAGAGCGCAAGAAGGAGAGTGGGCGAAGGCTGCAACAACAAGCGGCCAAGATGCGCCTGGAGAAGCTCATGAAAAAGGAGCAGGATCTGGAGTACTACAAGAACCTTCAAAGGAACATTACGGATGTGACGAAGAAGGAACTCAGACGCCAACTCGACAGCAACGACATTAAGGACGAGAACCAGCTGGAGAAGATCATCAAGGATCTAGAAAAGGCCGTCAGGAAGGCTCGAACAAAGGATGTTGGCGGTGACCCCGAGGAGGAACAAGAGCAGCCCAATTTTGATCTCCTCGACATCCCTGATGATCAGCTTGATGACGCCCAGATAAAACAGAAGCGTCAGCAACGTTTGCTTAAATCAAACCATGAAGCTCGAGCGCGCGCAAAGGCCGAGAAGGAGGCCGAAAAGGCACGCGTTGTCGAGGAAGAACGTGCCGACACCGAGCGAAGAGAGAATGACCTCGAGAACTGGCTTGAGGAGAAGCGCCAGCGAAGAGCCGAGACACTACAAAAGATGAAAGAGCGTGAGCGCCTAAAGCAGGATCTAGGCAACCGAAAATCCCTTGCTTCGCAGATCCGCATGAAGAGCATCGCCAACTTGGCCTCGGACAACCCAACCAAGAAGCGACGCCGTGGTGGTGACGACGATAATTTCGGTGCAGATGATGACGACTGGGGTGTTTATCGCCAGATTGCCGTGGGCGACAACAGTGATGATGAGCATGAGGAGGAAGATCTTAACTCAACACTCAAGTCTCTAGAGCAAGACCTATTGCGCTATGATCCTGACTTCGATTACGAGAATACTCACGAAGCTCAGTCTGACTGGTCCAAATCTCTACTGCACGCCTTCGCGCGAGGTCCCCGACCCTTTGATCCCTCTTCACAGGCTGAGCTCAACCAGATCCACCTCAACGTTGAGCGCATTCGTGTCCCCGAAGTTGTTTTCCGCCCCTCGATTGCCGGTGTGGACCAGTCGGGAATTGTCGAGATTGCTGGTGATATTCTCAACCAACGATTGGGCAACATTCCCAACCGCGATGATTTCCTTCGTGATGTATTCTTGACTGGTGGAAACACGCTGTTCAAGAACTTTGACGACCGCATTCGCGACGGTCTCCGCGCTCTTCTTCCTGCCGATTCACCATTGAATGTGCGTCGTGCGGAAGATGCCCTACTGGATGCTTGGAAGGGTGCCGCGGGCTGGGTTGGAACACCTGCTTGGAAGACGGCAAAGATCTCGAGAGAGGAATACCAAGAAAAGGGACCGGAGTATATCAAGGTGAGTTTCCCCCGAATCAACATCGATGTCCCAGTCTTGCTAACAGCTTATAACAGGAACACGACATGGGTAATTCTTATGCGTAGATTGTATAGTGATAGGGAGACACGGAGTCAAAAGCGGGTGGATTCACGTACGGTAGATTGGGATTCTTTAGTTTATATGTTGTATCAATCCATGAATACCTTTTTATTATAGAAGAATGCACTTCAGACATTTGGGATGCCACGAAGCTCATAGAGCACCTCATCATGCCGTCAAACTCCAAATGTGACGCCAAGATACCCGTGAATGAATGATCATTGGCCACACATAAGTGCTCAGTAGAGTTTCTGACTGTTGAACCTTGTAACATAATAATACTTTGACGCTCCTGATCATGAAGGCTCATTTGCTGGTATGCACAAGAAAGTGAGTGATGTGCTGTTATGAGGGATGCTTCGACTGCCGTTCTTTATCGATAAAGCTCTCGCCCACTTTTCCCATGAGCCCCTCACCTTCCGGGTCTCCGAAAGTCGCTGATCTTCTACCTCATGATCTTTCCTTTCTCTTCCATTGAAAGCTCCCACCAAACCTCCTCCCTCTAAGTACCTCGTCAACAGGGTCGCCAAGTTTATGTCAACACATACATACACACTGAGCACAAACCGTACAAAGTCCGATTCCATCATGACATCCACCGATCCGGCCGCGGGGGGAGACTCCAAAATACCCGTCCTTCTGCTCAAGACGAGATCGAGTCCTGGTGATTCATATGAAGACCTTTTCTCAGAGTCTAGTGTTGATGGAACGGGTTTTGCGCCTCAATTCGTTCCTGTGCTGTTGCATCAGTTCCATGGCGAGGGTATGAAGGAAGTTGCGGCACTGCTTCGTGAGCGTCGCATTGGCAATGAGAAACATCATGAGTACGGCGGCTTGATTTTCACGTCGCAGCGAGCAGTCGAGGCTTTCGTAAAGCTTGTCGAAGACGGAAAGAACGGTACGTCATGACATCCAATATCATCTCATCATAGCAACGAAGACTAACATGATGTCCAATGCGACAGAAGATACCGCTGATCCCTCAGACACAACATCATGGCCTCACCTCCAAAACGTCCCCGTATACAGCGTTGGTCCTGCCACAACCCGCGCCCTTGCCGCCGTACCCCAGGATCCTCCTCTACAAGTCTTCGGCAGCCACACGGGCAACGGCGCCGCTCTGGCCCCTTACATCCTCGCTCACTACTTCGAATGGTACCGCGACCAAGGCCGTCCTACTCTGCCGCCACTGCTCTTCCTAGTCGGAGAGACCCGCCGCGACATCATCCCCAAGACCCTACAGGACGGCGCATTGCCTGACACAGAGCGCATTCGAGTTACAGAGACGGTTGTTTACGGAACGGGCGTCATGGAGAGCTTCCCTGTTGATCTGCGACGGGTGCTTGGTGAGACGCGCGATGATCCTGTCCGCTGGATTGTGGTGTTCTCACCTACTGGATGCGACAGCATGCTTAGGGTTATGGGAATTCTTGATGCTGAGACGAACAAGGTATACAAGGGATACAAGCGGGACGGAAAGACTTTTATTGCGACTATTGGACCTACGACAAGAGACCATCTGCTATCATTTGGCTTTGAGCCTGATGTATGCGCAGAGTCACCGACACCGGAGGGCGTATTGGACGGAATCAAGGAATTTATGGCCAAGAGGAACCAGAGCTGAAGCTCAATGTAAGTAAAATAGTAAACATTGTATCAAGTAAATGTAAAGTATTGCGGCTGCAAGAACCAGTGCTGATGTAAAGAGTCGGGAGTGTCAGCTCCGGGTATCATTCCTTTCTACAGATCCATCCTTGGAAACTTTTCTTGTTCCCATCGTATATACCCAAGAGATCTCGTCCCACCCATGTTCGCTTTGTCTTTTGTCAATACATACGTTTCCTTTCCTTCATCATGTATCACTTGGGGAAAGACCAAAAGTTGCCATGCGAATTCCAATCCTAACACCGAGCGCCATGTAAACAGATAAGCCAAAATATCGTCATCATACGCCCATAACCCAGAGTTCCACACCGATGACACCAAACTTGGTTCCTTCGTCGCTCAACGGCTCGTTGCCATATGTCTCGCATCTTGAGCTGTGGCCATTTTCGAGTCCATTGTCTAGCCACAGCCCATAATGACCACCGCCTGATCCAACGCTCAAAAAGCCCGTTTCGCAGTTAATGCAAAAGTCGTTCAGACCGCTATACGGGAATGCCTTGAACCGCACCGCTTCACTAGGCGTAGGTGACGGTGCGCGGGAGTGCGTTGGCGTGTTAGTTTCTGACGAAGGAGGCGGTGGAGCGAGGGTTGTGTTTCGAGAGTTGAGATCCGTCGTATCGGCCGATGGAGGCGGTGGGAGAGGTGTGATAGTTGAAGCTCGCCAGAGGAAGCACTCGCCGTTTCCGAAATACGTGTGCGTGGGGTGAGGATATTCGGAAAGGTATGCGCCAAAGACCTGATCATGTTGGTTAGCAAGAAAACGTCATATCGTCTCACTTTGTACGCACCCCTCCTTCAAGATCCTTGATAACAAGGACAAAACCCGCCCGCTTGCCCTCAAACTGGCGACACCGCTGGTACAGCGTCGCCAAGCTCGCGCCGTCCTGTTCGAGGCTATAGATAAGATGCCAGTCGTCGACGATGCGCAAGCGCTCAGGAACCATGGTCCGAATCTCTTCCGCCACCGCTGGACTCAGCAATTTGGCTGACGAAGGCGTCCCGGGACGATAACCATGAAGAATAAGAGGATCAAGCGGCGGAGGACGCATAGGACTGGCAATGCGTCGCACTGGAGAAAAGACGCCGTTTATGCCATCTTTCGTGTTGTGGCCGTTGCCGTTATGATAGTTGAAGTCGTCATCATAGGCGGTGTCGGTTTGGCTAGGGAATGAACCCTCGCTGGAGAAGCGGCGAATGAGACCAGTCCACATGTTGGAGATGTACGAGGCAGAGGCGCGATTTGAGTTGACGGGCGTACCAGCGCCGGAGGATTCGGGAGTTTCGGGGGAGTCGTTGCGGTCTGAAAAGCTCATAACGATAAAAAGAATACCTGGGTAACTGTAGGATGTGCTCTGGCCCACGACAGTAACAGTTACACGAAGAACTAGGAAGTGAGAGATGTATGCATAGACACAAGAAATAAGGTCTCTGGACCGGCAAAGTAAGAATATGAAGTCGTTTGAGTTTTCAAGGGAGAAGAGACAAACGGTTTTTATAAGCAAGTTAGTGTTTAGATCTGAGACATGCAAAGAAGATGGAAGGTGGAATGAATAAAGTGCGACGTGAGTGGCTCTGACGCAGCTTCACTTGGTTGGAGATTGGGGGAAGCTAGTGGAGCTTGATACTGTAATGGATGGCGGGGTCAGCCCAGACGTTAAAATGATGATTAAAAAGAGCCTGATCTTGACAATTGATGCCTCTATTAAGATTGATAATTTTCAGGCAGCAATTATTAACCATTCACTACAAACAACAGCTTACAACGGATTGCGTGGCGATTCATAAGCCATCTAATTTGTCCAGTATCTTCCAACGGCTTAGGCCACTTGTACATCCACGTTGGCAACCTTCACTAACTTCATGATCGTCATCAACATCAGAGCCTCAATCATCAAGCGCTAGCTTATTCTGGTCAGTGGTCTCTAATCACTGAAGCATTAGTTCGGTCTAGACCTTTGCTTTTGTGGTCTTTGACTGTCACGTTACGAAGATGAATGGCCAATGACGATGGCAAAGCATCAATTAAGCCAAGAAAACATATGATAGAAGCATCAGGAGATATGCATGCAGTGTTTGCTACACTTGGAGTAACTAACCTACATATGCATACAACACTATCGACTTTAGTGAGAAATCAATGTACACAAACACGTATTATCATGAATTTTTCTCTTGGGATATAACAGCTAAAAAAGAAATGGTTGCAATGTGCAATTCATCAAATCATCTTCGCCACCCGTCTGGATCTCGGCCTCCATTTCAATCATATCTTTGATCCTGTTTCCTTACATTGGACCTCCCACAAGCAAGATCGTCCCCAAAAAGACCGATGCCAGATACATGATATGCAGAATAAGCTAAACCCATGATTCTGTATGTACTTGCTTGCATGGATTCGTGTTGTGGTCTATCTGTCTTCTCCAAACTCGCTGCTCGTCTTTCTAAAGGCTTCCTGGATCACAGATCACAGATGTCGAGTGAATCGTCGCGGGTATTCCACGTTTACCTCATGATCTCCTGGTAGATCAACTGCTTCAGCTGCTCCTTGCTCAAGTTATCCTTGTGCTTGTCAAAGTCAAAGAACTCCTCGGGAATTGGGGGCGCTGTGGGCTCGTCCTCGGGGTCGTGGTAAGGCTCAAGGTAGGGGTGCTTCAGAGCTTCCTCCACCGTAATGCGCTTAACAGGGTTGAAAGCGAGAAGCTTCTCGAGCAAGTCGAGAGCCAGATCCGATGTCTTGGGGAATAGAGTTCGGAATGGGACCTTCTTCTTGAATGGCAGCGATCGGATGTATTCTCGAGCACGGCGCGACTTGATACCGTAGTAATCCTCCATGGTGGGTGTGCCCAGCACGTCCAGAATGAGGGTCAACTGGTGGTGGTCTAGTAATACGGTTAGCAATGGGCCTGGGGTTATCGCAACGCTTAAGTGGCCACTTACAATCCTTTCCGGGGAAAAGAGGCTTGCCGCTAAGCATCTCAGCGAGGATACAACCGACTGACCACACGTCGATAGCCTTGGTGTACTCCTTGAACGTCAACATGATCTCGGGCGCACGGTACCATCGAGTAGCGACGTATTCGGTCATGAAACCGGAGTTGTCCTCCTGAGAGGCAGCAGATCGCGCAAGACCGAAATCGCACACCTTAAGATCGCAGTTGGCGTTGAGGAGGAGGTTGGAAGGCTTCAAGTCTCGGTGCAGAACGTTGGCTGAGTGCATGGCCTTGAGGGCTCGGAGGGTCTGGTAGATGAAGTACTGGCAATGGTCGTCAGAAAGGTCCTGGGTGCGGATGACACGGTGCATATCCGTCTCCATCAGCTCCTGGATTGTTCGTTAGCTCGCTATTCTAAATGTGGTAGAATGCTAATGTTTCGCACCTGGATCAGATAGACTTCGTTAAATGACTCGTAACTCCTGGGCTTCTGGATATCAAGAATGGAAATAATGTTCTCGTGGTTGAAGTATCGTAGAAGCTTCATCTCTCGCAGAGTTCTTAGACAGAACATGGAGTGATCGAAAGGGGTGATCTTCTTGATGGCGACCTTTTGGCCGGAGGGCTTGTGAATGGCGGAACTGAAGAAGTGTCAGCATTTGAATCATTTCACAATTAGCACAAAAAGCAGAGACATACCAGACGACACCGTAAGCGCCTTCACCGACCACATCTTGAATATCGTACTGCTCGCTCACGTTGAAAGAGATCTTGCGGGACCCCGCAGCGTTAGGGGGGTTCGATCGAGACATGATTGCTGTAGATGTGAGGGGAACGAGACCGAGGTCGACGGGAGGTTGCAGAAAGAAAGGAGAAAACGAAAACGGGCGACCGAAACAAGTTACGATAGAAGGCGCGAGAGGATTGCGCAGTCAATCGGTCGGTCGGTCGAGAGGTTGTTGAAGTAGAACAGAGCAGAGTCAAAGAGGAACCAGCCAAGACTTAGACTCCTTTGTTCGCACGCACCCGACGCTGATTAAGGACGGATGGTTGGATTTGAGGGGAGGGGTCAAGTTTAGTATCCGTAGTCCAGGCCCAGGTATCCGTACTTGTACTTGTAGTGCAGTGCTGTAAGCTCCACTCGATTTTAGGTACAGAATAATCGTAGGAGGGTTGGGATCCTTTTATAGGCAGGTGAGGAAATGAGATGGGAGGTTGACAGTGACAGCGACAGCCAGGTATTAAGATATAAGAGGAGGTAATGATATTCGCTTGGATCAGGCGAAGTAAAAAATAGATGATAGATAATAGGTAGACTTGATAATATGAGAGTAAAAAAAATAGGATAGGATAGATCCAGGTCGCTCGGGCCGTGCTGGTCGCTGATTCAAATACCTTAGTCTAAGGTAAAGCTGGGGCCGTACCTAGACGTAGAAGAGGCTAGCGCAAGGTGGTAGAGGTCCAGGTTTCAGTCGGTTCGGCGTCGCGAACGGTGAGTATAGGTAGGCAAGAATAGGTAAGGATAAGGGATACCACAACCAAACCAAAAGCACGGTCTCTGTTGCTAACAGATTCAGTAAACGGCTTCAACTTCCGAGGGTCCAAAGCTTGGTCTGGGCTTTTGTCAGGTCAGGTCAGACAGTGCAGTAGGTATGTTCCGCTGAAGAAAGACCTAGACAAGGAGAAGGGTACTGTGGTTCTAAAACAAGACAGGTTGGATGTGAAACATGGCAAAATGGGTCAAAATGAGACGGAACAGGACAAAGAAATAGACAACTAATAAGAAAAATACAAGAGATCAATGAGTCTTTTTTCTGCGTCATCTGATCTATTTTCTATCAATTGGGCTGATGACTACCTAACACTAGATGTGATGAATATATCTGGGCGGCTAGGAACCAACAACCACTTGCCAACAGCCGACAGGATGTGTCACAGTGACCGTTGAAGATTTGATAAGGGCTGCCTGCCTAAGAGTCAACTAGTTGTCTTACTGAACCTCTCCTCTCCTCTCAGGGAGCTGAGCTCAACGCCAAGGGAAGAAAGGAATCCGAATCTATGGCGAAACAATACCTGCCCTTTACAGCGAATATCCCTAGGTTCAAGGTCCCTCCTTGCTAGTCTAGACCCAGAGACTACTACTGTAATGATCTTCAGGATAGAGGGGCATCAAAGAAAGACAGCAAGACCACGTCAACATTCAACAGAAATTGAGTCCAGGGCTGTCAGCGAAATTAAATAGCATAAACTACAGCAGAAGCCAAGCATATAAGACGGCTCACATATTGATAAACAAACTTAACATAACCCGACTTATATGAACTAAACAGCCAGGGGATCAAAGTGAAAGGAACGTGGTGGGGAGGACCTGTTTGAGTTTCTTAGGGGCGGACGGGACGGACAGCTTCCTTTCTGCAGCAGTCCAGTGTGGGTGGGTTTAATGGATAAGGTACCCATCAGTACACATTTGTACCACCAAGTACCCCATTTCTTAACTGCCCTGAACATCTCTCATGGATACTTCTCAAACAAACAAAAGATGCTGCAGCACCTCAAGCATGACAGATACCCTCTCTTCTGAGACGAAACGTCAAAGGAACTTCTCCAATGACAGCACCGAAACATGGGGACTTTCCAAGACGTACCCTGGTTCAGGCAAAAAGTCCTCTGACATCTTGCTAATGCGTTTCACCAATATTCAATGCCACTGGGGTTATGTTCGGTCCACCACCTGTCAATCCATGAACTGACTCACTTGAACTGTACATACTAGATTTAGCTATGACCTTGCCGACTGAACACAAGACACAAGAGCCACATGCATTTCCCTTCCAAAGAGTCCTCGGATATCAGATACCAAAGCTCTTAAAATAAACCTCCCCAGCGCCTAATCTGCTCTGTCATTGGCTGCCTCACCTCCCTGGGCGCGTGTTTCACACCCACCGCAGCCCGTCGCGTTTCATCATTGGATCGTGAGGTCCTTGTATCTCGACGTACTTGCGCTCCTAGTGCCTGTATCAGATTTGAACTCAATTCATGGCGGGGATAGTAGAGAGTAGAGAAGGAGGGACCAACCCCTTGGTCATGGATTCACCCAGGGAATCAGTTTATCGTTTGGTTTCCGGAATGATGCATTACTAAAAATACAACTAATTCATGCATCACATTCCTGTCTGTCAATTGGTTACCTCGATCGGTCCTTACTGTACTATTCAATGCCGTGATCATATAGTCCAAGCCGATATCATGACCAGTCAAGCCTCATCGTCATCCCATCACGCTTATCTGCATGCTTCTTCATTTTTGCTCGCAAAACATTTCATTCTTTCTACTCGATACCATTCGGCCTCCCATCTCTGTTGCCAAAAACAGCCGGTTGCATCTCCAGGACCCCGACTCCAGTCATTGATTGAATCCCTCCTCATCAAAATATTACAAGGACTGATCCGACCTATTTCCCCCTCTACTGACGCCTGACTCTAAACAAGCTGCTTTACTGAACGACCTGTGAATTGCCAATGTTAGTATTTGAATCTTCCAGTGGACCAGTACTCTGCTGGAATCAACTCACCTTTTCTCTCAACATTCCCAGCCATTGGGCTGCGCTCACACCCTGATCCGCTCGGTCCTCCACAAGTAGGGTCTGCGCCCAGAGCTTCAGACTAGGTTCTCCGTCTTCTCGAACGATATAGAGGTGGGGCAATGTAATGCTGCCCACACCTAGTGACTTGTGGTCCCGGCTCTTTTGAACCACGGCCCGCACGCGTTCATTGAAGTCTCCCTCAAGCTCCGGCACACGGCCCTTGCCAACCTGGACCTGGCTTCGGTCCTCCACTCCAAACACGTCTTGCACCAGCTGTGGCACCGCATCTCGGCCGATCCACAAGAATTGGGTTTGACCGTCGTCGATAAGGTACAGTCCGTAGGGCACGAGCCTCTCTGAGGATAGGTTGAGCGCAGGGGGGAGCGCGATGTGGCCTGTCTCTGGTTCGGGAACTCCCGCGTTGTCTGGCATATCGTGTAGTGAGTACAGTCGGGGATAGATGTATCGCATAAGAAGGGGCACCGGGAGCGTGGACAGGAGGCAGAGCGCTGCCGATCTAATGTCGGAGGGAATTTGGGATGACTTGCGGAGACCGACGTTCTTGATCAAACCAAGGAACAGGAGGGGAAGGCCGCGCAGGTTGGCGGGGAACTGAAGACCACCACCCATGCTGCCTCCAGCAAGCTCCTTCTTGAATGTCTGTAGCAGCTCAGTGACCTTGCTTTGCAGAGCATCTCGGGCTGCGTCAAGGCCGCTCGACAACGATCGCTCCACAGCCTTGTGGCTGAAGTATGTGGTAATGGCACACTGATCCGCTGAGGCGTACATGTCGGATAGGTTGGTTGTCGTGGGGAGAGCCAGGGTCATGACACGGATACGACGCTCGCCATTGCATGTTGTGTGTAGTACGGCCGCCTGGAGGCAGATGACGTTCTTAGTGAGATTCTCATCGATAGCCACCTCGACAACGTAGCACTGATCGCGGGGGAAAGCAGGGAAAGCGCAGAGGTCAGAGCTTCGGTTAAAGAAGTTGCCATAGAACGTGTTCATTCTCAGACCGCTGGTAGCACGGACTCGAAGAACAGCCTCAAGTCCGATTTCAGACGACAGATAGTCGCTGAATTCAGAAGCGAACTTGAGGGCATCTTCGGGTCGCGAAGCGTGCCATCCTGGGTAGAACCAGGTCTGTCCACCAGTGTATCGAGGAAGGTTGCTAAGCGAAGCAACATCCTGGTACTGTGATGAGAAGAGGAACATATCAATAGACACCTGACTCTTCGAACACTCCACGGCAAAGCTCTTGTAGAAGCTGTTGGCAGTTTGCAGAAGAGCGCCCTCTTTTGATGTGCCAAGGAGCTTCTTGTCCTCACGCATTTCAAGCTTGCCAACGCCCATGTTGGGCAGAGAAGCAGTCAGAACGACGATCTTGCCTCCAAGGGTGGAGATAAGCTTGTGAGCCGCACGCAGGGCTGATCCCATGCAAGAACCATTGCTCTGGTTGTTCTGGAACATGTCGGGAAGCTTCTGCAAGAACTTCTCGACACTTTGTCGGCTCTCAGTAAGGGGAACCAGGAGATCGTTAGGGATAGGCAGAAAAGGCTCGTCGAGGTCGCTGACAACAAGCATATTGGTCTCGCCATTCTCATCAGTATCCTTGGGAACCGAGAAGTAGTGCAGGCTGGAGTCCACAGCCAAGAAACCCAGGCGTGTACGGCGATCGGCATTTGGTATCCTGTCAAGGCTGTCCAGGATAGTGCGGGCTGCGGTTGCCACGAGTCCGGTTGAAACAGCAGCGTAGCTGACATCGAAGCAGAACAGGTAGATAAGAGGTTGAGGAGGGCGAACCATGTACTCTTGGGGAGCAACAAACTCAACAACGGCGTGGTTCAACTCGGGTCGCTGCCATCGGTCGACACTCTGCTGAGCAGCGGCATCCCAATCGAAAGCCTGGGGAACGTCGTTGGTTAGGTTACACATGTTACACCTCCATCGATGGCCCTGGTCCAAAAAGGTGACATAAGGGTTGATGTATGTTCTGCAGCGTCTGCATCGGGAAATGACCTGGTCCTGCACAACAGGTACGGGGTCCTCATCATCGTGGAGAGAACCGTAAGGCTGGATAACAAGTGCAAGAGGCAGCTTGGACTTCTTGAGTAGGGAGTTGGTGGTGGGGACGGCGTTAATGGTCGATCGGAAATATCGCGGGGAGCAGTTGGCATCGGGGGATGGAGTTACGCTCGTCTAGAGGCGCATGTTAGCCATTGACATTATTCTCAGACTATTCGGTTCGGCCGACTTACGTTGGGAGGAAGAACGATCGGAGGCGGAGGAAGGTCAAGCTCCGAGACATTGAAGGGCTGGCTGAGTAGATCGGTAGGGTAGAGCTGGTTCAGGACAGCAGGACGAGGAGGCTGAGCGCCCTGAGGTTGTTGAGGCTGTCCACCCATACTCATGTTGCCCATTCCTTGAGTGATACCGCCAACGCCTGGCGCGGGCTGCTGAGCACCGGGAGTCGGGTATCCTTGATCGGGGGCTTGATAACCATACTGAGGAGCCTGGGGAGCAGCGGGTTGCTGTGCGCCGTAACCCTGCTGGGGATACTGGTAGCCCTGAGGGGTAGCAGCTTGAGGCTCGGCCTGATAACCTCCATAGCCTGGTTGAGCGGGAGGGGCACCGAACTGCTGAGCAGGTGCTCCGGGTTGACCACCAGCGACAGCGTTGGCGCCGGTACCGACTTCGAAGGCTTGAGCCGCATACCCTCGCTTCTTCTTCTTGTGGCCTTGATCGAGGGGCTGTTGGGCGGCGGCAGGGTCCTCGTAACCTTGCTGAGGCTGTTGATCTTGGGCGGCTTGTTGATCATATGGCTGGGCTGGGTAGCCGCCGAAGCCATCACCAGGAGGGGGCATCGACATGGTTGAGCGTCGAAGGGAGCAGTGTCGCACCCAAAGATATGTAGAGGGATTCGATCAATCGGGTCGAGAGAGGGTTCGGAAGATGCTGCTAAGCAGATGTATAGGAAGTTTTAAAGTCGAAAGTCGAAAGTCGACTCCAAGTCCAAATGTCCCAGTCAAAGAGATTTGTTGAGGTCGGACTGGGATTGGGATGAATTGGATTGAATGGATATGGATGGTGGTTGATTGATGAGCTCAGAGCCAGAGCTGTCGGGTTGGGTCCAGTCGTGTACTGCAGTCTGGCCTCTTCGCATTGGTCACCGCCACAACGATAGCAGCCAAGAAACCTGCCAAAAGGAGGGGCTACTTTTTGTGTGGTTGCCTGAGCCACGCTATCAGATGCCAGACTTGAAGAGGACAACAACGTCAATTTCAAAGACCCGACGGAAAGATGAATCTTGCAGAAAGAAGAGTACACTTGTCAAAGTTAATAAGACTCCCCCTTGCTGCCTTGATCGTCATTCAGGCAAGCTTGGAGCTTGGAGCTCATGTGGCGTTAGAGCTTCAAGCTTCATCACCAGCCACACATGATGTATAAGCATTCACTGCATCACTGACAGCAATCACTACCTTCATTTGCACAATGCCATATATTTGTTCTCTGTCATTATTTTTCTACTCGCATACCTTAAAACTTGACTATTCCCTCTCATGTCTCAAAAGTCGACCTTCAATGTGACTTACTAACATTATCGAGTTGCCGCAAAACGACAGATGCCACCTTGCCTGGAGCAGCAGATAATGCGTAATCAGACAAGTATCTTTCGATTGACCCAGAATATCCTTTTCGAACTTGACTGATACTGTCTAAATGCAGAGTTTGCTCGAATCCATCACATGTCGCACAACGTTTCTTGCTATAATCTACCCTGTCTTGTAGTGCGAGTTGCCCAAGCAACTCTGTCTTAGGAACCAGGATGTATAAGGCATGGTGGTGTAGTGAACATATTTGTAAGAGAGACTGCATCACAAGACCAACAGGATCGTTTTGGGTGAAATCGTTTATAATGGCTACCTCTTCTCGACGGAATTTGTGTATTGACTGCTCAAGTGTCCTGTCTGAGCCATCGTTCAAGATTAACAAGAAAGCTGTCTCAAGTATAAAAAAGCACAGCGAGGGTGTATTTGATGTCATGAGAACAGTAGAAACGAACTAGTTAAATGAGGTTCTACCAAAATTTTCTGTAAATTTATGGGCTTTGTTGACTTACTTGACTTATATCCCAACACTTATCTGGTGAAGTATACACGATGAAGCCATCGACCCACAAAGTTCACAGTTGACCATTATTCATTCTCTCTCTCTCTATTCAAGCTCTGAGTATATCACATTGGGAGAACTCATTCGTGTGCAATAATTATTCACAATTCCCTCTATGATGAGAGCTACATTTGATGCAAGTGTTCCACCGAACGAAGGGAAACTAGGTAGATAACCAAACTTAGAATAAAGTAGAGGCAGAAGTGTAATTATGATTGAGAAAGCATGGACTGCTTTCTCATATACGTATATGCTTTTGTGTAAGTGATCTATACCACGACCAAAGCTCCCTATATTTAACACCAGGTAATAAATAGTACGTGGCTGTCTAAACTTACTAGAAGATACTATTCCTATCCAAAAATGGTAGTATAGAATGATCATACGAGCGTGTGAAGATCTTATTGGTCTTTGAGCCTACGTCTTTACACAAGCATACAGTTCGACTCTTAGCCTGGGATATATTCGGGAGTCCGTGTGATAACTGCGTATTATGAGAAGCGAGTAAAAGTACCTACACAACTGGGATTATAGGCTATAACTACTAACCTATTCAGACTGTGTATTATAGGAATATTTTGCAGTTGATGGCTGCCCATTATCGAGAATAGTCTCTCATCACTCGAAATGCTGTCATGATGTTAGAGCTCATATTCTTCCATTATGGGCAGTTGAACTACTTGAAGGCAAGAGATAGTACGCCTATTGACTCAAACGTGTGTCTATATTTGTACAGAATATCTCATATTGCGCCATCATCGCTTAAAGGCTTGATCAGCGCCCCTGTTGGCACATCATCAAATCTCCAGTCGCCTACAAAGGAATTGACAAAACAGCGATGAAGCAGTTCCACTCTCGAAAAGCCATCTTGACAATTATATTATGGCGTGTCCGATTCCGCCTTACCTGGTTATATACCCCTGGATCATCGGCAAGCCTCTGTTAACTCGAGCGTTCGAGAACAGCACCTGTAAGCCGCCACAGAAAGCTTGACTCCAGGCAAAGCAAACACGGCAAGGCCTGACAGAACAGGTTCGGACTAGGCGAAAGACATGTTTCCCAATTCAACATTGCAAAATGTAACCTGTAACTACAGTGCTGTGCAGTACAGTACTCGGTTTCATCTCATCTTTCTTCAGCTCCTCCTGCACTGCCACTGTCCAGGATCGCTTACACGGCTACGGGCCGGGATAGCTTCTTGGCATTTTCAGGTACTCAAGTCTAGGATCCATCGCTGCAAGGACGCGTATTTAAATATCCTTTTCGGTAATTAAAAGACACTATAAATGTAAAAATAGCTTCACTTCATGATTGAAAACGAGATGGACCTTGTTTCACACCTTAAATTTCCTGTCAAAGACCACAAGAGTGAGGCTCATGACCAATATCAGAAGTACAATCACGATTGACTGTCAGTATTGATTCATCGAAGTTCCCCGTCAACTCCCTAGCGGCGCCCTAAAAAGCCATCAAGTTACAGGAGGGTCGAACAATCAGCAAAGACCCTGTTTTACGATCCAATTGGCGATCATTGCAACGTTTTTTCTGTCCCCTCTTCGCAAGTTCAAGCTAAAATCAGGTCCCTGAAGTAGCAGTAGCTAGTAGGTGCCCGTCCACATGCTTCCCCCAGGCTGGCTGGAATTGATTCATTCCTTGCCCCCCATAACTTAACTTAGGTTAACTCAAGCCAGCTTCGTCTGCTCTGCTCTTGGACCCCTCAAAACTCTTTTCTCGGCCGCAGCAGTGCAACCCCCTTTCGGCTACCTCTTCTCTCTCTTCCTTGGTATTGGATTTTCATTCTTCTTCCTACCTATTCTTCATCCTTTTATCTTAACTATACTGCGTTGATCGCATCCAACTTCTATTCTTTCCTGCGCTTCTACCAATTCGCGATTCACCACAACCTCTCGTCGGTTTCGCATCGCATTCGCATCCCCACGTGCGCACGATACATACATCATGGCGAACTCAACTATCAGGTACGAACATAGCCTCCAACGGCTCCCCAGAGCTTCCTCGAGCGCATCTAACTCTAATCCTTTAACTAGCCAGATTCTTCCTCTCATTATCGTCTTCGCCCTTCTCGGCGTGGGCGGCTGGGTAGGCTACCAAGTCTACATCAGCGTCGCCAAGATGTCCGACGTCGCCTCCGAGCGCATGGGCAAGAAGAACGTGGTTTTTACAAAGGACGGAGTCAAGGTTGGCGTCAAGCAGGTCAAGACCGAGAATTATGTCGACGCGACACAGAGCTGGTTCGTCAAGGCATGGAATCTGGGCACAGCTCAAGATGGTAGCCAAACGTAAGTACAACTCGAAGACGATGCTATGTATTTATTCTCGCAGACATATCTAACGATTCGCGCAGCAAGAAACGAAAGTAGAAGTCGGCCGTCCCTCTATCGCGAAATTTGTACAATGGGTTTAAAATATTATTGCTGGGGGTAAAAAGGAGCACGCACGAATCGCCAGGACATTACGAAAGCTGGATTCATTGCTGAGATGGTCTTTGAGCGCCATACATGTTACGCCAGATATTCAATTAGAACTTCCATTTCCATTATATGATGCCTACCGGTTGTGAATTACTGGTCAGGACAGTAATGATAACTTATGCACGTAGAATTGTTAACAAATCGTCCTATGGATGTGTATGTGCTTCTGTAAAATGATAGGGAAGCAAAAAATCGTATTCCATGTTTCATTCATGATGAAGACTATGATGCTCGCGAACAAGTTTTGAAGATCACACAGTGATCTACATGTTTTTGTTTCAGGCATCACATCTAGGCTGGCATATTGAGCTCGGGTCAAACAGATTTATGGTTATTTTGAACGCCGGGTATCCAGTACCGGGCATGTCTAATGCCTAGGTAGCTATATGTAGCTTCGCCTCATATCCAAAACCATTATCTTTACAAATAGCCCCCAAAGACCTTTCCTTATCTATCATGACGTACCGCAATACACAACCGTAAATGTTCCATTAGATCGGATTTTTTTAGTCCATCGCTCTCAGTGTTAAAGCTGCAACAGACCTTGGGCTACCCTCTCATCATTGTTCAAAGTCCCACAGGCCTTGGTCAGCAACTCATGCTTCTGAGTATAGGCTTGCTCCTTTTTCATAGCGTCATGTTGCTGAATGGGATTCATATTAAATCCTGCCATTGCGGGCGCTGTTTTGGACGACAACAACTTCTCGAAATTGTATGCTCCAGGATATGGGCTGGCCATTAGCCCGTCTCGGCGGATGAGCATTGATGGCACACGAAGGTTAAGCTGCGGAGTAGTGTCAGTTAAACCTGAACATGACACGGGAAAAAGCAATATTTGTGGAGACCAAAGGAAGCCAAGCAAGCAGGGCTTGCGAGGAGGGGGAGGGACAGGAAGATAACAGCGGAATAAGAGTGATACTTACTTGATAAAGGACATTGGCATATCTGACACCGAGGTGGTTGCCGATGAATCGAAGTCGGCCTTTGACCCATGCTCTCTGCGCATCAGTTGTGTAGTCCTGACCCTGGACACAGGTCAGGGGCCAAGTCAGGAAATATCCTGGTAGACCCTTGAGAGCATCTTCCTCTCCACAACCGAACGCGGATAGATTGGCTCTCTCAAGGAGGTCCCTGCGGTTGCTAAACCATCCTAGTTGATATGGAACTGAGGCAATAATATCTGTGATGGTGTCGACGCACGTCCTGGCGGCAGTTGCGTACTCGGGGGTCGTGCGGTAATCGACCGGAGCGCAAACCCAGGCAGCGCAGCGAACGATGAGAGAGGCCAAGATGATGCGAGAGCAACGCATCAAATTCCACACGCTGACGACCCAGAGATCTTGATAGGCGTCAATTCGACCGGGGAACACCTCGGCCAGGCTATAGTCGCCGTTAGGCACGTTATCTTCCCAAGCCACTGCCTTGTAGTGGAAATACTCGGGCAAGGAATTCGCCCAAGCCACATGCTGCTGGTCAAGTGTTTGGCATCGACGAATGATGTCGAGTAATATTTCGATGTTCTCAGGACCTCGACTCAAAGACGCCATTAGGCGGTTAGATTCAGCCCTGAGCTCTGCTGTACGGATGTTGAGTCGTTGGCACTCGGCTCCATAGTGGTTCTTGACGCTGTCAGTAATCCACCATTCCACTCCCATGGCTGGGGGTGTGCCAGTTGTTAATGTGTGAATAATCTGTACTCGTGTTAGAAAGAGACTCTTGACAGCTGAAAAGTTGGAAGATCAAAAATACCATCTGTGTCCGTGTAGCCACAAAAAGAGCCAGACCCTGCTTCGTTTGTATTTGCTTCTTGTCTCTGGACTTGACCAGATGGATGGCTCCTTCGATGTGCGAGCCCCAAGCAAGCATACCCAATTGCTTTGCAGTAATGTTTTCAAATAGTCCAAGGAGGAGTACAGCGGCCAAGGTAGAGTCTTCCTTGGATAGAACCGGATCCTTGAGAGCTCCGAACGTGGCAGAAAGTGCTTTAGTGTAATGTCCCAAAGCCTTGTTCTCAAAATTGCATCCAGGGCCAACGCGATTTCCGAGAGAAGCCATGGCACAAGCCTCGAAAGCCAGCTTAAAATGGGGAGCCGGTTTTGTCTGTTCAGCCTTAAGAAGAGGAACGACGAATTCCATCCATCCACGCGTGTGATCGTGGGCAGGAAGGAGAACGAAATTTGACAGAAAGTGACAAGTAGCCTGTTGCTCTACTGGAAGCTGAAGTGTTGACAAAATAGACTGATCGGGAGTTGGTCTGTGGATGGCAACGGCCTTTGAAGCTGCGTCCGGGCTGAGTTTGCCTTGCTTCTGAGCTGAGGCCTTCTTGCTGGCTTTGCGAGCTCTTCTTTCAGTAGCCTGTGTCTCATTGCGGAAGACGAGGTCGAACTCGTCCTTGTATCCAGGACATTGTCTCCTGGATTTGGCGCATTGGTTACAGGTGGGCTTCGTCTCATCGCACTACAAGAGTGAGCAGTTGTGTCAAAGGGCCCCAGCATTAAAGTGAGGCCTGGCAAGAGAAGTTTACTAACGTACCTTGATTCTTCGGGCCCTGCACATCTGGCAGCCCCGTGATGGCTTACCGCAGTAGACCATGTTGGCGGGCAGTTATGAGTGTTGAAGGTGAGGTCCAACAATGAGGGTCCGCTCGACGTGCCAAGGTTCCAATAGAACAGATGACAGAGCTGAGATGGAGACGGAGGAGGATTATTGTTCAAGGGCTGACTGTCCAACGGCCGCGTGGGAGGACAAAGTAGACGAGAACCACGGGATAGGGCGTACGAAGACGCGAGGTTGCATACAGATATGAGAGAAAGCGAAAGGCCGTGAGTGGGCACTTATCGTATCAGATCTTAGACGGAGGGTCCGGTTTCGTAAGTGAGAGATGATTGCTGTCGATGAAGCTATTTTCTCACTGTGATCATAATCCAGTGAGTTCGATTGAGTTAATGAATTTGGTTGAACCAGAATCAACCTGGACGTGTCCTTGTTGGAGATGATATGGATTTAATGGGATTAATGACTCGCGAGTGGCAAAGGCTTTGAGCTGTCAATGATTCCGGTTTCCATGTGTTGGTTCCTCTCCAGCTATGATATACTAGGGTAAGACACGGGGATAATGATAGAATTGGACAAGATGGTGGAGAGGAGAGGAAGAAGCAACGGGAAAGGGCAGGGAAGAAGAAGGCAAAAGGGTGTCCGAGCGAACGGGCAAGCAAGCAAGCAAGCAAGCGAGACGTCGTATCCGAGACGAGCGAGCGGACGAGGATATGGATTGTTTGCTTTAGCCTTACACAGCGCAGCAAAGCACAGCACAGCGGGGGGGCCTAAGCTAAGGAACGGTACAGTAACTGTATCTGTACAGTAGGTAGGTTAAGAGGAAAAGACGGCAATGCAACAGCCCAGGTTGGCGGTGGAACCTGAAAGAGAAGATGGAGGGGAGGACAAGGGGGTCAATGTGATGACAGGCGATGAGACAATGCGGGTTTGCGAGAGTCCGGTGATGTGATAAATGATAGCTGATGATGTCCAGGCGGAAAATTTGCTTTTTCAACGTCGACGTTGGAAGAGATAAACCATGACAAGACAAAGAGGATCCAGAAGATGCAGGGGAATGGATCAGAGGGGATGGGGGCTAGGAACGGTAAATAAGAGACCCGCTGCAACTGTCAGTCAGTTGAGTTAGTGGGCTGTCGATTCTTGGATCAACTGGATCTAGCGAGGGAATGCCTAGTCCGTTGAAGACAACCTTGAGTCTAGAGGACCTAATGAGTGAAGAGAGTTGAGTCGTGGAGTTTTGATTCACGGGAAGCGGGAAATCATCCCCTGATGTGCACTTGCTTAGAGTCTAAGAGCAGACGACCAATTGGGAAGTAGCGGGTCAGTGAACCTGCATCCACTAGACTGAACTGAAGTCAAATGGCAGGAGCGGATTGGACTGAACTCCGCTGGATGAACGGGTTTAGAGGAAGGAACTGCACGGGAGAAGCTTGCCCGAAGAGCTTGACCCTGCCCAGCTGGAGACTTTGGGGGCCTTGGGCGAGCAGCCGTAGCCTGAAGAGTGAAGAGGCTGGAAGGCTACAGGGCTTCATTGGATGATAGATGGCTAAGCGGGGTGGGATTGCAGGGAAGTGGCAGATGGAATGGAGCCCTGTAAGTGAAGTGAGTGCTGGAACCTAGTGCCAGACTTAGTACTAAGGTGAGCTTGGCGGGCAGGCAAAAGATCACGTCAAATCAGAGCTGGACCTGATCTCGAACGGACCTCGGCATCTTTGAGTTGACTTAGGTGCCGTAGAGTAGCATTGTCAAATTGACTCGCGGCCTGTCACAACTTAATTGTAAAGTGTGTGTATGTGCGCGCGCGGCGATAGGTTGCTTTTGCTTAAATCTGACAGCTATAGCGCATAGACCTGTCAGTTTAGAACGCCGAGGTTCATGATCGAGAATTAATATATTTAACACAGCCGAGGAGAGAGAGGCAAAGTCGCTGCACTGCACTGATCACCTAGAAACCAGTGCATGCGGACTGGATCAACCGGCGATAATCATTCAACGGCCGATGATTCAAATGTGAGGCCACTCAATGACTGCATGATAAGATTACAGTACACGCCTATAATGTGACATGAGCGGCTAGTTAAAAGGCTAGACCAGTTAATTAGCGAACTAAATGGAAGACTTGACTGTATTGGTACAGGCAGGTTTTATGTCTGGTAGCTGAGTTGTATATACTGCTATTTGCTGATATACAGTGATCCACTGATCGTTGTGCAACGATAATCATCAGGGGCCAGGGGGTCTTATACGAAGTCGTCAATCGTTCTCGTCTCTTTCTCTTGCAGGCAAAGGATAAGCTGGAAACTGGAAGATGTTATTAGTCCCTGGACAAAAACAGATTGAGATAGATTGATTGCATTGACAGTCTGGCTTTGAGGGGTTGCCTCGCCTCATTACGTATGCACTGAACTCATAAGCAAAACAGAACAGAACAGAGAAACAAAAGTAAATCCAGTGGAGGGCCAGGGCATGATGCATCATTGATGAGTAGGGCTGTCAGGGTCTATTGTGAAGAGTAAGAGTTGAAGGCCCGTGATGAGAGTCGGTTCAGTGCCACAAATCGCATCATTGGGATGGTTACCGCATCCGGTAACTGCGGCTAATTCTGACTCTGACCATGTGGATGCCATGTCTCGGTCGACGCCTCTTTACTGTTGATGGTTTCACCTAAATAAGTCCATTCATTGACTCACCAATTCTCTTCACTGCATAGATTCCGTCATTGTCTAGACTCTTGTTGAAATATCCAACGGAGATTATCTTCAAAGGCCCATACTGTCACGGTGACAAAATGCATTCCTAGAGGTGGCTATCAATCTACTCTACAGGCCCAAGTACTTACAGTCTCAGACATGTTCGGGCGTTTGCATTTACTCAACTCTTCTCTCTCATTGGTACAGTGCTTCCACGCTGACGTTGGTTGGCGTTTCAGCCCTAAAGTCTCTAAGTATGTACTGTCGATTGTTTAGTAGAGCATCTTGTTCGTACGCCGAAAGTGTAAATAGGATTTGCCGATGCATCTTGAACTAAGGTGTACTGTGATTGAGTATTTCTATAAGTCAAATGGCGAAAGGTCTCAAGACTCATGATGAATTAATGCACGTGTACTTCCATCTGCTATATCGCAAATATACCTGTACCTCCAGTGGCAATGAAGGATCACTTCTATCACAGCCCAACCCCTCATCATAGTAATCAACTGCAGGGCGTAGATCTTGGTATCTGGTCAATCAAAGGGCGCGGATTCAGTATAAATAATTGCTAAAAAGATGATAGAGACTACTAGATCACAAACCTCCTACATAAAATAGAAATAGAAGCCATCATCATCATCATCCCTCTGCCCATTATGTCTAATCTCTCAGACTTTAGCCTCCTCTCATTCGATGTCTATGGCACCCTCATCGACTGGGAAACAGGCGTCCTCAATGCACTCAAACCTCTGATAGGAAACCGCAAAGATGAGTTCAACAGAGATCAGCTCTTAAAAGTCTACGCCGAGGCCGAAGCTGCCCAGCAAGAAGCCACTCCTGACTTGAAATACTCTGACCTTCTCGCTACCATCCACCCTAAAGTCGCCGAGAAACTTCACCTCCTAGAACCAACTGCAGAGCAGAATCAAGCATTTGGCAATTCTATTGGCTCGTGGCCTGCATTCCCTGACACTGTCGATGCTCTTCGTCGTCTTGGAAAGCATTATAAGCTTGTTGTTCTATCCAATGTAGATCATGAGTCTTTCTCGGGAAGCCATACAGGACCTCTACAGAATGTCCCATTCGATCTAGTCATCACAGCGCAAGATGTTGGTAGCTATAAACCCAACTTGCAAAACTTTCAGTACCTCCTACGAGAAGTTAATGAGAAGTTTGGTATTCCCAAAGAGAAGATTCTTCAGACTGCTCAGAGCCAATTCCACGACCACCAACCTGCCAAGATCATGGACATTAAATCGTGCTGGATTGAGAGACCTGGTGCTTTGATGGGAAATCGTGATTATCCTATCTACGACTGGAAGTTTCCTACACTTGGAGATATGGCCGATGCTCTGGAGAAGGAGCTTTTCGATAAGAAATAATTCCTGCAATAGCATAGACATAAACTGAATCTTAAATTGTTTGATCAACAGCCAAGGCGTTGCATGGGAAACAGATTCAAAGTATCTAACACATCGTTTGGTTTCATCATGTATTTCGAACGTAGCATGTTTTCTGCGCTTTGACAAGTCGGAAATACTTGTTTACAATCGAATTGATAAAACATCTGTTGTAACCTGTAGTTAATGACTGCCCAAAGAGATTCAATGTCAGGTGGTGCTCTCGTGCTTTGACTGATGTAGAGCAACCCAGTTTCGAAACTGATTGTATCCATCCTCATCCAGATCTCGAAATATGTTTCCTTTTTCGTAGTTCGTCCTGTGAAACGCGGTTTCCAATCTCTCCGCCGTACGTTTCTCTCCATTTGCTGAAGAAAGTCCTGATATCTCCCGTATTATCTCCATCCCTTTCTCGCAAGAGTCTCTGAGTTCGTCATCACTGCCAGAGTCGCATGTCGTTAGTATAGCGAGAACTGAAGTATAACAGGAACTGAACTCTGTATATGACAATTCTGAAAGACGGTTCTCTCTGCGAAGCATCTGGCACAGATCGATGATGGCAACAGCACTGTCGATGATGGCACTGGCGATCTCTCTCCTTAGCTTCGTCCACGCTGTATTCAAAGTGAAATTCTTATCGATATTCGACCCATGCACCATCAGTCCTCTCTCTAAGAGAATATGCAATAGATAGTAATTCAAAGCAAGGTGTACGTTGGGTATAAATAGGGGTTTTCCAGGAGTGACATCACGGCAGAAGGTCTGGTCGGCGAGACTCTGCCAGTAACTATGTATATGCTTCCTGAGGAGTAAGATATTCTGAATTACTTGGGCCTTTCTGATCTTATGGCCACTTTTCAGAGTCAACCTTGCTACTGTCAGATCTCAAGTTTCAAATTGGGTTTGACCCAACTTACATTGCATCTCGAACATCCTCCATGAAGATAGTGAGCTTGAGCATCGCCATACTATTTTGAAAAGTGTTGATTCGTTCTTTAGGCTGCAGATCTTCCATATCAACTGGAGTGTCGACATCGATATCTGCTCGGGAGATAGAAACAGGTCGTCCGTGTAAGATACAAGATCGGCTTTGAATATTAGCTTCTTTCGTATGAAAATGAGACCGTGAACAAACCGTTCGAGGGCGTACACTGTCCACCAAACCCTTTTCTGCACCTCATACTCTCTAGGGAAGACACTCTGAGTGTTCCTCTGGTGTAGATTTAGTTGTGTTGCCAGCTTGGTAGCGAGTCCAAAATACGTCAGAGATAGTCCGGCTGGATCCGTGGGCAGCGTATATAAGCCAAATAGGAGAAAGGCCTGTACACTTTCGATACAGTTGGCTGACATGATATCAGGAATCAGTCCCCTTGCTTTTCCATAGAGTGTAGAAGCAGCAGCATCATCCATGGTTTTACAAATATCATGAGCCTCCCTCATGAGTTCCCTACACGAACTATGCGCCGAAGATTGATACTGTTTCGAGAACTGAACGCCAAGAGCAAACACCATCAAGGCAACAGATATCCAAGGTTTGTCTTCATCTCCTACTTGACGATTGCAAGAGTAGAACTGGGCAAGTCGTTGTCGTAGTGTCTCTTCGTCGACGTAGAAATAGTTTGTCTGTGCGAACTCAAAGAACACTCTTATGAGGACAAGGGCTGAGGGAGCTGCCGGGAACAGTGAAACCGCTTCGATAATTGCATTTTCCTGACTGATGGCAAAGAGGAAGCTTCCTGTTTCGCCGACTGCTGGGTCTGTACTTGAGACCTATGATGTTGTGAGACTCGCCTAAGGATAGGCATTCAGAAAGAGTATCCATGCTAACCTTGGACTCGGAATCGTTCGACTTGCTCTCCCTCTTACCCGATAAAAGGGAGTGCAGATCTTCTTTAGAAAGATCCGAGTCAGCTTCCATCTTGTTAGCTTATGAATCTTGTTCGCGGTGCAAGGTCACCTACCAGTTGATGTTGTATCCGCACTTTTATTGCTGCCATCGTCCTTATTCTCGTCTCCTTTTGGTAGAAATTCTTCATTCGAGGGAATGTCTGCAATAACCACCTCGAGGTCTGGTAGGCTGAACTGTTCAAGTCCTGTATAGTGCTTGACGATGTACTCTAGCGCCTTGATGCGCTCTACCTGTAAGATTCCAGAGATATCATCACTCGAAGACTCTTGATCCTGTATTGAAATATGTGATTGAGAGACTGGTCTCTTCTGGAAGCGCTTGCTGAACTGATGAGATAGCTTGAGCCTCCTGCATCTGTCACAAGAGGTGTTCCTAGTATATTCCTGCTTAAGGCGACAACACTCATTGCACCTAACAAGAGTAAATAATGGGTACTTAATCTAATGTAGTGCGAGAGTAAAGCAGCTTACTTCTTTATTGTGCTCCTTCGCATTCTGAGAGGGTAGCGAGGTCTTGACTGGTGCTCTATTTCCATACTCGCCAATGCTGACCGACACCTTCCAGTTTCGAAAAACCTTCAATAACATGGAGTGACATCAATTCCATCTAATTATCAACAAAGGAGGTGAGGGTGAGAGCAATTTTATGCTTAAAACCTGAGACCCTCGATGCGCCGGTCTACCGAGTTCAACAACGGCCCGGCGCCGGAGCATGAACCGGCCCAAAGACGGGCCTCAAAACAGGCACAATTTCAATCGAGAAAATATGCAATTATTTCAAGGAATACTTAGCCTTCTCAATATCACTTTTGCCACATTGCGATCACCTCATAACGAAGTCTAGGATGCTGGTGATAAAGCTGCCACCGCCGGTAACATAAGCCGCGCACCAGACTCTGGCCAATGCAAGTCCTTCGGGTGTCTTCCCCGGTAATACTAAATCATCACTTTCGGTGGCGGCCTCATATAAGTTGGAGTGCACTCTTTCGATCAAGGGGAACAGGTTCCGGTCAATCAAGCCCGGGCCGGCTGTGAAACCACGGAAGGCAAAGACACTCACCGGTCTACAGACTCTATCCTTAAAACAACGGTCTAGGAGCAGGACTTGTGATAATGGACTGATTCTTGACGACTGTGGCTGCAAATCAATGCGCATGACATAATCTTGTAGCCGGCCTCAATAAACGTGATATGGATGTGGTGTGATAACAACGTCAGTATGCATATGAAAGGCACAAGTAAAATCGTATCAATTGATTTCCTGGCCTGACCTGTGCTTGCTCTAGTACTCCTAGTGAACCGGCCCAGTTCCCAGTTCAGCCCTGTCTATTGTCCCAGCCGCATATCTTAATTACAACTACCTAGCGACCCTGCAAGCGGCCAGCCTCAGCTAGTGATGCTCAGCTATTGTTTTTTGTTGGTAAGATCTATCAGCTTCTACCCTTCCCCTTTACTGACGTGATATCGTCAATGAGCAATCCTTCTATTTACAAGCATGTGCGGCTTCTATCCCTCGAATAGATTCGAGACTCCATCTAACCCGTCTGGTGTCGCCTGACGAGCCACATTCATACCTGCTCGTGTCGAGTTTTGGTCTGCTTGCGGAGCACTCATAAACCCTTGTGCCATCTTGCTTCGGTTGCTTCTCTTGCCTCTAGATTCTCCAAATCCACTGCTCTTGGGAAGTTTACCCATTTCGGACACGCTCACAGCCTTGAGATCCTTGAGTAGATCCAGCACAAGAGCCCGCTGTTGACGAGTATGCGCACCAGGCTTGGGCATGTATGTTGACAGTCGTTCAAGATCCGACATGCTGACATTGGGCAATGAGAGCAGCACATCCCTGGGACTTGATGTGATGGGGCTGTAGTAGACAACAATGGCGGCGATCAATGCAGCCAAGTCCTTTTGAAGTTCCACAAAGTAGGGCTCATGGAACGACGTGATGCAACCCTTCAGCACATCAAGCGAGATGTATTCCCGAATAGCTGACGAGATCGAAGAAGGGATGGGGAACTTGTCCGATGCAAGATGTGCTTCCATTGGGCTTTGGACCACCGACTCGGGCAACTTGCCATCCACAAGATGAAACTCAGGGACCAGTGACACGAACAATCTAAGAATCATGCTGCAACATCGAGTATCTCGCATGCGAATTCCGTGAGTGCAGAAAACAAGCAGTGGCTCTACAATCTCTCGGTGGATGAGACAGAACCGACGCAGACTTGGATAGTTCTTGGCTTGATCGGAATCGACAGTGCCATCTCCCTTCTCAATCGGTCCATCTATGGAATTGTTAGCATCAGTCTGGGGAAACTTGAGGCATCGTATCTTACTGGGTTTTGTTGGATCAAGGAAGTCAGCCACCATCAATACTGCTGTATACGTAACCTGTCGCAGGATACTCTCAGACTTCATCTCCTCTTTAAGACCAGCCTCTCCGTCTGCAGCCACTTGCTGTTGTCGTTCCATCTTTTCCCATTCGCCATTGATCTTAGCATCCATCTGTTGGAAACACGAAGCCAGCAGTTGTGGGAGGAAATGCTCTCGGCAATCAACCGGACAGTCATCAACCAAGTATCGAACCAAGTTCAGCAAGTTGCTTTGCTGGTGCGTGGACAACCAAACTGAGTCTGCAAAGAGGGCTTTAGAGAGAGGTGCAGAGAGTCCCTCGAATCCGTAAAACTGTCGCTCAAGACGGCTCATGCAATAAATGATAGCATAAGCAGTTTCACGAACGAATCGAACAGACCCACGAATAGTGGAGGCAAGGCCTTCCATCGTGTTCTTCTTATCCATGACACGTGCGTAGAAGTCATCCTTGCTGCCTTCAGAAATTCCAGCTTGCCAAAATCGATCACTGAGGATTCTGTTGACTGTAGACCGCATCTCACTAGGCAAACCGGTCCAGTTATCAGGGTTGTGGCATGCATGCGCGAAGCTTAAGAACTCAAGCAGATCAGCTAGGATGTTAGAGAACCCGTCCTCCCAGAGCGCATATGAGGCCTTGAATGCGTCCGAAGATTTGTCGAGTCTCTCAACTGAAAAAGCTAGAAAACTCTTGGTTGATCGGAGAGGAAGAAGTTTGAGTCGTTCCTCGAGCTCGCTTTGAAGAGCAAGCCCCTCGGCATCAAGTTCGCGGGAACCCCAGTCTTGGACTTCATGAGCTCGGTGGTTGGCCATATAGGCTTGAGCCTTGTCCAGCCCCAAAAGCTCGCAAAAGCTGCCGTATGACTTGAGAGAGTTTCGAACATTCTCATCCTGCCATTGCGCCTTTACAGGATCAATAAACTCGCGTAGCTTGTGGATCTTGGCTTGGGCATCAACGCCGGTCGCTCGGTGTCTGTCACTTGGTTAGTGTGTTGCTGGGCTGTGCATGTTATGAGACTTACATGATGATAAAGAGGAAACTTCGGTAAGCAATGGAACGCTTCTCGTCGAGTGATCCGGATGACATCATTTCGTTCACCTTATTCTCGATTTGGTCATAGACACCCTTAAGAAATGTTAGCATGTACCTCGTATATACCACCCGAGCAACATACCAAGAGATGGTCTGGCATCTCTGAAGCCAGTCGCTGAAGTTCGACCATGCTTTCACCCTGCAGATCCTTGATAGCATCGTTGAACGCGCGGTATTCAGGTTGAAGCGCCGGCCATGTCAGCAGGATGTGCTCCAAGACCTTGAGCATGAATGTAGCGTTCTTGTTGAGAGCGGTAGTGGAAAAGTAAACAAGGAGCTGCAGAGTTCGTTTCCTGATCATTGGGTCTTCAAAGGTCATGTCGAGTATCTTGTTACACCATGTCTCCAAATTCGCTTCGATCTCTGGGCCCTGCTGCTCGTGTTCTTGGGGGCGATGCTTGCGCCATTTGGTATAACCCTTAAGTGTGGCTTCGATTACGGTGAACTGCGCATCCACTCGCAAGACCGGCATAGAATGTTTGAAGTAATTTTGCTTGTCTAAGGGAGGCTGGCCGTCGTAGAGATGCTGTAACAGTTCTTCCGTGCGGTTGAGAATGTGCGAAATTGCGTCAACCAGCTTTAGCTGGACAACAGCCTCGATGATCTGGGAACTGTATCGACGGTAGTTGCCCAAGAAAGCGTGTCGTTCGGGAATTGTGTCGGTGTCTTCCAACAGGTAGAGGAAAGTGGAATCCTGGGTATCTTCAGGCAGATTCTCATATCGGACCAGTCTTGAACTGCAAGTCTCCAGAAGAGGCGGGATAAAGGGGGAGACATGGTTGCCGGGGCCAATTAGGCGGTTGCTGAGCAGTCGCGTCCAGGTGACAAGAACTGGGATAGATATCATCAAGCTCTGGTGTTGCACGATCTGTACCAAAAGTCCCAGGAATTCATCTTTGGCTGCTTCGGCAGGCAACTTGGCGTACTTTCTGTCAAAATAATCTCCGAGGCATGAGAGCATCTGTCGACACTTGTTAGCTGGGTCTCAACAACGTGCTTTTCTACATACCTCTGATAGTTTCTTAAGTGTTTGGTACTTGTCCTCATCAATGTCCTCAGGGTCTACAGCAGACCATTCAAAGAGTCGTTTGCATAGGTCAATTGATTCCCGAGTGTACATGGGCGCCACGAGCTCCCGGAACTCCTCATCGTTGAAGTTAGTTCTGCAGTAAAGAGCGTGGAGAGCTTCTAGCGCAGCCTATGGTATGGTTAGGACTTGATCGTTCATATAACACCAAGGGCATGTTACCTTCTGAATGGTGACATGTGACGAGGCGAGACCGGCGCACAAGACTTCGACACAGCGCGCATGAGATACTGCCTTTGGAATCGCCCAGGGCATGAGAGAGAGCAGCACCGATAGGCCCTTGTGAATGCATAGCTTGACCTCTTCGTTATCACTGGGTGCCGAGTTTAGACAGTGACCAAGAAATTGAGATAGTCGACTCAGCCAGCCATCATCAAGATACCGCACACGTGGACCGGATTGTCGATTGGGAAATGCATCGACCAGCACTTCGGTAGGAGTGAAGATCTCAACACAGGCCTTGCTAAGGACACCTTCTCGCATGGCTACCACTGAGTCGTCTCCAGTGAATACCTCGTCAGAGAGGTTCTCGAGCACAAACATGACAAGTTCCTTGTGGACAGCCGAATCAGGAATATCCCACAACTGATACAGCAGATAGTCCATGTCCATCCATTCAGCACCCCAGCATCTCTTGGCGACCTCAACCCAGAGCTGAGCTACCTTGTTCCGTATGTATGCCGGATCTTCCTTTGCGACGGCCTGGCCAAGACTCAAGACCCATTGGCGCACAGCTTCTGTCTGATCTTCACTGTACGTAGACCACTTGTATCGGATCGCATGCTCGAGCAAAGAGAGGGCGTAGTGTCGGACGACGGGGGCTTGCGACTTGTCGGAGGCCAGGTTGTAGCCTGTCATCGGAGCTTGGCTGTAGTCCTTGACCTCCTCGAGGAAGGCCTGGGCTTGCCTACGATCATCGTTGGTCGAGAATGGGCTATGGATGACCTCGAGCGCCTGGTGTATCCTGGAAAGAACCTCCGAGTCACCGCCAGACCCTGGCGACATCAAGCTACCGTTGGAAGCCATGATGTTATGCCTCGATGGCAAGTGGTACGCGAGCAATAGTCGATTGCGAGGATGGATTCACGGTGGAGCAAAGTGAAGCGCGGGAGCCAAACAGTCTGGTTTATGCAAGACCTTCTCTAAAACTTGAAAGGACTCGGTCACGGGGTGGAGATACGGGCCAAAGCCATGGAAGAAGAGATTAGGAGCGTTGTATGTTTCGTCGTTTGCGATTTTCTGCTGTGTTCACGAACGGTTCGATCGAGGTCTCGTTTGCGACGGGGAGCGAAAGATGAAGCAAATGGCGATTGGCGGCCAACACGAACCGGAAGTGACTGGGGTGCAAGAAGATAAGAGAAGCAAAGCCAAGGTAGAGTAAGAGTTGAAAGCACGTCGAAACCAAAAGTCTGTTCTGAAGAGCAAAGGCGGTGAGGTGAGGAGAGAAAGAGAAACCCAATTCGAATAATGAGAAGAGATTGGTTACAAGTATCAAGTTCGGGTTTGAGATGGGACGGGATGTGGTGAGAGGGAAGTCACCTCAAGTATGGAGCCAAGCTAGAGTAAAGTGTTGGGCTAAAATTGAAATGGACCTGGAAGCTCTCAGGCTGAGGAAAGAGCCGAAAGAGCCTAGAAGGGGGTCACTGACCAGTGAAGAGGGAGACCCAGTGAGCTGGAGAACACGCCTATCTGGACCCTATTGGTGGCGGGGCAGCCCCATGTGAAACAATTCACCTTGCAGCGCATTAACGGTTGACAATGAAGAGCTTTACCAGAGGTTTTCATAGGGGTAATGGAGATTCAGAGTGCATTCAAGACTGTAGTCTGGTTCAGTGTACTCTCAAATCTGTCCTCAAGTCTGGTTCTTCTAGCGATGCTGCTATACCGCCTCCCCCTACAGCTTCCGCCTTGCCAATGTCCGTTTATTTCTTCACCCTCTAGCTAAAGCTCCGCATGCACGCGGCCGGTGACACCTACAGATGGGCCCCATCCATTCATTGTTGCCCGGGGTCCCTTTGTTCCTACAGTAGACCACTCTCGAATCCTAGGCATCTTGCAGGGGATCAACCTTCAAGCATGCTGCAAGGCTGAACAAGATGGATACGACAGAATCCTGCAGCTACAGTTGGAGTTGCAGTTACAGTCATGCTTTCACTTTAAACCCACGTCACTATTCATGAGGGGTTGACATGATCGTCGTGCTACAATCCCCATTTCGTCTACCAGCCTTGTTTCAATATGTACAAGCACATGCAGCCTAGATCGCGGAGATTTGAAAATCGGATAGGAAATTGCAATTGGTTGACAAGGGTATTTGTGTATCAAGAAGTGGTAGCTCTTTGGAAGTATAAGCAAATGAGCAGTTGAAAGATATCTAGCATTGGCTACCATGTGGGTAACAGAAGAAATGTCCTCTAAGGCTTAGGCTTCCATAATAAAGTAACCTAACTACTGGTCTAAGCTAGTATAAAGTGACCAAATTATTTCGTCTCTTATGCCTCTAGGGGCCAATTCTTCTGATACCCTGAGGGCTACCTTTAGCCCAGGTGTCTAGCATCATACCAGAAACAAATATTCGACTCTTCTAGACTATTCGGCAAATCTAGTGCTAGATTATGGCTCATACTTCCAAAGGCAAAGCAGCTTATCATAAAAGCTAGTCGACACACACCACAAGTCATCTCCTGCTTGACTGTCTCTCACAAAATCACTTCCATAGTTCATGCTCTTATGCTCTTCAAACCTCGCCAGGACCTTGCAGGTCCAGTCTTGCTCATTCTTGACCTCCAAATCAACAAGTCTGGCGCCCGCGTGCATACATGAAGCGAGGAATCTGATCTTGGTTGAGTCTGTTCCCTTTTGTATGTTGACGAGATCTAGTCGCCACACGCCTCCTCCCATGTTCTCTTCAAGGACCAGGTCGACTTTTTTCATGCCATATGTCTCATGTAGATCGTGTATAATAAAAACACGCAGATGATCGTCGTAGCTTCCTGTCACAACAACCCTTCCAGTATTCTTTACGAATACAGGAAGTGGGAAGATCGCTGTGACTCCTGCGTTATGTGTTCCTTTGATAGTGATGGGCGAATAAGGTTCCTCGGAAGGAGAATCGGAGTCATTTGGATCCCAGATACAGGATGTGTAGCGGAGCAAAGAGTCATCTCCTCCGCAATAAGCTGTAACTTGTGTCTTATCATCGGTTGAGGCCGCCCCCGGAGAAAAGGCGATGCACCACGCCTCAAGGGAGTTGGCAATGTTCAGCTCAGTGTAGTCATTGATGCAATAATCCTTGTCCAGGTGTAAGAGCCGGGCAGAGCTCGTCGATGTTGTCACGCCAATCACATTCTGGATCTCAGGGTGCCAATTACATTGCAGGAACAAGACGTCCTCTCCAATATCTTCGCATCTGCTTGTCGAGATGTGCTGTAAAGGTGCTGAAGAGTCGTGTGTGGGATCCAATTTGAACACAGCCAGCGTCCCCGTACTAGATACTACTGCCATGATATCTTGCCTGTCTTTAGACGGGTGAAATCGAAGGTCCAATATGGCTGATGGCTGTAAAACAGTTTGGACTAGATCACTGTGTAACTGTTAGTTTTAACATCAAGTTTAATATGTCGAAGAAACGTACAGCTTAGCACCATCAACCTTGAAAACAAGTAGGCTGCCATTGCGGCTTTGCGGTGTCTTTGTCGCAGCTACCTGGTCACCACCATCCTCATCCCCGTTCTCTGTGCCCACTTGAGCATCGTCTTCATTCTTTTCAAGGTTGTAAGTTCCCACCACAAACAGATCAGGATGCGCAGGGCAGAACTGGATGCAGCTAGGAGGAAGACCCAAGGTGAGGGAGACCTCTGAAGCTATGACTTTTACGTCATCCATTGGGCGTTTGTCTTTGCTATCAAGATGCAGGGTTTAGGAGTTGAAAGCAAACAGATGTTTTGGAAAGAGATGCAGTCTCAATGGTGGGGGCCCCTCTTTGATCGTAACTACCTTCAATGTGATGAGGCTCATTCAACACAGATACCGTCACTAAATGGTAGTTACAAGGGGACTTAGAGACCCAAAAAGCCGGCGGAAAACTGCGCTCAATAATTTCCTAATACTACGATTTTATTCTCCTGCATCCAATATCAGCCAATTGTTCGATTTCGTTTGCAGGGTTTTATATCAAGTGGTGCAGGGTATCCAAAGCTTAACTGCCGGGCTAGCGCTCCATCGACGCGAACTTGCTTCTGCGACTCCATCCCGTCTCCTTCCTGGCCTGGGGTCAGATCGTAGGCCAGAGATGATTTGACTTCTTACGTCAACACGCGACTGACTTATTCTTATCTTTGATGGACTGGCTGAATCAAAGAACCGTCACAGTTATCTGATATTTGTGTCTGTTGCATTTCTTTACATCCGCTCTGCAATTTGCGCTCTTGCCCACAGACGCAGTCGACACAATCAGCGTCATTGCTCATTAATACCAATACTCCACCAGACCACTGTTTGCTTGTTATTTCATACATCAGCACCATGGATCACTCGGATGATTCTGATTTCTACGGTATGATCCAATATTCCTCAACTTCTACATCAACTCACCAAAATAGGAGATGAGGAGACCGTCATGGACCTCCGTCGTCGTGCACAAGATTTTGATGTTCAAGGCTGGATGCTCCAGCAGCAACAAGATCCCGGAAGACCACTTCCACGCAAAAACATCACCGCCGATGCATCACATCTCCACAATCCATATGCCGGGGTTCACTATGCGTGGCAGTTGACCGAGACTGTAGACGAATTTCTCGTACGCCTGCCCCCAAAGACAACAGACATCACAGAGGATACGCCATGGATCTACATATGCAATCCGTACATCCCCCGTGTCGAGAAATCTATGGCCCAGAACCAAGTCAGCAAGGGTAACGAAGATGAAGCTCCTGAAGAAGAAGGTAGCAAGACGGCGCTTGTCATGGAGGGTGGCCACGAAAGATTGGAGCTTCTATCCAAGTTCATCGAAGGTGTCCAGAAAAGCAGAAAGACTGCGGCAGCACAGGAACGGGAGATAGTTGCGGAAAGAAAGAGAGCCGGAGACGATATACTGCACTTGGCACATGCTGCCAAAGTCAGAGCGGGCAAGGTATAGATTCAAAGAAACCTTTCGCATCAGCCGACTGACATCAGTAGTGGATGCTATTTTGCACGCCGGCAGAAGTCAACGATGTATGGGACATTATCGCAAAAGCAACAGCCAACAACGAGCTTGGAATCGCAGCCAAGGTTGCTCCTCGACCAGTCGACGAGGACTCTCGCAAGGATCGACTCATATGTGTGTACACAGCCGACTTCGCAGACAAGGCCGACGTTGGCAGGGTTCTTCAGAGGCTGCGAGAGCTCAGACTGGTAGAAATTCGCGGAAGACCGATTTACTATAAGCCAGGTGAGTCATGTTTTGGTGTAGTCGGCCAGAAAACTGAGGCTGACATAAGTTCGCAGATGCATATACGTACATTGGGATATCTTTCGGAAATCCCTGGGGCCTGAAAGCGTCGATCTATAAGTCGTCTGACCTCTTTCAAACTTGACAACACAACGAATGACTCATCCAAGCGTAGAGGGGAGAACAAGAAACAATAACCCAGCGTGTATCTAAACCCAGGCAATGGGGTACATGGTGTGGGAACAGTGAATAACAAATCATATCATCATAAAACATCATACCCAATGACCCAAACTCCAGCTACACAGTAAAAAAATGACAACAATTCCACATGACGCTTGATACCGTTGCTGCCCCATGTTCGCGATACTCAAAAATATGCCACCATTGGCCCTCCATAGCTCGACTCCATGAAGCAAAAGAATTCGTATAGGCGATAGAGCTTAAACATCGATAATCTCGAGATCGTTTGGCCCAGCATCAAGGTCAATGTATTTAAGAGGCAGCACAAGCCGGTATGCGCTATTTCCGTTGAGGTAATAGCGGTGCAATTTCTTGGTACGCAAGAAACCAAGCTGCTCGTAGAGTCGCATAGCGGCGACATTCGTTTCCTCGGTCTCCAGGACAATCTCGTCGGCGTTGCGCTTTGTCATGGCATCAATGGCCTTCTTGACAAGTGTTGTAGCGATACCATGGCCGCGGAAATCTGAGGCAACAGCCAACATGGCGATGTAGCCTCTACGGGTGGGGTTGGAGTGTGAAGCATGAATTTCCAGCTTGCACACAATGACACCAATAAGGGATGAGTCGACTGGGTTCAATGCCTATAGTTTTATAGTCAGTATGTGAGGTTTGACTTGAGGAACAGAGTGCAATCTCACCATGAAGCAGAGGTGCCCCCATTGGCAAAGGAAGTATCGATAAACATATATACTATAAGGTTCACTCAAATCCTTTGAGATCAATGCCCGGATAGCGGGTAGATATTGAGCCTCGAGAGCATGTTGATACTGGACGTAGCTCAGTTCGCCTGGGAGGTCCTTGGATTTGGTAGTGGCCATGGGATAGTAATACTTCTTCTGGAGGAGAGGATACCCGGACGCGGTGTCAGAGTTTTCAGCTGAGAGTTATGGTAACAACGTTGAGTTGTGGTCGATGGTTGAATGAAGTGAGATGTTGAATATGGGCGATGAAGGTTTAAAACAAGATCTTGACTTTTGACACCTTAAAGAGGGGCAGGCAGAAATGGAGCTCAGCCCGGTATCGGTGAGCTGGCGGATTGAGGGGTAGATACAGTAAGTTGAGTTGTTGTTGGTGTTGTCAGCGGAGAGACGGAAGGAGGACCATTCAATTGAGATCAGATCGACAAGAGTCATACATAAAATCCAAGGAAAGAGGGTGGGAAGATCTCGAGATTGAATTTAGGCGTCGTCCTTTTTGGGCTGAAGTGGCAATATCTCCAGCTAGCGATCCAATGCGAGCGGCAGGCCACGAGGGCAAGAGACGCAGGGCAGTTGGCGGGCAGGTTGCATGTTGGCAGGGACTATGGCCGCCTAGCCGCCTCGCTACAGCTGCAGCCTGCAGAGCCAAGGGCACTATTTTAGAGCTGTGAATTGTGGAGGGGGCGGGGTAATTGCTGTACTCTACCAGTGGTTGTTTGAAGCCTAGGGTGTCAAAATCAACAAGCCTAGATCGTGGTCTAAAGTGATCTAATTATTTCGTCTTGTATGTCCTCGATAGTCAACTATCACTTTATTTCAATGTGTAATGATGGTCCGATATAAGCGCAGTGCCTTAACAGTAGGGTAGTATTTGGAGAAGGGAAACGTTCTAGATCCTTTTCCATCTTCAGAATGTGAGCATGTGACAACCCGCAGCTCGCAACTCCAAGATACTGCTTCTCTGGTGGCATTATGAGTTACTCATCCTAGTCGAATGGCGTCAAGAAGAATGATTCGCATTGACTCGTCTAAGCACTTTCTCATCCCTTTGCAATCTCGGTTCCTTCCGCATAGTCCGGCCAGTACTAGATCTAATGCCCCAGCCTTATCTTGGCTTTGACGTCAGGTTCCTGTTAGTGTTCCTGCCTATCAGGAACCGCCGGCATGTCCTATTCAATTCGATCCACGAGCTCCCTCCCTCCCTTCAGGTCCCAAGACGTATGTGCCTTGCAATTTTCATGTGATCCTTACAACGCGATTTTTCAACACGCAACTTTTTTAATTACCACAATCATTCGACTTTACTATTTACTCCCGATCACTCCGAAAGCATCCTTTCTATTAGACAAAAATATAGATTATGCGTACATTATAATAGATACCGCCAACAGATGATACACTTCAGGATCGAGACCCCCGGTTTTTTGTTTTAGAGCACGCGCCCACACTTTATGGGCGTCATAGCTACCTACGTACAGCACTAGAATTCTTAAATACCAACCTTCTCTCTACCTAGTCCAGTTGAGGTTCTTTTTTCCCTCTCCCAACCAGAGACTGAATCAGACGGCGCCTCCCAGAGGCCTGCTTCTCAGTCGACAATATGAAGGAGTCCGCTTTGCGACGCCGAAACGTTAAAGATGCGACAAATAATGACAGCGCCGATGCTGGCGACACTTCGAGGGAAGACAGCCCAGCAACCACTCACCCGACCACCCACGTTCAAGTCGTCCAACACGCCGTGCCCAAGACCCGAAAACGCCGGAATACCTTCATCTTCTTCCTTGGTAGTTTGTTTGGAATCATAGCCGCCGGTTTCTTCGCTTCCAGCAATGACCTGATCGATTTCCCTGAGTTCACCGACTTGTCCATGGAGAACTTGTTGGATGCTCTACCTGCGGGCTTGGTCAAGGACATGCGCGACCTCGTCCAGGGCGAGCGGGATATTGCCGAATCATACGAGCCATTCTCCGTTGGCGACAAAGCTCGATCAGAAGGCATGGGGGTTCATCATCCTATGATCATGATACCTGGTGTCATTTCGACAGGACTCGAGTCTTGGGGTACAGCTAATGTCTCAAAGCCCTACTTCAGAAAGCGACTTTGGGGTAGTTGGACGATGATGAAAGCCTTGGTCATGGACAAGGAGGTCTGGAAGTCGCATGTCATGCTCGACAAGAGGACGGGCCTCGACCCGCCTAACGTAAAACTAAGGGCTGCTCAGGGTTTCGATGCTACAGACTTCTTCATCACAGGATACTGGATCTGGAGTAAAATCTTCGAGAACCTCGCATCCATCGGATACGACCCAACAAACTCATTCACCGCTGCGTACGATTGGCGCCTGTCATATCCCAATCTTGAGGTACGGGATCGCTATTTCACTCGGCTCAAGTCACACATCGAAGTCGCACTGGCTACTGAGAACAAAAAGGTCGTTCTCGCATCACACAGCATGGGAAGCCAGGTTCTCTACTATTTCTTCCACTGGGTGCAGTCTGAACGGGGTGGCCGTGGTGGGCCTGATTGGGTTGAACGTCACGTCGAGGCCTGGATCAACATCAGTGGCTGCATGCTTGGGGCAGTCAAGGATCTGACTGCCGTTCTCTCTGGTGAGATGCGCGACACGGCTCAGTTGAACCCATTCGCTATTTACGGCTTGGAGAAGTTCTTGAGCAAGGAGGAGAGGGCCGAGATATTCCGCGGCATGCCTGGAATCTCATCTATGTTACCCATAGGTGGAAATTCTGTTTGGGGCAACTTGACGTGGGCGCCAGATGACTTGCCGGGCCAGAATCGTTCGTATGGATCTCTATTGAACTTCAGGGTTGGTTCCAATTGGACAACTCCTGATCGTAACTTTACCGTTGAGGAAGGTGTGTCATACCTGCTCAACACAACCGAAGACTGGTATCAGGACCAGATCAAGGGCAGTTATTCTCGAGGTATTGCTCATTCCATAGATGAGGTCGAGGCCAACGAGAATGATCCCCAGAAGTGGATAAATCCTCTCGAGACACGACTGCCACTTGCTCCCAGTCTCAAGATTTACTGCTTCTACGGTGTTGGGAAACCCACTGAGCGAGGATATTTTTACAAACCACCGGATCAACCATCATTGACAAACCTCAATATTACAATAGATACGGGTTATACCGAAGGCGATGTTGACCACGGTGTTGTCATGGGCGAAGGCGATGGTACGGTCAACCTCCTCAGCACAGGTTACATGTGTAATCATGGCTGGAATATGAAACGCTACAACCCTGCAGGCGTCAAAGTCACAGTCGTCGAAATGCCCCACGAGCCAGAACGCTTCAACCCTCGAGGAGGACCTCGCACAGCTGACCACGTTGACATCTTGGGGCGATACAACCTGAACGAGCTCCTGTTACGGGTAGCGAGTGGAAAAGGTGACACGATTACGAACTATGTTGTGAGCAACATCAAAGAATATGCGTCCAAGGTCAAGATTTACGATGATGAGGAGACCTCATAGGAAGAGCCCCCGTTGAAGTTAGTGGTGGACATTGCGATAACGGCTGCATTCATTCTCATGGTTCGGTTGGTGTTTAGGAGTTCGGATGATAGACTTGTTCTTAAAACTCGTACTTGTATCCATGATACCCTTGAGAGTGTGGAAACACCCTGACCCAAGATAGGCCTTACGAAAGGCTCTTGGAGTACATCTGAGTTTGGAATACTAATAACGTTTACATACATTATGATAATTGAGGAAATCATGAGCCCATAATTTCAACAGTAGGTGTTGGATTTCTAAGTGCTTCACTCCAATTCCCATCGTAAAGTGACACGTTCATAGTGAGCATCGTGGCATTTATCGACTGCAGCCAGTCGTTAGAGCTACAAGACTCCATTATCCTTTTATAACAACCAATCCAATGTCGACACTCTGTTGCTTCGTTGTTGCGTTGTTGGGTAGTTCCGTCTGCCAAGACACCATACAACAGGCCTGGATGAGGTCACGGTACAGCGAGTAACGGCTAACCTGAAGCAAGTCAGTCTCGACCCCGCCACCTGAATTCTCGAAACACAACCACAACACAAACTAAACTTTGACTGATATTTCTGCTTCTCGACTTCAGGTAGGAGATGACCTCTGTGTCTTCATCTTTCCTCGAACTCCATTGTTCTCGTCCCGTCGTCTCTTCGCAGCGCAATAGCCCCGGCCAGACTCGCACCACGCACTTCCAATCTCAGTCTCAGCCTCGGCAGCAGGACCCGATGCATTGGTCCCTGAGCCCCTATCAAAACGAGGACCATGGCAGATTTCGAAGAAGCGTCTCCCTCTCATGAAGAGAATGAGGGACAGCTTTGGAATGGTAGGGCATTGACTGCCTGATGGCTGCCAGGAAAGGACACGGATTGACTGATTTCTGCAGATCTTGATAAATGCGTCTCGAACAAATGCGATTCCCACGAAACGATCGACGACGCCCTGCGTACCTGGATAGATCTAACGACCCGACTCCGCGACTATTACTACGAAACTCAGGACGAAGTTGTGACTTGCGCGCGGATGCTTCTTGGCAGTAGTCTATTTCAAGACAATAAGGACTATGTTCGCACCCAGATTATCTACAGTCTGCTGCAGGAAGACGAAGCAGGGTCCTTGCATGCCATAGTTTGCCTGCTTCTGCTCGACGGCTGCCAGGATGATACCATGTTCCCTCGCATGGTGAATGAGGCCTGCTTTCCTCGACTATTGGAGCTCATCAACAGTCAGCGAGACGAGAACCAGGATCCGCGTCTGCACCGGCTCCTTTTGCAGCTCATGTACGAGATGTCGCGTATGGAGCGACTTCGAGTTGATGATCTACATATGGTGGACGACGAATTCGTGCATTACCTTTTCGCCTTGATCGAGGAATTGTCTGATGATGCGCATGACCCATATCATTATCCTACTATTCGAGTTCTGGTAAGCATCCCAGTATCATGCCCTCCGCAACATGGCTAACACAAATTCAGCTTGTTTTAAACGAACAGTATATGCTTGCTTCCACCGACGTTAAGGATCCATCCGCCCCGAAACCGCGCCTGACGAACAGAATTGTTAAATGCCTAAGTCTTCATGGAGCCTCGTTTCGAACGTTTGGCGAGAATATCATTCTGCTTCTGAATCGAGAAACCGAGACTTCTCTACAGCTGCTTATTCTGAAGCTACTGTATTTGCTATTCACAAACAAAGCGACATACGAGTACTTTTATACCAACGACTTACGAGTGCTTTTGGACGTTATTATCCGAAACCTGATGGATTTGCCGGACGAAAAGATATCCCTGAGACATACATACCTGCGAGTACTCTACCCGTTACTGGCGCATACACAACTGAGCCAGCCGCCGCATTATAAACAAGACGAGATCCTTCGCGTGCTTAATATTCTGCGAGGTTCACAGAATGTACACTTTGCACCTGCAGACGATACTACGCTTAGGTTGGTTGAGCGTGTGTCAAAGGTCAAATGGATTGAAGATGCGCAATCGCCTACAGTAGGGTCGGGCGAAGCCGAGGTCGCCCGCAGATTCCTAGGTATCAGCCTATCGCGCTCGCAAACCGCGAGTAGTGTCAGTGTGAGCGACGTCGCGGCAGTTAAGGAGAAGCCGGGAGTGCAAACACCCAGTCGATCAGGCGAGGGGGCCGACGCCGGTGAATCAGAAGCAGAAGAGGGCGTCACGATGGCTCCCAGGCCCAAGAAGCCGTTGCCAGAGGTGCCTAAGCATCGCCATGGAATACCGTTTGCACAAAAGTTGGTCAATGGAGAAAAGAAGAAGACGCCTCCCAAGGCGCCACCACCACGCCGATGGGGAAAGATGAAGACGGTTGAGAGGCCTCCTGCAGACCCCGTTCCTGAGCAGTAGGCGTGATATAAGTCGAGAGTTTGAGCGTTATTCTCCGCGTTGGGAAGTTTAAAGAGTAACATCCCGTCGAGCGGGGGCCACCGGTTGATTCACCATCGTACGCTAGGGGAAATTTTCGGTTTGACGATGGACGGCGTTGTGGAGCGCTTTTTGCTGTACTGTACTGTACCGCACTGCACTTGGCTGGACACAAAGCATCAGGCACGGCGTTTCTGGGTGATTTCGGTTATGGCATGGACTTATTGGTCTTTTTAAAGTCTTGGTTTTGGGGAGATTGTTAGTAGACTGCGGCAAGTCACTTGATATACTATCGTGTATGAATTGTACAATTAGGACTAAGTATGCAAGAGATGGATAATTCGTTCATGGTAATGACATGTGTCGAAAGCATCTATTCGCCAAGTGAGTGAAATATGCAGTATGCAGCATGGTACAGTAGACTATTGTCTTGGTTTTATCAGCTGAATATCCCTCAACGAGTGGATGTCATCGGCAGTCATGATCACAGTGCCGAGCCGGGATCCGGCCTGTGTAGTCCAGAACTCCAGATCAACTTTAGATCTGGTTCCATGGACTCTGAGACGAGCATATGTAAAAGATCCACATTCAATGCGGAGAGGTGCCTCAATTTGGAGTCAATTAATATGGTAGCTTGCGACCAGTGAGTCTCAGACGAGGAATTGGGATGGATCTTTGTAGATCTCACAAAAGCAATCTCTTTCTTGTCATCGACAATTAAACTCTTGTACTGCTGCGAGGCCTCTCACTCTAAACAAAGTCGTCAGAACCTGGACGAAACACCGAAACATCAAGTTGCAGATCCGGGAGGCGGCGATGCCGAGAAGATCTCAGCTTCAAAGTCGCGGCAGTGGATAAATCCGCCAAAGCCAAGGATCACGGACAAACACGTGAAGGGGATTGTCCGTGCATGAGATTGGGTAGAGCTTAGAAATTAATGACGATCGTCGTTGGGCGGCAGCTTTAGGTTGAAGGCATCACCAGAAAAACCAAGAGAATGAACCCTTTGAGTGGCGCCCAGCTACGTCATTTATGTCCGTCGAGCGTCGGTCAAAGTGGAGAAAGACGCTAAGGAAACTGGCTGAAAGCAGCTGTGAAGGACTTGTGAGTACTTGTACTGAGTTCGTGCAGTGGACGTTGTTGGGCGTTTCGGGGCATTCTTTGCCAGGCTCAGTAAGTACCGAGCAAGTACTTCTCGTTGGCTCATCTGGTGTAAGTGCCTGCAAGCTCTTGGCGTGCAAGTCGACCACAGGAACTAAACACCCCCCTTCTCCAAGTTCAGTCCATCGACTGCATCATCCATCATAACAAACACCACAAACCAATATCACTAAACATTAATCACAAGCGAAACCTGACCGTGCCTGAAGCCAACTTTCAAGATTCGTTGACTCAGGATTCAAGGTCGTACTACGCATTGCAACCACGTTTGCTCTTTTTATAGGTACAACGCAATTGAAGCTGTGCCGACTGTTCCACGTTTCTGGAGGTGCTTCAAACAAACCGACTGTCATCTATCTCCTCCATTGTGGAACATAAGCAGAACCCTTGATCTTCAGTCAATTACCCGCTGATTCTCACTTCCCGACTCCACCTAGAAGCTCTCCAGCACTCCTTGCAGCATCGCTCCAGCTGCTTCTAAACAAAACAGAAACCAGAGAGCCAAGATACGCCTGTCGTCGCTTCAACATCATCATTTGTCTCAGAAAGGTTCCTCCGCTGTAGAAAGAGGCGCTAGTCTCACTCGAACGGGCCTCTAGTTTCGGTTAGCGTCACATCTGCCACCGGTCAGTTGTGCGCCCATTGCGTCAACACCATCATCCCGCGAGTCTAACACCCTGGTTTTCTGAATTACTCAATGCTCGATCCAATCTCAAGCACAGCACAACTCGCCCATCAACCCGCCAATCCACCCCTCCACTCGGCGCCATCAATTACTACTGATCACTAACTGTCTGTTTTAGGTTCTAGTTTCCAGGTTCCTCTCGCCCTTCGCTTCCGTCTCAGGTCCCTCATTGCCTTGTGGTCTGGTCCATTCCGTCGTTTCTGTCTCTCTAGTCTCGCACAGTCCATTACCTTAGCTTAGACTGCTCATTCGCAGTACCGTACCATACCGTCCTGCAGGAGAAATAACAACGCCACCTCCGCCATGGATCAACCTACTTCTCACTCCCAATCTCAACCTTCGTCTTTTCCCCAACAATCATCTTATCCATACTCGCAAGAGCAAGAGTCCTACAGAGAATCTCCATCAGCTCCTGCTGCCAACACAGATCCATACTCAAATCCTCAGTACGACGACGAATACCATATCTCGAACTCGATCCACGCACCGCAACCGCAATCGCGACAGCCTGGTCGTTTTACCGAGGAATGGGGTGCAGCACAGCGAGGAACTTCTTTATTATTTGATCACACTCCCAACGGCGCAAACATGCAGCGCAGCAATTCTGTACACAGCTACGTTAGCGGCGATGACCAGCAGCTTCCAGGTCGGCAAAACACGCTCAAGAAGAAGAACTCGGTGCGCCGAAATGGAAGTTTGAAACGCAGTGGCAGCCGCCGCAGCATGAGAGCTGGTAGTGTCAAGAGTCTGGCTCTGCAGTCCGCTTCGGATCATGATGAGGGACATAGTGCCTTCTACTGTCCGGTTCCTACCTCAGGTAACCCGACTGATACACTCTCAAACCGATTCCAGAACTGGAGAAAGGTCCTCAAAGATCTCATCGCATACTTCCGCGAAATCCAAACCCATTATGAGCACCGATCCAAGTCTCTCCTCAAGCTTGCCAACGTCTCCAACAATATCACCACCCCACCTGGCTTCCTTCAGTCAGCTGGTATTGATGACGCTCTCCAATTCCTTCGGGTCTACAACAAGAACGCCATTCTTGAGGCCAACAAGGCTAAGGAAATTGAGGAGGATGTGATTCTTGCGCTCACTGGCTTGCGAAGTGACCTTCAACAGAAGATCAAGGAAATCAAAAACCTTTCAGGCGACTTCAAGAACTCGGTGGACAAGGAGATGGATCACACTCGCAAGGCCGTCAAGACCCTCAGTGACATCTTGGGGCGAAATGAGTTGGATGAGTCCTCTACGACTGGCAAGCAAGATCCATACTTGCTGCGCCTGGCTGTTGACCGTCAAGTTGAGCGTCAATTGGATGAAGAGAACTACCTACACCAGGCCTATCTCAACCTGGAAAACTCCGGTCGGGAGCTTGAGGCAATCGTCGTAGGAGAGATTCAAAAGGCCTACAATGCTTATGCCGGTATCCTCAAGCGGGAAGCGGACAACTCTTACAACCTTATTGGCGAACTGCGAGACGGTCCTATTGCCATGCCCAAGGACCACGAATGGATGCATTTTGTGGCCCACGATGACAAGTTCGTGGACCCGAGCATTCCGCTCAGAACACCGGACCAGATTCACTACCCCGGACAAGACCATGAGGCAGCCCAAGAGATCCGAGCCGGACTGTTGGAGCGCAAGAGCAAGTACCTAAAGAGTTACACAGCCGGCTGGTAAGTCTATATCCGCACTAAACGACGAATGTAACTGACTTTGTCAATAGGTATGTACTTTCTGCTACGCATCTCCACGAGTTCAAGACCGCGGATAAAGCGCAAGCCCCCATTATGTCACTTTATCTTCCAGAACAGAAAGTAGGATCCCACTCGAACGAAGGAGGTTCCTCGAACAAGTTCATCCTCAAGGGTCGCCAAACAGGCGGTATGCACCGTGGGCACACCTGGGTATTCCGTGCCGAGAGCCACGATACTATGATGGCTTGGTATGAGGACATCAAGGCTCTTACGGAGAAGACAGCCGAGGAGCGAAGCCAATTCGTGCGCAGCCATTCGAGAAGCCTGAGCCGATCTTCCCGACGATCAGTTAGTAGCGATGGACTGGTCGACGACGAAGACGAGGAGCCTTTCACGGCCGATACCGAATCATTTATCAACCCGGGACCAAGGCAACATGACGTGACCCCCCGGCGATCTCAAGCAGGTGGGCGGTTCCCATCTGATCTCCAAGTCAATGCACAACGTGGCTTACAGGCCCCTCATTCGCCTTCTAGTGTAAGCTCTGGCTTCCAGGACAACAAGGACCCCGTCGTACGTGCAATCGTTACGGGTGGTCTTTCTGGTCCGGCCGCTGGAGAATCCGAGCAGACTCGGGACGATCACCAGGGCTATGGTACTGTTCACCAGACACCCATGGATGAAATGCCCTCGCACGCTGCTATCGCGAGTCAAAAGGCCCATTACGACGGCGTTAACCCTTATACTAGCGAACCAGTTAATCAGTCTCCTGTTGGGCCGACTTCATTCAACCAGCAACAGCAACAGCAGTATCAGTCACAGTATGAACCACAACAACAGCAGCAACCTGTTCAACTGTCGGACTACGTTGACCAGAACCGTAACCAAAACTTTGTTCCGGTTATGGTCCCTCAGGGTAAGGATGAGCGCGACGAAAACTTCGCCAACAACGAACAGCGCCAATACGATACGCAGCCCAACAATTATAACATGCAACCACGAGACGAGCCCTATGGCGGATACACCATGGGCGGAAATGACCATCAGGCACCAAGCTACCAACAGCCCTCGTATGAGCCACAGCCTTCCTATGATCAAGAGGCAAACCACGGGCATACTAATGGCAATGCCGACGGTGGTGCCAAGGCCAATAACTACACATTGACGACGGTGGGAGAGGGCTTCCCCAGACTTGATGGTGGCGCAACTCACGAGACTCAGCCATCGGCTCTCAAGGCTGAATCCGTATACACAGAGCGCGACTCGGTTTTGCTTCAGACAGACGATGAAGATGAGACACCTATGCCCATTCGACCGTCGGTTAACAACCGATCCGAGAGTCATAACACCATCTCAAACTTGCACATCCCCGGCGGTTACCCCAAGAGCAGTTATGCGGCATAACAAGATTATGGTTGATCGAGTCCTCTTTTCCTTTATGAAATCTATGTTATTTCCTTGAGCGGTTGTGTATGAATTAGCAGGAAGAGTTGGGACGGAGAGTACGCAAGAGGTAGTCAGCGGACAGGAAGGCAAAGGTTATTACTGGGAGGCGTTGGCTTCAGTGGGCAGTTCAGGTGGTATGGTCATGGTCATGGTTATTTATATCCCTCGCTTGGTTTTGTATCTGCGTCTCACTTGTATCGACTTTCAAGATATCTATAGTCTGCTTGCAATTGATTGAAAAGTGTTTGCACCTTTGAATGAACATACCATAGGCGGTCAAAATAGATTAAGCACGTAAAGTGCAACTGGTGGTAGTGATTGCTGATGTGAATTTTCTCAACTATGTCGCCCCATATTTCAACTGCACGATGCCGGTCGAAACATTTTCCGCTCCATCATCGACTGACCAATCGGCGTGCTCTAAGCTAGCTCCCGCCAGACCTTCGGTGGACACTCTCTTTGCAAAATTTCACTCGGGAAAAAAAAAGTTAGAGCCTCGACCTACGCGGACGACCAAATCTCGACGAAACGACCAAAACTCCCAGCTACGGGCAGAACGAAACAAAAGACAACGAGCGGTCGAATCGCGAATCCTTGATCTCTAAAATTTATACCAATTGGCGACTGAGCGCAAACTCGATTATTATTCATCATGTCTTTCCGAGGAGGTTCGCGAGGACGCGGCGGTAGTGGATTTGGAGGCCGTGGCGGTGGTACGTCTTTTTTCCTTTCATCTGGCAGTTGCATCTGGAATTGGTGGTTGTTTGAAGGGATGAATCGCTCAAGAGGAGGATAATTGAGGTTGAGAAGCGATGGATAGCTGCCAAGATTAGTGTTCGCATTCGCAAGACCAAGTACTAACAAACTTGCAGGCCGCGGTGGCTTCCAGCAGCGAGACATGGGTCCTCCTGCTCAGATCCTTGGTAAGCTCCATCATCATATCTCCAATCTTCTCTGTGTCGCCGGCTAACGCTTCTTAGAAATGGGCAAGTTCATGCACGCTTGCGAGGGCGAGATGGTCTGCGAGTCCATCAACCCCAAGGTCCCCCACTTCAACGCCCAGATCTTCCTCGAGAACAAGACAGCTGTCGGCAAGGTCGACGAGGTCCTCGGCCCCATCAACCAGGTCTTCTTCACCATCAAGCCCACCGAGGGTATCCAGGCTACCTCTTTCAAGGAGGGCGACAAGTTCTACATCGGCTCTGAGAAGCTCCTGCCCCTCGACAAGTTCCTCCCCAAGCCTAAGCCCCCGCCTGGTGCTCCTAAGCCCAAGCGCGCCGGCGGCGGTCGTGGTGGTGCCCGCGGCGGACGCGGTGGCTTCGGCGCTCGTGGTGGCGGCCGTGGTGGTTTCGGTGGTGGTCGCGGCGGCAGCGGCGGCTTCTCGCGAGGCGGTGGCCGTGGTGGAAGCGGTTTCGGCGGCCGTGGAGGTGGTCGCGGTGGCAGCGGCGGTTTCTCACGAGGTGGTGGCGGCGGCGGCTTCGGCGGTGGTCGTGGACGTGGTGGTTTCAGCCGCGGTGGCCGATAATCTTCTAACGACGATGACGACTACGGATCACTTCTGCTACCGAGGAGAACGAAGTCGACGCCTTAAACTGCTACTGTAGTACAACGCGACCCACGAAAGCCGCTTGACCAAAGGCGAGATCGACGAAGAATAAAAACTTCGGGATTTAGGAGATGGAAAGAAAGGGATTGACATGTATTTTCTCTGGCGTTGGATGGTTCTGATTTTCCAAAGTGCTTTGCTTGATTTGGTTTTCCCTACGCTGGCTCTATATCCCCAATCCTACGATGTTCGTACGGTACGGCATTGGAGTTTGTATTTACAAACACTAGAGGATTCAACAAAGACAAGAGAGAAAACAAAAAGAACGGGCAACCTTTTAAATTTATTTGCATGTTTGTTGTGATGGTTTATGTACATGAAGAAAGGATTCTGTAAAGTCATATCCACGCGAATGGATGGGTATAAGTAGGCTCGCAAACGCTTCAGCTCCTTCAACGCCAAGCAAGAAAAGAGAAAATTCATTGAAATCAATCCCTGCGCCGCCGGAGCAATGCTGCGCAAAGTAGGCCAAGGGCCAAGATGAAGGCCAGCCCTCCAAGACCCAGACCAAAATACTGTGCATCGCGATAACCTCCCAAAGGATTCCTGTTATTTCGCTTTCCCATTTCCACAGCACCTGCCATGCCGAGTCCAACAGAGAAAGCAAATGCCGCCGCTGTGTTGGTAAGGCTGCTCGCAAGTCCAAGCTGTCCTTCGGGAACATCTCGCCCAAGCACTGTCGATGCAGAAGGGATAATCAAAACCATGCCAACGCCCATGAAGATAGCACTGATAAACGAATTTGCCCAATACTCCTGTTGAGCTGGAGCCGTAGCCATCAAAGCCGAACTAACCAAGATTGCTACCGATGAACTCACCATAGCAAGCTGGGCGGTGAAGTCGCGGTTTGCAAAGGGCCAGCAAGCAAAGCTAATAACACCACCAATGACCAGTATCGGAACAAGGCCAGCGCTCGTGAGCAGAGGTCCCCATCCTCTTAGAACTTCGACAAACTGCGCGAAGTACCAGACCCAGATCCCGAATGCTGCTGAGGCGGCAGTCACAAAGCCAAGAGTAATGCAAGCAGTTATGTCAATCTGCTTGAAGGGTACCAATGGATGACTGGCTTGGGATTCCAGGAAACGGAACAGTGGCAGAATCAATAAACCTGCAAAGATCAAGATGTATGTTTCGGGAGCATCCCATCCCGAGATAGGTGCTTGGTTCCAACCAACAGCAAATAGAACCAATGCAGAGACGCCAGCTACGAACCCTAAGATATCAAGACGTTTCCACAAGTTGCCTTCAAAATCATAGACCAAAACTCTTTTTTTAGGTACTACAAGCATGCTTGAAATGCCTAGAGCAGTGCAAACCGCGGCTAAGCAGTAGAAAGCCCATGGCCATGATGCACAGTTGGCGAAAAGGCCTGTCATGACAGAGCCAACGACGAACCCGCAGGGGACAGAGGCATCGAACAAGCCCATGACAAGCATCTTTCGGGGTCCAGGCGGATATGCCCTCAGCAACATCCCGTAGCCATTAGGGATGATAAGGGCTGGACCGATACCTTGCATTGCACGACAGACACAGAAGAAGGTAGCACCTCCACCACCGCTCGTCTGCACGTACACGCTCAGCCCAGTTAGGAGACTCCAGAAGGCAAACCAAAAGTATCCAGCGATGAATGCATGCCTCTGACCACAAACGTTTCCGATTCGGTTCCCTAAAAGAGTTGTTGCGCCATAACTTAGCATATATGCCGAAGTAAACCAAGCAAGATGTGCTGTGCGCTCTGGTTCGAAGAATGATTCGCCGATTTGTCGTGCCGACGTCAACGTCTGCGCAAGACTGGCATATGTCAAGAGCTGAGCCATACAGATGAAAGCAACAAAGAGGCTCTCATTACAGGGATGGTTGAATACAATCTGCCTGGCCCCTTCGTTCAGAGGTTTCCTACGCAGGCCTGGGCCAGCAGGTGCTGATGGTTCTGGGTCAGAGCCTGCACGGATATGAGTAACTGTACCCAAAGGCAGCGTTCTTGTACCCAGGTCAGGTCTGAGAGCCATGTATTGATGATGTTGTGTCGTTGATCTAAAAGTTTCGAAACGCCTAGCAGCTTCGACAAGTCCGCCATGGTTGACCGAAAAGTTCGCAGGAGACGGGTTGGTATTTGAAGCTGGAGGTACATGGTGTTGATTATCGGCGAAATTTAAAGGAACGCTTAAGAGGGGAGGTGGTGTATGAGGTGTGTCCAATCGTGGCGGTAAATCCGGTGTTGCAAGTCGAATAAAGTCTTCAGGTATTTGAGCAGAAGTCTCAACCATCTCTGGCTCTAGTTCTCGGTCTAGAGGAGTGTCGGTCTCGGCATTTCGAGGTCGTCCTGGCATAAGCATCGCAGGCGTGTAGTTACTTTGAGGTGAAACGGGTGAAACATCCGATGCAGTCATCTGGCTCACTATGTCCATATCAAGGAGACCCTGGGATACCTCACTCACGGTCGACGGACTTCGACCGTGTGAGTGTGATTGAGAATTGGAACGATTGTTGGAGTGAGCATAGTTGCGTGATTGGGAATAAGAGTTGAGGTTCGTGTAAGTGGGAGCCGGTGCTGCTGGAGAGTAACCACCATGATGTTGGTGATAATGGTGGCGGAAAGATTCGGTAACAGCAATCATAGTATCCGTGACATGCTGAATGGCAGCATTGGAGCGGTTGGTCTGTCGACGAGCCTCGGACTTCTCAGAGTCTTGTCGTGATACGCTCCGCAAGGGTTCCATTGCGGAATTGGTGAGAACGCGGTAAGCAGAACCAGTGTTAGCAACGATCGCCCCTCATATCCTCGTTGATGTCGATTATTTTAGCGAGCGAGTTCCGTAGAGAGAAAAAAAATAGAAAATAAGTCATTAGATCAAGGCGTCACGACAAGAACCATTGCTGAATCATTGAGGGGTCGAGGAGAAATATTCCAGAAAATAAACAGATGCGACATGGTCAGGGACACTTGGGGTAATATGTTGATAGAGAGGATTGCGGCTGCGTTCGTAGCTTACACGGCGGGTATACCACCCTTGTCCAAGGTGTAAGTGGGAAGGAATATTGGCTCATGGAAGCTCATCTAAGCCGTCAGGGCTGACTCGTCCCCACAGCTAAGGTAGACACCTCTGCAGAGGCTCGGACCAAAACCCAGGGTCCGAAGGATCAGGACCTGAGAGCCTTCATGGCTTGTCCTAGTTTGGGTTGGGGTTGGCACTTGGAACCGAGATGAGGGTGGGAAAGGATCATGGTTGCGATCCAGAAATAGAATCCATCGATCATGTCAAAGTGAAAAAAGATGGGTTTGCCTCTATAGTGGGTATGGATCTGCTCTCCAGCTGTTAACTAGTGCTCTAGAAGAGTATCACATTGCCTGTCCCTGGAAGACGTTGGGCAGAGTGCTAGAGCCTAGACTGTGTAAACTAAATCAATGTAGTGTTTGCAAAGTCGGTGATGCTTCAGCGGTGGCGCTTAGGGGAATAGTCCGGACGTTTGGTTGGTTCGTGGATCGTTATCGTGTTAGTGATGTTGGTGATACAGTAGTCTAAGGTAGTGTAAGATGAGAGGTGTAGGAGGTGTAGGCATGGGCAGGTGGAAGCGGCTGCGACCAACACCAAAAAGAAACGTAGATCTTGGCGTGGAAGGAGGCAAGAGGCAAACATGGGAAGGAGCACATGTTGTCACTCAACTGCATTATTCTCACTCTCATTCTCTAAAGCAACCACCAGATAAACAATAGGCATCATCAACTTCATCATAAGTGTAACCTGATGCCCAATTGGGTAGTATTCTTCACGCTTCAAATGATGATCATGATCAACTGTACATACGAAGTTCCTGGTCCTTGCCAATCCCATGTCTATCACCAACGCACAGCCACCCGTCATCGCTCTAACGTCTACTAGCGCCCACTTCACGTCTCATCCTCTGGCATAGCCTCAATACATTGCGACCCATGTCTTACCCTGGAGATGTTCTATGGTTCTTCAAGTTATACCTACTGCATGTTTCACACTCAACCTACTGCGTTGACGGTGTTGATTGGTTTATATCAGGTTGGTGTAGATAAAGATTCAACGCTTCAGTTTCCTTTAAAGTCAATCTCTAGTGACACCCAAAATCCAGTTCTCCTCTTCTCTCAACTATTCATTCAATCTTTCTCTTCAACGTCTTGCGCGTCATATCGTGTGCCCGGTTTCTAATATCGGGAAATCGGCTGCCAAGCCTCAAGTTCGACGTAAACAGCACGTCTGATCCTATTTTTGGTGTTTCTATTGTCTTCGTGACTCTCTGTGATCAACTGCACAACTTGGCCTTCCAAAAACGTGACTTCTCCATTCTTGAGGTTAGCAAAGAAATGCCAGCATTCTTCTGTCATATACGGATAAGAAGGATTCGTCTGCACATTCGGGGGGATTCACGAATCCACTATCATTCTTTAGCGAGATCACTGCCTCCAAATTCTCGCAATTGCTGGTAGAATAGTCAGTAAGCGGTCAAATGCTCACCGACAATGTATTTTAATCGATGACAAGTCTCGGCACTTGGTCTGATAAGCGATACTCGAGAGTGCAGTAGTTGTTAGTCGTGGTGGATGCCAATCGCTCTAACAATAAGATCGTCTCTCGTATTGATGCAGATAGCTTACCTTCAGGGCATCAGAATTGACCCTCAAAAACATAACAGATTAGATAGTTCCATCATTTTATGCCAGCTTAGACAATCACTTAGGCTACTTTATTATGGTAGCCTAAGCCTTAGAGGACGATGCTTCTGTTACCCATCTACTTGCCAAGACGTGCCCCCATCAATATAGGCGAGGTCGATCAAGTTGAGATACTGCCTTCACAAAGGAACCTAGAAAAGAAGATAAGGAATGTATGGGTATCATGAACTACCATCGTATCAATGAACTGCGTGAATCGTTCCCTAACCAAGACTACCAAGCACAAACGAACAGGTCGCCCGTGTGCGCTGCAACCAATTCACATGTTCTGTTTTCTTCTCTTGACTCCTGTAACCCCCCAACCCAGCCTCACATCTCCGGAAATAGCAAAGCAAGTCTCTATATCCAGGCCACGTCCGTCACTCCGCCCAGTTTGATGCCGCCATGCCACATCGTGATACCATATCCTATGGCTTTTTGATGAGGCCTTTAAGGCTTAGGGATGCGAATGGTCTTGCTGGTCATGAGGCAGCCGTGAATCATGAACAGAAGAACCGCAGGGTGAAACTCGAGAGCGGAGCCCTGGAACCAGACACCGAGGGGAAGGTTGTCGTGAACCCAGCGCTGAGACAGCCAGTAGGCCATGACAGCATCCATGCCGAGCGAAGTGGGAATAGGAGTTCCCTCGAAGTACTTGCTCTTGCCAGTCTCATCCTTGGGCAAGACGGAGACAGTGACGTTGAAGCGAGCGAGACGGGTGAGACCGCAAAGAACGAAGAAGGTAAGACCGAGAGTGTCAGCGACGGATCGGAAACCAAGGGTGAAAGCGACCATAGCGGGGGCGACACCGAACGAGATCTAGTTCTTAGGTTAGGACTCAGAATCGGAACGAAGAGAGCATAGGAACGTACCAGGTCAGCAAGGGAATCCAGCTCCTGGCCCATGAGACTGCTCTTCTTCCTCCATCGAGCCACCTTGCCATCGAAGAAGTCGAAGAAGAGACCGAAGGGCAGGAAGAAGAGAGCGAGCCAGAGGTTATCGAAATCCTTGGGATCGCCGAGTGCGTATCGTAGGGAGGAGAAAATGGACATGACACCGCATGCGCCTGAGATGAGAGTCAGCTAAATGATCTAATTTGGAAGGCAGCGCACATCAAGGCGCCGTTGTCCCTAGCTCAGGTGTATATACCGTTCATGAGAGTGATCAAGTCAGCAAGGTGCATGGCTCGCACGAGGGAGAAGTGTCCGACATCAGCAGACAGAAGGGTCTTTTGCTTGTCAATGGCTTTACGAACAACGATGTTAGCTTCAGGACCATACGTTTGCTTTAGGTATCCCATTGCAAGGCTAAATCTCACCAGGGCTGTTGGAGGACATAACGTCCTTGGTGTTCCCGTTGGAACCTGACATGGTGTTGCTCCTTCTGGACATCTTGATGCAATATGATACCAAGTTCGGTCGAGCTAAAGCGATACAGACAGTCGAGTTCGGAGAGGGGTATTGCCGTCGCAAGTAGCTTCAAGTCGGAAGTAAGCGGTGTCTTTTAACGGACAAAGCGAATATCTTGATAGCGCAGGAGAACTATCTTTACTGAGTCGGATGATGCTGCGTAAGCTCAGAATTCTACCACGTCTCTGGTTGTTGAGTGAAGTTTGAAGGAGGAAGAAGAGCAGGTTTTCCCAGAAGCGGTTGACGTTGAGGATTGGCGTCGCGGTAGCTCTTTCGCGGCGGGACATCCAACTTCTTTCCTTGCTTGGGTGGATGCCGTCATTGTGGGCGCTAGCGTTAGTGCTCTGCACGTGATCGATAGCTCAATGTTTCCATCCAACCAACCATTGATTCTACGGATATGGTACTAAGATTATCACATGCAGTGATTAAGAATAGCATTCGTAGGTCACACTCACATAATGAACCAGACCGCTGAATGAGTAGATATGGAAAGATCTTATATCGAATGTTGTTCGACTCACTGAGTACCTTGCAAAACCCATCTGGTGCATCATCACATGCAAGCAAGATTCACATTGGCCCCATCGTATTCGTACAGCTCTTCAACCTGGATGTCAGGTCGATTTGTGTTAGGGACACTTAATGGAGACTTGTACAAGAGCATGTCACTATGTACAACACCACGAATCGGTAACGCACTGGGTCTTAGACTCGTTTTCAACTTCAGACATCTTCTGCGGTATTGATACAGGCCCGCTCCTGTTCATGGTATAATGCGTATACGTCTCCAACTAACTGATATGCAAGCTTGTATGTACGTGTGCAACCTCTTTTGAGGCGGCAGACAAAAAGAAAAAGTACACCGAACGCCGGACTCAGACAAATGTTCCGAACAATACTTGCGGCAACTGCCTGGCCACTTTGACACAAGTGAGCGTGTCTTAGCACGCGAGGAAGGCATATAACGCCTTCCCTTACTTTATGATTACCAATTAATGCTTCTCCATCATCAGTTGACTCTTATCCTGTAGTTGTTGTGTTCAAAAGCTGTTGTAAAAATGACTCGTTTTCATGTTCATCGTGTGATAAGAACTGAGAAGCCATCAAGCCACTGGCCGCATGAGCCAGAAACACCACAGATGATGTATCCTCGAGGGGGTATCAAAGTGTGTCTAAGCATGTTAGCAAAGTAATTTCTCGCTCTATGGGTGATAGACTCACGAATCGCCTCCATGTGCATTGCCGTAGATGGGTGACTTGCGACCCAAGCTCGTCAAAACTTGAATACCATCAATCCAGAAACCAGACCGCACGACAAAACCGCTAATATATTCACCACGGCGGACATCTATATTGTTAGGTTCTTGCTCACTCGTGATTACGATAGGAGACTTACCGAACTCAAAGGTATCACCTCCCTCCTTTCCACCTTTCTTTCCAAACAACTGCCTAGAGTCATCGTCATAAACGAACTCCATGCCATCGACAGCCAGTCCGTGGTAGACCACCACCCGAGAAAGAATTCGATCTTGCTTGGTAGTGCTAGTGAAGATAGCTTCCGTAGGCTCGGTTCCGTCCATCTTAGAACTACCCATCTTCTGGCTTCGGTAACCATTCTTTCCGTTCGGGAGCTTGACATGCGATTCTTTTGAAACGAACTTCTTGTAGTCGTCAATTTCAATTGATCCACCGCCGTATGACTTGACAGAAATCTTCATTGCACCCTTTCTCTTCTTGTCAGGCAATCTGCCTCGCAGCTCGCTCTCACTAAGCGTAACTTGTCGAGACGGCGTTCCCTGCTCAGCGGGATACTCAATCCACGCATGGCAGATGTCGTCGCCCTCGGCATATATCTCGACGAAAAAGATGCCCGTGGCTGCCATAACCAAAACATTGCCATTCTCTACAGGGAAGGCTTGAACACTACTGTCGGAGTTCATTGGAGGGTCGTTGGGCAGACGGAAAGCTGGATGGGCTCGGAAGCGCAAGCAGTCAAGACGATGCCAGCCGCATTCGTCAGCCAATAGCGCAACTCCCCCCTTGGACTTTGTTCTCGTACAATAGGCCTCGCGGGCTACAAAAGTGCGGTTTAGTACCACATAGTCCCGTAGCATGATGCCGCTCTCTTGGTGTGGGCACCCAAATAGATGTCCCGTCTCATGCATATGCGCACCAATGCCAATGTTGGCGGCTTCCCAAGAACTGCCTGCTTCGTTGCAGTCGTTGGCCACATGATCTGTGTCTGTCGGAGTACAGTCGGTGAAAGCAGGAACGACTTCTTCAAAAGTTGATGGGTAGCTGTGCAGGCAGTGCGATCCAAAGATTGCCAGCTGCAAGTCGCCGTCTCCACCTCCAAGAGCGGCATGGCCGGTGACAGTCTTCGCTTCCTTATCCCAGTGAGAGTCCAACAGTAGGCATGAGACGTAGAGCTTTTGCCCAGGGAGCGGGTTGAAGTACTTTTTGACGGCCTCGGAGGCGATTCCGTACAGAGCGCCCTTGTCAGTAGCCTTGTCGTTTTGTTGAGCCTTGTTAAGGTCCCGGATCTCAGCAGTAGTCTTGTCTGATCGAATGATATGAACTCTAGCCTCGGAGCGCATGGTGCCGTTCTCTTGATCACGATAGTTGGCCGAACCTGTTGTCCATTCTTCATCAAACCGGAATGCGCGTCGTCCGAGTTTGTTCCTCCACATCTGTTCTGAAGTGAACGCTTGCCACAGATATGCTGCCATCCTGAATTTCCTCACGGCAGTCTCCAATCCATTGCCCTCCTTTTCGGCTCGGGCGGGCGACGCATCGAATGTCTCGGGTGAATCTTTTGCGACCAAGATGGCAAGCTGCAGTGGTGGTGAATTGTTGGCGGGGAGCATGTGAACTGTGAGGTGGGAGGCATGGATCGAGTTCGAGCTGTTGCTGTTAGGTAGTTTGGGGCTTGAAAACTCGAAGCGCAACTTGTTTGGTCCTGGTTGCAAGTACACCAATGCCTTGAACTGCGAGTTGCAGACGGGCCAGCTGATCGCGGGGAAATTATCATCGAGGCGACAGACGTTGAGAGTTCCGTCAACAATGTTTTCGGCAGGATTTCCAATTGTGCCGTAAACAAGAAGAACCTTTTGGTAGACCTATCAACGGTTAGCAATGATTGCTATGTTATAGAATTGTCGTTGCTATCTGGGTCTTGGCAGATGTATATCTGCCAATAAACCCCTGATAACATGGCTTGCAGTTGCATGTGCGCCACCAAGTCAAGTGGCCACAAAGCAATTCAAAAGCAAAACATCCAAGACATACCCATGCATTCTCAGTGATATTGATCAATCTTGGGGCATACGGTGACGTGGGCAGGGCTTGTCGTCCGTTAACAGGTGACCCAAGACCCGACATGCCAGAGACACTGTTGCGGTTCGAGTTGGAAGTGAGCGGCGGTCGCGGTTGAACAATTTGCTGTTGACTCTGGCTATGGGAGATCTGAGACTGTCGACGCTGCAGATTCTGATCTTTGACTTGCAGATGCAGAGCAGGATCGGATTGGATATCGATTGAAGGCGGCGTTAAGGAGCCACTCGAAGGTGACTCTCCCTGGGAGGCAGCGCCATCACTGGAAGTGTCTGTTGTAGAGCGATTGGTACGGAAACTGGCCCTTGATCGGCGGCGAAGGCTGTTGAGGAAGGTAGGGGCCATGTCGCCGGCGACTAAGACCTGCTTTGTCCAAGATGATTGTCGATATTTGTATTCAAGGAAAAAGAAAAGAAAGAAGTCGCGAGGAAAGCAAGAGACCACTCAAGCAATCCAGAGCAGAGGCGATAAGGCAAGAGAAAGAGCGCAAAAAGTGAAAGCGAGAGACTGAGTTTGAAGTAACCAAGAACCGGGGGTCGAGAATCGAGAGGAGAGTGCTCGTATTGTAAGCTTAGAGGAACGAATGGGGGTGGTGAATGTAGATTGTGGTGGAGTGAGATCCCGATGGGGGGTGTAACGAGAACGGAAGCTGTCAGATCACTGCAGCACGCCAACTTAGCAGATTGTGGCAGAGGCAGAGGCAGATGCAGATGCAGATGCAGATGCAGATGCAGAGGCCGTGGTAGTTTCCTTTGAAGAAAGAAGGTTGGAAGGTGCAGAAAAGAGGAAAGGGAAAAAAGGAGAGGGAAGAATTTGGATTAGTAGAGGCACACCAAGATGGATATCAAGAGATAAAACAATACAGATCCAAATCAAAATCCACCCTCTTACACTCGCTTTGCCATGGGTTGTTTTTTCACTGCCTTGGAAGATAGACTAGCCCTTAACAACCCCTGGAGGGTATGAGATGTGGTGGATGGATATATCCCTCCCTATCCCTGGTGATTATAGATGACGGAAGATGTTCTGTTTGGAAGACGACTTCACTGTCAGAGTAAAAGTGGCTGGTGCGTGCTTCTTTCCCGCCGAGAACGTGCCAACCCGATGGAGCTTGGACCGGAGGATCCGCTGAATTTGGTGGGTTGCGGCCGTTGCAATTCATTGCCAACACTCCATTGATAACCTTCACTACGAATATTGTAGAGGCTGATGATTAGACTCTGCAGCACCTGCCCAACCTGCCTAATGACTAGGTCCCACGAATAAACAGCACCTCAAAAGTCTGGGTTCGTTGCAGACATGTCTCAGCTACTGCCTGTGAGAGGAATGATAAGGCACCGAGCACAGCACTTTTGTCCTATCCATCCTATATCCGTAGGTCAATTCGCTTGCAAAAAAACATCCCTAGCCCAGACGACTAATCCTTGTATAGGACGTTATGTGCAGTAGAGGCCAAGCAGCCAAGCACTCAATATTTGCCGAGTCGAGAGCGATCGTGATCCAAGGTGGGTTTCTCGACTTAACCAGGCACAACAGCAAATATCAGTGGAGCCCTGATATTGAATTCAACCAGCCGCATCCGCATCCAGCGGGAACCCAATCCTGAGCAATAAGCGGAAGCCCAACACAACACCAACCAGCGCCGCCCATTAGTCGACCCGTATACTCAGACTGCTTCGTCCGTTGACATTCACCAGTCGGCCAATTCTCGCCGCGCAAGCTATCGAGTGTTGCTTAATGGCCGCTCTACTATAAAAAGCACTGATATTGTTTTGAAACCATCAAAACTCTCCCCCTCCCATCAATCGATGACGTCGAGATAAAGAAGACCAAGCCCCTGGTCTCGTCCAGCGTCTAGGCGGGACCATCCCGTGCCGGCGCCGATAGTAGACCATCCAACGAAATTGCGTTTCCATTCAAGATCCGACGTTAAGCTTGAAAAGATGCTGCAATCTGGCGTGGGCTTCCAGGGGCCAAGCCCAGTCTGATTGATGGATGGTGCCATGAGCCAGACATGATTACGAAGGCCTTGCACAAGCGCTGCTTTGTTAGCGCATGCACCTCGCCAACTCACACAACCTTAGCACTGCAACGCGACGCAACGTCTCTAGCATGTGTCCGAGCCCAAGCCCGAGTAACATACTGTACTGTACGGATGGAATTCAAGGTTTCCCCCATCGTTGAAATGGTGCGAATCTGGCTATGGCCCATCCCGTTTCAGATCTCGAGTCAATTCAAGGCACCACTCATCAAGGGGCTCCATACACTGCAACACCAATCGGACATGGAGAAATTGGTGATACTTTTCTCTCTATGCACGAGATTATCCTGTTTGAAGTCCGAAGGTGGTTTCATCCCACATCACGGCAGCAAAGAGGAGAACACGACAAAATACAAGTGCACAACATACTTTGACCATCATATGCTAACAACAATGAGCATATTTTGTTAAACCCAAAGCGAAAGATCCACGTATGCAGAATGCACTGTTGAGGGGTATTTTGTAAGGAGGGTGAGCTGATGGATACGATGCTGAATGATGACCAACTGACGACAAAGAGCCTCGTGTTACGACCAAAACGTGGGCATAGAGCCATGTCTCTATGCTAAAGTTATTATGGACAACCAAGACATTCTTTGTTTTGGCGCGTCATCTACCGCTGGGTCGAATAGAAATAGAACCATAACCTGCTAAGATAACACAGCAACAAACTTCCACGTTTACCGGGGAGCACGACGCCGTCTCCGATTCTTCACAAGCCAAAGTCCCTTTTCTGGATTCGATGGGAATCATAGTTCGGTTTCCCCGCTTTCCAATTGAGCAACGATGTGTCTCTCCCAAACTCTCACAGAGATTGTATGCCAATGTTATCGTCCATCTTACATATCATTGCCTAGTCGGTGTCCTCGGTGTTGACTGAGTCGTTCGGGCGTTGATTGGCCAATGACTGGGTCATCGATCAAGCTGTGTTGCTTAGATAGGAAGCTCCCATTATCATGGGAGACATATCACCTTCTGGCAATGTAAGAGAAAAACAAAACTTGGATAACCTGGTCGAATATCTGGCCAAGTATAATCCAAGCCTTGATTGAATGTGAGCTTTAATTATCAGCAAGTTGAGCACGATTATGCCCGAACCACTATACATAGGTAATCGATATGGACACAACTCAATCCAAGGCTCAATTGAATTGGATAGAGCAACTACTAAGACTCGTTGATCATTATGGTGATAATTTCTTCTATCAGACTCGAACCAGAGAGCGAACCGTTCGCTAGCGAAATTAGGAGTATGGAGAGCTCTGCGAAAATCATGCATGGGATCTACCTCCTATTTCTATTTCAACTTATAGAGGATAGGGGAAACGATATCTGTGCAGTATCCATATATTGATCGCCAAGCCGATATTCGCTCAGGCAATCCCTTGCATCGTGGTCGGTCAAGACCGAGTTTTGGTCAATCTTGAAAATAATCAGGGGCCAATCACGCTGAAGGATGACCAGCAAGGAGTTGGATGCAGTTAAAACAAAGGACAAAGATCAAGCTAAAAATGCAGAATAAAATAATATAGAGGAACCTTGCATAAATCTAGCAGATATAAAATGAGCTGAGTATAGAGTAATAGTATATCTCAACGGCAGCTCGATCTAATAAGGGGACTGCATCTCGCTTGTGCTGATAGAGGCCTATCAAAGGCGCCTCATAATAAGGCTCTCGCAGGTAGGCCTTCGCCGTCGAGAGCATAAGAGACGAAATAATTTGGTCATCTTATGCCGGCTAAGGCTGGCGTTTAGGTTACTTTATTTCTGTACCCTAAGCCTTAGTGGACGATTCTGTCTCCTGCGAACCAGAAGCCTGGGTTGGATGGAGCTCTCTCTTCCGTTCCAGCTGGGAATGGAAACGCCAACTGGGTCGATTGCTGGCCCAGCAGCGTCAGCTCGAGTGAGAAGGGATCACTACAAAGCTTCTGATTGGCTGAAATCAGTGTGCAAAGTGCATGCATAAATACTTTTTCTGAAAGTACTCAAGTAGAGTGTACATGTCTAATTAAAAACTTGCAGGGCGGATCGGGTCTAGTGAGCAAACTGGGGGTTTCGTTTCCAGAGGAATGTGACCAGATTTTACTTGGTGGCCCCAGCGACCAGATGCTGGGGGAGGTTAGTTGACGTATTGAATCGTGGGTCGTCTCATGTTTTGGTGATGGATGGTTTTTCGTATGTTGAAAGAGCCACTGCAGTTGAAGGGTTTGAGTTTTGGCTTGTGCTTCGATATTAGGGGGATGCTCATCACGGACTTTACTTAGTATGCACAGACATCAGATAGATAGATTATGAGGCTGCATAACAATAATGAAGAACAAAGAAACATCACCAAGTCCGTATCCGAACAAAGAAATGCGGCTAGAAATCATTCATTGTTTACTACAGATCCGAAGCTCAGCTCGAGGGGAAACTAGTACTGTACCTCAGTAACTTAACTGCTACAGTCATTAAATGGTTACCCGGCCGTAGTAGCACGGAGCCCCTCACAGGGCAAGTGGCTTCAGAAAAGGTCAAAGTACCTGCTACTTGATGACGGGCACCTGCAGAGTTAGCGGGACCCACTTGAGCCAAGTTTAGCACGCTCCAGCTCCTATAGGTACAGTACCTAACTGTAACGGCCCCTCGAGATTGCATTTGCATTGGATGCTTCTCTTTCTCTCCAACTTTACTTTGATTCTTCATTCATTCATCCAAACACCATCCACCAACCAACTCACCACAATTCACTCCTTGAACCCATTTTTTGCACCTTGACTCTCATCGACGAGCCTTTAACCTGTCCTCGAGTATCACCAATTATTTATCACCTCCTTTTTACTCACATCGATCGATTCGACCACTTAATTTCTTTCATCTTTCACGGCGGTTGCCCCTAGCAGCAAGTGCACAAAGTGCTGCAGCATACAATGTCTTCGCCGTGGAAGAAACAACCAGAGGATGTCGTCGATAGTGTTCTTAAGCGTGCAGAAGTGAGCAAGGTAAGCAGATTATTTCACCGTCGACAAATTCGTTTTCAATTCTGAATCGAAGTCATCCTCTCCTCCTTGAAAATCACCTTTGACTGACAGTTCCCCACTTCTAGATCGCACGTCGTCTACAGAACCGCCTCGCCCTCGCAAAGTTCAAGACCAAGCATGGCTGGGAAGATCTCACCCTCGACTCCATCGAGCCCAAAGTCGAAGAGGAGTTGCGAAGAAAACGCCTGGCCGAACCTACAGATGTCCTCTCCGACTCATCATCAAGTGCATCCGACCTCCCATACCCTTCTCGAGCTCTCATGAGCTCTCCGATGAAAGCGCCCCTGTTCTCGGATGCGATAGGCTCCAGCAACGGCAGCACCGGTCACCGCAAGCGCACATACCTCGCCACATTTCACGATGTTTCATCGAGCCCTAGCAAACGGTTCCGACTCTCTCCTACAGCACACAAGTCCTTTGGCAGCAACGGTGTATGGAAGAACTCGCATTCACTTGCACGATCGTCTCCTCTGAAGCCCCGGCGGCAACAGCACTTCACCACATCGGGCGGTCCCGACGTCTCCTTTTATCAGCAGGGTATGATGGGCCGTGACCTGACATCACCTAATTTTGCAGCCCCTTCCGATGATGATGACGATCTTCTGCCTATTCACTCTTTCAACCCTACCAACATCCGATCATCTCCTCCACGCACACCACCCATGCGTACCCGATCTCTCAACAAGCGAACCAAAGGCGATGCCGGTGCAGGTGGTAACGGCAAGACCGGCGAAGAAGGCGCAGATCTCCTCCTTTACCTAGCAGCTTCACCATCGCCAGCTGTCAGAACCTCAACTAGAACACGAATGGAGCCTCCTTCAACCCCTCCTCTGAAGAACAACAAGATGGACCTGCCTTCTTCGATGATGATGACACCTGGTGGGGGCAACATGTTCCCAACCACTCCCAGCCAAGCATTTGACTTTGCCGAATTTGTCAACATCACACCCAGTCCAGCACAAAAGACATTCAAAACACCAGTCTCACTCACGGCAACTAGGACACCCGTGAGCGTAACGCAAAGACGACTCACGTTCGACTAGTGGTTGTCGTCGAGTTTTGATTTGTTTACTTGATGGATGGATATGGGATTGGTGTTGAACCAGGATCCGAGTTCCTCGTGTACATGATACCATGACAACACCCGCGCACGCATCTTCTTTTCACTTTTATTATACTGTTTGGATCCTGCCCCAGCTTTCTGAGGCGTACAGAAACGCTCACTGTACATGTCTGTTTTTACACACTACTTTTGCGACGGCGTTATAGACTAAGCGGCTACGGCATGAAGACCGGTCTTTTATCCCCAAGGAGGCCGCAGGAGGCCGTGTTCCCCTATGGGGACCTGGAGGATGGTATATTTGGTGGTTGAGTTGATTCATCTCGGTTGAGGTGAAGCTTTGATAAAATGAAGATTACATTACTATTACATTATGGGCCGGTTCAGGAGAAAAGGGGTAATTTACCTGAGGTTACTAGATGGGATTGATGGAACGGCTTATGGACAATGTGATTACTTACTACTTTGCTATCGACTTGACTAAACATTTGTTCACATTTTTTACTCTGATTTGACTTTGGCCTTGGATATTGGTCGTATGACCATGGTCCGTCTGCAATTGACCTCATGCAAAAACCTTTTTTTCTGCAATAAGCAAGGATCAAGGTCGTGTTTGGCGCGCGTCCGACGGGCAATTTACGCGCGAAAGAGCGCGCAGCAGTAAAGACGTGTCCGTTTCGCGCCCAAGGACCCTTACTCTTTAAGATGTAACCAATCAAATACAGGTTTCCGGCAGAGTAAGTTTCCATGTCTGATGTCATGAGTTCACGAGGGATGAGTCGACTAGAACAAAGCGTGTTATTTGGTTGGATGGAACGCGGATGGGATGTGGATTAACGAGTGGCTCAAGAGTACTTGTCTCCAAAGTACTCGACCAAAAATGTTAATAAGAATTGGATGTTACTGAAAAGAGAAGGTGTCCATTACTGCATATCAAGCTTATCATGGCATGACTCTATGATCTGGTCAAGGTTTACCTAACTACTAACCCATCTTACCCTCAGTCTTCAGCGATCCTTACAGCTTGGATATCGCCTTCTGTAGAGTCAATAATGTCCTTAAAAACATCCTCAATGGGCGTAACAAATGCATATCCCTTAGCATCCCTCCAAACTTTCTGTCCTCTGGTTAACAACCCGACAACTCTGCCCTCGCTATCAAACACCGCAGCACCACCGTCTCCCGCATCTGCAAAAGACTTATCTGGACTGCCACCTACTGAACAAATGGCGCCTCCAAAGATAGGCCACTCTAGTAACATTCTTCCTTCTGCTCGGCACAAGCTCCTGTAGCGGCTAAATGTCCCTTGTGTGATGCCCGTGCTGCTGCCGCCTTTCCAGAGCTGCGTGCCTTGTTCCATGCTCCGTATTGTCAAGCCTGGACTCGGACCCTTGAGCTTGACGCCGTTGACTTGAAAGCAGGAGTCCATTGCCACACTGGCAGTTCAAGAAGCCTGGAGGGCCTGGTGGGAGTACGCCTGGGAGAAGGGTGTTTTGGCCGTTTCGTGCGCCCATTCCCAGTACAGCCCAGTCGAGTGCATTTCTGTCCCGGCCTATCCTGTTGCCGGAACAAAAAAGGACTCGATGCACGTCAGAGGAATGGGTTTCGAAGAACTCAGCTTTTATGGTTTTCTTCTCGTCGATGTCCTCTAGAAGATCGGCCAGTTCTAACGGTTCCAGAATCAGGTCGCGTTTATGGGCAGTCCTGTCTTCTTCAAGACACTTCATGGAAAAGTCGTGTTTTAGCCGAGACGGACTTTCCATGAGTGCTGAACACTTATCGTGATACCTGAACTGGAACCCTCGCTCATCGACTTCTCCAAGATGGCTGTCCCATATGGCCGGCACTTCTTTAAGGTATATTTTGATCCGCTCGTATTGGGCCTTAGTGAGGGTTCTCCCATCACCATATCGACTTAAGGTAGTATCCAAACAGACATTGTATCCTTCAAATGCTGGTCTAGCGACTTGGTAGTTCGTCAAGGCGCCCTTGTGCCATTTATCAGGACGAGATCTTTGCTGGAATTCGATCCAGCAGCCCATCGTTGCGCACACAGCAGGTACGCCATCCCCCGAGCGCCAGGTAGCGGCGATGTCATCTCCAGGTCTCATTTCGACCCTGTACTCTTGGTGGTTATAACGTGCTCTTTCAACCACAGTCTTTGTAACACCTTCGAGCCCCATTGGCGGCATCATTCTGAGCATATAGCTCTTGCAAAGGCCATGTTCCATATGGACGTAGAGATTTCCCCACTCTATGTTCTTAAGGTGAGTCTTTATGTCCCTCACAACGTCTTCCCATTCTACCTCGTTGGACTCGATGCCGAGAGAAATGTATATCGTGATAGGGTTCGACCATGGGTTCTGCGCATACCCTCACTTCATCAGAGTGATGGCGGCCGTATGCGATCGTGTGGCCTCGTGAGCTTGAAGGCGTTGGTATACGCAATCACGAATCTCTGGCCGGCCTTGTTCCATGTGCATATTTGCAGGCGGGGGAGAGATGTATACCGCTTGTTGCAAGTAACGAGCCCTCATCTCGAGATGAGCCTTCTTATTCCCCCCGAGATGTCTATTCAGACATGTTGCCATGTCTTGCACAATCAGTGGCCATTCCCATTTGGAATCTCTGTTCCAGCTCCCAACGATCAGAAGCGCAGGTATATTCGTTTGAGGATCACTGGGAAGTGAGGAGTATCCAAGATCCCAGTCGAAGTCTTGGGCCCTGTATGTAATATGGTGCTTCGAGACACTCCTGTTAAATTCATGATAGACCCTGGAACAGATTTCTGGCAGCCAGTTGGGGAACTCATTACCATCGTATAATTCCAGCGGTAGTGGACAGAGGCATGGCCATGCTGAGCGGAACTGGAAAGTCTCTACCTGGGGAGTTTGTGACAAAATTCGAGACATCTTTGAATCTATGTCGATACAAGAAACGTTGTTTGCGGATGAACTGTGTGGTGATAACTGCGTAGTTGTTTCTTGGATAGCTTGAATACCGAGGAGAGTAGAGTCGTAACTAAGTGTACAGGATATTTCCCTTTTTCATAGCAGTGGCATTTCAGATAGTTTTCGTTAAGCAGAGCATTCAAAGCTTAACCACCATCCCCGAGCGTAAGTTCTGTGTGTTGTCGAGGTCCGTAACAGCATCTCATTCTGAGTCGCCTTGAGCTCAACAAGTCTCTAGCACTACATAGTGTTTGACGTTTAGTCCAAGGGCTACAGTCGCATTAGATATTCAATGTTACAGTTATATCTATCCAGATAGTTGGAAAGGCATTTCAACCTCTTAAGAACCTGGATATATCCAGCTTGTATGTACAACACACACAACTCGAATCAACGAAACACAGTTAAACTTCATAACATGTATACATAGAGTCCACTCTGGCTTACAATAAACTATCCACACACAAATACGTGGCAAGTTACACGAACAGCACAATTTTTATTAAATAGGGTTATAGAACTAAAGTCTCGGCGGAGCATAGCAAGCTTTTCTGATTTTGACTCTAGCAACAACCATCTTGGTGTGCGTTCTTCTAAGGGAAAGAAGGAGAAAAGCCGGTTCTGTGGTATCATAAGCATAAACGCTGACATCAAACATCAACACCCATCTATCCATCTTCTAATTTTCATCATCTTCTTCCATCCTTACAACAAGCCATGCATCCTCCAAGAGAACCTATCTATGCTGGTTCTCCGCCGAGATGGAGCGAATCGAATTGTTTCTGTGTTCCTGGGACGAGTTCTCACATCGAAAGGCCAGCTCAGCGCCTCCAAGAGTTGTCATCACTTCTGGAGTGCTGGGGAGGAACGGGGAGATCAGTCCCGTCATCCCCATACCGGCCGTAGATGCTGGGAACACGAGGGGGTACAGGAGGCCACTCGCTGATCGAGCTCACTCCGCTAGTATATTTCGAAGTGAAGCTGTCAGCACGTGACTGTCTAGTAGTGTACCGGTTGTTATTGTTGCTGTTGTTGTTGGCGGTACTGTAGAAAGAGCTAGCAACAGTGTAGCGAGGCACTTGTTGAATGTTGCCATACATGCTGGGAACCACTCGATTATCAAGTTCCAGATCAAAGGGGTTTGAATGAACCTTGCCACGCCAGACCTCTTGTGGCCTGAGATTCATGTTGTCACCCGTTGATTGAGGGGTAAGATTGCGCGACATAGGTGGGCTTCGACGTTGGTCGACAGCGCCTCCATATATCGTTGGCGATTGCCGCGCAAGCTCTGGTGACATGATTGAGTCTCCATCAGCAAAGGGGTCGTCCGCTGCGTAGGGTCGGGCAGGCTCAAGAGGCTGCGGCACCATCGAGCCATGAGGCGGGACACTATGGGAATATTCACGGGCAGTGGCTGAAGGTCCCCCAACGGCGGAGTTGTAGTCGGAGAAAGGATTAGGGCTTGGTGTTCGTCTTCCGTCATAGCCCGGTTGCGCCATAGGAGGAGCCGCGGCGGGGACATCCCTGGCAATCGACTCTTCGAAAGCCTGAGACCACCATCCATTTTGTTGCGGTAGCCCAGGGGGGGTTGAACTTGCTCTGCTATGAGCACGTGGAGTGGGCACGACTTGCCCTTCATGGCCGAATTGAGAGTTTCCGCGGCTCATGTTGATATGGGAGGCGTCACTCATAGATTGCCGGAGTCGTTGACTAAACTTCTTGGCATTGGCACTCATGGCGGCTGCAACTTTGGCAGATCGTGGTGTTGGGCCCAGAGATTGGTTGTCGATTTCATACTTCATCAGGTTACCAGGTGTACCGGGTGGTGCACCTGGACGAACACCGAGAGGCGTGAGAAGGGTGCTTCTACGGCGCTGCAATTTTCGTCTTCTGATGAGCCAGAAGATGACCAGTGCCAGCATAGATATCCCCAGGATCGAGCCAACAATACTTCCCACAACGACTGGGGTTGCGCCTGCATCCTCTTCCGACTTGTCCTTGACAACGGCACCAGGGGTTTCGGTTTCCGAGGATTGGCCAGTTCCAGCAGTTGCACCAAGATCAATAGTCGTAACCACACCATCAGCCAAGGTCGCAGTGGTATACAACGGCTCGGAGCCACCAACATTCGTCTCGTCGTCATCAGAGTCAGAGCCGTCAGAGGTCTCGGTAGAGCCACCAGCAGACACATCAGTGCTGGTTCCCTGTCGGGTTTGGAGAGTTGTTGAGCGAGAAGGGGGGCCCGTGTAAGTGAACGACGCAGTGTCAAACTGAAGAATTTCAGAGGTAAGTGTCGCGGACAGTGAGAACGATGACTCCGTCTCCGTCTCGATGATCAGACGAGCATTCTCTGGCGTGTTTCCGGGCCCTCCTTGTGTTGTCGGTTGAGCAGACGGTCGGGCAGGGTTCTGTGCATCTGTAGTTACAGGGTCCGGTCCATCGATGAGGCGAGCGTCTGATGGAGTTTCCTGGGGTGCCTGTTGAGAAGTTGGCTGAACGGGTGGCTGGGCGTCAGTTGTCACTGGATCAGGTCCATCTATCGGTTGGGTCGGCTCTATTGTCTCCTGAGGCGGCGGCTGCGAAGTTGGCTGTGCGATCGACTCAATGGGAGGTGTTGTTTCTTGAGGTGCTTCCGGGGCCGGTGGTTGAGGAATCGGTTCGACAGCGCTAGTCGTCTCGGGCAAAGGTGCGGGTGGTGCAGGCTCGGGTTCTTGTCCTGGCGCAGTCGTGGGGACAGGGTCGACCGCTTCACTTGTCGGAGGGATGAAAGATGCAAACTGAGGGGCATCTCCGTTGTTTGCAGGGACCTCTTGAGGGGGGTCCTGCCCAGGTGCCGTCGTAGGGGCAGGGCTAACTTCTTGACTTGTAGGAATAAAGGTCGCGAACTGTGGAGCATCTCCATCTACAGGAACTTCGTTGGGAGGTTCTTGACCAGGCGCAGCTGTGGGAGCAGGGCTGGCTTCTTGACTTGTAACAGGAAGGAAAGTCCCAAATTGCGGAGCATTTCCATCGTTTCCAGGAACGCCGTTAGGGGGCTCCTGTCCTGCCACGGTCGTGGGAACAGGATTGACCTCGGGGTTTGTAGGAGGAATAAAGGACGCAAACTGGGGAGCGTCTCCATCCACTACAGGAGTATCGTTGGGAGGTGGCAAGTTCTCAGCGGGCGCCGTTGCAACAGGTGGTAGGGCGGCGCTGTTAACGTCCTGTGTGTTGTTGGCTGGAACATATTGTGTGACCACGACGGTTGAGACCGGGTCTGGGACGACGACGATGCGAGATGCCATCTCGGTCTGAGTAATTATTACGGGAGCTCTTGCGTCGAGTGATTGTAGGTTATTGGTATCGGCGTCTTGTATGCCGGCATACTGTCGTCCAAATAAAGAATTCAATACAGCCCGTGTCCTGAGGGCTAACATTCTTGACTAAACACTTCGCGATGCCAGTCGCAATTGGTGAGAACTGAGCTCAGAAGCCTAGCTCGGTGTTGATCAAAAGTGAAAATAATCAGCAAGTGTGTAAGAGTTTACATACGGGCCTCGGTGGCCATCTACTTGTCGGCGATATGCATGTAGATGGATGACCCAGTCACCATGTAAGTGGAATGAGAGTAAGAGAATGTCAGTATCACGGCCAAACACCGTGACAGGAAAGTATCAAGAAAGAATGAACAACGTTGCAATAAGAGAATGTAATAGGACAACAAGGAAAGTAAGGGTACGAAACAAGGAAAGAACACCAAGAGAAACAGAAACGGAGAGAGAAAGAGAAAGAGAATCAAGCAAGACGAAGAGTGTGAGAAGAGAACGAAACGACAATATGATTGCCCAGAAGGGGGGAAGATGGCCAAGACGAAGTAACCCAAAGGGGAGAAGGACCAAACGCTTCTACTGCTAGCGTTTTACCTGAATCCAGATATAACAGCACAGGTTCAGTTCAAGCCGGTAGACTGGGATGTCATGGCGCGATACCCTGTCCTGCGACAGATCTGAAGCACGACAACCTCCCCACGCTGTCTGAGCTTAACTGCGCTACACTAGTAGCTGCAGTCTAGGTTGTAGCCGAGGAGCAATCAGCAAACAGAAGACGGGAGAGCTGTCGGGAGCAACAATGTTGAATCTGGCATCCTTTTGAGAAGTCTTGGCTTGCGTAGCCATCCATGTGGTGTTTCTGTTTGTGTTTGCCTTTAGACTCAAGTTGGACGATGATGGTGTAAGTGAGGTTAGAGGATACGACACCCGCATATGCCGTCATTTTTCATCTTCTCTTCTTCCCTCTCCCATCGTTTCGTTTCTTTTGGTGTGGTGAGTGTAACTGTAGATGTCCATTGACTCCATTCTGGCGATCAAGCCAAGGACTCGGAGTAGGTAAATGATGCAGTTCGGCAGCGTATACCGTATACGGAGCGTGTTGTTGGTGGGAAGAAAGGCTGATAGCCAACTATCCTAGACTAAAGGTGGACCTTCAGCCAGAGCCAGGTAGGTGAGGCTCAGCATGGCACCTTCCATCTTACTACGACCGTAGCAGCCGTAGGTAGGCAGGTAGGTACGGATAATACTCGTACAGATAGGTGGAGTTCCAAGAGGATCTTGGCAGGAGCATCCCATGATGGCCTTAGCGCCCGAGAGCAATCCTGTCCACCTGAGACACCTGAGCACCCACCACCGTTTTTGGTGGTAATCGCCTAGCACACCTACTGTAAACAGACTGATAGGCCCGCTAGAACAAGACCTGGACGGTAAAATAGCCTCTGGATCCCACGAAACAAACCAGATGAGGCTCTGGAAAATTCCATTCCACATAATTTTCCGTTTCTATGTATAGTGTTTCTAGTATAGTGCACTATATATTAATTACACTAACAGACGTTCCTGCATTTCACCTGCATAACGTACCTGAACTTGGTCTTCTTTGGGATGAGACCGGCATTAGCTCAGTTTAGAAAACACATGGCAAAATAATTTACCACTGTTTGTATTCAGTCTCTGTCTTTCCAATATTCTCTTCTGTTGGTCAGCACGACGAGACCATTAATTAATCAAGTTGAGAGACCAGCGCCACATGCATTGATCCTCCTTTATGCACTAGCGACCGCTTAATTGTTTCCTCCAAATTCAAGACGTGATCCTCCCCTTGATCCTGGCTTGGATCAGTCCATCCGTCGCCCATCAGCTCGACCCATGTTCCCGGCCGCAACCGCCGTTCTAACGTTAGTCCATATACAAGATCCCTGTTGTCTCATCTCGAGTCAAGCCAACTCAAGTTCAACTTAACTCAACTCAACTCAAACTCAAACTCAACTCATCAAGACTGCCACCGTTCCCTACCTGAAGTCTGCACTACTTACCTTTTCCTCCGAGCTTCGATTACCGAAATAGAATTCTCCTTCGCAAGACTTAACCGACCCGGATCAAATGTGACGTTTTGGTCCTAATAACCTTAAAAATCTTGACCTTACAAAGGTGGGACAGGGACATGACACAGTTAGTTGAATGAGTTGTCCACTATCGTCCGAGAGCCTACGTTGGTTTCTTATTAATCTAAAGTCTCGACCTGTCATGTCTTACAGAAGACTCGTCTACTTTAATCCCATCATCCTCTTAAGCTGCGAGTAACTCATATTTCAAAAAAAGAAAAGAAGGAGCAAAAAGTGACAGGAGGATTCCGCCAGGTATACAAATGCTTCTTTTGATCCCCTTTAATTTCTAAATGACTTCCTAGTTGTGCCTTTCTGCCAAATGCATTGTTTTCTGCATCTAGACCTACCAACATTCTTGGCACTTCTTCGAGAGGATGCCCCTTTTCACAACGCGTGGCCGTATCTGGTCGAAATACACGAGAGACGCTCACGAGCCTCCTTTTTTCCCACCCGTCAGGTCCAGTTGATAATTATTTCGTCCGAGCTTTTTGGTCTAGAGTGTAAGATTACCGAGGATTGCTCGTGTAGTCTTGGTTACCAGAACAGCTCAGCCATTGACAAGTGTCGATCGGCGAACTTGGCAATAGGTCTGAGCACAGGTTGAACGTATAGCCGGTTAGCATCTTTTCTTGGTCGTTGTTTTCTTTGAGCCAGGATTCTAATACGCACTAAACAACCGTCTGAGCTTTGACGATGCCGTGAGAACGTCTACGAGATGGGTGGGTTTCACTTACCAAACCGCTTTCCTAACCCAACGTGCTAGTAGTTGCGGCACAGAGACACGCCTGAGTAGGCTGAGTTACCTGACGCCTCGTGAATAGAGTCAAAGCGATCAGTGAATGACTCGCCTGATGTTCTTGGAGGCTTCCAACCCTAAGGTTACCATCCCATGACTGAAACCTCCGTGCAGATGCAAAGTGACATGGTAGCTCAAATGATTCCGGCTTCTGTAGGGTAAGTACGTCGGGCATTTTCTCAAAGGCAAGGATACCGTAATAGGGCTTTTCTGTTTGAAGAGATAGGATGTTCCTGGAATAAAGTCATACGGTACCACATGCGAGGGACGATAAGACATGTCAGAAGTTAACAATTACGACGTTGATCGTGACTTACACGTGTTTAGCAAGGTTTTGGTTTCACCTCGTGTACCACAACTCTTATTTCTTTGGTACTAACCATGGTTTCTTGTAAGGCACGAATGAACGATTCGGGATTCTTGTCCGTTTCATAGGCATCCATGTTAATGCGAACGCGACACATGCACTGCCCACAGTCAAGCTTGTTACATGAAATTGGTGTCTCTGATATACTAGCTCGTCGACGAATGGTATCGCTGGCAAAAGTCAAACATGCATACACTATTGCCCTCTTCAACTCCTGTTTGTGCATGAAGCATAACATTTATATATTATACCGGGTACTGTGCTACGGGCCATCTGTTTGCATTGAAGAAACAGGGTCTTGGTTGATCCATGCAACTGGTCAAGCAGCTGACCAATCGCGGAAGGAAGGGTCCATTTGCCGGCGAAATGCAGATTCTCATGATCTGAGCTCATGAGAAGATGAGGAGGAGGAAGTTTTTGCCATTTGTTGTCATTATCTACCTATACGTTGGATACTGCCTACTCGAACAGCAGTAAAATAATCGCGCTTTTAATCGGGGTAATTGACTATCTAGGTAGGTACATTTATCGATTAGAATTGAGGCTTTCCATTGGTTATTTTCCGTACCTATCGTGCCTGCCTTTGTTAACGTTGTTGTTTTCCGCGGCTGTTCCCGCCTCCAAATGGACCGAGCCAATCTTGGCACTGACCGTTGGCCTAAAACTTTTGAAGCTTCCTTCCAGTTCCAACTCAATCCGAGTCAAGCCTTTCAACTTGCTCTTTTCTTGATTGTTTCCCCTAAAAACAACGGCCAATTCAGCCATCGCATTCTATACAAAAGTTTTGCCTGATGCCTTTTAACTAGAATTGTTTTGTTTGTTTTGGTTTCTGTCCAGCAATTTTAGCCCTCTCTTGTTATCAGTACATCTTACTTACTCGTCCGTCCATCACGACATTGTTCCATCGCTCACCTCTCGTCTCTCATCCTTCAGTAGCTAAGCCAAGCATTGTCTCATCATTTATTTCCGAGGCATCCTACCGAGTTATTAAGCCACTTCAGGTCCCCAATCACTCCAGCAGCCTATCACTATGTGAGCCTCCTCGTGTCTGAGATGGAATGGACCTTCGCTGACGTCGTTTGCTCCTTTTAGCATTTCCTCCTACGGTCGGGTACCTTACATTGCTTAGTCGCGCCACTGCAACCACTTCAGCCATCATGTTTGGTAACTTCACCACCTTTGGTAAGCCATCTCAGCTTGTTCCTGCTCTGAGCCTTTCTTCCCCTCCTATTTGACATCTCCTGAGCCTCTCATGCTCGCAAAACACCTCATCACCCCCTCACTTCGTTTCCCTGGTCCATTTCGCCTGCCCCTCCCCCACAGCTACGGCAGCTACCGTGCAAGCTTCCTCCACCTTGATAGACCCTGGCTAAACTTTGTCCTTCTCTCTTCAGCCGGCATCCCAGCCAAAAGCAAGGTAGATCCCAAGGACGTACCACCTCCTACGCCTGTTACTCTTCCTCGTTTCCAGCCTTTCGCTCATCAAGATGATCCCGTCGATGATGCCACTGCGCTTTCAACTCTCCTCCGAAACACGGGACGATCAACTGCTGCCCTCGGTCCTCTCGGTTTCTCTGCCATTGGCCTCAACCTGAACCTCGATGCCAAGCCTGCTGACCTGGTTCCTGATCCATCGTACATTCCTAACTTCGACGAGTGGGACAAGTTGACGCCAGATGAAGCCCAGGAGAAGAATCAATCTACCCGAAAGTCTTTGAGAAACGGTGGCCTCTCTCCTGGTTGCCATGTTTATCTAGAACGTAAGAAAGAGCTGTCCAATGTCAACGAAGACGCTTTTCGGACTGTCAGAAGGCTTCCGGCACCCAAAGGAAAGACACAAGCTCGGCTAGGGAATGCTTATGAGTTTTTCCGTTGCCTTGAGGCATTCACTTCCTTCTGGGACGACCCTACGCAGCCAACATCTCTCCCTCCATCGCCCGAGGTCTCAGCTGAAGCTACATCATCCGATGGAACTGTGAACACTGAGGGTACAAAGCCTGCGAGTCCCAAGCCGGATGATAGCTCCAGCTTTTTCAGAACCAGTGCCGGTTCCTCGATGCCGCTTGAATATCGCAACAATCTCATGACAGCTTTTATCAAACTCGTTGCTTACGATTTTGGATGTAACGTCTCGCCTAGCCGAACTGAACCTCGACTTCATTTCAGCTCACCACAAGGATCTGGATCTCGCAAATCCTTCTGTCCCTCTGGCTGTCTTTTTGTATTCCAGAGCCCGACAACCCGCGAAGCCGCCCGGGCAGGCGTGGTTCATGGGCCTGTAGCTGCTGTCAGTGCGAGAGGAACAACTGACTTCACTCAGCCAGACCCAGAGACTGCGCAATCACTCGACCTTGCTCGAGAAACCGTAGCGGCTCTCATCACGGCGCAGCATCGTGCACGTGAAGGAAAGACGGAGAAGCGCTTCGGTGAGGGAGAATGGTGGACAACCAAGAAGCGCTGGGGAGGTGGCCCTGGAGGTCCCATCGGACGTGAAATCGAGAAGGATACAGTACAGGGCGACAAAGACGCGAAACCAAGTGACGAGAACGGCTTACCAATGCCACTCGCCAAGAAACCCCGTAAAAACATGAGTATCTACGACAACTATCGCATGATCCGACCCCCCTCAGCACATTGGGATAAAAAGGCTCAGTATGAAGCCATAGGAAGAGTCAAGGGAGCTGACTACGACGATATCTTTGTAGTGAGCTCTCTGTTTCACCATGTCTCAATCCTCCGTGTCAGGGTGCCAAACAGACTGCTTGAAGTTCTGGAAGGGGCGGGCGAGCCAGAAGCAGGCAAGCGTAGCTGGGGTAAAGTTGATGCGTGGAGGAGCCCCTGGTATGATCTATTTGATACGACGCAACGTATAGCTGCTATGAAGCTAGTATGGGGCATGATGGCTTATCAGATGAGAAAGGAGGATGGTAGTGATGGGGATGTCAATATGACCAACACCTGAGCTTATTCTAACGGTTGTTATAGCTCTGGAGATGAAGACACTCATATATCGGCATATTGAACCTTTGGTGAGGCTTGATTCTACAATGCTGGATATATTTGGATGAAAATTTCGGCCAACCTCTCGGCTTTCTATATACACATCCGCATTACATACGCAGCAGGTATTCAGACAACGTTTCGTTACCTCATGCTAAGTAGCTAGCATAGAGCTGGATAGATTTAGAGCCAAATCTGTTGGTCTTGCGTGTACTCAACTAGTTAAGCGATGTCAGTGTCAGTTGCGTTTGCCCTTGAAGTCCTTGACAAGCCACCAAGGGGTTTAAGTAATGAAGGCTGGTCTTTGAGCAAATAGTCAGAAGTGTCTCATGATGTTGGTTCAAGTTCGTGCACAAATTCCAGGGACCATAATCTCGGGTTCAGAACATTGACTCAGGATAATCGAGAACGGGTGCCCAGAAACCCTGTTGCCATGCAGGGCGTTCAGTCTTGTGGCTCGTCCGCATTGCCCATAATATTGAGTTGACATTCGGATAACGTGATGCATCTGCAGGGCAGCAAAGGGGTCCAAGACACAGCCGAGACAAGACAAGCTTACAAGACATGGCGTGAGGAGCTCAGATCTGGCAGCTACAGCAAGATAGTAAAAGAGGCACAGGGAGAGGCACGCGGAGCATAGCTTCCTGCAGCGTTCCAGCTCAACGGGTAGGGCACGGGTGCGGTATCTAGTTGCTAGCAGCATCACTAGTGAGGCCAAAGTCGACTGATTTCGCTTAGAATCCGGGGGATGGTTGTGTCTGTGGCTCACGTGGCTGCATTGGAGCTATCTTGATCGGGATTGAAACCCGCGTGGCATAGTCAAGCCCTGATGAATACGGTACGGAGACGGCTTCTGGTTTAGTATTGGATCTCGGGAGGCTTTTTGAGGGTTTTCTTTGAGAATTAATAGTTTTGAGGCGGCCGGGAAACGATACGCGAGATAGAATGAGTTTGATATGTAGATAGATATGTGATGTCTTGTCTGCTGAGCAACTACTATGTGAGATGGGATTTGTATTGTAAGGTTCAGAACCATGTCATGGATGTAAGCTGCAGTAGTCTGAAGTTGAGTACCGACAACTTGGATGACAGTTGATAGTGTACCGTAGTTTGGGAACAACTAATATCAGTCAAAATCAGGCCCAGCACAACGGTAGAGCACATCCATGATGAGTGAGGCCTTCCCTCACCTCAATGAAACTCGTCACTCTTTGTGCCACAGCCACCAACCAGCATCAAAGACCCTGAAGATGACACAAGTAGACAAGCCTTAAAACCTCCCCGCTCAGCTCCAGGCGGCTGAGCAGGAAAGAGTCTTGATTGGGTAACTTCGCCCTGGCTCAGCTGTCGGCATGCCCGTCTGCTAAACCCAGAAGAGATGATCTTCGTGCCGTGGGCGGGGCGGGCTATCGGGTAATTTCAGCCATCTTTTTTATTGTGCAGTTTTCTTTTCTTTTTTCTTTTTTCGAGGTACGAGATCGTGATATCGAGGTTCAAGTTGCGGTAAGTGTTGTGTCCCTTGCTTGACGAAGAAACCCCTGTGGATGCTTCCAAGTTCCATCTGTGTCTTGAATTTCTTTTTGTTAGGTTTTGGCTGCAGATATGATGGCTTCGGAGATGGCTTGAGCGAGTTATGATTAGATGTTACCTGGTAATGACTGTAAGTGAAGCACATGTAGATAGATTATTCATGTTACTGTCTGTGAATTGTCCGTACTGTATTCGTGCATGTTATCTCTATCGGTATCTGTATGGATATCTATCGGTAAAGGAACCTCCACCTGACTCCACTCCGGGCCTGCATCGGGGATCGCCGTTGCACCGGGTTCGGCGCCGGCTCAGCCTGACAGGGGCCGGTAGTGAGTAAATGACGTTTGAAGGGTTCCTCGTCTCGGACGATTAATTGGATGAGATTCAAGATTGCACTGCGATTTGGTCTCGGCGCGTTTACGTCTAAGAATTGAATGTCGACGAACAGGGTGTACGGAGTATAGGTACTAGGTAGTCGACCTTGTATCAGTATCATGTCATGCCAAAGTAAAAATGAATGCGGCATCTTGTCCGGTATCACATATCCCCCATCCGTTATTATTTCCAGGGTGACTTATGAAATGGTCTCATTAGATGTAGCCACGATAACGGATATATGTCGCATATGGTCTCTATCGAAGGGTATTCCACGACATGGCGTTTTGACGATTGTGGTCTCGACCGTTAATTATAAAGGAAAATATAGTGCCACCAACAGTTTAATGCCAAACAAGGAGACGTGGAAGCCATATGGCAAAACAAATCAAGAGCCGCAATCTTAATCTCTAATCGATGTATCTGGTTGGTTATGGTTGGATAAGGAACTGCCCTACATGCCTGAGCCAACGAGTGACGAACTGGTATTACATGGGCCAAGGATATTCAAGACGCGTAACTAAGAGACTTGGGACTTGGCCGATGATGTATCACTAGACTTGGGGAGTAGAGAAAGGTCCAGATATTCGGCATTGCTCAGCCGGGGTCCCATTTAGTCGGGTCGTTTAGATCAACCCTAGATATTCTATTCTACTGTACAATGAATGCATAGCCTTGACAATTCTGTTATGGCATCATTGAAAAAAGGCTGTGCGTATATGGATATGGATATCTAGAGTTCCTCAATTAGAGACGGTGTGCGACAAATATTGCCAAGACGGACGCATCTCTTGCTGTAGCGCAGTCGAACATGTCCGTAGTGGTCGTTGAGCTGGACCAGCGATTTCCTTCGTTGTCGGTCATGTTTCCCTTTTGGGCCCTGTTCTAGCGCTGAGCCTCCATTGCAGTACAGGACTGGACAGCACCTACCGAGCCGAGCTGTTGATAGTTGCATCACATCACATTGGAGAATGGAGTTTCAATAGATACAGCAGTAGAGTTTAGATACGTTTTTGGGAATATATGATTTAAGACAGTCTATATCCCCTCAATTATAGCTTCCATGCTTCCATCAACATTGAGTTTTCAGCTTCATTCATATTCACTCTTGACTTGACCCTCAGCCCAAAACTTGGCTTTCGTTACTGCTTACAGGGTCCTTCCTCTCTCCCCCCCACCCCCAGAAAGTAAAACAAGGGCATTTCAATTTCTCAGCATCAATCAGTTCTTTGATCAATATTCATTCCTATTTCCATTCGCCTAAAAGGAGAGAAACCATCGCCGGGCATTTGTCTAGAACATCAGAGACTCTGACCAGGGAATAATAAAATCAATAAAGACAACCTTACCTTACCTGATCAACTCAACTCAACTACCCTGCCCTGCCTTGAATATTGGGCTGCTGTTACTGTACCTCTGTACTTGCGGTCTACACCCCTCCCCTCCCCCCTTGTCCCTGCCTCTCTCACTGTCATTGCTTTGTTGTTGTTCTCAACTTTTCAACCTCTCGGCGCTTCGCTTTGAGCATTTTATATCATCCCGTCGCGTTCCGGACACAAGCCAGAGAAGAAAAAAGAAGATCATCGTCTCTTCAATCTTCACTCTTCAGCTCCTTCCCTCTTAACTCTCTCGTCCTATCCCGTCTCTTCCTTCCCCCGCCTTCAGCTTCAAAGGACGCCCGTGCACTCCGCTTTCAGCTGCTTGGGAAACTTTGTACCCAATCAATCTCAAGTCGAACCCTTGAACTTAGATCAAACAAACACCCTCCTACAACCTATCAACATCCATATTTTCCTGCCCCGCGTGAGCAAGAGAGACTATCAGCATCAGCATCAGCATCAGCATTAGCATTAGCATAAGCATCAACACAGCATCACCCGGCAAAGAACATATCGGGCTGCACTCTACCATTACCAATACCAATACACTGACCTGGGTACTTCCCTGCTCACGAGATCCCCACGCATGAGCAACTCTTCTTAGTACACTGTCATCGCCCCAGTACGACCAAGGACATCTCAATTTTGAATGCGCTATCTTGTCTGATCGTTCTTGGCGCCCAGGCCGAGTTTCCCAGGCCCGATCATCATCTTTTCTTACCTACCTACCCGCCTCGACTCGTCCTCCTCCGAACAAACATCACATCACCGCTCTCAGCAACCTCAAGCTCAATCTTAGAAACGACTGTACCTAATTAACACCTCGACTTCTGTTTTTATCGACCTCTTCGACCCCCGTCATGTCGGGTTATCCAGGCTACAACTCTGGCAGTTACGGTCCGCCGCAACCCCAATACCACCAACAACCTCAAGGCAATTATTACCCGTGCGACTCCCCTCCTTCAGTATTGTCATAATCTGATTTGATGCCATTTCCTCCTCCAAATCCAAAGTCCCATAACCCAACTTTCCCCCGCATTTTCCTTCCCCCTCCCCATGCGAACCGACGATCACTTGTGCCACTACCCGCCATCATCATGCGTAATGATGGAGCTTCTAGCTAACCTCTATCTTTTGCTTCTACAGACCGCAACCTTCTTACGGCGGTGGCTACCCGCAAGGCCAGCCTTCTCCTCAACCTCCATACGGCTACCAACGACATGCTCCTCCGCAGCAATTCTACCAAGGACAGCCTCCTCCTCAACCGCAGTATGGTCACTACCAAGGACCTCCCCAGCCCAACTTCAATTCGCGACCCGGTACGTTGACTCCTCGACCGATTTGCACCGTATGATATCAGCTAAACAGTCTTCAGGTGGCCCTCCTCCCCCTCCTACAGCTCCTCAGCAATTCGGCCATGGCGCTCCCAATAGCTACAACTTCAGATACTCAAACTGCACCGGCAGGAGAAAAGCTCTTCTCATCGGTATCAACTATTTCAACCAGCGCGGACAGCTGCGCGGCTGTATCAACGATGTTCGCAACATGACCGCTTACCTCTCCGAAAACTTTGGCTACAAGCGCGAGGATATGGTGATCCTTACCGACGACCAACAGAACGCTATGAGCCAGCCTACCAAACAAAATATCCTCCGAGCGATGCACTGGCTAGTAAAGGATGCGCGACCTAACGATTCCTTATTCTTCCACTACTCAGGTACGGACTACGCTTCGGCGGGCTTGAAGCTTCTCCCCATGCGCCCGATGCTTTACTAACGGTCATAGGTCACGGTGGACAGACAAAGGACCTCGATGGCGACGAAGACGACGGCTACGACGAGGTCATTTACCCTGTCGACTTCCGACAAAACGGCCACATCGTCGATGATGAGATGCACCGCATCATGGTTCGCCCTCTACAAGCTGGCGTTCGCCTGACTGCAATCTTCGACTCGTGTCACTCCGGTACCGCCCTCGATCTGCCCTACATCTATTCGACACAAGGTATCCTCAAGGAGCCCAACCTGGCCAAGGAAGCTGGACAGGGCTTGCTTGGCGTCATCTCATCATACACCCAAGGTGATCTAGGTGGTGTTGCCAGCAACATCTTCGGCTTCATCAAGAAAGCTACCAACGGCGACGAGGCTCGTGAGATCACCATGAGGACAAAGACTTCTCCTGCCGACGTTATCATGTGGTCCGGCAGCAAGGACGATCAGACTTCGTGGGTACCCCTGATTCCGCAATATTATCCTTCCTACCAGACGATACCAGTCTGACCATTTCACTCTTTGGTTTTGAATTTTGTTGTTGGGACTGGTTTCTCAATTGGGCATACTAGCTTGGCGCAAGGCGTTTTGGCTTAACAATTTGATGTATCTAACTTGAATGACTATTCTTTCTTTCGAGCTTGCTCCAGATGCCAGATACAGTCTCCTAAGGAGATTGTATTTGCGCATTTGGGGCGACGAGCTGCGTTGGGTCGATAGAGTTTTTGCCCGTTTCCTTTAGTATTTCAGGATGGTCAGATCAGTTTGCTAACACGTTTCATAGTGCCGATGCTACCATTGCCTCGAAGGCCACTGGTGCTATGTCTTGGGCCTTTGTCAACGCGCTTAAGAAGAGCCCTCAGCAAAGCTATGTCCAGCTGTTGAACAGCATCCGTGACGAACTTGCAACCCGCTACAGTCAGAAGCCTCAGCTGTCATGTAGTCACCCTCTCGGTAAGAACTATGACCCCAAGACTTTGGTCAGTTGTTAACTAATCGATTAGACACAAACCTGCTATTCGTCATGTAAACATATATACCACAGCCTCGAGAGTTTGAATCCGCTGGACCTACCCAAGGGATCAGTCAAACTAGAAAGAGCAGGAGAATGGAAAGCAAGGCGGAATGGGTGGAGGTAATCTGATGGAAACAAGCGTATCACACATTATGACTGTATGTTATCATGATGGGGGGTTGTTTGTAAGGACCGGGTGTTCGGTTAGTTATGTCTTGATGACTGTCTTGAAGAACTCAAATGTCTGTTCTTTTTACTTCTCATGTAGCGTGGGAGGAGGAAAATTTGAAGCTCAAATCCAAAATGTTCATAAGTTGATGCTCATAAGGACCATCATCTGCGTCATGCTATGAGATGCGCGGCTTTGCTCGCCCTTATAACCTATTCGACAACGCCAAAGAAACACCGCCCTATGTGAAAATATGTATGACCCAGGTATCCGTAACAACGCGTTAATGACCAAATTGACTAGTGATAATAGACCAGCCAGACAATTTCTGTAACCCCGACGCTTTTATGCAAATGCTATGTTCATTCTTCCAATGGTCCTGCCAGGTTTTTATGCGCATCCAGACTCCGTGTAAAGACAATTCCATTTAGGCTTCAGCCCTGACCACCTTAAGTTGTCTCGATCGCTTCACCTTGCGCTGCTCTTCGGTTGCATTCACAAGCTTGCGACGAACAACCTCTTGTTTAGCCCAGTTGTTAGCCGACAAGCGAGCACGGGCAATGAAGCGCGCCATGACAAGGAAAGTCTTGAGAGTGGGTTTTGTGGTAGATGAGTTGGCAGCTGTCGCGTGGCTGGGCAGGGTGAGAGCCTTCTTGTTGCCAAGGAGGTTTGTGCGGATATCCTCGAGCTCGCGGAGTTGAGCCTTATTGCTATGAGACTGTTAGTATCTGATTCTGGTAGAACATATAGTGAGAAAACGTACCATGCATTGGCGACATCGAGCTGCAGCTGGAGAAATTTCTTTGCATACGCGGCATCAGCTCGAAGAGAAGCCTCGCGCTGGAACCGGGCCTGCATCCACTCCATCTGCATCAACATGCCCCGCAACTCCTTTTTGTGACGCTCGTCGGCGCTCTCTGCTGCACGAATAACAGTCTCAAGAGCTTGATCAGCTCCTTCGATAGTGACATCAAGAGCTTTGCGATCAACTGCGCTTCGTCGGCCTGGAGCACCAGTTCTAGCGGCGACTGCTGCGGCCTTAACACGCTCAAGATCCTTTTGCAACTTCTCAGCGCTCATGCGGAACGCTGCCCTTTCGCTGCGAGCCCTCTCAAGCTTACGACGGAGAGAAGCTTCGGAAGCGGCAAGACCTTCGATGAGTTCTTGTTGCTGAAGAACATCATGCTCAAGGTTCTCCATCTCGGCCTGGTTCTTCCTGAGCTGCCGGTCATGCTTGCTACTGTCAGGTTGTGCTGTTGCCAGAGCATTGCGCTCACGTTCTGACTTGTCAAGCTGGTGCTTCATACGGCGAAGTGCGCGTTCATGCTGGGCTGCCGTCTCCTCGGCCTGCTGTCTGGCTTCCTCAAGGACCTCTTCAAGTACTATCTTCTGGTCCTCAAGGTCGTCGAGCTGACGTTGGAAGTCTTGCGAGACCTGCATCGCTTTGCGCTCGGCTTCCCGGTTCTTGGATTTAAGGTCGTGAATTGACTTTTGCGCTGCGGAAAGTTGGCTCCGGAGTTCAGTAACTTCGCTCTTGCGACCTGACTCACTTGTGGAAGATTTGGGAGACGCAATCAAACGAGAAACCTCGGTTTCGTGAACCTGGCGCTCAAGGTCGGTAATCTGTCGCTTGAGACCCTTGACCACGTCGCGATGTGCGGACTCCTTTTGAAGGAATTCCAGCTCCTTTTGACGTGCTGTGGAGAGATCCTTACGAATCAAAGACAACTCGCTGTTACCCTCGAAGTTGTTTGGTAGCTGACGGGTGTTGTTGAGCTGAGCTTCGTAATCCTCAACGCGGCGTTCAAGTTCGCGAATAGTGCGACGAGCGGCAGCGAGATCGTGATTATCTGTCGATGATGATGTTCGCAGCTTAGTCTGCAATTGGAGGATTTCTTGACCTAGGCGCTCTTCCTCCTCAGCAGCCTTCTCAATTTCTTCCTCCAGATTCTTCTCAATCACATCTCGTTGCTCAATGAGAGCCTTGTTCTCATCCTTCAGGCGGCGCACCTCATTGTCGAGCTTGAGCTTGGCCGTACGGAGGTCGAGTCTCTCCTGGTCAACACGGAGAGTCTCGTTATCGTAGAGCTTTGTTCGGCGGAGCTCACCATCAAGCTCGTCTCGCTCCGCTTTGACTTCAGCCAGAGAGGTGCTCACAGAATGAAGCTCAGCATTTATCTTGGCCATTTGATCCTGAAGAGATTGTTTCTCCTTGGAGACCTTGTCCAGTTGAGAGTTTGCATCTGCTAGTTGCCACTTCATCCGTGTCATAGATTCTGTGGACTGTTTGGCCTCTTGTTCCGAGGTAGAGATGGAGGCTTGAGCTGATTCGGCTCGTTGTCGCCAAGTCTTGAGCTCTTCCTTCAGATCCTCGAGTTCGTAAGAAGCGGCCCCAGACGATCCTGCCTTCTGGCGCATCGTTCTCAGCTGTTCCTTGAGGTCATCAATCTCCTGACTGGCAGCTTCCGATGAACCGGCTCGTTGACGCAGTGTCCTGAGCTGCTCTTTCAAGTCGTCCACCTCGAGACTGGCACCCTCGAGCAGATCCGCTCTTTTGCGCGCCTCTCTCAACTGTTCCCTCAATTCATCAATCTCCTTATTCAACACTTGGGTGGAGGAAGCTTGGGATGAATTGGTGCGTTGTCTCAAAGACTTGAGCTGTTCTCTCAGATCTTCGCATTCTCGCTTAGCAGCCTCCGCTTCATAGCGTCCAGCGTTTTGCTCTTCATCCAATGTTGTCTGCAGAACGTCGACTTCATCTTCCAAGGCAGCTACCTTTCGAGTTTGAGCCTGATACTCAATCTGCGTCTGTCGTAACTCATCGCGAACTGTGGAAAGCTCGTTGCGTAAATTCGTAAGGAGAGTCTGCCGAGTCTCGAGTGCATCTTGGAGATCTTCGATTTGTCGTGCGAGAAGTCCCTCCTCACTCCTGTGTCGTTCCGCTTCGCTCTGGATGGCTACTTGTAGTCTTGACTCCTTGTCTGAGAGAGTTCCTTCAGCTTCCTTGAGACGGTCGATGGTTCTTTGCAGACCCGCTGCCTTCTCTTCAGCACGGTTGCGCTCTGCTTCGAGATTCTGCTTCTCCGTTTCCCACTTTTCGCTGTCGTTATCATATAGGTTATCCTTCTCCCGGATTTCGGCCTGAAGATCTGAGATCTCGTCGTTCAGGCGATCAATCTCGGCCTTGTATTGGCCACGGATATCCTTTTCAATCTCGAGCGCATGTTCCCTTTCCTCTGCGAGGCCTTCCTCAAGTTCTTGGCATTCCTTCTCTAACTTCTCGACCTCTCGTTGTAGGGATTGGGATTCGGAAGCAATATTGTCATATCGAGATTGAAGTACGTTCTTCTCATCGTTTCGGGCGTTGAGTTCAGCTTCGAGCTGTTGAACTCTTGTCGACAAAGAATTTCCCTCACGATCAAACTTCTCTTGACTCCTCCTGAGCTCCTTGACAGTGGACTGCAGGGAGTTGTTCTCCTGAGTCACCTCGTGGTGCTCTTTCTCCAGAGTCGCATAGTCTTCGCCAGCTTGGTCAAGCTCCTCCTGCAAACGCGCGACCTTCTCCTCAATTTGACGAGAAAGCCCTTTTGTAACATGCGACTTGTTGGCCATGTCTTCTTGAAGCTCTTCGAGGTCGTTTTCGGCTCGATCTTTTTCAGCCATAGCTTCCTCCATCTTGACCTTCGCCTCCCTCACCTGCTCTTCTAGGCGGCGAATATTTTGTTCGAGATCCTGGATTTTGTCCTTGGCATCGTCAAGCTCGTCGTTATGCTGAGCCTTCTCCTCCAGCGCCAGCATTTTGCGCTGGGCGTCCTTTGTCTTTTCTTCCGCTTCTGTTGTCTGTTCTTTGAGAGCCTCCATCTGGTCTTTCAAATCTTCTATTTCGTCTTCGCGCTCGGTAAGTTGTCGATCCTTCTCCTGGATATCTGCTTCGAGGTCGCCGATATCGTCTTGCAGTTTCTCGACCTGGTCGTTGCTTCCCTTCTGTTGACTTAGTTGTTGCTGAAGGTCTTCGATGTCTGCCTCGCGATCCTCTAATAGGCGCTGTAGCTTGTCCATTTCGGCTTGGTTGCCCTGGTTGGCGTACTTTCGCTTGGCCTTTTCCTGCACCTCGAGCATCTGCTGTCGATAGCTCTCCAAGTCCTTCTCGGCCGTTGTCAAGTGCTTCTTGTATTTATGAAGCTCTCTTTGCATTGTGACTTTGTCGACTTTGAGTTCGGTATTCTCTTTCAAGGCGGCTTCGCTAAAACCTGGCCCTGCTTTTCGGAGCGCCTCTTCAAGGAAATGAATCTTGAGCTTCAGACCGAAGTTTTCCTTCTCAATCCTATCGATCACGTTCTCCTGCTCCCTTAGCGAAAGCTGATTACCATCTTGGAGGGGTCCCTTATCGCCGCCCCTCCTCCTGGGAACAGCCAACGGGGTCGAGGCAGCACTGCTTGTATCAACCTCGGGTATAGTGTTCTCCATATAAGACTGATTACGCGACCCCTGGTATATGGACGTGTCGCCGCGGGGGACGGGCGTGAAGTCACCCTCATCGATCTTGTCTAACGCGGGCGTATTCGGTACCGCAGTGCCGTTCTCTTTTCCGAACCGTCGCACACTGTTTCTGGTCGCAGATTTGAGTAAGGGAGTGAATTCGGCGCCTCCTACACTAGGAGGAAGATTTCGTCGGTCGGCCAAGGGTCCTCTTTGGCGCGGGGTGCGAAGGTTGATGCCATTGGAGCGGCCATTGCGAAGTTGTTGTAGAAAGTTGCCATCTTTTGGCGGTGACTGAAATGATGCTTCTTGTGTGATGTCGCCAAAGTCAGGTTGTCCTAGGTATGTCGCATCCCCAACGTTTGTTCGCGGGGTGTCAAGCGCGCCGCCGCCAAAGTCGGGCATGCTGGCGGTATTGTAAAGTTTAGGTATATCGTGTATATGCGACGCAATGCATGCTGTGTTTCAAAGCACAATAAAAAGAATTTAGCTTAGAACTATGAGTTCTTGGTAGTCGTAAACGTGGGCGTGGGCGTGTTTGTTGTTAGTGATGAGTTGGGTATCGTGATAAAGAAAGTCATATGGAAAGTTGCGTAGCGTAGCGTTGAAATGCAACGAGCGCGCTATCTTTACCGCTGTAAGTTGGACAAGGAAGACCCATCCACTCTTGCCCGCCTAACCCACGCGCGTTTTTTGTTTACTTAGGTACCGCTTTGGGCCTAGAGTCAAAACAAATGACGACCAATTGCCGATGTTCTTACTTACATACATGTAGCCAATGAGAATTAATGATGACTTTGACAGCTCCATAGTATCTGTTAAGCTCATAACCCCGGTAAGCTACTCGTTCTACCCCAGACCTAACGTTAATGATGATAACATCGTGTCGCAGTGAGAGGCAAACATAGGCTTACATACATGAGCTAAGAGAGGAGAAAGAATGAATGATACGTATTTCAGGTGTTGATCGGCGGATGATAACCTAACTGTTAAAACAACTTAAATCCGGGGATTGCGGCGAAACCCCGATCAGAAGACTAGACCATCTACAGTACAGAGCTTGTGCGGCACCAAATATTGTTCGTTCACTACTGTACTTACTCGCACCACAGCAAAACCAGCCCAGACATACCCATCTCAACTTCATAAAACCACACCACAACGCAACCCGCTTCTTTTCAAACCCCGGCAATCAGGTCAATCGACTGCATCGCCTCGTCTCGCCGAGGACCCGCCATGTTCTTTTCACAGATACCAGACGAGATAATTCAACATTTGCTCTATTACATCCCTCCCGAAGACAACCTTGCTAGCTTTCAGTTTCTCTCTCATCGCTTAAGGCACTTGGCCAATGAACCACTACTCTGGAGATATCATTGCCAAACTAGCTTCACTTTCTGGCATCCTGAGCACAATTTCCACCGTCGACTAAAGGGCAGAGCCTCCAACACACCCTGGAAAGAAATATTCCTCACAAGGAAGTCCCGCAATGCCCGGGTTGAACGTCTTCTCGGTGAAGTCCTAGAGACTAAGACTGGTCGCCTAAAACGATATGAAAAAGTTTGCAAACTCGGCTATGACGCCAAAGACTATCTCTTAGAGCAATGCAATGCCGATGAAAGCGCTGGAGATGTCTTGGCTAGACGGTGAGCATTGTCATGAACTCATCGACACCCAATGCTCATTTTATAAACCTCTAGATATCACAGTAGTTCCTTGCTGGACAGCATCCACAGATCTCTCGCCATAGAGGAGTGGCATAATATCCAACAAGCCATTCAACATACGAGCAGACAGGCCAATGGACGACCAACGAATCTCAGTCTCGAGCGAGCGCTGGGTGCATTCGATCTATTCGTATTGCATGATCAATCTGGGGATTTAGAGGATGTAAGTGCTTCATACCCTTGTTCAAGGTACCCCTCGGCTAACGACATCACCAAGATTGGTCATATTCTGGATAGACTCGCAGCAGACTTTCGTGACATTCAGCCAAGTATTGATGAGATGTCAACGCGCCAGAAAGCGTTGGAGCTGAACCGATGGCTTCAGCTAAACAACCTCACAGGCTTACAGCACCCTGAGCGAAACTACCGAAACTTGCGGAATTGTCTGATTGGCCAGGCCCTTCGTCATGAAGACCACGACTCCATCCCTATTATCTCGAGTGCCATCTTCTGCTGTATTGCAGAACGGTTGGGTCTACAAGCGCACTGTTGTGCTTTTCCTACTCACGTTCATGCCATAGTCTTTGCCGAGAATGGAATGACTTTGGATAGCAAGCCTGTCACCGATGACGATGCGCCTCATGAAAAAATGTATCTGGATCCCTATGGCTCTAGCGAGGAGATTCCCTTGGCCGATTTACAGACCATGCTGGCTCATTACGGTTGGCAGACAAGCACCGACATGTTCCTATCTCCTGTAGACCCTGCTGCCATTGCTATACGCACAGCACGCAACATCAGAGCCACCGCTTCCAGAGTGATTGAAGCACGCGAGCAAGCTGACCCTGATCTCACACGGCTGATCACTGGTAATGATTCTTCCAACATTGATGCCGCTCTATATTCGGCACTTTGGGCTTCCCTACTCCTAACACCTGTCGACTCTTTCGAATGGGACGAGGCTTTGGAACCGTTCCTGCACCGATTCGCCAAGAACTGGCACGTAGATGCATGGCTCGTTGAGAAGTACATTTTTCCTTTGTACGATGGATTCGGCCCCCTTCGTGAGAGACTTATGCGGAACCGTCGATGGGATGACCCTCGCGAGGTTGTATACCTCGTGGGTGAGTTTGATGACGTTCCACCCCCAGTTTTCCGTAGGAACAGCGCACGAACACAGCATGTGCTCTACAAGATCGGGCAGGTCTTTAAACACCGGCGATACGGCTGGATCGGTGCTGTCAACGGTTGGACCGACCAGGGTACGCGGCGTTTACCCATGCCACATACTGTGGCTATTGACGAGACGCTGGACGATAACAGCGATACAGAACTACCTAACCGATTGCGCCCACGCAATAAGACCTTCTATACGTGCTTGTAAGTTGTCCCATGGCATTCGATAGATTTCTGCCAGCTGACATGGAGTTCGTAGGCGCACAACAGGACCTGAAAGACATGTTGTCGCCGAAGACAATATCGTGCTGATTGACGATCCGAGCGAGATTCCAGATTCACTGTTCCGCCAAGCTGGAAAGTTCTTCAAGCGATTCGATGCTGAGACGTGCACATTTGTGTCCAATATTACGGAGCAATACCCGGACGACTAGAAGTGGCACACGTGTGGCTATTTTATTCGTCTTTAAAACTCAGCTAGGTGTTTATATGGCTATCAGTTGCATTTCAGTAGTTGGACCAGAGAAGATTACAGCTCACGGTAAGAAGAGGATCGGTAATGAGAATGAGAAGGGGTGCAGGGTATGACCACGATAGAATCTATTCAATCCCCACGATGTTTTATTTTTACCTCTCAAAAGATGTACTGCGCTCTATTCCATAGTTGTCATAATACCAAAATGACTTTGGACTGTTTATTGCTTTGACGTTGTTGCTTCGATCACGTCTTCCAAAACACCCTTCTCGGCGAGTTTTGTCATCCACTTATGCAGCGCAGGTCCATAGTCCTTCTTGCGCCCCTTAACTCGCTGCCCGTCGTCCGAGATGGCTATCATTTCTGCGCGATACTCACCCATGGCGGCTTTGATTTCGATAATAAGTTCTTGATATAGCTCGTATGCGAACTGGGCGTCGAAGGTAGGTCGCTTGAGCTTATCTTGTAGGGAATTGGGGATTTGTGCACTTGCAATGTCCGATTTGGTTAAGTTGAATTCGGAAAGCTGGGACTCGTCGTCGACGTCGAGAGGAAGTTTCTCGCCACGGACAAGCATTTCGAAATCGGGGAGTTTGGTGTTGGTACGTAGGTATTGTAGAGATGCCGTGGTACGAGCAATGTTTTGCGAGTATGTTGCTAGAGGACTTTGACAGACTGCTAGGAGGTTGAAAGAGAGCTGATTTTCTTCGTATTGCAGCATTCGGCCCTCTATCTGGGGTTTCGCGACCGTTGTCCAGTCATGGGGATCTTGTACTGGATCTTGAAGAGACGGTTAGTCAAGAACAATGATAAAGGCCGTTAAGTAGGTTTACCTAGCCTACAAGGCTTGTTCTGAAGCCCATCTAGCTCCCACACATAGCCCCCTACAGGAACATAGGCTGTGAAATGATATCCATAGTCCAAGTCTGTCATCGTCTTTCGTGAAGGCGCCTTTCTTCTCCCCTTTGGTGCCGAGCGTCTTTTAGATGTAGACTTCGCCTCAGATGATTCGTTTTCGAGAAATAGGTCAGCATTGAGATGATCCATACGACGCGTGAAAGAGTTATGTATAGTGCGGATAAAATTGTTTTTGCTGATCTGATGGCCCCGGAGGGCTGTGTTGAGGTTTTTCGTCGACTCTTTGAAGGCTCGCAACTTATCACCGAGGTCGATTCCTTCGGCATTCATGACTATGTTGAGCAACGCAACGGTGGCGCATGCGTTATTGGTAGTCTGTATGGTATTAGTATTCTGTGTATTCTCATGTAGTGATAACGTACTTGGTTTGCAAACCATACGTCGCTTGCATCGTGTTCTTCGGTTGGTTCCTCCATTCCAGGAAAATACTGAAAAAGGAATATCAAGCCATATACAGGCTGTCTAATGAATGTGAGCGTGCTTCACGACACAAAGCCCCCTTGTAGCAGAACTTACGGTAGGAGCGAGAGTGAATCATGGTCAATGGTGAAAATCTCCTGTGCCTTCACATTTTGAACTCCCAGGTCTCCAAGTATGGTGTTGAAGAAAGCTGGTTCCGACTCAAGCTCTATCCAACCTTCCCATTCTTCGATGTCTTCTTGAGATAGCGGAGCTAAGGCCTCGTTCAGGAGCTCTTCAGAGTTGATGCGATGGTTCACATCGTTCGCTACCTCGCTGGCCTTCCGCTTGGGATTTCGCCTTGGTCCGCTCATAGCGACTGTGCCCGTGGTTTGCTGGGGAGGTTTGGAAGCCAGACGATTGGATCTACGCAGCGAAGGCGCACTGAGTGCGGTTTCGACAATCTGCATTTTGTCATCAGCTTGTATTCAGCTGCTGCAATCTATGAGGCGGTGCCTCAATATGCAGAGCAGGTGAAGGTAGGGATGAAGATGATGGGGTGATGGCTAGAAAAGTGAAGAGCGTTCGTCACTGGAACAAAAAGATGTTATCAGAAAAGACAAACAGTTTGTCACAGTAGGATGTGAGATAGAGGTAGGTAATGTTATTCTTAACAGTCAAGCAGCTACACGAGAAGTAGTAGTAGCAGTAGTAGGTAGGTAGGTAGGCTTGAATATTGAATCACTCACTTTCTGTGTCACAGCCCGTGCCACTGTCAATGTACAAAGTGAAGGAGCCTAATGGATGGGTCTTTCCCAAAATCTGTAAAAGCCAACAAATAGCTCAAGGTATCATGATAGCTTAGGCACTTTTAATCATTTACTTAATAGATGATTCGCGGTGCTCCAATAATAAGAATATCTGCGAGTTTGACGATGAATAGTACATTAGACTCTGAGTACTTGAATTGAGTTTAAAAACGCACGGGCAGAAGCTACCTATAACGGATAGAGATTCATATCAAATGTGACTGTCAATGAATGAATACCCGTTATGAAGAAAACTGGTACCGGCTACGTGCAGGAGGAGCTTGAAAGAATGAGATCAAATGATAGAAAGGTGTTGGAATAGAGCTTGAAATGCCAGCAGCCTACCTGCTTCTAAAGCAACCAATGGCATGTAGTTTGCTGGAGTTATTAGTGGGAGATCGCATCTATCAGCCAATAAAAATCTTCCAGAGCAGAGCTACCTTCTGGCCTTCGTTTGTTAAAGAAGCTCTCTTTGGCTTTGTTTAAACTGGCTTTTCTTTCTTTCTCTTTTCTCCACTTTAGTAAAATAGATGTTACTTGGGCTGTACGACGCTCTACAGAATAATAACAGCCACTTTACTGTCTTTGTGTCTTCCATTGTACGTTTGTTGAGTCTTTAGATACTTCTAGCTACCACTATCACACAGTAATGGTGGTGGTCGCAAGGCACTGAAAGAAGCTTAGCCACTAAGGTCATAGGCTTCAATTGCTCTGTACCCACTGTAGCTCCAACCCGCAGGCGAAAACAGGCGCGTCCAACTGGATCTGGACGTGACGCAGTTGCCTTAAGGAATTTCCATCATCCGTGAAAAGTACTAACAATTTACTTTGGCATCAAAACATAACACACTTCAACCCTTCAACCTCATCCAACCCGCGCAACAACCTGTCGCCCGACTAACCACAGGCTGCGACTTGGTTTTCTCTTTTATGATTTCTTCTTAGGCGCGTCTATATCCTCGTAATGCGAATGCCATGAGCACATCGACTCCCCGCCTGCGGTCTGGGTTTCCAGCTACCCCAGCTAATCGACGACATAATAATCAACAAACTCCCAGCTCGGCCGGCTCGCCATCATATGGAAAGGGCTCAACATCAAAGTCTCCTTCTCTGCCCCTCGCGCCCGAGAGTACTCGACCTCAGGCCGCTGTTAGCCAGCCTGTCATTCCTTTGACCGTCCTCGATGCTCCTCAGCAACGTCTTTACACCTTCGGTGTCTACTTCTTGTTGTGGGCATGGAAGCTTTACGACTGGCTTCAGGTAGTTGAAGATGGCGACTCGTCTTGGTTCCTTTTTCTCAAATGGATCTTTATCGACTTTGCCTTCCTCTTTGGCGTGCCAGAATTGAGGATACCTTGGCTTGAGCTGTCTCAACCTGTTGTCACTACGTGGTTCTCTTTGCATCTGGTTCTCAACTACATGCTTATGTTCAATATTCCCGTAAGCTTGTCAAATTCCCGTAATCATGTTCACCAGGCGCTAATTGAAACGAAGATCCCATGGCAATCATGGATTCTCGGCTTCGCCAAAGTTCTATACGACCGCGAAATATCAATTTCCGAGCATAATGTCAAGGTGTCGACTATTCTCAACAATCATTCTCTCATCATGGGAAGACAGATCATCAATATCTTGCCCGAAGGCTCTGCTATTCTCAACCCCAAGGGAACCCCCTTCTGTTTGACCGCAAAGCCAAAGAATGTCGTGGATCTTCCCATCTATTTCAATGCCACTATTCCTGCCGAAATTGAGTTGATTAGACTCGATTTTGAAACGAACAAGGAGGAAACGATCAAGATCTCGAACCGAGAGGTCAATCGGGTCGCTAAGCAAATTCGTGAGCACAACTCCGACCAGACTACTTTCGGCTTCCAGTGGGACTATCCGATCAAGAAGCCGGGTGTTTATAGACTTGGAAAGGTTTTGGATGAGTACAAACTTGAGGTTCAACGTGCTACCAAAGACACCTACGTTGTTCCCTGCCCCCAAGCTAGGATCCGCGCATCTTCGGACTCGCAGCGATGTATCCAAGAACTCTCTGATCTTTCTTTGGATGTATACGGTACACCGCCCCTGAAGATTCAGTACAGTCGCACGATCAATGGCAAAGACCACAGTTTCCATTTTCAGAGTCTTCAGCCTGAAGGATTCTCCTCTCCTCTCCTAGGTGCTTCCTCCAGTCTCGTTTCAGATGATCAGGACGATGTCTCGTGGGCGCGACCTCAAAAGGTTACTGTTGGTCTTAACGAGTCCATGACCTCCGCTGGCGAATGGGAGTACTCGATTGACGAAGTTTATGATGCTTTTGGCAACGTTATCAAATACGCCGAATTGGAAGAGGTTTCTGATAAAGCCCGCTCCAGAGGCTTGAAATACGGTTTCAAGGTTAAAGAGCGTCCTAAGGCGAGCATGAATGGCTGTGACCTGCGAAATCCATTCAAGGTTGCCAAGGGCCGTTCCGTTCGACTTCCTGTTGACTTTTCGCTGGTCGGCTCCAAAGATGATACCTCTCATGAGGTCACTTGGGAATTCTCTCCCATCAACTCCCTCACCAACAGTGGAGAGCATGGAGACGAAGTATCAATTGGAGGCTACAGTGCCAAGAATGCGCTTGATAAGCCTTTTGTCTCTGAGCCTGGTCTTTATACTCTCAAGACTATTTCCAGTGGATCTTGCAAGGGTGAGGTCAAAGAGCCGTCTTCGTGCCTTCTTCTGAACCCATTGGAGCCCTCGCTCTCCATTCGATCAGAGGAGATCCCCGACAAATGTGCGGGCAACTCTATTGGTCTCAGAGTGGATTTGGACCTTGTCGGTAACCCTCCCTTCGTGGTTCGCTACGACATCATTACTAGTGACGGGCATGTTGAGAAACAATCCCATCGTGTTCCTGGTCTGCGATCTCAATTGGAACTGGTGCCCAAGATGGCAGGTCGTCACAAGTATGTGTTCAAGTCTGTTGACGACGCTGTGTATGAGAACCAACCTCTTACTGGTGACGATAAGGTTTTGGAGCAGGTCGTTAAGCCTGCTGCCTCAGCCAAGATTGCCAGCAGCAGCGGAGTCGTTAATGCCTGTCTCGACTCGGAAGTTGAACTTGATGTCCTTCTTTATGGCGAGGCTCCCTTCAACCTGGAATGGGAAATTGTCCATGACGGTAAGCGCAAGTCAGAGCGAGTCACTGGTGTTCAAGAGAACAGCTTTAGGATCAAGACCAACACGCTCCGCAAGGGAGGAGAATACATCCTGGCTCTGAGTAGCGTTCAGGACAAGCGAGGTTGCAAGACTTTCCTCCAGGATCAGGTTAAGATTGCTGTGCGACGCCAGCAGCCACGAGCCGCTTTTGGACTCGTTGAGCACAAGCAGAAGATCATGGCTGTTGAAGATACACACTTGCGCCTACCTCTCCGCCTAGAAGGAGAGCCTCCTTTTGAGATTACCTTTAAGAACCTCAACGGCAATGGCGAAGTGTTGACAAAGCGCGCAAACAACGCAAACGACAACCTCCTGGTCAAGAGCCAAGGAACCTACGAACTAATCGACGTCCGAGACAGCCAATGTCCTGGATCTGTCGTACCAGCAGCATCCCGGTTCGAAGTTGGCTGGTTCCCCAGGCCTGAAATCTCCATTGTTGAGTCTCCTAGTATCACTTCTGACGGCGAAACGTTTGTCAAACAAGATATTTGCGAAGGAGATATTGATGGATTTGAAGTCAACCTTAAGGGTAAGTATTCCAATCCTAGTATCCATATCCACTGCTAACCCGTCACAGGATCACCTCCTTATCATGTGCAATACGATGTTACACACAAGCCTGCCAAGGGCTCCAAGGCTTTCACCCGCAAAGACTTTGATGCCGCCCTTGCAAAGGCGGCCATTTCCATGGATACCACCAAGGCTGGTGACTATACTTACAAGTTCTCTGCTCTTGCCGATAATCTCTACAACAGCGACAAGAACTTCCATCCTCTCACTGTCACGCAGCGCGTGAATGCCAAGCCTTCTGCCGGGTTTACAAAACCAGGACAATCATTCAAGTACTGCATGGAAGAGCAGGAGCACGAAGATAGGATCCCTATTAAGCTCACCGGAGAAGCTCCCTTCTATGTTGAAGTTGAGATCAAGCATCAAGCCGGATCTCCTGCTGAGACCTACAGAATTCCCTCTATCGACTCCAACTCGTACGGCATCAGGATTCCTCGTCAGCACCTCCGGCTTGGCGCACAGCAGGTTCGCATCCGCACAGTCAGAGACGCTAGAGGTTGCCAACGCAAGTATGAGCACGGAGGTCCGTCGGTCCAAATCCATCTCTACGAGGCGCCATCCATCTACCCTCTCGAGTCTCGACGTGACTACTGTGTTGGCGAGCGCATTGCCTACACTCTATCAGGCACGCCCCCATTCGATATTGCTTACGACTTCAATGGCCGATGGAATGCTAAGTCGCAAACGACCAATTTCCGCCGTATTGCAGAGAAGCCTGGTGATTTCACCATCACTAGCATCTCTGACAAGGCCAGCGAATGTCGTGCTGCTGTCAACATTCCCAAGACGATCCACCCGCTACCTAGCGTCCAGATTAGCCGTGGTAAGCAATCTCGTGTTGATATTCACGAGGGCAATGAAGTGGACATCTTGTTTGAGTTCTGGGGCACACCACCCTTTGAGTTCACATACACACGCAGTTCCAACGCCAAGAAGGGCCAGCGCAGTGCCGTTCTCGAGACAAGACATGATGTCTCTTACGAACACAGCAAGGTGGTTAAGGCAAGCCAGGAGGGTACATACGAGGTTGTGACAATCAAGGATAAGTTCTGCTCCTTCTCAACACAACAGGTTGAGAAGAAGCAAAGGAGATGAGATAGGAAGACCTAGGAGATGAAGCTAGTTTGAAAAATTATACATGGTTTTTGGTTGTTCGATAGGTAATGAATGGATGGATTGTACTGCCAAAAGAGGGGACGAATAACAATAAGGGATACTGAGTTGTATATAAGCATCTATACCATTGGCACGGCGTTTAGTAGGGTTAGTCAGACTAAGTTTGAATACTTTATGTGTTATATCCACGTGTTGTAGTGAGTTCATGAAATGCCCAACAATTACTTGAGGGCCCGGTAAACAAAATGTATACCAAATGTCTGATAGAGATTGGAGGGGGGGCCGAGTCTATCCTGATTGCGACTGCCTCATATAAGGCAGGAGCAAGTGCAACAACTGTCTCGTACCTCACTCGATGTGCCTTCCTCATGGCGTAGTACAGAAATCTTCCTTCTCTTCCCTCTATTCGTTAAGAACCTTTCATCCTCAGGCACCATCTAGGTACCTACCTAGCCAGTAGAATATCCGACCATGGCACTGTTCCTCGCATCACTTTCTATGTAAACTCTACGACGAACCACGCCCGATCGATTATTACCCAGGCAAGTATCAAGCACTACGTTGCGCCATAACGTACAGAGTACTAATAGAGGTATTGCAGTACATATTGGCAGAACCATTGGCTACTTTGCACCCAGAGCCTTAATTCTAGGATAAATCAACCGGCGAACGTTCTAACTCTCCCTTACATCAACCTACCGCAACAAGTTATAACGGCTGCTTACCTGGGTAAAGCGTGTGCTTGGGTTTGGGCATCGTTAAAGCTGTCAGACGACAGTGACATTAACACCGACGTCATATCTCATGTTATTAGTGGAAGAGACTGGTCCTGACCCTCGGTAGTGTCTTGTCTCGACCTTCTAGTTCAATCCAGACTCTCCAAGTTAATACTATCCAAGCTCAGACAGGGCCTAGGGGACAGGGGATGGCAATAGGTGCGGAATGGCTATATCCATTTACTCTATCAGTGCTGCCGTGATGGTGAATTTCATTGACTTTTGTCAACGAAAAGCATTGGCTCAAAAGCTCAAAGCAATCCATGGCTTCTCTACAGCTCGCTTACTATGGATCAATCAACAGGCACAAGCAAAAAGAGAGAGAAAAATAAACATTGGAATGACTTTGTATAACACAAACCGCGGCTTCATACCGCACGCACTGCCTCCACAAACAACGGTCCAGCCCAAGCCCAAAGGCCGACCGCAGGTCAATATGACACCCTTTTCTGCAGTGCAACAGCAGACGGATACTACACTGTAGGTGCTTTGAACAAAAAGACCCTTCTCGATGAAGCCTCTCGCCGAAATCTGTGTGTCCAAACCCCACCACTCGAGACGGTCCAGAACTCAATCGATCTGCACTTCCTTGTGCCACACCTACACAACCTTGCAAACGTTATTAGAAATATGCTAGGTATATATCTACCATCTATCCCCCTGTTTAGAGCGATTCTGGTTTCCAGTTCTGAATGTGTCATGGTCCTTCTTTGGTGGTTATTGAAAGATCTGTCAACACCCTTGTGGCCTATACATCAACACTATGTCGGTCCTCCATCACCACACGACAATGGAAGATCACACTAAGAACAATAATTGAAGCTCAACATCATCGACTTGGCGCATAGCCTTGGACGGTTCAATTCGACCTTCACCATGGACGGCGAGCAATACTCCATCTGCCTACCTACAGATGCCAACGTCGAGATGTTTATTAGCAAATCGGATATGATACAACACATCAACGATACGTCTAATAGCTCGAGAGCTCTTCATGTTTCGCCCAAAGACAATAATATTATTGCAGGTATCAAAACTTGTTCATCAGACACACCATGCACTCCGATTGACAACCAGATGTGTGCCGTCTGTGTCCACAACTGACTGAGTAACAATCTTCGCTAACCGGCTAGCCTTCTGTATCTTGCTAGATGCCTTTGCTCGTTGAGAGATCCGAATCCGACACATCTCCCCAATCATAAACGCGAAATACATGACATGAGATTTCTTTGCCAACCAATTAAACAAGCGAGGCCACCAATGTCAAGAAGCTCCCACATTATTTCGCTCCAAACGCCGTACTCCCACGATCTGCTCATGCGCATACGTCAGACAATCCCTTAAGGACGCGATTCCTTACTTCGAAATTCAGACATAAGTGCGCTGTCTCTTTTCGGGAGGACTTTGGCCATCCATGCGTCCTTGATTACTTTGTGAAATGTTTCCAGGGAAGCTGGCTCTGCTCGCACTCGTGGGTGTCAAGCCGTATTGGTTCGCGCCGTTAACCATGCCATACCCTTGATCCATTCCCGTATTCAGGGGAGATTGCTGGGGCATCTGACCTGGGGACCAAGTCGCACCAGTTGCTGGAGGTGTAGGTGTTGTCTCGAACTTGAAAGCTGTTCCACCTGGTGTGTTCAAGTTGCTGGGAGGGTTCATGTAACCTGCGCCGCCAACTACATATCCTGAGCCGGACTCTTGCTGAGTCGAAGGATCGTAGCCCTTAAGAAGATAGCTCAAGTGATTCTCGACAATCTTCTGCATTCCGCTCTTGGTGAAAGGCTTAGCCAGGACACCGTTCATTCCTAGTTATGGACTATTAGTTCTTGCTCTCAGTCACAAATCTCACTACAGTACTTACCATGTTCGAAATAACAGTGAACCTCGTCGGATCGGATATTAGATGTCATAGCGACGATGGGGATGGCAGGACAGTCTTGTCGGATGTACATGGTGGTCGAGACACCGTCCAGCTTAGGCATGATGATGTCCATAAAGATCATGTCAAAGTGATCACGGGCAACACTTGTGATACGGCTATAAGCATCCGCTCCGTTTTGCTAAATCAATGGTCAGTCTGGCTGTACTCCAAAGTTCTGATTTTCGGGTTTTACGTACAGCATGCTCAACCTCACATCCCATCGACTTAAGGAACTTGATACCAATTTTAGCACAGGTCGGGTCATCTTCCACAAGGAAGATTCTGGGCTTCCGCGATGCCCAGGTGAGAGCCGAGTTAGTCGACGAATTGGAGTTTGCGTGGGTCTGGATGTTGATGGGTTGAGGGGCAGGCACTTCCTGCATGGCATTGGCGCTCGAATCGTTTGGCATCGCATAAGGAATCTTGTGGATGTGGTCCGAGTGGAAAGGATCAATACCAACAGTCTGGCCCACTGGGTAAACGGGATAGCGATTGATGTCGTTCATCGGATCATGCATCATGGGCATCGAGGCTTGTGGGATGACGACAGCAGAATCGGCTGGAGACCCATACACACCCTGAAGACGTTCCAACTCCCGGTCGGCAATCTGATCAGGTGTCACGCTAGACAGAAGCTCGCGAGCCCGTCTCAATTCAGGTGCCGAGTCATCACTACCGTCTAGAGGAGATGTGCCGACGTTGAGGTGCATACTCTGCTGATGACGGTTGCTGGAAGGTGCCAGGTAGTTGAGCATTTCGTGCTGGGATTGCTTCTGCGCATTGAGCATCTTTTGCAGCGTCAGGACTTCGTTGACGAGAAGTCGGTTTGTCTGGGAAACTTCGGTGAACAATTCCTGGAGCTGTTGCACTTGCTGCTGTGTGGCAGTGAGCTGTTCGGTCATGACACTGATGTGATGGCTGGTAGTGAAATCCTCTGTGGCCTGTGTTCTCCTAGGGGCGGGAGCCTTTCGACGAATGTTATCAAGATCATCTTTACTGCCCACTCTGAAATTGGGATGCTTGAATTCGAGAGTCTATGTTGGGGTTTAGTATAGGACCAAGTTCTAAGGGTCAAACAAAACATACGTTGGCGCCGTTGGCCGAAGAGCCGCTATCATTTGTTTGTCGCACTTTGTGAAAATCATACTTATTCAGTTGTCGGACGAAACTGGCCATATTGCTGTGCTTAAAGTGCTTAGGAAGGATGGAACGAGTAAATTTTTCGTTCTAGGATGGTTAGCATTTGTCGATCGCAACAGCATCAGCTCAATCCCTACCTCGACAACGACGAAGGTGTCACCATCTTTGCCCCATCTAGCAACATCTTGATGCGCCGGGTCCTCGAGCATTCTTGACCTTTGTTAGCATTCTTGTTGTTTTCACAAATTGCCCAGGAAGCAACTATACCGGTAGAGCTTGCGGACCTATCAAAAGCGTTAGGTGTGATGTAATCAACTGCTACTGGCTATGAACTTACAAATTCGCTGGCATTGCTGCCACCAACCCCAGGGGTTGACGTTCCGTCGCCGGCAGACATTATGAGAGTATTTCCGGTCTTTTAACGATTATACGTGGTATCTCGTGATGAAGCGGTATGGTTGATATGATGGCAAGAGAGCGTTCGGTTAAGAGTCGTTGCAGCGGTTAACCGATACAAGAGGCGTTTAACCGGGCCGAGTCGCCGTTGATCGCTGTGAACTCTGAGGGAACAAATATGGCCCTGTGTTGAAGCCACCAAGGACTGATCTTGATGCGCCGATGCAAAACAGTAATGGTCTAAGGGCCGGCTGCAGAACTGGAGATTCGAGGAGCGGACGCGTTGATGTAAAGTTGAAGCGCAGCAAGTCCAGGGGTTGCCAGGCTTTGCAGAACTGGGGGGCGAGATTTCGGATATGAGGCCGTCGCAAGGAGGTAGAGGCTGTCGATGCGATGAAAGAGGGCCGTCGCAATTGCAAAACCAAAGGGGTGGAAAATGGAGGGAATGGAGAACGGGAAACGGGGACTGGGCCTGAGTTGTATCTCAAAGACAAAGTTGGGAGGCCGAGTGGGCGGGAGTGGACACAAGCGTGGACGGAATAGTCTGAGCCTGCTTTTTGTTTCTGAACTGAGCTGGGCGTGGCTTGGCTTTGGCGGGGGGTCATTGTGACTTGTCGATTCGCTCAGCGATGTGGATATCAGTCAGGTACTGAGTACATACCTCTGCCGCTCAACACGCTCTCTTCCGGGAGCAGATGGCACTTCCCACTTCGGCTGGGGCAGGGGGCCTGTGCTGGTCACTGGTGCTGGTGCTTGTGCTGGCGCTGGCTTATTCTGATAGTTACGGATACTGTCGCTGCTGATGCTACGAACAAGGCAAAGGCGCATGCAACAGCAAAGAAGAAGAAAAGCTTGAGCCGGAGTGGGCACTTCCAGCCAAGGTTGGCTTAGCCTCAACCAAGATCGCGGTGGGAATGGAGCGCTATTGCGCGAACAAGTCTGGCGGCCGTCCTTGTGGGGTGTCCCCCTTGTTGCCATCATAGCTTTTTGGTCCTTCTTGTGCCGACCATGACCTTTGGTTGGCTGCCCGGTTGCACTGGAGATCGTCCTTATGTCGACTGTGTGGAGGTGATCATGGCGCACCGTGACCACAATGCGACCTAAGCTCTGCTTGGAAGATCTCAAGCTGGTGAAGAAACGAGAACCATTCAGCTGTTGATGTCCATTCCATTATTGTCCTGGCCCGCCATGTTGATCTTTTTTTTTTTTTTTTT